CTTCGGGCTCTAAAGGAAAGCTATTTCCTAGACCATCCACGTACCTATCGTTAAATTTAACTGCATTAATATCCATGATTGATATATTCTAGTATATTTGTCAATCACATAGAGCATTATTTTTTGTCAGAATTCCGGTCGCTTCAGAAATTTTTACTTAGGAAGGAAAATAAAGAAATCCTTGTATATTCCAACAATGTGCATCTTCTACAGTGCTAACCGTTTGCTAGCGCCAGTTTCATGATTACGGGAGGTATAGTTTTAATTGAAGCTTAGTATGAAATTTTCCGGCCCGTATTATGAAATTTGGCTTGCCCGTATTACGAACAATTCCGGGCCGAGGGTTCGAATGTACTTTGGAAACACTGTACACTCTTGCACGTACTATTTCATATGACTCTTCCTAATGATATTTCGTCTAACTTTCCACACACCTCCTACCTTTCTTTTGCTCTCGAAATTCATATATGGAATCTTGTGGATTCTATTGGTACTCTTGTCTTCCACCTTCTTCTTTTGATGATTTAATAGTTTAACCTCACTCTCGTGTTCTTTTGCTATTATTGGATTCAACATTTCAATAGATGGAATTTCCCCATCACCCTTTACTAGAATCATTTTGTAGCCACTTGATAACAATGATTGCAAATAATTCAAATTCACTTCTGGAATATACAAATTCATGTAACTTGAGGCTCTGTTTATGCTATGGACCATGCAAAGTCCTCCGAATTTGAGAGTATGTTCGGAATCAACCAATAAACTAAAATAGTCAGTAAAATTTATGTATAATGGAACAGAACTTGATATATTTGTTTTGTCCAAAGATTGATATTGACTGTTCTCGATGAAGTATATGCCAACAATCGAGGACTCTAGCATCAATGGCAAATCTTCAATTTCGAAGTCATACCCCGCATTGCTATTAAGAAATGAGACTGCAGAAATTCCTGGATAAGAATCTGATGGAAAAGTATGATATGATAACTTATAGGGTGATGATGTCAAAAAATGTTCATTGAAATCGAAACCAGACCTTTCTCTCTGGTGGAAGTAGACTAATTTATTAAAATCTCTCAAACTTGCTGCTGAAAATTTCGATTCTTTGGTCATGCTTCGTATTATTAGTAATCTCTTGTAAGTTAGGCCATTCAATATATCCAAATTCTCACCTTGTCCTATATCTGGGTTAGATGAAAGCAAGAAAAGAAAATCTGGCACAATAAAATCGGTAATTGAGCTGAGTAACTCCTTTCCATAGCCTTTGATCCAACCAGGAGTATTAATAATTAGATGTTTTCCTTGAGATTTAGTCCTTTGATACTTATTAAACAATTCCTTCAGTATTCGAAGATATGTATTTGGCAGATGAATTGGTGATGTAAATCCATAAAAATGAGATGTACTACCTGTGCGATCCAGGCTTATAGAACTGTTGGGAATATTGAGCCCCCAATTAGTACTGCTTGCATCTGTTAATGATAATGTTAAAGGAGCTGAAAATTCTGATTGACCGGGATCGAGATCTAGATAAGAAATTTGCTTTGAATCTGTTAATAGTAGCTCATTTAATAGGGATTTTGAATATGTAGACTTTCCAGTATTTTTGTTACCAATAACCATAATTGTCTTCGGTGTATCACTATTTTTCAACGAGTTAACTATTTCTTTTATACCATTCGACCACGTCATATCCATACAAAAACCCTCGAGGCCACTTGTTTCTTTAAGAACTATTTGGTAAGAACACCCATCAGTATTGGCCACCTTTTCTCCAGTAGAGTACCCTTTTTCGTGGTAAAAGAAATCTTTAAAGGGAGGGTAGTAACTGCCAATTTTCTCTAAGCCTGTGTTCAAACATGTTAATCGTATAATCGATATAACATCTTTACTGAAACTGGCTCGATATGCCTCTGGGATCTTTTCTCCAGAATGGCATGTTGAACCAGCTATGATGGGCAATGCTTGTGAATCTGGAGCGAGAATCTGATGAGACACTTCTTTCTCAGTAAGACGATGGTGGTTGTTTATCACAACTCGTCCATGTAAGATCTCCATAGCAAGTTGTCCTCTCACCATAATAAACTCATCTTCTCTTAACCCAAGGATGGTGTTAGTTCCTTTTGATATCACATTATCTGATGTAAACTGAAAATTTGAAGAAGTAACTGGTAAGGAAGGGAAAGTTGTATCGTTAAATAGAGGGTTGGGATGTGATGGGGCATTTACTTCCCTAATTGTTTCCGCTAAGTGTGCATTCGAATCACTCCCCACGAGGAAGTCAGAGAACTCATCACTCAGCTCTTCATTCTCATCAGACGAATTACGCTCATATCCCATCATATCTTCATCCTCTTCGACATTATTATCATTTTCATGAAAAATGGAGTTGACTGAAGAATTATCTTTCAATGCAGCATATGCACTCATTCGTATTAGGGGTATAATTAATCTTATACTACGTTCGATTCTTATGCCATAAAATTGGTTTGTACACGCTCGATGGAAGTAAACATTCTACACTACTTTAAAATCATGCAATAATTGTAGGGAAAGGGCAGATACCGTAATGAAGAGCTTTTTTTGTGAACATTGAATTTGTATATGGTATGTTTAGTTCCTTATGTATCAACTATCGAAGTCAATCATTTTCTTGCTGTTTTTGATGTGTTGTCACAGAAAAATAGATAAAGACCCTATCAGCAAAATTCATGTCTCTGGAAAGATGTATCCTGGGTACATCGTAATTTATTGATATGAAGTGCCCAAGTCTAACACTCTTATCGATGACAGTAAATGCTTTTCGGAAAAACTCAGATTCTAACACCGGAAAAATTGTTTCCTGATCAAAGAACTGAAAGAGCACCTATGTGCACTACATAGACGAAATGGCAGATAGTATCGCTTCCCTTTTATTGGATTGTAACCTTCAGTTAGAACTGGAGGAAAAACAAACTAGTTTCAATTTGATTTACAAAGTTCAGGAGAGCTCATCACTACATCTTTTTCTGAGATTATCAGGTACAAAAGTGACCCTCCTGAAGTCACTTAAACCTGATTTGACCAAAAATCATCGAGTTCTCCACTAGTTTCCCCACCCCGAAAGGGCGTGCACTTGGCCATTAAAATATCAGATTATTCACTTCACATAGCAAGAGTCCATAATTACAGTACAATATTGGGGGAGAAGTACACTTGAATAATACCAAGTAGCTTAACTAGAGTGTCGCCCGATTAAGCATCTTGTGTGACGCTTGTAGTATCATCCCACTTATTCTTAGGTCGCGTGCCAACAGTCCACAAAATCCCACACTCGCTGAGCAAGGAAGGTAACGCTCCGAGCTTTTTTCTCCGAGATTATAAAAGCGCTTGGGTATCCCATTCTTTGAGTTAACTATTTGAGAACCTCCAATCTAATAAACAACAATTTTAAAGATGAATAGTAAATTGCAATCTGCCATTGACGAAATAGTTCAAGACTTCTCAGTTGATAAGGAATTCTTGATTAAAGCAACCAATCATTTCGTCGAGTCTATGGATGCGGGCTTATCACACTCTGCTTCTGCAAGAGAGCATATGCCAATGATTCCTAGTTTTGTAACAGCGGTCCCTACAGGTAAGGAGAAGGGTTTGTTCTTAGCAGGTGATTTAGGTGGTACCAACTTCAGAGTTTGCTCCACTAACTTGAAAGGCGATCACACTTATGAATTGAAACAATCAAAATACAGAATCCCACTTGATTTGATGAAAGATTCCACTGCTGATGAATTATTTGCATACTTAGCCAGCAAAGTTAAAAACTTCTTCGAGGAACACCACAATGAATATTCTGGAGAATCCTTGAGTTTGGGATTCACCTTCTCATTCCCTGTTGATCAAACTGCATTGAACAGGGGGAAGTTGATTCGTTGGACTAAGGGGTTTGATTTACCAGATTGTGTTGGCAAAGATATCGTTGAATTATTGCAGAAGCATATTGATGCCCTTGGTGTCAAGGTTAATGTAACCGCATTGGCAAATGATACTGTTGGTACTTTGTTATCGAGAGCATACTCGAATGATCCTTCTAAAACCAATTCTAATACTGTAATTGGTGCCATTTATGGTACTGGTACAAATGGTGCCTATTTTGAGACCTTAGAAAACATCAAGAAGTTAAAGAATATTGATGTGCCAAAGGGTGCCAAAGGTATTGTCATTAATACTGAGTGGGGTTCTTTTGACAACACTCTTCAAGTTTTACCTTCGACCAAATACGATGAAATCGTAGATAAAGAAACAGCCAATATTGGTTACCATTTGTTTGAAAAGAGAATCAGTGGTATGTTCTTGGGGGAGATTTTGCGTGTTATCTTAATTGACTTGTTTGATCGTGGTTTATTATTCCAAGATTTATATAAAGCAAGAGGTGGATCATTACCGCACAGATTAGCCGAGGCTTGGCAATTGGATTCAGAGGTGTTGTCCTACTTACAAATAGATGATTCCACCGACTTGAAAATGTCTGAATTGATTTTGGAGAATCATTTGAGATTACCAACTACGAAGGAGGAAAGATTGGCAATTCAAAAGATAACTCAGACCGTCTCAAACAGAGCTGCTTACATTTCGGCTATTCCTTTGGCTGCTATAGTTTCCAGAGTGAAGGAGCAATACAAAGATGATGAAAAGGATTTCGAAGTAGGATGTGATGGATCTGTTTTCGAATTCTACCCAGGCTTCCAAGCCAAAATCTTGGAAGCAATCAAATTAATTGATCCATTGAAGGGTGAGAACAAGAAGATACACTTGAGACTTGCAAAAGACGGTAGTGGTGTTGGTGCTGCATTATGTGCAAGTCTCGCTTGAACTACTTGACAACACTATGCAATTGTACAGAATACTAATTGTGTCCCCGAAGTTTCAACCTCATAAGTACTATTCTTGTAATTATTTAGGTTTATACCCCCAAAATTATGCTTCCCTTCGTGCAGTCGGTAAAGATCCATTATGGGATGATGTGTGTAGTATTTAAGGTACACGTTCAAGGGTCCTGTACATACCATGAAAAATTCACGTATCGAGAATCCAGATCATACTACGTAGCTCAAAATTGCCAGCAACTGAATTGTGTGATCTCAAAATGCATTACGACCACCGTATCATACTATTGATAGCATACTTTGCTTACTCGTGCTTTGCAATCATTCCCGATGTACATGATAAAGTACATCATCCCGAAACACAGCATAATTCGGAAAATGGACATTTATCATTACCCAATTTACTACACATCGACAGGATTGAGGATTTGGAGTTGGGCTGGAAAACGCTTGGAAAACCTGTTTTTGAACTAGGAAGATTGATTTTTAAGGATGGAGGCAGCTCAGTTTGGTCTTTAGCCGACTTAGAGAACACGTCAAATGAATGGACTTTGGAGTTAGTGTTCCGTTCGTCAGGTACAGTGAATGACGACTTAAAATTCAATGAAGAGAATGGTTTCTCATTGTGGCTCATCAGCAGTATCAACTCTTTACCAATAGACGCCCAAAACATGGATAACTTTGGCGGTCCTTCTCAGTTTGACGGATTCCAGTTTCTCTTCAATAATAAGGGAACCAAAGGGTTGAAAATATATGGTAGCGATGGCAGTAAAGTGATTTCTAATGATCTTGACAGCACAATTGGTAACTGTGCCTTCAACTACTTAGACTCGCAAGTTCCCTTCACATTAAGAATTTCATACTCCAAGGAGAGAACATGGTTCAAAGTACAGATCGACAATAATGTTTGCTTCAAAACTGATAAAATCAAGATTCCAGAAGATATTGGTGACTTCTCTTTTGGAGTAAGTGCATCTAGCAGTTCGTATTCGAATGAAGAGTATGAATTACTTGGCTTGAAAGTTTGGAACAAATTGACAGAAGATGCGATTGATGACCATGGAATCATGTCTAATGGACATGTGAAGGTACACTACACTACAGTCGTACTGAAACCCGAGCCAACCTCAAACGCTTACGTAAAACCAGGTTTTATCAGAGAATCACTCATGGCCAGAACCCAAAGACACAAGGAAGAATTGGAGCGCCAAATGAAGGAAGCTGAGCTCCTGTCAAGTCAGCCAACGGAAAATAATTTAGATACAAAAATAGCAGATATCTTATTCAGCATTGAAAGATTGGGAAGTGCAATTGATAATATGGAGAACTCAAATGACTATAATTCGAAGCACATCCTTTCACAAATTGAAGATTTACAAAACACTTATGTCCAGCATAAGGAAAAATTACAGAGTTTACAACAGTCCTTGGATGACTTCAAGTCGACAATTGCCCAACAGTACTCACAAATGCTTGCCGCTTTTTCAAAATTCAACGAGAAAGTTATTGGGGAAGTGAGAGAACATCAATATAGCTTAGATGGATTGACTTCCAAAGTGGATTTACTAATGTCAAACCATAAGGAAATTGCTTACCAGTACCAAAAACAATCGTCATCTAATGCAGAAAAGGAACCTGTTAGTACGATCATCATAAACTATATAATGAAGTGTTTCTCCTTCTCTTTATACGTGGGAATTGTGTTCTTGATAATCATCTACAGAGAAAAACGGAGTAAGCAGCATTCGAAATTACTTTAAGAGCATAGCAATTTGAATTGCGATAACTACGTACTATATATGGCTATGAAGTTAATCAACGACAACAGCACCATTTTTTACCTTTCTCTCTCTTTTACTAGGAGAGATTGAGCGTTCACTAGTAGGTGATTCAGGAGCGGGAGAATCAAACTTTGTTGCCAAATCTTTGACGGAAGTCTTTCTTCCTAAAGTAGAAATGAATTTAGGTTGGACAAAATCTGAGGGGCTCTGTGCGTCTGCATTGTTGTCATAGATGATATCTTTCCTGCTGGGTCTTGAGGAAACAACTATTTTACTGGGCTTTTTATCTTCAGATAAAATTGTGTTCAACTTCTTCTTGTTTGGTGAAGTGGATCTCTTTAAAGAATTAGGAACCAGCTTTTTTGGAGTGACTGGGGGTGGAGTGCTTGGCAGCATAGTATCCTCATTCTCTGTTACCAGCTCAGTAGAATTGGGGAACTCATTATTCTCTTGTGAATGCTTATTCTCTTGTTTATCCTTCTTGGTTTTTTGAACGGCATTTTGTAATTTAGTTTCCAATCTTGATTTAGATTTCTGCGCAACAGAACCAGATTGGTTTGCTGTACTTTTAGTAGAATTTTCTCTGGTAACAGAATTACTTCCCGAGCTAGGCCTCGTTGAATTCGCTCTTCTAAGCTCCTTGAAAATCGTTTCTTTGTGTTCAAAAAGGTCATTTATGAAATTGAATTGATGCTTGTCGTTGATTACACTTCTCGAGTAATCCACTGTCGAAGAGTCTAACTTTGGCCTCAAAATTAAGTTTCCAAACTCCTTCGACAATTTGGTTCTGAATCCATGTGCCAAGCTAGAGTTCTTGCTTCCAATTATTTGCACTAATCTATTCAAGTGAGTAAGGATAGCATCAAGCGTTGCAAGGTTACATTTTGGTAAGTCTATCAAAACATTCTGTAATCCATTCACTCTTGCGTGTGTCTTTGAATCATCACTCACAGGATAGTTAGAGTATAAAGACTTGATTAGGTCATAGTAATTGTGTGGGAGAACTGAATCAGGAAGTTCCATGAAGTACAACTTCAACAAGTTAGTTATGACTATGGGGTGTGATTTCGATAAAGCATCATTAATAATATTAGGATCACTAATGTCATTTAATTGGAACCTTAATTTATGAACACTTGTTAAATGGATGGGTTGTGTCCACAAATTTATTCTTTCTTCGTCATTCTCAATATCAGGATAGACTTTGTCAAGATGAGACAAAATACACTGTATCAAAATGGGAACAACCTTCCGATCCAATCTTGCTTTAACGTTCAAATCGACACCAAAAGTTTGTTTAATGTTGGAGTTATAGTAGTTGTCATATAAGATGACATGAGGTTTAAATTTTCCTGTTGAATAATTTTCAATTAAAAACTTCAAATCATTAACTGGGTTAATCGTTTCCTCCAAAAGTAATAACTCATCACACATCAGCTTCATGGAAGCGATTTTATTCGAAAAACTTGATAAGAAATCAAAAGTTACCTTTTTAATTGCTTTCAATCTATCTAACTCGCATTTTTGCATGAAAGTTAAATGGTCCATGATAAGCTCCTCGAATTCACATCTAATTGCGTCGAGTTCAACAGTTTTCTTGAAATATTGAGTGTCCAACTGATTCACCTCGGCTATAAGCTTGGTAAGTTGTGTTTTGTCATTAAAGTCGACAGAGTTCACCCCAATTGCTTGCTTCATGTCCTCGAAATAGTCTTGAAATTGATTTGCAGCCCCAGTACCTAAGGATGGATTTCTACTCAAGTTATTCTCATCAGCATTACCATGCTCAAGATTAGTAAGTTTGGTGATCTCAAACACAACTGGCTTCCATTGGTAGTAAAACTGTGAGGAATTGATAAAACTCTTACCACCACTCATGGAACCGATCAAGCGAATGAAATTGTTGTTCAACAAGTCCTGGCCGAAAGCTTCTGCCTTAACAATATTTCTGTTAAACTCGGGCATGTTGTCTAGCAACCATTGCGTAATAGCACTACCAGTGGAGACATTGTGGTAAGTACCCAAAATGGGAACCTTGTGAGACACAAGCTCAATATTACTCAATATATCGTTAAGCAATGCTTTCAAAGATTTGTGGTCGTAAGTAGCACTTCCAATAGCATATGTGGAGCTATTTTCTTCGTCCAGTTCAGCTTCATCCTCTTCTTCTACCAGTTTTTTCCCATCGATCGATTCTGCAAATTCAATATCTTTCAACTCTTGAGTCAACTCGTCTTCAGTGTAATGTGACTTGAATTCTTCCAACATTCTGCATTTATTGAAGTATCTCTTCTGTAACTTTTCCAATGCCCATTTATTTCCTTTGAATTGTTTGTTCTTATCGTAAATAACAGATTCGGAGTAATCGACTCTTTGTCTATGCTCTTTACACCATTTCGTGAAAGGTTCCAACACCAAGAGCTTAATGTTCGATGCCACTTGTAAATGGTATTCACCTTGTTTACTGAAGTTTTCATTGATCTTTTGATAAGCGTTCTTGATGGAAGAAACATAGTCGTCATTTGCCTGGCGCTTAGAGCTGCTCTTGGTCACTGATTTCTCGATCGATTCCAATTGACTTCCATATATCAATTCCAGTTCCATACGTTTTGTGAAAAGCTGGATGAAATCGTCATTCTCATTAACACCTTGTTTAAGTTGCTCAAAGAGGGCTTTAAAGCCCAGTTCATAGTCTTGAGTCCAAAAGCTATCTGCAAATGACATACTTGACCTTCTAATATTGATTCAATTCCGATAATAAAACAAGCTAGATCGAATTAGTGGTTTTGGATCTGTATTTCTTTTTTGGGCTGAAAACAAACTGTCACCGCGTTTCGTTGACCTTGTTGTTCTATAAAAAGGCGACCCCGTCTAGGTCTGCATATAACTGTGTAAAATGCCTGATCAAGTTGCAGGTGAGAATGTACCCCACCAATTCACCTTTATACAGGACTACCTGTTCTAGAAATTGATGTAAGTACTTTACGATCTAAGGGCCTGCTTTGGGCTTGATTGATCCCACTCGTATTCAAGATGAAATGATGCTTTACAAGTCTTTCGTCATAGAACGTTCATTAAAATTCCTATTAAAGATCTAGAGGTCACTCTCTGTATTTGCGCAAATTATCCCAGCCCATGGAATTGGAATTGGGTAATTTGATTATTTCAAGTTTGTTCAAAATTTCAGGATTGCTGGTGTCTGGATATGTGCTAGTATACCGTATAACCCTCTTAATAGACGGTATAGGGGCCTGGTCTTGGTCTCTCAAATCAGCTGGCAACAGCTTGATAATTTCAGGATGAAACGTAGGGAGAGTAAACTTACCCTGAATGTCAAGTTGGGGAGTTTCTATTGGTGTTGGAGGTGGTTTGGCAACATGTAAATCAGCCTCGTCTTCCGATTGTTCGGAGTTTTCATCTTCTATTGCATTGTCTTCTTCTAATTCTTTGAGGAAATCATCTTCATTACTACCAAAAGGATCATTGAACGACGCCTCTAATTGTCGCCTTCTCCTTTTCTCTTCGATCTCCCTCTGTTTCTGTAAATTTCTCATCTGTACTCTCTCGTCACGCTGCTTCGCTCTTTCCGTTTTGGTTCTAAGCTTTTCTTGCCTATCAGATTCGCCTTTCTGCCATTCTTGATAGTTACGGATGTAAGCATCACGTGCTTCAATCTCGGCCCGTTCTTTTTGCGAAGCACCTAATTGTTCAAAGTCGGTCATTTTGTACTTATAGTAATTCTCCCAAGTGTCCTCAGATATTTCCCTATAAGAATTGACCAACAAATTGAATTGAGCATTACTATGCAACATCTCAAGATTAATGTAGTCTTCGGTGTACGTTCTTTGCTTAGCAAAGATTCTGTCGACCACTTTTTTACTAAATTTATCATGTACCAACCCCTTTAAATTCTGATTATACCTTACTTTTGGTGGTTTGAAAAGCTGCTTAGATACCTTATGAGAATTTCTAATGGGATCTGTTGTTGTTTGAATCCTGTTTATCCTATTCATCACAGATGCATCTTTGTAATTACCACTGCCAGGTCCCCTGTAACTCTTGGTATAATAATACTTAGTATAGTTATTGTTATCCGCTTCGTTGCTGAAAAGAAGCTTTTGAACACTTTTAGATGTTTTCAAATTTTCGTTGAATAGAAAGGAAGAGTTAGAAGTTTGGTTGATTCTCTTCATATTGAATCCTGACTTTGGCTGCAATGCAGCCTGCTGATTGTTGGTTGTAATATAATAACTCGGGACCTTGCATAAATGGTTAACATTGAACTCTTGAATATAACCCTGGCCTGGAATAACTGATTCTGTCAAATCGATCGAATTGAGGTCAAAGCTATTGGTGCTCTTCTTCTTTCCAATATTCTTGCGGCTATCCTTCCCATTAGCTCTCTTTGAATCTTCAAGCTGAATGTCAGAGAAGTCATTGTCTCTGTTGATAATTTCACGCTCCGCATATGTCAATTTATTGTTTGGAAGGAATCTATAGGCGTTGGGACTGGATTTATAGTAATTTAACTTCGCCAAACTATTCAAGGAATTGAAGAAAGAATGGCTCATCTCAATATGGGATTCAACTATTCCATAGTGAGGAAATACTTGACTGATTGTAATCTTATCTTCAGGAGTCTTGTGAGAGGATTTCTTCACTTCTTCAATGTTTATTTCATCGGATGATTTATTCGATCCCTCACCAACTTCTTTTGAATGAGCCGTACTTGATGATTCGTTAAAAACGTGTTCTTCATCAGCTCTAGCTGAACCACTTTGTAAGATCGCACCTTCAGTCTCACCTCCAAAAAACACTTCCTTGTTTTGCACTAGCGTGTAAATTACCGAGAGCTTGGTGTAAAAGAGCTTGAATTTAACCTCCTTCGAACTGATCAACTCATGGTTTAAAAGTAAAAGGTTAAGATCTTGGTCTGTACTTTTCAACAAATCATTTCTTTCAATCGCCGTGTTCTTTATCAATTTGTTGATAAGTTGGTAAGAAGAGGGATACCCCCAAATGTGTGCCAAATCCTTAAGCAAAACGTAATATTCATTGAAACCGTTCATTTTGAAGACTGGGAATCCAACGCTGCTGATTATCCATGAAACATCTTCTTCATTTGGCAAATTATCTTCTTTAATCAATTCTAAAGTAGTCCTGGCCACCCCATTTCTGGGAGGCTCCCGTGGCAGAATGGGAAAAGTTACTTCAATATGCATGTTCACAACTTTACTATTGAATCTACTCGCTTGATAAACAACAACCTACATTTCTGATGGTCGTGTGTGGAAATTGTTTTGTATGCAGGCACAAGGACAATAATATGAGTGGTATTAGTTAAGTATCTACCTGAGATCCTTGCAACTGTGCGGGTTTGGCCAGTATTGTTAACCGTTCTTTTATAAGGTTGAAAGTTTGCTTTTATAAATTTTGAATAATTTTTGTTAAAATCCTTCGACAATTAATGAGAGTAAACTGAGCCACTGTAAACTTGACACACATAAGCTATTGATCTTCTTGCGGCGAATGGGAAGTTTATCATGCTTCTAATCTACTGTTGTGTACCATCCAAAAATTGTTGACATGTCCCTTAATACGTACTATACTCATGCACTATATTCAAACACAAAAAATAGTCTCTAGGCAGGTTGATTGGCTTGATAAAAAAGGTTAGAAAGAATTGTAGCCATTCTATGGTCAATGATACGTTTGGTACTTCAGATGAGCTTCTCTAATACTTATTGTCCTTCCTATATTAATTATCCTAAGCAATAATAGTTAACTAAACTATCTACTTTGCTGAGAACTCTAAGTCTACCGTTAACGACGAAAATAGATTAAGTCCGTTTCGACAGGTACAAAGGAACAAATGGAGGCACACAAAGGATTGTGACTTGGTACACTTCAGAGGAGATATAGCTCTAGTGAGTGTAACACACTTGAATACTGGGGTACTAGAAAAGCAATAAATCTAGTGAGTTTAGGATTTATGAAAACTGCTTACAACCCATTCGCTAGACTGATTTGCAAGATGTAACTACGATTATGCTTTTATCAGTAAGGGTCTCACCACAGGAATATTACCTTGCATGTGCAGAAAATATGGCAGCTAGGATTAAATGTTCAGGAGGATATTCTACATACATAGAAGTATGCCAGGTCTCTGTTAGGGCCCTTCATTCTCCACATTTCGCATCCTCGAAATGTTGAGCGAGTACTTCCGAGGATCAAATGCTTTCAGCCATACAATGCAGGATGCTCCAAAAGTTTACCGAACACTCTAGCTACTACCCTAAGTGAGAAGTGGACGAATATATTAAGACTAATCTACTCAGTATTACGTGCTTTACTCATGTACTCTAGTACTCAGATACTGGTGATTAATGGGTAATCAGATACTGATCCACAATAGCAAGGCAACGGATGCTAGCGCTATTCGTTAGCATCCAAACCAAGTCGTCAAACCAGAGGAAGATATGAATAGGGGATATGATCTTTTATAGCCAATATTGTCTACTTGAAGCAATCCATTGTAGGTTAACGTATTGTAAGGATCCACATTTCCTGTAGGTAAATCCTTTCGGTCCCTCACTGAACTTTCTGGGGAACCGAGCTTCGCATGCACCCCACTTTCAGCTGAAATTGTACTATATATGCCACAGATTTCCAATCACAGGTGTAATCTGCAACAAAAATATATCAAAGTAAAAATGGGTTTGATTAAAGATGTTGGTGATACTCTCACCTATGAAGTAAGAGGACGTGTTGCTATCATCACCTTGAACCAGCCAGAAAAGCTCAATGCTTTAAATGGTGAACAATACTTGCAATTGGCAAAGTATGTCGAGCAAGCAGACCGTGAGGAAGGTACCATTTTGACTTTGATTCAAAGTACTGGTCGTTACTTCTCAGCTGGAGCCAACATTGCTGATAAGGGAATCAGCAACTCCGATTATGATATGGCTGACTTATTCTCCAGAGAATACTGGTTGGATAAGTTCGTGTCTAGAAACGTCTACCTTGCCGATTTGTTCCACAATCACACCAAGATCTTAGCTGCAGCTGTAAATGGTCCAGCTATTGGATTGAGTGCTGCATTGCTTGCTTTATGTGACTTAATTTATGTGAAAGAAGAAGCTAAGTTCTTCTTGTTGGCACCATTCGCCAACTTGGGATTGGTCGCTGAAGGTGCAGCCTCCGCCACTTTATTCTTGAGATTGGGATGGTCTAAGGCTTCAGAAGCGTTATTGTTGGCCAAGCCAATTTCAGGTCGTGACTTGAACAACTTGGGCTTCATCAACAAGACTTATGATGGCCAGTTCAAGACTACCGAGGAATTCAATACTCATGTCCATGATGAATTGGTCCAAGCTTTCTCCCACCTTCACGAGCAATCAATTCTTGAGAACAAACAGTTATTGAAAGCTAACAGAGATACGTTAATTAACAGTGCTACCACTAGGGAATTGGTCAAGGGTTTGAACAAATGGGTTGAAGGTGTTCCTCAACAGAGATTCTCCAGTTTACACCAGAAAGAAATCAAGCACAAGTTATAGGTAAGTGCTTCTTGGATTCTGGAATTTATTTAGGACTACTTAGAAAGATATGATATTCTTCAAGACGTTGTATGTATATGTAGGGTCTAAGTGTTTGAGGATACGCAACGTAATTGACTCGAAGGCAGGTTATCATTGTGGCACGCAGAGAGGGCAACTAACCCCGCGCGTAATCATAATCGATGAGAATCAAACATCGAGACAAACTTTAGATCACTTTGGAAGTAAGGGCATTGAGGACATGAGCTTCAATCTACCTAACCCCAGTCTTTTGGGTATTCTCCTTATCATATCCACTCATAGTGGCCCTCAATTGGTCTTCAACTATCCTACCAATTTATCAGGGGAAGCTAACGATGGACAAGTGACATCGGATGAGGAGGATGAGGATGAGGAGGGACATGATGCAGACCCCGAGCAAACACTTACACACAATCAAAACTTACCCAAAGTAAGTGAAGCATTATCTCCTAATCCATCATTGGCTCCCAAACTGAAGTCTACCGTGATAACAAAATTCAAATCTAGCGAGTGGGACTCACATCATTTGGACTTTTATATGGGAACCAAGAAGGACTTATTGCTGTTCTTGGACGAGCAAGAATTGACAAGAAAGAATTACCAGAGTGAAAAGAATTATACTACAGATGCTGATGAAGAGTCCACCTCAAAATCAACTTCAAAGAATAAATCGATATTTGGGGTTGAACCAACCTACTTATGTGAAATGCTTTCACCACCCAAGAATATGTGTAACTCAAGGTTTGAAATAATGGTGGACAACAAAATATTTTTAGGGTTACCGATTCATAAGTATGCCAATGGGAACTGGAGACTTCGGAAAGGAGATCGAGAGACCACAGTGAGAAGCAAGAAAGACTCATCATCTAGAGAGAAGCCTGAGAGAATAGATTCGGACTCTAACAATGAAGAACCCTTTAAATCATCCAATGGGATAGATCTGAAAGGAACAGGAAAGGCTGGTTCAACTAGCATCAACATGTTCCATTTGGTTTTTATTATGAATCCTCCGGTAATTGAAAGCACTTATAGAGTCGATGAAATGTTTCACTACGTTATCTCAAGACTTTCATTAGTCTTGAGATATGAACAGCTGAAGTATGATTACATCTCACTGCAAGTGAAACTGATCATCAACCTCAAAGAACAATATACTGAAGAGTATGGCCTCACCCAGCATCTTATCAGCAAATCTTCTTTGTGCAAATTAATATGCGACTGCTACAATTCAATTTCACAATCCAAGATAGCGAATCTCTCAGTTAATAACAAACTAAGATCTTTCCAGATTCCTATCAAAACAGAATTTCATTCCTTGCCAGAAGTTTCAGTCCCATTCATACCAGGTTCTCATTTATCTTCCACAGTAAATTTACTTGAGAACTCTGGTCTAATCAGTGTAGGTGAAACTACAAGATACAGCCAGTCAAGTCAAATCGATCCAAGCTATCTTTCAACTTTGGATCAAGAAGATGGAACAAATTCATCAGATGATGTTATTTTCTTTGCCTTGCTACTCTTAGATGATCCGGAATCAATAATTAGAGATATCAAAACTGAGCAAGATAGCACGTTAGCGAGGTTCATCAGAATGATAAAGCCTACAGAGTCACTCTTAAAACTAACTTTGAGGAATACCAGTTTAGACAGAATGCAAATAAAATCTTTTGCATTCCACTTGATTTACTGGAGGAGAGCAAGGGTAATACAGCCCTTGAGTACAAGATCCACATATATCATCTCACCAATGTCACCAATAACTATCAACTTGTTTAACGACATCAAGAGATTCAAGAAGGCACACCCAGCAATACCATCGTTACCCAACTTTCTTAAGTTGTTATCCCCCAAGTCCAGGAAACCACAACAGTTTGCATCCGTGATACCATCAAAGGATCATAGGGACATCTATTTGGAGGCCTTGGGTTGGCTTATCAGATATGGTTATGTAACACAATTGCAAACCTTCATTTGGTTGAAAATCTCTAGAAATGTGAAAATTAAGGTTGATGAAGACCTTGAGAACGAAAATGCAACTAAAAAAAGGTCTAGTGTATCGAAAAAGGCCGCTGTTGGTGGAACAGATAACACCTCGAAAGATGTTAAGAGACCAATACTACCACCTCAAGATCACGAAGTTGCGAAGAAAAATGTTGACGATGAAATTGATAAGATGAAGGAAATTCTTAAAGCAGTTAATTCAGGCCACAATGTGAGTGTAGAGGAAGATGATGATACGATTATACTCGATCCTGGGAGGGCTACAGCTTTGGAACGCAGATGGATCAACAAAATAATCTTTGAGGAATGCAAATTGTCAAGTGAGTTAATTGCTATATTCTACAAATTGCTCAAATATATGAATGGAAAAAGTCCCTTGGAGCTTTTATTATTGAAGGAAAATGTATCCAGAGGTGACTTGAGGAAGTTGTTATTTGCTATCGAAGATCATATCATTTCGGTAAGACATTGGTAAAGAGCATTATTCGCTCTTCAACACGTTATCTTCTCGTGGGATATTTAATGGTTGAGATTATTGTGAAGTAACGAACTTGGATAAAAATTCATTTAGTGTAGCTATTTACTTTGAATATGCTAGAACCTGAACTATTTCAACTGAAAACGTCTTCCATATTAGCTTCTTCTTCATTTCGCTCAATCTCGTTGAATGAAGTAAAGTGAATTGGGCGATGTAATTCGTGATAAAAGCTTAGTGGAATATCAAGTTTTACATCGTATTCATCATTGGCGTTCCAAACAGAGCCAATGAAGAAATAATTCCAAATATTGTCATCTGGAACCAAGAAGTTTCCGGAAATTCTATCGGACAACAACAACTGGTTCTTAGTCGCGAACAGCATGCTGTATCCCTTTGGTGTAGTTGAAATTAGATCTTCGTTACTCAAACCCCAATTAAATCCATCTTCACGGAGTGTGAAGGCTGCCAATGAAACCGAACCAGGGGTAAAAGAAACAGTAAGAGTTATGAAATTTGGCCTGTATTCCTGCAAGAGCTTGGATTGAACTGTAATATCAGTTGGGTATAAGTATTGTGAGTCTTGCGATTGGGTGTGTATTATCCCCAAAAGCTCAAGGCCCTCTAGGGCACCGCTTGATTCAGGTAATGATTTTGGAAATTGGACGAAGTTTGTACCGCCAAGTTGAGGAACCAATACAATTGACACGATTTCCTTGATTTCTGAATTATCTTCTGGTGATTTCCCGTACAAGTAAGCACCAGTTTGAATCCGGAGGTCAGAAATTTGGACAAACTTTTTCAACAAGTTTTTGGGCATGACATAAGTCAAAGAGCTTTCAACATCATTATCATCATTAGAATTCACATAAATGTTTTTTGTTCTTAAATGCAAATTACTAGAAGCAATAGCACGATTCCTCCACTCATTCTTGGACGAAAATGTCAGCTGTTCATAGTTGGTACTTGTAACGGTCACGATTTCTTCCCCATGAACATTGGTGGTTGTAGTCTTCAATGCAGTTAACTCCTTGTTTGCTGTCTGCTCATCATCATTATTTTCGATGGAAGCAGTTTCTTGACGTTTGGCAGAAGGAGCACGTATGTCTTGTCCCAATATCAAGTCTCTTATTTCAGATTGAGTTAAAGACTGGATATTCACATTGAATTTTTTAGCATAGTCGCTCAAAATCAAATCTCTTAATTGAGATTCGACATCAATCCACTGTTCGTCTGAAAATGAGGGCCAGATATGATGATCTTGTGTAACAATACTTGAATCAGGATTAAGAATTAAGTTTGTACGGTCTTGACTTATACCCATCGCCCTTAATAGTAAAATAATTCTTGAAAAAGCAGTGTAAGGAGAAATGCTTTTCAACCAATCATCATAGATATTAAATAAAACCATTTGAGGCTCATTTGCTTTCAATACTACATTTGCCAACTTTTCCACTTTCAATGCTGATGCAAAAGGGAGATGTAACTCAGAAGACCTAATGGAAATATTCGGAAAGTCAAGCATGTGAACTTCCAATGGGTCTAGAATACCCTTTCTAGTAGCAATCAACTGTTTGGGTTGTTCTTCTCTTGGTAATGAACGAATTAATGCGGACACTTCTTCTGCTGTCTTCCATTTTGCTAATTGACCTAATCTCTTCTGGCCCGCCCAAACAGAAGTATGAATAATTTTCAAGAATAGCTGACCAGACTTGGGGTTTAGCATGAAGACCGCACCATTGATTGGTTTTGTGGTCATATTTCCCTCAAATGTCTTATGTACAGTTACTCTGTACACATTCGTATCATCAATAAACAATTGGTTGTCACTGTTGAACAATTCAGCGTAATTATTTGAATTTAATAATGCTTCTTGAGGTTGCGATTGATACAATTGTAAAGCCTTTCTGAGTCTTTCTCGCAAAACGTAAATAGCTGGATTTGCTTTCATAATTTCTTTCATAGCATTTTGCACTAATGGCTTCAAGCCTGGGAACCAGTTACCATAAACCTCGTACATGTTGTAGGCCAAATCAATCGCAATAATTATTCCTGTAGGTGAAGGGTAAGAACTTGAGTTGTCCGTGGTGTAATCAAGGAATTTTGATCTGGCATACCTTGAAATGTCATGGGAATCGTAATCACCATATCTGAGCTGTACATCAATCCAGAACTTATTTGTATTGATATCCATTGTATCGTTCTTATCAAATAAGAGAGAGGGACGTGATACTTTCCACTTGTAAGTGCTGGTCAATACAATATCTGCAGTTGAAGAATTCATCTTGTACGATTTTCTTGGATGAATTGCTTGCTTCTCAACACTATCAATTTGAAGAACTTCCAATTCTTTGTCTAGAACTTGACAAATGTCTTGAACAACACTTTCATGGATTTTTTGCCATAAATGGGCTCTGAAGATTTGGATTAACGAAATTTTTAATGTAGGAATCTTACCGTGCAAAAAAATACCAGTCAAATCCAATTGAACCAAAAAACCAACATAAACATTTGCTCTGTTTATTGTTGGAGACCACCACAAAGTGAATCTTCTATTCGGGATTTGACTCAAACCAGATCTTTGAGCATTGGTCAACTTTTTGAATTTCAAGGAATCTTCAAATCCAGATGCCTTTTCCCAGAACAACCCTTCCCAGGAATCGAATCCTGTTCCCTTGAATAATGTATGCTCCAAAATGGTTTCAATACCACCCAATGCTTGGATAACATCTGTTCTATATGCATTAAGATTCCAAAGCTTGCCATCATGATGACTACTAGTCCACCAGAACGGATTGAATCTTGGTAAACTGAACTTCTTGAACTCTCTACGAATTCTATGACCCTTGTCATATGCCAATGTGTGCCTATCCTTTTGGAATAAAGTACTTATTCTAGGCAAACCTCTATCCCAATTATTTTCCATATCCTCAAATGTCAACCTTCTATTTTGTTCCACTGCTTGTTGTCTCTTTATGGCATATTCGGCCCAAACTCTTTGTGAATCCAAGAACTCATTTTCCCAAGAAGTGATGTATCTAAAAATAGTTGGAATCATCTTCTCTTCTTGATGGCTCATACCTGCCCTGAAATGAGCAATACCAGTGTCTGTTTGTTTCGACCATCTCAAATCAGAGGCGGGGATAAGTATATGCGAAGCACTAAGCATTCCCAAACCTCCCAATTCCTTGGGTGTATAGAAAACTGCTGGTGGGAATCTTGTAGGCATTTTCGAGTTTAAACCCATCTTGACCCTATTCTGAATTTTTGTTTCGCATTTCACTAATGAGTCTAGCAAAGGTTCAGTTGCGACTATTGCTTCCCTGAAATAAGTAAACAATGATATCAAAGCAGTATTCCACTTTGATGCAACTTTGGTGAACGTTGTTGAACCCGAAGACATTAAAATCTGTCTGATACGATTATTGAATTTATCAATTTCCTCCTGAGAAACCTTCAAGAATGCCTTGGCTGTTCTCTCTTTAGTAGTTTGATCAATAAGATCCCAAACTCCTTCCTGCGAGGATGAATCTTCCTTTGATCTGCACTTCGGCAAGATTCTTACTTCGAATCCACACATAGAGAATAACAAGTTAGGATTGTCGTTGGAATACACGGACGCATACGTATTTTCCCATTCAATTGAAGTAATTGCGTTTGGCAATCTTCCCGAAAGCTCCCAGAATGCCGCCCTACCAAGATTGACATCATGTCTCATCAACCTCATTCTTGAATCCTTTGGCCAACATCTATGATTATTGTAACCCACAACATTCTCATAATTTGGATCCGGATCTTCGTTGAGATAGTCTTGAATGAGCGAATTCGCTTCATCGTTTGAGAATCTGAAGAAGATGTGAATTCTATCCATATAACGTGAATACAACCGAATAGGATTAGAAGTTTCTGTCTGTATGTCTTTGAATTGAAGAAATGTGTTAGGTTGATGAGGTGGACCTGCTAGTTCACTTGCCCTATCCAAACCCAAGAGTAATAAATCAACAACTAATCCATAGTATTGGTAGATAAATGAAGCAAATTGCAATCCTCTGATAAGACCAAACTGATTAACATGATTCATATCTTTATATGTCAAATTAACATTATTCTTGGATGTAATATAATCGGCAATATTGGGGTCTATTACAAGTCTCAACAATCTATTCAAAAGGGTGAAATCGATTTTCTCAGTCAACTTTTCAAAGGTAGTTTCGATCATCACATTGCATTCTCCATTTGTAGTGTTCCAAACGTCTGATAAGTTATTAATTCCTTGGCACCACTTATAGACCAATAATGGAGGAATTTCATCGTCACTGGGTTTGATCCAATTTGGAAATAGTTTTCTCTTGTCAGCTTCATACCACAAGTATTGATCAAGATAAGCATCTGTAATTTTTTCCAATGGATCAATGCTAAATGTAGGTACTAAATGATCATAATAGTCCATCATTTCTAATCCCACTTCTTTGAAAATTCGCTGAGTCAATAAGAACTTCTTGATTCGCGAAAGACACTCATTAGGATTATCATATGCTTGTTCAATCAATGCTAACTCCTCTCTTTGAGAAGAATTCAAACGAACATTAGCATTATAGCTCTCTTTCAAACTTTCCAACGCTAATACTAGCAATTTAGTATCATGTTTGTAAGATAACGGTGGAAAGGGGATAGGGCTAAATTGTCTGCTTTCAAGCCAATTAACCATGGTTTGGAATATCGTGATTGCTTCGTTAGGAGAGACATTTGGACCATCTTTCACAAAATTAAGCTGCCTCTCTTGTTCGTTCTTAATCCACAATCTTGTTAACCTACCCAAGTTCTTCTTGGCAACAGTCTTCTCAACTGTAGTTCCTTTCATTATTCTATCTCTGTTGTAATGTGCAACTGAAATCCACCCGTCAGCTTTTGCTTGAATATACCTCTTTATGATCTTTTCTACTGGCTCAGGTAAACCAGGAACATGCCATTGAATATTGGCCTTCCAGCATCTCCATGCTTCACTCAAATGCTGTAAAATGATTTTTGACTTATTTTGTTTTAAACCATCAGGAATCATATCAAGAATGTCATGAATGACTTGTGCCCTAAGCTCCAAGTCATAATAGGAATCAACTCTTTGCTTAGTGATGGTTTTAGCAACGTCATTACTTCTTCTTCCTTCGAATTGTCTTGCAAGTAAGTTGCTGAGCCATCTTTCAAGTAGGGGAACAATACCTCTCATGAAAAACAACCACACTCTCCAAGCAGGTTGCCAAAATCCACATCCGGGACCCTTTCCAATAACCTTATTGAACCGTGCATATACCACATGTTTTAAGTCTTTACATGCCCTGATTTGGTGCATGACTTTATACTTGTACCGGTAAATTCCAGTTAATTGCCCAAGATGGTTCAAGATGTAATAAATTCCATCTGCTAGTTGAAAAGCATCAACATTGCCCAATCTGAACTGGACATGTGAGTCTACCAAAATCTTGATAACTCTCAAGATTTCTCTCGTTAAATGAAAGGCATTACCAAACCTTGACTTTTTACGCTCTTTGGTTGTGAGTGTCTTTGTGGGTTTGAGATTGAAGTTGTAATCCAAGTGCAAATAAGTCAACCCTTTCCGATGAATTAACAAATTCAACATATTGAAACCTTGACGACAAACTTGTAGTCCTGCTTCTACCCAATCGATAGTAGTTTGTTGAAAATATTTGGTGGACTTTAGGGTTTGTAATAATTTCACTCTTTTGTGATTTTTAGATGCTTTCGAATGACCAGGAGGATTATGGAGTTCATTTAAAACGTAGCCTTTGAGGAGTTTTTGATATGATATCCGAACTTTAATGGGACTATCCTTTGGAGGACGTTGTTTGTACCATTTCTTTATAAATGCTGTATCTTGGGCCCGGATCATTTTTCCACTTCTTCTATTAAAAGGATAAGGTGCCCACCACAATGACAAAGCCTCCCTAGTTCCTGCTGGCTCCAAGGAAAAGTCTGCCACTGAATCATCCAGATACTCATCTTTATCTTCAGACATGAATGGCTTAATACCTAATACAAGATCCTCATTTTCATCGTCCATTTTTATAGGATGCTTGTGGGGTGAAATGGGATTGTATTCGGATTTGAAATGAAAAGCCGCGATTTCTGAGCTGAAGCTGTCAACAAAATTATTTATTGGGTCGTGGTACCAGCTTGCAGATACCAGCTTGACAAATGAGTTGTAAAGAAAAGGAAATGCAACCGAGTATTCTGTTCTTATAGGCGACCTTATTATAATTCTATCGATTGAATTGAATTCGGTAAAATCTTCTAACTCAGGGTTATTAATTTTATCTTTGAAAAGTGGTTCAAACTTTGGACCTCCAGGAAGAGCAACATTCAAGCTCTTTGCCGTGAAAAATGAATTCTTATCGAACAAATGTGGCACATTTCCAGTGTTCTCGTTTGGCAAGATTGACTTGGCATATTTATACAAGCTGGCCATCTGCAAAATATCCAAAGTCCAGGTTCTGTATGATTCTCCATTGACTAAGACTTCGTCATCAATGAGAGGTTTTTCATCATAGAGCCATTCTTGAATAGCAGAATCTTTGGAATTGTCTAATTCTAATTGGATTGCATCTAAAGGCTCAACATCCTCCAAATTTTCAAGCCAATCAAGGGGTGGCTCTTCATCATCGAAAGGAGGAAAGATCATTCTTTTAAAGTGCTTTCTGTCCCTTTTCTCTCTTCTCATCAGAATCCATGCAGTTGCCCATTGGGCGGTATATATAGGTTCAATAACTCTCGGTATTTCATTGACAAATGTTATAGCACCACTAACATGATACAATACTTTGACTTCTTTTGTTTGCTCCCATGGCTGGGGCATGTTTTCTAAAAGTTTCAATATGGCATGGGGCATGTACTTCAATGAACCTAGATGTGACCTTTTATCCGATGCAATGTTTTTGGAGGAAAGATCACCATGGTCTATTATGATTTTTCTCAAATGTTCCGGCGGCATATCTGGTTTCACTGGAATAACCATACCTTTCTTCTTCGACTTTATCGTGTTGAAACGATTCTTTTGCAATTGGAGCCATTTTCGTTTCCTGGAATCCAATATTTCAGATGAAATTGATTTGCTAGATGAATTCTCATTTAAGGATGAAGAGCTTGCGGGAGGAGGAGGGGGAGGCGGTGGTGGTGGTTGGAGTGGAAGTGCAGAGGATCGAGATAATGATGGAGGCGGTGGAGGAGGGGGGGCTGTACGTCTTCCATTTGTTTGGGGCCTCGACAATCCGGGAGGAGGTGGAGGTGGTGGTAACTGGCGTCCCATTGTGGATCCCTTACTCTGTATCTATTTAGCTGCTGTATATTATGCGGTACATCTCATCAGCGGTTTTTCAGATATCAAGCAATGTCGCGTACGACATTCGATGGAGTAGATCCATCCCATACCTTGAATATACTACAATACAACTTTGGTTGGGTATGGCACCACATTATCGTTCGAGTATGCTACTAGCGAAGGGCACATTGCCATCGTGTTTGTTTCGTTATTCCTTTTAGAAAATTCTGGCAATCTCCTAAGTTTCAGTCACACGACTTGGTCCTTAGTATTTCGTCCTTGCATGTGTCTGATATCCTTGTAGCTCAAACCCTCTATCATTGAGACACTGTAGTTAGTTCCTGTTGTCCTGGAGTTTAATTAAAAGGCTCCGGAGTTGGTGACTGTGAGTCTCAGGAAAAAGTCAGGAGCACGAGTCAGTAGTTCTCAAAATCGTGGGGAATTCTGTTGGGACACACAGATCATTGTATTGGAATAAGATGGCTAACACTACAAATGCCACCAACGCATGGAATGCCACGATGCAAGGCACCTATGCAGAAGATGCATGGTTTCCTCTACGATTGTTAACTGCTCTAACGGAGGCCATTTGGGAGGAATCAGAAAGTAGTTCTTATTCGATCGATAGACTCGGTGGCATATTCACTTATTGCTGCTCACTATACGGTGTTACGTGTATGGCGATGTCCGTTATTTTGAATCGTACCTTGGTCATGGCATCATCAAACTCCTCCAGAAACCAGCAACTTGCTATGAACAGAAACAGAGGCTTGATGAATTCTCCTGAGCTGGCCGAAGCTATGAAGCGATTGAGCATAATCAGTTTCCGGATTGGTGTCATTGCTATCTTGTTGTACAATGGCTACAATATATTGACTGCTTTGAACTTGCACGGCCATGTGGGAATCAGTGGACCATCGGTCCCATTTCTATACAAGTTGTTACCAGACAGCTTGTTTGCATATGACGCAGAATACTTCAGTTCAACGAACTACATGAAATCCCCTAGTGGCCAAGTTATGGTGGGTCCTACGACTGATATGTACTGGCCGATATTTTTGAGCTTCTGCTTGCTGCTGTTCACTGAGACTTTTGTCTCGGTAGTACAAGGAAAGAGACCATATACTGAAAGTGGAATCACTATTTTTGAGCACTCGTTAGTGTTTCAAGAATTCAGCTCAGCGGGTGCTGCTTTATTTGGAAGAAGCAAATACTACAGGAGACCAAATGAACAGGTATTGGTCCTCGCTTTGTTTCTGGTCCTCACGCATTTGAATATTCATATCGGGGGCCTTATTGATGATAATAAGCACAGACTCATACCACTGACAATTCTTGGAGTTAGTTTCTTATCCTATTATATCTGCTCTATCTTTAAAGCAAAGATATTTGGGTTTCCAGCCATGTTGAACATAATTCTCATGCCACAGGTTTTAGTGGTTTTCGTTATATGTGTGAGTGCATTGATTTTCGTGATCGCCATCGTTGCTCATGGTTTTAGAATTCAAGAGTTGAATCTTGCCAGCTTTTTCAAAGAAACTGATGAAGAAGACACCAATATCTTTCAAGACCGCTTGCAGGATGATTTCTACACCGTGTTGCTTGATTTTGGTATGGTAGCTATCACACTGGCAGGAGCATCGAGCTACATTACCGAGCTTAGTCTTGTTGCAGTGGATGATAGAACCTGGCTCGAGCGTGGTAATTATAAAGAAGCCCGTGAAGCCTTACAAATATCAGAACAATCGAACCAATTTAATCTGGACAAAGATACGGCAAAGGGATACAGTAATATGATATCACAACCATCTAAGAGTTTAGTAAGTGGTAGTGAGGTGGATGAAAGCGGAATAAAAGAGTCTGTCAGTGTTTTCAAAAAGAGAAATCGTCAGTTGAGTGCAATCATCCTCAGCCTAGTCCAACTTCTTTACGGTGTCACGAAATCAGTCTTGATTAAAGGTTTTCCTAATTTCATTAGAAAGTTCATCTTAAGAGCACAGGTGGAAGAGGTTATCGTGAATGATGATGAAACCGAAGCAGAGTTTGAAGCTAGGAAATCTAGAGTTCCTGAGTTTTTGAGGAAGCATATGGTCAGAAGAACAAAGGCACAAATAGATTTGGACAAACAGAAGCTTGTCGAAATTGATGAATTCTCAGAAGAAAGCATTGCAGACAATTATCTCAACCTTTTAAATGGCATGGCCATCTCGGAAATAGACAACTCCGAAAACTATCTTGGCATGGAAAGTGATTTGGATTCGGATTATTCCGAATCTGAGAGTGTCACTGAGATTGTCAGAACATCTGAAAGAATTCCTACCACCATCGGGCTGTCGGAAGTAGGAGCTTTCAGCGAATTGATAACTGCAGATGATTTGACTGACATGATTACTACAGACACAGATGTATTGAGAAGCCACATGAAGCATGATTACTCCAAGGGGATGTTGACTAGATCCAAGTTCGCTGAGCTAGTAAGTGTCAGACAATCGCATCAAACAGATATGGACGAGACCCACAAACTCTTGGAAGTAATCGCTTCTACTCGCCACTCGGCTCCAAAACCCGACAATGATTCCGAACTGCTGATGAGGCTCGACTGTGTTATATGTCAGGTTAACATGAGAGAAATCATTACTTGGCCCTGCAAATGTTTCGCTATCTGTGAACCTTGCCGGTTGAGGTTGGCTGCGAAGGGTATTGAGGGATGTGTATGCTGTCGTAGAGACGTCCAGGGGGTCTCCAAGGTGTTTATACCATAATTGTACATAAGAATCCTCCTACAAGTATCTTTCTACAACGCGTGCAGAGATGACCTGCATTCTTGGTTTAGTAATCTAAAATGAGATAATACAAAAATGTAGGCCAGGTTCACCCCCGGAAGCTTGTTATGAAATTTACTTCCTCTAAATGACCAGGTTTGGCCAGTAGCTCTATCTTCCGAGTGTTCATTTTTATGTCCGATCAGTACCGGAGTGTGCAATCCACCGCACCGAGGTGCTACTTATGGCACGCCTATAATTAGAACTTCGTAATTTCGTTGCGGCGCTGTTTCCAGGCTCAGTGCCTAGAAGCCTGTAAAGAGGCCAGATCTCTGATGCCTCTCCTGTGGGACAGGTGAAACACCACCAAACCACTCCACTCCAACATTGTCTTGAAATGTCTTCTACACCAGCATGTCGCGCTTCCGAACAAGGGGAAAACGACAACTGTCGCATCCAAAAAAAATACCCTGACACAGGCCCTGAAAACATACCCCTATTGCGACAATAGCCGAGCCAATTTCGGATGTGGGAAGTAGACGTATTGCCGGCACAATCCCGATAGGCATGACTAGTCAGGCTTTACGTCCGTCTTCAAGTTGCACTTGGACCTCGTAGTAGCTGCCTCCGCTAAAACGAGGCTTCGACGACGCGTAGAAAAAATAACTGTTAAATGGCAAATTCGTTGTTCAACTTTAAATAATCTTTGTTTTTCGTGAACTACACTTCAGGGCAACTTCATACTCAGTATATATATACATATACAGATCCCTTGATTGACTAGTTAACGATTCACTATACCTCGTTGTGGAGCTGGATTGTGCTATTTATATCACACGACTAATCGTACTCAGTCGAAGCAGGACAACCTAGATCGAGCACCTCACCAAGTACCGACTACTTTCCTTAACCACAGGCATCCTACCGTTCAGTCCAAAGCACCACATCGGACACCATCCACAGTTTACGTCTGAAAAGTTCACCCACAGCTATCAGTTTCAAATGTCATCGCAAGCTGCTTTCAGAAACGGTGGACCCGTCCCACCCGTCTGGGACTTGGTCACAGCCTCTTTGGCAGACACCTTCGTACGGTACTTGAACCACTTGGAAAAGATTCCAGGTGGACAAATCATCTTGAGATACATCAAGTCTTCATATAAGAATGATCCCATCAGATCGTTGTTCGAGTTAGCATTGTTCATCTTCGCTTGTCACTACTTTCTTTCCTCCAAGAAGAAGGAAAATAAAGCGGACATCGTGAGATTCTCTCCCAAGGAGATTGACGAATTATGTAAGGAATGGGAACCGGAACCTTTGGTTGAGGCCATTCAACCATTAGAAAAATGGCAACTAAAGTCTGTCCCAGAAATTGTGGGACACAACGGTGCTTATGTCAACTTGGAGGGCCACAATGGTAAGGTCACTAACTTGGCCACATTGGACTTTTTGAATTTGAACCACAACGAGAACATCAAGAACGCAGCAAAAGCTACCATCTCCACCACTGGTGTTGGTGCTTGTGGACCTCCAAACTTTTATGGTACACAAGATGTACACGTTAGATTGGAAGAAGACATTGCCAGATACTTAGATGGTGAAAAGGCTATTTTGTACGGTCAAGATTTTGTTACCGCCGGTTCTGTGATTCCTGCTTTCTTGAAAAGAGGTGACTTGTGTGTAGTTGACAGTGGTGTGAACTTGGCTATCCAGAAAGCGTTGATTGTTAGTCGTTGTGATATTGAATGGTACATTCACAACGATATGGAGGATCTTGAAAAGGTTTTGAAAGAACTCAAGCCTGATTTGGATAAGCAAAAGCCTATCAAGAGAAGATTCATCATCACGGAAGGTTTGTTTTCTAACACTGGAGATATCGCTAACTTGCCTAAAATTGTTGAATTGAAGAATAAGTTCAAGTACCGTTTGTTTTTGGATGAATCTTTATCCATTGGAATCTTAGGCAAGACCGGAAAAGGTATTGTGGAACATTACAATATTCCAAGAACTGAAATTTCTATTACCATTGGTTCTATGGCCACATCTTTCGCGGCATCTGGAGGTTTCTGTGTTGGTGTGAATCCAATGGTCCACCATCAAAGAATTCAATCCCTTGCTTACGTTTTCAGTGCTTCCTTACCACCATATTCTGCCAGAGTTGCTTCTCAGGCTATCAAAGAAATTAGTATTCTTAACTCAGAAGGAAATTCAGAAGTGATCAGTCAATTAAAGGCCAAGACTCAATTCTTATACGAGAAATTGACCAAGGTATTTGCTAATAGTGCTTACATCTCCATTATCTCAGATTCGAGTTCACCAACCATTCATTTAAGCTTGAATCCAAGCTTTCGGTCAAAGTTGAATTTCCCTCTTCAATACGGTAACACGCACTTTTTGAATACTGGTAAGATGGCAAAGAAGGTCAACCCTTTCGACCAATACCATAATCTTGAATCATACATCTTACAAAGCATTATCGATGAGGTTTTGGCCAGATCAAATATTTTAATTACCAGATCTAAAATACTTTTGGAACACGAAAATTTACCTGTTTCGAACCCACATTTGTTGATAAATGTGAACATTGGTGTTTCCATGGAAGATTTTGCCAGATTAGCCAACGCATTGAATGAGGTAGTTAACTCTGTTTGCTCATCATTACAATCTGAGGCTGATTTGATTAGATTAAATGAGACCCTTGCCCAATGATCGTGCAGGTTTATTTATTATTGAAAACATTCGAAATTAAATCGAGCTTATGCTTTATGATTCATTTTTTTTACTGAAATACAATCATCTATTCCGTTAGTCTAACTCATAATATGTCGTTAAAGAATTGTTCTATAGACACTAATAATAGTACTAATATATACAAACTAATTATCATACACATCTATAACGAACAGAGTAGATGTAATTGGACCTCTACTTCGACATTCTATTCCTAGCATCCCTGGCGATAGATCGTGCTTCCTCGATATCGTGTGCATTATTATGGTTCAAATCTTTAGCGAGTTCATAAGCCTCCTCAAATCTATTATTATCCAAAGCATTTCTAGCTAACCAGAGCCTTGCCTTCGAAGTAGCATCACTTATACCCCACTCGTACTCCTGGTCGGAACAGAGCTTCATATACTTATATGTATCCCCTGTCCTTCCTAACTTCTCCGAGATCGTTGCTAAACGATAACAAATGTGTGGTTCCGTGCTGAATACGCCATCATTGTCTTCATTGTTATAACTATCAATAGTCAACGCTTTCTCGAAAGATTTAATTGCTTCTTCAAACTTATCGATCTTTTCATAGCAATTTCCAATTGCCTGCCACATTCTTTTATCCAAAGGTTGCAAATTGGTTGCACGTTGGTAGTAATAGAGAGCATACAAGTGCATATCCAAAACCTCATATGCTTGTCCCAAACCATACCAAGCTCGGAAGTCTTTTGGGTTAGTGTCAACTGCCCTTCTATAAGATTCAATGGCAGCATGTGAATTTTTCAATTCAACGAATTCATGTCCCATTAAGGTCCAAGCACTTAAACAATTCTTGTTCAATGTGAGAGCCCTTTTGTAGTACATGATAGCTTTACCGTGTTCACATTTCATTGAGTGGTAGTTTGCAATAATACAGCAAGTTTCTGGCCTGAACTTGTCTATGGTTGAAGCAAACTGTGCTAAAAATGAAAGTTTGGACCTCTTCTCCATGACATACAACATGTTTGAATATGTATCTAAGTCATCCAATCTGAGTGGATCGTCCACAAGTATCTTATCAAAGATGCTTTCGGCTTGAAAATAGTCAAGATTGTGGTATGCAATTAAAAACTGCTGAACTTTCAAGAAATTAAACTTTGGAAATATGGAGATAAGCGATCCAAGACTATCAGACAAGGGTATCAGCAGTTGATAAAATTCCTGAAGTATTACAACCTCAAAAAATTGAAACATGACGTTTCCAGAAAGTGAACTTTTCGATGACTTAATTTTATTCATAAACTCAAGAGCATCATCAAGCAGATTGAGGGATGCTATCAATTCTTGCCAGCATGACCAATTATATGGGAACAATTTTAGCGAACTGAATAGGCAATTTTGCGCCAAGGTGTACTTCTTCTTCTTGTTGTAAATAACTCCACTTAAATAGCTTAAAAATGCATTCTCTTGACCAGAAGTATGGAACGCATCAATTTCTTGTAATATTTTTGACAATCTTGTATTTAGACCACTGACCACTTCCTTATCATTGGTTTCTCCGTCCGGCTCAATGATCTCATTGAATGTTCCTATGTTGATGGATCCATCTGTCTCTTCTGTTGCCTTCTTATCAACCAGAATCAAGATCGAGTAAAGTCTTAAGAACAACGCGTTTCCACTTTGACAGCCCTTCAAAACATGAGCCGCTCGGTCAAATTCTTTGCAATTCATATAGGTCTTTGCAAGCAAAACCCTTGGGCGATCTGCTAGCTCCTGAGGGCTCTGCGTGGGAACATCAATTGGGATGTCTATTGGTGAATCGGGTTCTTGGAGGCCATTCAATGCTTCTGCACACCATTTGGCTGCCTGGAAAAGGTGTAATTCTGAGAGCAAAGTACTAGCATAAAATAAATCCCCCCGTAGTTTCTCATTTCTGGTCTCTCCCATCCTGTTTTTTATGTAACTAGCCGTGTTTGGGTCCTTTGCAACAAACTTGTTGATGTGAATCTTGTCACGTGCCTAATTCTCACCCACCAGAGTTCAGTACGATGATGAGACAACAACTAGGGAACCGGTCTATCACATAAAGATAAGTTCTACTCGAATAAGAAGGCACGTCGGGTGAAGTGCTAGTAATAGAAGATCGGACCGTTTCTTTTTATATTTGGAATCCAATATAATAGCCGATAGAACATGACTAGTCTTGCTGAGAATGGAACATCTGGAGACATCGACATGATAAGCCCAGAACTCGAAGCAAAGATAATGGAGTTCGAAGCTATTGCTCAAGAGACCATGGATACCATTGGATCAGCCTATAGTATGGTAGACTTCAATCAAAAGGTGATAAACGGAGATGCAATCGAATCTACAGGAGTACAAGCATTGAAAAGACTGTTCATTCTAGACTCGTTCAAGATAGACAGGTTTCAGAAATCTCTTCGTGAATGGGAGTCCATACAATCGGAAAACTTTGTACGAACAGAAATCGATACATACAACAAGATTACAGGACAAATGTCAAGAGTCAATGGTCATGTGGAACAGTTAACAACAGAACTCGAAACTCTAAAAAGATCGGCTGAACTTCCAGCATTCAGATTCTCAAGACAGACTTTGCAAGAATACGGGGGAAACATATTGGACAGGATTCCAAAAGATGAAACTGGTGACTATCAATCGGTGATCGAAATCGATCAAATATATTCGTTGGATCCTCAATCTAATCTTCCGTTTCCAGAATTTAAAGAGGTTAACAAATTGATCAATATAGAGTACCGTTTGAGGTTGGAAAGGAGAATCAAATATGAAATTCTAGTTCTCATTAAAAATCAAATAGTTGCCAACAATAACAAGTGGAGCGCAAGAGATCGGGAATTGAATGACTTCTTACTGAACAAGTTAGCAGGTGTCATAGATGAGGTCGAAAAGATTAAAGCAAATGAATACGAAGATCTCAATCTTGAAGAAAGCGATGAAGAAAATGAGAGCTTTGAGCAAGAAATCGAAGAGGAAGAAGAAGAAGAAAACGAAGTACTGGAGGAAGAGGTGGATAGTATTTCAAATAACAATGCTAAGGACGCGCCAACAGCAAGGCCAGCGGTTCAAGATGTTGAGTCTGACGAAGAAATGTTGATTGATGGATAGAATATATAATTCACTAATAAAGATGTAGTCATGAGCATAATGATGGTCACCCAAATACGTAACCATTATAAATTTGGGGTAAGTCAAGGATCAAAGTCAATTCGAAATCCAACCAACATTGCAGTATCGTTGAAAGTCTTCGTTTATATGAATTATGGACTCTGACGCTTTATACCAGATTGACTTATACTTCTGAAACAGGCTCGGTTCTCACCTTTGGTACCTGAGCAGCATCATCACCGGTCTTACCACCAGCAATGTATTGGAAAGCTTGGTATGGAGTGTCACCAGCCTTCAATCTGTAGTCGGCGATACGGTAGATTTGGTAACCAGCAACACCACCCAAGAAGAAATTCACACTGGCCAACAAGAAGTTTCTTGGACGGATAACGAAACCAGCCCATCTGGTCCAGATGGTACCAGTAGCAAACAAAGCGACCTGTTGGGTACCACTGATCTTGTCCACTGGTCTCTGAATATCATTGATACCAGCAATAACCAAAGCCCACTTGAAAACTGGGGCCCAGAAATGAACGGTTCTTGGACCGGTTTCAGAGTTCATGAAACGGGCAAACTTTGAAGCATGTTGTGCAGAGGCGGCCATCTTGTGTCTCGGTGGTGGATTGAGGTTGGTAGTGATGATCGTTCGAATCGTTCTTACGGACAGTACTTTCCCAATCCTTGCCTCCGCACGACTCATTTAAAGGAGAGCGGATAGCTTCGGAGTAGACTTTCCTAAAGTGTGATGTGCGCGATGGTAACTGATTTAGAGACTTGCGCCAGCCTGAGGGGTATAGACTGAAAAATTCACCCAAGTGGTACTTCAACGAGAGGAGATAAACGGGATCTGAAACGCTGTACAAGGCTATGATGATTTCCAGAACACCACCGTAGCAGTGTGGCGGGATCAAGAAGATTCCAGGGAATTACGAGTGGCCCACTAGAAATCCATTCTTACTGACTTCTGTTTCCGTTTCATTTTTTTAATTGAACTATAAATGCTAGATGTAGCCTCCTTGACTGCATAAGCTGTAGAAAATCCCTTTCTCGTCTTTCAATAAATTTTCTGGTGTATCGAATTCTTTCAACTCTCCGTGGTCCAATGTCACAATCTTATCACTATCCATAACTGTCTCTAACCTGTGAGCAATTGTAATAATCGTCTTATCCTTAAGCTCGGATCTGATTGTTTCTTGAATAATCTTGTCTGTTTGAACATCCACTGCTGCCGTTGCTTCATCCAAAACAAGGATTCTGGAATTCTTCATTCTCAATAAAACTCTTGCCAATGACATCAATTGCCTTTGTCCCAGTGAGAAATTCGACCCGGATTCCTTGACTAAACACTGAAGTTTAGATTTCTCATCATCATCGTTGCTTTTGGCCACTTCTCCATCCTTCACATCCTCCTCCTCAAAGTCCAAACTCAAGATGTGGTCCTTAAGATGCGCTAATTCTAGCGCTTTCCAAATCTCTTCGTCAGTATAGTAATCAAATGGATCTAAATTCTGTCTTATTGTTCCCTCAATAAGCTGAGAATCTTGGGGGATAATTGAGAGGTTCAGCCTGAGATCACTCAAAGGCATTGCACTTGTGTTGAGCCCATCGATGGAGATATTTCCATCTACGGCTTCAATGATTCTGAAAATTGCAAGAGCCAAGGAACTCTTACCTGCTCCTGTTCTCCCGACAACCCCGATCTTCTCACCAGGTTTAATATTGAAGGAGACACCTTTCAAAATTAGATCTAAGTTTTCCCTATACCTCGTCGAGTAATCTTTAAATTGAATACCACCTTCCATGGGCCAAGTCAATGGGGGTTTGCTCATCTTCTCAAGAGTTTCTTCATCCTCTTCTACTGGCAACTTGGAATACTCTAAGCATCTTTCAACTGCGACAATACTCGTCTCCACTTCGGCAGACAATCTGACAATGACTTTCAATGAAGATGTTACCTGCAAAGCGTACGTCATAATAAATCCTGCCATGGAGGAGGTAAGCGGTGAAGCAGTCGAAAGGGTATAAATTGCCAACGTAGAAGCGGTCCAAATACCGATTGACCCGATAACTTGAAGCCTGAAGAACAACCAACGATTGATCGATCTAAGCATATAGACAGATTTCAAATTGAAATCTGTGTTCGAATTGTTGATAAAATCAAATCTATCAGATTGCCTAAAAGCCCTAATAGTATCAAGACCATTCAAACTTTCACCTAGGTGAGCATAAATTGGGGACTTGGAGATTGAGACTAACCTTTTGAGTTCTCGAGAAATGGCCACATAAAAGATTTCGTAATAGATGTAAAGAACCGATAAGATTGTAATAATAATGATGTATAATGGCATGGCAATTCCAATAATAATGAAGGTCAATATTGTGTTGACACTTTGACTAGTGAAACTTGAAATTGTGTATGGTAATGCAGAATCGATCTTCACAATGTCATTGGTGAATCTATTCATGATTCTACCCACGGGAGTCCTTTCAAAAAAGGACATTGGTGCTCTGATGATCCTATTGGCCATATCATTGTGAACCTTTATAGAAGCATTGATTGCCAACTTGAGCATCAACACCATTCCTTTAACAATTGACATTATACTAGAACCAAATCCAAAAAATGCATAAACTGTGATGAATTTCCAGACTTCATTATTATCTCTAGCCTTAGAATTCTCTTCCGTCCAGTGCTTAAGCCAATAATTACCACCTACCGATAATAGAGCTGCCACACATAAAAGAAAGAAATAACCAATAATTCCAGGAATTGAACAAGCCCTAGCATACTCCAAATAGATCGACCATTTAACTTTTCCTTTGGCAGAAATCTCATTAGATGGCCCACTTCTTAAATTAGGTAATAATCGTTGTAATGGCTCCCACTTGAAAGTTTCAACACTGGCCCTCCTCAAACTTTTTCTGTCTGCTGAAGGTGAAGCCCCATTGACATCAGATAACACCTCGCTCTCTTGTTCTATGACTGTTGTTTGCTCTGGCTCCGGCAAAACCGTGGAACCCTCTATGTCATCCTTACCCAGTCTGGAGTCACTTCTCTCAAATTCCTTCAACAAGTTGAAAAGTTCTGGATGTGCTTCTAAATTAATGTCTTCATACTTACTTTCTTCAACAACCTTTCCTTTTTGGATGAAAGTGATCTTTCCGGCATACTTCAAATCTGAAATTGAGTTGGTGCAGAGGATAATAGTTTTTGAAGCTAATAAGCCAGTAGAGCTCAACACTTGATTGATGATATTTTTTCCAACATGGGAGTCCACTGCAGACAATATATCATCAAGCAAGTATATATCTGATCTTGAATACACTGCTCTTGCTAATGCAAGTCTGGCCTTCTGTCCACCGGACAAAGAAACTCCCTTCTCCCCAACCTGTGTATTATCACCATCTGGTAAAATATTGATATCAGGAACCAATTGACATGCTTCGATCGTTTTATTGTAGAAATCCTCATCATACCTATGACCGAACAACACATTCTCTCTGACTGAAGCGTTCATAATCCAAGGTTGCTGGGCACAATAAGCTATCAGTCCGTGCAAGTTGATTATTGGCAACTTCAACTCGGGCTCTGGACTTGTCAATCCACTTTTACCTGTACCAAGTTTGTTGTCTGAATTCAGAACAAAAACATCAGTATCGGATGAGTTGATATTCGTATCATGTTTCTCACTAGCAGAAGCCTGAATAATTAACTGTCCTAAGAGTCCATATAACATCGCTGATTTACCACTTCCTACCTTTCCAACTAAGCAGGAAATTTCTCCCTTTCTAGCCTCGAAATTAACACCTCTTAACGCATACTGATTATCAGAAGAATCTGGATTGTATTCAGACCATAAGAAATCAACATTTTCAACCTTGACGGTAACATCTCCAATATTCTCTGCTCTGGGTAAATATTTGACTACCTTATCGTCAATCTCTTCCATTAAAAGGAAATCCCGTATTCTTGTAATAGAGACTGATGCCTCAACTAAACTGTTGATGAATTGTGGCAAAGCCAATAATGGAGAAGATAATAAGTTTAACAATGCTAATGCGGGGAAAACGATATCTGAAGTCAATGGAATAGATTCGATCAAAGAGAAAGTTGTAAAAGTGGTAAAGGACACTAAGAATGGAATTAAAATCCAAACGAAGCCTGCAACTTGATTAAGCAATCTAATTCTCTTCATATTTTTAAGTTCCTTGTTATTTCTGGCATCAGAGAGTTTTCTTAACATGGCATTTTCCCAATTCAATAACTTAATGCTCTTAATATTCACCATAATTTCATTGACAATATTGGTTCTAGCATCCTTAAGCTTCATTTGAACTTTGCCCAACTTCCTGACGTATTTTACTAGATAGCTGTTAACAGGAATTAACAAACTCATAACGCAAATACCAGCCAACGTGGACTTCCCCAATAATGGCCACAAGGAGACAATACAAAGTATCAAGTCAAATGGAGCCAACACTAACACTGAGAGATCCATTACAACCGTTTGGATTCTGTTAACGTCCACTGACATAAAATTGATAATGTCTCCAGAAGATGCCTTTTGCCTTGCAGCTGATGAAAGTCTCAAACTTTTCTTGTAAATGAGGGCAGTAATAGATGAACGAACATTCAATCCCACCTCTAAATTGATAAGGACATATTGATTGTACACAAATGTTTGCAACATGGTCAACAAGAACATTGACATCGAAATAAGAAAACCTTTCAATATAACGGGGTGCTCCTCGTCAAAATGTTGAATGAATATCCTTAATAGTTGAGGCTGTACGAAGGTTAAAACCTTACTGCCGAATTCGAAAACAAACGAGTATAGGATTAAGAGGCCAAACGCCTTGATTAACAGTACAAGTAGAGAAGCATTGTCCTTGTTCGATGAGGATAAGCTCTTTGAGGTTTCGGTAGTGTCCCAGAATTTCATTAGTCTCTTTGCTGCTACCTCTGTGCTGAGCTTGGCGGGGGAGTTTGGGAGATCCACTTGGTCAATGGTCTGAGTCTCGTAGCTTCGCATGATCATGGCATTCATCCACGTGAATGTCAACCTATCGATGACATTTGGTGTTTCCAACTCATTCTTTTTATCCTCGGATACATACTTGAAGATCAACTCGTGTGATGGGGTCCAGTATCCATATTCCAAAACAAATATGGCTAACGAAAGTACTATAAGTAAAACTTCGGAAACGAAAACAGCACTTGGATTATCTCTCAGCTTGAAAATCACCCAGTTCGTGTAGGTATCTTGGTACACCAAAACGGCCTCGACAAGGGTAATCAACGGCCAGAAAGAAATTAATAAGTCCGAAGGGACAGGACTGTGACAGACTTCAAGGAGGTGCAACGGCACAATCAGAGCCCACGAGTTGATGAACAAGAGGTTGAAAGCAAAGAGCTTGGTGTCTGCAAATCTCTCGTGGATGCTGAGGTAGGAGGTAAGATATATCAAAGTGATTGAGTGCAAGATCACAAACGATAGTCTCACGTAGTGCAAGAGACCCGTGCTCTTAGGTAAGTAGTTTCCATATCTAGGAGATGTGAGGATCCTTCGCAAGGATAGTATTCCTCCAGCGATGTACGCTATGGCAAGCGCTGCCACTAGTAAAGTAATGAAGCATGGATTGAACGCATTCTCGTTTGGCACTAACGGAGATGCTACACTCTTATAACCACATATGATGGTGGGATATTTCGGTGACATGGAAAACGCCCCACAAGATGATAGAATTGCAATTGAATTGGCCTGGAAACAGAGCTTTATATAATGGCAAATCAGTGGAGGCTATTGGTGCAAATGGCAAATGGCAAATGGAGATTTTCTCAAAAGCAATGTACGTAATCACCGAGTCTTATCTGAATAATGCGAATTTGGCTCAACCACTTAGGCTTAGGCTTCGAAAGTGCCACAGCAGTGTGGCACCAACAGACGAGCCCGCCACAGGGATATTGGCAGAACCACTGAAGGCTCAAATTTGTTTTGTAGAGATAGCATAGTGGAACGCATCGAAGAAGCAAGCCATTGGTAGTGAGAGTTCAGCACAGAATAACGCCGGTAATGGAACAATTATGCGAACACTGAACAGACGGACGAATATTTAGGCAGGGAACTCAAAGTTACTTTTGGGAATGTAACCCATCATTCTGATTAAGGTTTTGTACGGCTCCAATATGATATACTTAACCTTTGTTGAGAGTGTGGACTGGTAGCGGCTACATCCGAAAGCTCAAGCTATATGACAGCCTTTCCTCTCACCACCCTAGTCAGAGCGGCTTGAGCGCTGGTTTTACGAGTACGAGGTGAATTGGGTGCAAATTTGGGACCGAATGTCATCTTGGCGAGGTGATTCACTAAATTTAATTTTTATAGTATTTATCCAAATCGGGTGATTTCATAAGCCTGGATATCTGAACAAGACCAGTCATTCGAAGATCAGCATTTTTAATTGTTTTTGCTGAAAAGTTCCAATATTGCGTACAGATACCACTTGCTTTAGTTTCATCAAAATAATTCAAAGGATGCCAAATTCGAAAGTGAGCAGGCACACAACTTTTGAGCTTTTTCAGACCAGTCTTGGCCAGTAGCTATGACAAGAAAGGTGCTTACGCTGGAATTGGGCCATACACCGAGGCACGTGATCCAGAAAGAGCCCTGTCCCCGGCCCAAAGGTTCACTGCCGTACTTTACGAACACATGCCAGACACTCGGAAGTCACGTGACTAGCACCTGGATCAGGAAGAACGAAATTCCGAGGTCCAGTCGCGCGGTCGGCTCCGTGGGGTCCATGCCACGCACCATCCCCACCGGCTTATCTGGCTTTATTACACCAATAATACGGCAAATGCATCACGTGGCCTCTTCTTGCATGCCCATGTTGGGGCTACGACGATCGGATCCGAAGAATGGCCCTCTCCAAGTCATGCTTCGTGGCCCCAGCCACGTCCATGGCCAGGGCCCCGGTTGCCAGGGTTGTATTGCCGGCCGAGGATGTGTGATGTTATGAGAAAATGAGAAGTCGGGGTTCACCGCACGCCGGATCCGAAGTTTATAACCCAATCATGGCGCGAGTAATTGGACGGAAAATGTTCGGAGTTGCACCGTGTTTTCTCCAGATTTCGCTGCATGCAGGATATCACCTGAAAATTTTGCTTTCCGAGCTAGCCTGGGTGGGCACGGATGGACTGGCTGGGGGTGCCAGCGGCCAGCTGAGGCAGCTTCACTTAGCAGACAGTGTAGACAGTGCCATGTGTTGGTGACCACGCTCTTTCCTTCTTTTTCCCGCAAGAATTGGTGAAATTCTTCCCTCCCCCTCACCCTCGGAAGTTTGTATTATAAATTTCTGGCTTGTCATTGGCTACCCCCACCGACAATGATCCCCTGTTATAAAAACACCGCTCCATCCTCGTTAGGGAATTTTCTCTTTCCTCTCCACTGACAAAATGTTATCTGCCAGAACTGCCTTGAGAGCTCCACGCTCGATCCGTGGTTTAGCCACCTCCGGCTTGACCAAGGATTCCCAAGTTAACCAAAACTTGTTGGAAACCCACTCCTTCATCCAATACAAGAAGCAATTGGAAAACGTCAAGATCGTCAAGGAAAGATTGAACCGTCCTTTGACCTACGCTGAAAAGTTGTTGTACGGACACTTGGACGACCCTCACGGTCAAGACATCCAAAGAGGTGTCTCCTACTTGAAGTTGAGACCAGACCGTGTCGCTTGTCAAGATGCCACCGCTCAAATGGCCATCTTACAATTCATGTCTGCCAACTTGCCACAAGTCGCTACCCCATCCACCGTCCACTGTGACCACTTGATCCAAGCTCAAGTTGGTGGTGTTAAGGATTTGGCCAGAGCCATCGACCTTAACAAGGAAGTCTTCGACTTCTTGTCTTCTGCCTGTGCCAAGTACAACTTAGGTTTCTGGAAGCCAGGTTCGGGTATTATCCATCAAATCATCTTGGAAAACTACGCTTTCCCAGGTGCTCTTTTGATTGGTACTGACTCCCACACTCCAAACGCCGGTGGTTTGGGTCAATTGGCTATTGGTGTCGGTGGTGCTGACGCTGTCGATGTCATGGCTGACTTGGCTTGGGAATTGAAGGCTCCAAAGATCATTGGTGTTAAGTTGACCGGTAAGATGTCTGGTTGGACTTCTCCAAAGGATATTATCTTGAAGTTGGCTGGTATCACCACCGTCAAGGGTGGTACCGGTTCCATCGTCGAATACTTCGGTTCCGGTGTTGAGACCTTCTCCTGTACTGGTATGGGTACCATCTGTAATATGGGTGCCGAAATTGGTGCTACCACCTCCGTTTTCCCATTCAACCCATCCATGGTTGACTACTTGAACGCCACTGGTAGATCTGAAATCGCCGAGTTCGCCAACATCTACAAGAAGGAATACTTGTCTGCTGATGAAGGTTGTGAGTACGATGAAGTCATTGAAATTGACTTGAACACCTTGGAACCACACGTCAACGGTCCATTCACCCCAGATTTGGCTACCCCAATCTCCAAGATGAAGGAAACCGCTCTTGCCAACAACTGGCCAATGGAGGTCAAGGTTGGTTTGATTGGTTCTTGTACCAACTCTTCTTACGAAGACATGACCAGAGCTGCTTCTATCATCAAGGACGCTGGTGCCCACGGTTTGAAGGCTAAGTCCATCTACACCGTCTCCCCAGGTTCCGAACAAGTCAGAGCCACCATTGCCAGAGATGGTCAATTGAAGACCTTCGAAGACTTCGGTGGTGTTGTCATGGCTAACGCCTGTGGTCCATGTATCGGTCAATGGGACAGACAAGACATCAAGAAGGGTGACAAGAACACCATTGTTTCCTCTTTCAACAGAAACTTCACTGCCAGAAACGATGGTAACCCAGCCACCCACGCTTTCGTTGCTTCCCCAGAAATGACCACCGCTTACGCCATTTCTGGTGACTTAGGTTTCAACCCAATCACCGACACCTTGGTGGGTGCTGACGGTAAGGAATTCAAGTTGAAGGAACCACAAGGTGTTGGTTTGCCACCAAACGGTTACGATGCTGGTGAAAACACTTACCAAGCCCCACCAAAGGACAGATCTACTGTTTCCGTTCAAATTAACCCATCTTCCGACAGATTGCAAAAGTTGACTCCATTCAAGCCATGGGATGGTAAGGATGCTACCAACATGCCAATCTTGATTAAGGCTGTTGGTAAGACCACCACTGATCATATTTCTATGGCTGGTCCATGGTTGAAATACCGTGGTCACTTGGAAAACATTTCCAACAACTATATGATTGGTGCCACCAACGCTGAAAACGGTGAAGCTAACAACGTTAAGAACCTTTACACTAGTGAATACAAGGGTGTCCCAGACACTGCTGCTGACTACAGAGATGCTGGTAAGAAGTGGGTTGTTATCGGTGACGAAAACTTCGGTGAAGGTTCTTCCAGAGAACACGCTGCCTTGGAACCAAGATTCTTGGGTGGTTTCGCCATCATTACCAAGTCTTTCGCTCGTATTCACGAAACCAACTTGAAGAAGCAAGGTTTGTTGCCATTGAACTTCGTTGACGTTGCTGACTACGACAAGATCCAACCAGAAGACACTGTTGACTTGCTCGGTTTGACTGAATTGGCTCCAGGTAAGAACGTTACCTTGAGAGTCCACCCAAAGAACGGTGACGCTGCTTGGGATGCTCAATTGTCTCACACCTACAACGCTGAACAAATTGAATGGTTCAAGTACGGTTCCGCTTTGAACAAGATGGCTGCCGTTGCTGCTGAAAAGAAGAACTAAACGATCCAATTGTAATATCTCATTGTCGTTTACTTTTTTCCAATATCCATAGTAATTCATAACGGTCAAAAAGGTAAATGAACGGAGTAGTTAACGCTATTCATTATTTATTCATGTTATGTCCAACTGTTGTTGTCGCTTAGTTTATAGTTATTCTTCATAAAATGCACAACATTTTGTAATAAACCAATTGTAGGCTAGGGATTGCAAAAGGATTAAACATACGATCTGAAAATTTACAAAAATCCAAAAAGAAGCCCGACGCGGGGGTCGAACCCGCAACCTTGTGATACCCTTTATCGAAGAATAAAAGTCACACGCTCTAGCCATTGAGCTAGCCAGGCTTTTTTATGTCTCAAAATCAGACACAAATTACAATTCAACTCAATAGTTGAGAATTTTCTACAGCTCGAAAAATCGCCCTGGAGAGAGTATTTGACGATAATAACTATACAGGAAGACTTATAATTGTTTTTAGACCAGGATAAATTGCTTTATAAGTATTTTAAGCATGAATTGTGACCATGGGTGGTTCTCAGTTGTCATGGAGTAACCTGGCTTTTCCTAATTTGCTATGTCTGTAGACACTCTCATAGAAAACCGATAGATTATTGGATTATAGGAGTAGGTGAGCACAGTAGAATTCGTCCCAACTAGAAAATAGGCAAAAAATTTCTGATTATACAACAGGCTCACCAAAGAACACTGAATAGAGAGATCGGAGTGGATTAGAATGAGGCTCAAGTCTATGCGGAATTTTGCTGGTCCGCCCTTCGTCTAGTGTGCAACACTTTCGTATTTGAAGAGCAAGAGGTCACAGTCACATAGAAAAAGGCACGGACGAAGGGAAGCTAGCTAGACACGAAGAGCCGCAGCACACAATCTAACCGACCAGGCCCATCTCAGAGGCTTAGAGGCGGCCATTGGCTCTTTTCTTGTGGTCGTCTGTCAGTTGGATGCCCTGTTTACAATCAATCCAAATTGGGTAAAGCAATTGATATGTATATATATGCAGGTCATTTAGCAGACTTAGACCCCAGGTAAGCCAGCTTCACAGCAGTAATTGGGCAGTATTCACAGGTCTGGATCCACTAGCTGTACCAAATATGCTGCACGATCAATATGGACGACTCAGTTCTCGGGTGGTCAGCGACCATTCCCGGTTCGAGCATGTTCCTCCTCGGTTAAGATCTAGAAACACTACCCCAACATCTCTTGATGACGATAGACTGAGCATAATAACCTTCGACACCGTTGGTCCAGGATTCCAACCAAGCACCCTGAAGAAGCCAGTGGTGACTGCTGGCAGACCACGTACTTTGATCGAGATTGCCGAAGCAAACCGATCACTACCAAAGATAAGAGAAAGAGGCCCCACCCCTCCAGAAAAAGATGAACATATCAAGCGGCTCAACCCCTCGTATCACGACTTACACGACAATGACTTGATCTACCCTGAAAGCATCATAGACCCCTACACAACCCCGCATATTCCCAAACTTCCAACTCATGACGAGCTACCTGCTGAGATGGAAACAAAAGAGTACCTGAAAATCATCGAGGACGATGCCGAGACATTGACGACCACCGCAGGGCTCCAGAGCCTTAATTCCAAGCAAAAACGGCTAGAGGAAGATTTAGTCAAAACAGTCATGAATAGACCCTTGTTTGCAATTCCAGCCAGCAAATTCGTAGGCCACGACAGGTTCCAGGATAAGAGCTTGACCATCACAGCGAACTTTGTTCTCTATGTTTTTGAAATCATGTTGGGCATCACCTGTGTGACGTTGTCGGGGGTCTTGCTCAACCAGGACACTGCTGTTGGCGTTGGAATTTATAGGTATTTTATTGCAGACAGTGTTGTATCCACGGCAGTGGCCATTTTGTTCATTACTCGAGTTATTAACTTCGAGAAGAGAAATGGAAGCTTCTACTGCTTGGCTGCTGCGCTAATGAAAATCGTGTCGTTCGTCATGGTTACTTCCCACATTATTCCTATGGATTGCACGAAGAGGAATATCTGCGACATGAGAAAGGCAGTCAGTGCCTTCATGATAGTTTCCACTTTCTTGTGGGAAGGAAACCTCGTCATGTTCTTGACTACGTTGTACATTTCCAGGCTCAACTTGTTGGACGACATTAATTTTGACTTCAGTGAAAAAGGCTTGAGCCACGAGTATAATACAAAGCAGGGTCATGTTCCTCTTGCGCCACACTTGAACCCATTGACTGGCGAGCCTCTCAAGGAATACTATCTCAACGAGCATGGAGAAATGTACCAACTTGATGAAACTATGGACGTCAGGGGAAAGAACAAAATTATCGTCTACACATTCTAGAACGATTGTTTTCGCAACTTGAAATTCCTTCAGAGTAGTGACATTTTTTGCACCCAGATCCAATTAGTAACATATAGAGATTTCTAATACACTTAATATTCAGTACTTAGGGCTTGTGATATCAATTGTCCTTGCTTTTATGCGATGGTGGGCCGTTCAATAATGAAGGTATCTGGTGAGGTTACTCACTCGAACTGCGCTAAGGAATCCGTGGGGACAAAGTCTACTTTACAACCAATGGTGAGAGGTAAATGATGAAATGTAACGCCATCTTTTTGAAGGGCCCATGAAGTCTTTTTGCATATTGATTACTACTTTTGAAACCTTTACCTACTAAACAGTTCAGCTAGTTGGAGGAAGTTTTTAGTGAACCTGCTTCACTTAATGTCCAATAATCAGTAGAAGGAAATATATTTAGTCAACTCACCCATACTCTGTCTTCAATCGATCCCATAAAGTATTATACAGCAATTTTCTGTATTTGCCTGAGTTGAAGAGTCGAAGATATATTGCCAGAACTGAGAGGCAAAATTGAATGTAATCTGAACCCAGTAATGGACATTGTTGTTCACTGAAAGGATACAGAAAGTGGGAGATGTATGTACCCGAAGAAACAGCTTTTCAGTGGGAGTGAAATTTCTACAACTTGGATGTGAACGAAGATGTTTGAGGTAAATTACTTTCAGTAGTAAAGAAGATTAAAAATAAATTACTTGGTGCAACATTTAGTGTCATTGGTACGCAATATGTGATATCTTAATCGTCGTATATAATATTCTACTTTGCTTTTATTTGAACCTTGTAAAACAATAATGTGCATGGGCTAAATTCGTTAAAGAAGTGAAGTTATTCATATGTAGTTACCATGGAAAGCATCCTTTTGAGGGTAACCAGCGTGATTCTGCTGTTGGTTAGGATTTCTGCTTGAAGCGGTGTGATGGCTGTAGTTACTGTTACCATAGCTTCCATAGCTAGAACCACTGTAACCACTCATGGCATTAGATGGATCACCAACGATAGTTGAAGATGGCTGTGTTGGCTCGATAGACTCCAAGTAGTACGAGTCTCTCTTGACATCGGCATCTGAATTCTCACTCGACTTGCTATTGTTCTTACGGTTGAACATAGATGCGTCATCATAAACTGATTCATCTTCATCGTAGATGCCTGGCTTAGCACCATGTTCATGTCCCTTCATAGCGGTAGCCCCTAATGCCATTAACTCCATGTCATCACCGTTAACATTCTTTTTACCGGGTTGGTTTGGATTGTCAAATCTTGGCAAGAAGGAAACTCTGTCATCCTTCATTGGTTGGTATCTAGTATCTGGGTTCTTGTAAAGCAAAGCAAGCACACATGTGACAATGGTGAAAATCAACAAGAACAATGCAAAGACTGCATTCAAAATGAAGTAAACGACGGCCATAACTGAAGCGACGATATGTGGCTGTCTAAAAACATAAGAGAAGAACATGTAGAACAAAGCATTGATGGTATTAATCACAGCAATAGTAATGTTGAAGGCATTAGTTCTTCTGTCCATGAAAGGTCTGAAGAAACAAACAGCAACAAGATAAAACAATTCAATCACAAACACAATAATAGATTGAACCTTACCATGATGTTGTAAGACAGCAACGAATAAGGACTTTGCAAAGATGTAAATCAAGGAAATTAAAATAAAGTAGTAACAGTCAGCTCTGAATTGGACGTAAACAAATCCAAATTTGTTGAGGAAAGTTCCATCACCAAACAACAAGTAAGCAGGGTTCTTGAATTGTCTAATTGACTTTCTACCCATTAAGAAAACTCTTATAGCAGCTTGGAACAACAATATAATCGAGATGATAAGCAAGAAAACTGCAATGATAACGGTTGCCACAGAGTCTCTTTCAGTCAATTGCCAAAGACACATGACAGCCAATTGTGGGAACGCAATCATCAACAATCTGTATAAGGCACCCTTGACAATTTGGGACCATTGTTGTCTGTACTCGTTGAACTTTCCTTCATTCATGATCTTTGAACGGATCAAAATTTCGATGATGGCCTTGAACATGGTCAAACAAACGACCATAACAAACGCAAAGAAAAGCAAGAAGATGATGGTAGTCATGAACAAACTGGTAATCTCGATACCAGCCAAATACGAGACTCTTTGAATACCTCTCAAGACCAAGATCTTTGTACCCAAGTGGGAATCCTTTTCATCGACGGTGTACAAGGTTGAGTTCATTTGGTCAGCATAACCGAAGTTGTCAGAGTCAAGACTAATGGAAGCTCTCTTACCCAAAGACAAGGAGTTTGAAACTGGAGCCAATTCACTGACATAGTCGAGGGCTCTCTTGACCTTCTTTTGAACCGAGACAGACAAATAGGTGGCATGTATAACATCGGTTGGGGTACCACCAGTAGCTTGGATGTACCAGTTGGCAATATCTTGCACGAAGGCCACTCTCACGATACCAAGAGACCAGACGAAGTTCTGGGCCCAGGCAGCAGCGATAGGTGGGACCTTGGCCACAGCCATCATGGAGGTGATGGCTAAGGACTGGAAGTAGATAAACAAGGACATGGAGTTGGAGGCGATGTGGGCAGCGGTGTTGGAGTGACCAATCACGGAAACCACACCCGAGGTGATGACACCCAAACCGGAGATGGCAGCAATGGGCCAGGCAGCGTACTTGGTCTGCACTGTCTTACCGTTGGTCAAGGCAGCCTGGACACAGGCCACGGTATCTCCCGTGTCGTCGTTAACAAGGGTAATTTGGACTCTGGCGTCCAAGTCAGGAATAGTGAAGGCCACCGAGGGGATCTGCTTGTAGATGGAGGGCCCCAATTCGTAGTTGGAGTTCAACTCCATACGGCCTGTTTGCAAGGGACAGATGGAGCCGAAGCCCAAGCTACAGAACGACACCTTCTTGGTGAAGGCGTTGATACCGTACGCAATCAAGTTGACGGTGGCAGTGACGTTTCCGTCGATCTGCGAGAACGCCATGACGTCGAAGTAGACAGTGTGGTTATTGGGGTAGTACTTGACGTCGAAATGGGAGGCTGTGAACTGGGAGTTGTCCATACACGTCAACAACGAGGAGGACCTGATGAAGTTGACGGCATGGACGGAGTGGATGAGACTTAGCATCAACGCTAAGAGCATGGAGCGGAGCTGCATTGTGGAGGAGGTGATCTAATGGTGTGTTGTGGACGGACAGCCCTTGATGCTAGACGAGGAGATCTAGGTAGGAAGTACCGACAGGGACGTTAGGGACGTTGTGGAGGGGTTCTGGAGGCCACGGTGGGGGCACAGGCTGGTGGGTGGTGATGGATGGGGATTCCTGACGATGTGGTGATGGCAGCAGAATATATCCCTGATGGAGGTGAAAAGATCAACAGTCTATTAATAGAGGTCACGGGGAATGGGTCAGGCAGTGCGAGAGGGCTGGCCAAGCCCAGAATGGCAGATCACATCGGAGAGCGCACGCTCGTTTGCGGTTGGTTGCGGGAGGGGCTAGGGAGAGCTACAGCCGTGCTAGGGGGCACTGGCAGTGGGCATGTAGGCAGTTAGGCGTGAAAGCCCCTGGGACATGGTGGTATGGTGGTGGGGCTGAGGTGTGGGCAGTGTTAGGGCAGTGGAGGTGTGGTGAGGCGAAGCCGCAGCGTTTTACAGTGATGCTCGTAACGGCAGATATTTCTGGTGCCAGGGGCACCGCGCACCGCGACCACGGTGGTGCGGTTACGCACCGCGGCTTCTAGAAGTCGCCTACGCAGGGGGAAGCAGATACTTCGCATTGGAAGTCGCCCGTGTGGGCATACGTTTTCCACTCAGTTGATGGGAATAGAGGAGAAGAACAGGCAGGTGTTTAGCAGAGACGAAAGGATCAAACGGTTTCATAAATTACCACTCCATCGCGAATAATTGCATTCTAGCGGATTGACGGTTGTGACGGTCCTTATTAGCATCATTCCTGCATTGCATCGGTTGTGACGGTCCCGTAGATATACTAGTGTAGTGATGATGGAGTGTCGACAAGCCATTGCAAATCGGCAGAGTAGGCCACTTGTTGGTGATACTTTCAAGAGGTGGTGCACCAGAAAAACGCCTACAGAGTCTAGTGAAGTAGTGAACTATCATTGAAAGTTAAAGTGGTAAGGTTCCGTAATTGAGAGATTCATTTTACTTGCGCAGACATAAAGGAATTTCCATGTGCTCCAATGGAATCTGCTATCTACATACTGTAGGAACCAGTCATTTCTGTGAATGGGGATTTATTAGTAATCGTTTACTAACAATTTCTTCTGCTAAAATTCGTCATAAAGCACCCAGTAGTCTATTGTTATCTTTGGATGTCTTAATCCTCGTTAACTCTCTAATTGGTTCGGACGTTTCATTTTGGGAAATCTGCGTTTCCCTGGGTCCCCTGGTAATCGCCTCTATTCTAGCGATTCACTGGCCCACCCAATATTGCTACTCAGTGAATTAATTGTACCAAGCTGAACTACTTCTTCATTCTACTAGTTTTGGACTATTACTTGAATTTTATTGACACACAATATTAAAGGTAATAGTGTAGCCAAATTATTTACAATTATACATTAATTAATGGCCACACCATAGCAGCCACCTTCTTCAAAATAAAATTCATACTATTGGTGTCAACACGATTCTGTCTAGTATGGAATACCATTGGTGATTCTTTGGAACTCGTCATAGCCCTTGGTGTAATAACTCTCCATAGACTTTCTGATCAAGCCTCTCATGTGCACACTGGCATCCTTTTCACTCTTGGAGGGCACAAATCTGCTTCTAAGCTTCTTGATGGTGGTCTCTTTGAAACATGGCAACCCACTCTCCAACATAGGCGTCACACACCTAACAATGGTCTCCATGTATGGACGACACGCCAAGTATCCCTTGACACACAATTCCTCGAACCATCTGAAAGCCTGGGTATTGTGGTTTCCTCCCAACACTAAAATCATTTCATGTGTTAACTTGAATGGTGCAACCTCAAACTTAACTCCTCCAGGAACGATATCGAAACAGAAACCAAAATCAATGTGCAAAATATGTCCTTGATCGTCGTACATAATGTTACCATTATGTCTGTCTTTGAACTGGAGAAGATACGAAATGATCGAATATGCGGCCAACGATTTGATGAAGTTGTTCTTGGCTTCCTGAAATTCCATTGACTCTTCCGGTCCAAACTTGGTGGTAAAGTATTGGTACAATCCATTGACAGCCTCTCTTCCCAACATATCTCTGGAGATAGAGTTTGGTAAGACATCAATAACACCACACCCAGGAGCAGTTGCTGTGACTCTGTAAGGGTATACAAAAAGATCCAAACCGGCATTGTTCCAGATGGTTCTAAAAACGGAAATCAATTGCAATGCCAAAACATCCTGTCTGCAATCATCACCAACTTTGAAAATAGCACTCTGCCACTTCTCAATAGGAATGTGGACAATCTTACCAAATTCGTCAATGGTTTCAACATCATCTTGGATCTTGAAAGTGGCCATGAATGGCGCTTTAGCATGTGATTGCAAAGGCTTACCTGACTTTCTGTTGATATCAATTACAACACCGTTAGGGTTACTGGGCAAGTAAACACCTGGTTGGACGTCAATCTTGTACATTTCCTCATCGATTTTGACCTTCTTCTCTGCCTTAGATTTCTTGATATATGGCTTCAACTTACCAGAAATGTCAGTAACCTCGTTAAAGAAACCAAATTCCTTCTCATAGAAATCCAAATCTTTTGCATTGAATGTTGCCAACATCTTAACTTGGATTTTATCCAATGTTGGCTTCAAAGAGTCAGGCTCCAACGAGTCTTCATCCTTGAAACTATTTGCCAACATATTCCATATAATTTGATGGGCAAACAATTGGGAAACCTTAGCAGTTTCAATAATGAATCTTTCCACGTATCCTTTGAAGTCGAATCTCAAACTTTGAACAATCTGTGGAACATAGAAAAAGGTCAAATTGACATCATGATGCTCCAATGATCTCATAGTGAATTGCAAGATATAAGGATTGTTTCCAAATGGTGGTAAGAATAAAGTAATACAATCAATTGGAGGCAATGGAGTCCAAAATAAAAGATAGTGATTAGGCATGTTGACTCCTCCGTTGATACCAATGAAGAATTGAACAGCTTCAGGGTAGAAAACTGAGGGCAATGGGTTCTTGGTAATGAGGTTTTGAAGCAAGTCATCCAAGTTTTTAATCTTATATCTCAATGCCAAATTGATTGCCAAAATAGGATCGATGGAATAACTTTGGATAATATGGTTGGATGAGAGCTGGCCTTGACTATAAGAGCCTCTAAGGTCGTTGGGATTCAATGGGTTCAACCAAATGGAGATCTTGGAGATTTCGTCATCGAGGAAAAACAAAACAATAGTTTTCTTAGACTCCAAGCTCTCCTTTCCAAATGTTTCAGTAGCTGCAATCAAACGCGTAACCTCCTTCAATAATTCAAAGTCGGCTTTGATCTTCAAAAGATTACCTCCATATGGATAAGAAAACTTTTGTCTAAACCATGACAATGAACCTGTGAAAATAAGTTCAGTGAGGTGAACCAAACTTCTTGACTTTAACTTGGAATGGTAGTTCAAGACGTCAAAAGCAAATCTAACCAATTGGAATCTCAATAACCTCGAAAATGGATGTAAACTAGCAGAGTTTAAACCTTCAAGTCCAACCTCAACAAATCTAGTGAATATCTTCAATAAGTGGTCACTTTGGTTAAGAGTGGCCTGGAAGTTAGATGAGATCAATTTGATGATACTGAGGTGGGCCTTAAACTTTTCGTTGGTCGTCTTGCTAGCAATCTTGATTAATTTCAGGTCACTTGGAGAGTACTCCATCTTGCAGAAAGTGGAATCAATAATATTCAGGGATTGTGAGAATAAACCCAATTTCAAGTCAACCGAAATTTCCCAATGTTTAATGATTTCTGCAATTATCAATGTGGCCAAAGTAGGTTTATCTTTCATGATTGTGAGCCAAACGATAATGGCATAGTTTATAATAGAAGCCTTCAATGTCTTGAAAGGTAACTCAACGAGGTAACGTATTAATTCACCGTTATTGGAGTCGGATAGAAGTATCAAACCGGCAATTTCATTAAGCAAGGAGTTAATTTCAGTATCGGTGATAGAATTAGATGCAACCAACGACGTTGGATCATTATTGGTACCGATGGGAGTAATTTTAGACTCGATATTAAAAACCTTCAACTTTATGTTCTTCAAGATTGTATCATAGTTTGATTGAAGTGGAACCTTATTCATAAGATCACTTCTTAAATTCAATTGAAGAATTACGTTGGAGGTATGGGAATGAGGGTGGAAAGACGAAGCAACCTCATTAGTGATGAAGTTCTCTCTATTTCCAACAACAGTTCCTGCAATGTTCAAAGCAAAAGAAACACCATAATGGATCTTGCCGGACTGAATCTCATTCAAGTTCGATACATACGATTGAATCAAACTCTTGACATCGAAATTACTCTTCAAGAGCACTAATTTCATCCATAAATGGGCCCTTTCTTCGAACCTTTTAAAAGTTTGTTTTCTCCATTGATAGTCATCAGACAAAGACAACATGATTCCATAATGCCTGGTCTTGAAATTAGTAGTGGGTTGGTACAAATTTTCATCAGCATCCACAATACTGTCGTAAAGCACACTCAACAAGTCGAATAAGGTGAACAAACTCTGTTGATGGATTAAGGAAGATGGAACTGAGTTGATCAAGATTTCGCAACATTGGAAAGCGGTATCCTGTAAGTCCCTAAGTCTGTGACAACATAAAGCTAATATTTCCGTCAATTGATGTGAAATATTGTCAGCACTAAATTGCTTATTCCCACCATGGTTAACTAAGGTAACAAAATCCTTCATTATCTTGTGAGAAATATGACCAATAAACTTGTCCACTCCACTGGTCTTCACCGATGGATCTGAGTAGTATTGAAGGATTTTGGAGCAATCACCCGTCTTTACTCTCAAGGATTCCAAAAACATCGCGGACGACAAAAAGATCAACTTCTGGTAGGATAAAGATCTGTGGACTTCAAAAACTTCCCCCAAGAACGTTCTGTGGTGCTTGATATTGTGGTTCGAAGAGCCACGCCTCAAAATAGTATTCAATTCCAAGGAAGTTTCGGTTCTATCCCAAGAAACCTCACTGACCAATGGAGGCGAATTGTATGCAATTCTTTCTAATTCTGGGATATAAGGCTTGGCTATTTCTGATCTAACAGAGTATCCGTGAACAACCAAGTTGAACCAGAAGTTTTTGAACAAATTGACAGTCTCGACACTCTTGATCTCTAATGGAGGCTCGCCAAGATCAACATTAGGCAATAACTCCGATAATGGCTTGAGGTAGATACTGATTTGAGAGCCAATCTCAAGAATTTCGCTGTGAGATCTGTGGTGCTCTAAAACCTGAACGTCACCTTTACTAATGATGGTTTGCAAGAGCTCGTGGAGGTACACGTTGAACAAAGCGCTCTTCTGGCTTAGCTTCTTTGAAAGTACCACCTGGGAGGAAATCAAATTTGTAAGCATTGATTCATTTTTAGATTCAAAAGCTTCGAGACTTAATCTGAAGAGTGACTTGATCAAAATCACAAATTCCCTTTCTGGCAAGTATGGCGCACATGAACTCAAGCCTGCCAACAACAAGGGGCCGATTGTGGAGTTCAAATTCGAAGTCTTTTGACTCAACAAAGTTACTGCCAAGGTAGTTACCTTCTCATCGTCACAGGCCTTTGCAATTTCAATGATTGCGATTATGGCATTCTCGCAGACCTTTTTGTAGTCGCTATCATTGAATTCAGGAACAACGCCATGGTTTTTTCCATGGTTTGGAATGGAGCTAAGTGAATTAGATCTTGAAATTGAATCCTTTATAGATTCGCCTCTAAGAGATCCGTTGTCTCTGAGACCAGTGGTCCTGGTTCTCAAATTGTTCCTAATCTGTTGATTTTCATGTCCCACAAAGAGCAAGTTTGTCAATGCATAAATGGTGGTGATCACTGCATCCTGAGATAACACCTTACTTGCAACTCCCAAGCTCTTGGAAGCTTCAAGACAGTACTCTTTAGAAAACCTTGGATTGGAGACCAATGAAGTGAAAGATCTGGTCAATAAGTTGCCCATCTTCTCATCTTTGAAGATCAATAAAGAGCCTAACTGAATCACACTTAATCCAAGATCTTGATCTAACATGACGTCTTTGATTTCCAAACAGTTTTTGAAAAGTCTTTTAGAAACCTTGATGTCAATGTTGTCGGTGAAAATACCACAACTGATGACTTGTAAAAAGTAACTCTTTGCTGAGTATCCAAGTCTCAATCTATTGTATGTCGAGTACACGATATACGATTCACCCCTATCTAAGAACTCCATCTTCTGAATTGCAATCTCGGTCAAATGCTTGATGATGTCCATATGTTCTCTGCTAATATCCATGTTCTCCTTTGTGAGGAGGTAGTTATCAAAGATACCATCGTGGGCAGTGAATGAGCCATCGTCATACCTCGAAGCAACACGTTCAATGATGCTTTCCAATAATGGCTTCTTGTTGTTGTCAATAATTGAGTTGATTATACGGCATGAAAGCTTGCCCAAGTACTCGAGATAAAGTACGGGAGAAAAGTCAATCACCAAGTCCTTGTCAAGGATGTTGGAGTAGTCATTGAAGGAATTGGACTGGTTTTGCTGGGAGTAAATGGTGTTGGAGTAGATCTCCACATCGTTCAAGAAATCAAAATTATCGATCAAAGTGTCGAGACTCAAGAACAATCTGAAGGACCTGGGGGAGTAGGTCAAGATGTCAGCATTTTTGGTGAGGCCAGATAAGCAGCCCAAGAGGGTGAAGTAGTTCGAGAGCTCCAAAGACTTGTTGGCGAAGAACGAGTCGTTGAACGCCTGGAAAATCTCAATGGCCTGATCAATCAACATGTAGTCGAATTTTTTGCCGAGCTGGATGATGGCGGTAGTCAAGCTCTCACTGATGGTGTGCCATGGTGTGGACGAAGACGAGTACTTGTTGACGATGGTGGGAGAAAACTTCTGGGTAGGCAATTCCAAGAAGTAGAGTCTGAACTTGTTCAACAACGCCTGGGCGTGGTTTGGGAACTTGAACTCCTCGTTGGTGGATTCACACAACGCCAACAACACCTCGTACTCCTTAGGAGTGATGGCAACCGTCGACAAGTCCTCGGGATTGAACACATCTTCCTTGTTGGTGGAGGAGAGAAGCTTGGTGAAGTTGTCGGAGGTGCTGTCGACCTCCTGGATGGACGTCGACGACTCTTCCACCGTTAGCTTGGCTAGCTTTTTGAGGGCCTCTTGGCGAATTGTGCCTCGTGGGATGCCCTGGTAGTCCATGATGGGTGATAAGTGTGCCAATAGGTGTTGTGTTGGGTCGGCAAATTGAACTTGTAAGATCTCGCACGTGAGGATAGAGCATATGATCGCACAAGGCTATAGCCGTGGATGCACTCCCCTCCGATCGTGTGGGGACAATCGTAAATCACAGCGAGGTAGACAGTGGGGCCAGTGGACAAAACATGCGGTGGTGGTAGTACCGGTCGTTCGTTTTCATTCAGGGGGAACTCAGTGGCTGGTAGGCTTCTGTGTTCTGGCTAAATTCGTTCAGAGTAAATTCGGGTTATGAATCTGGTCGTCCCATCGTATAAGTTGCAGTTATTTCGTCTAGAGGCTGGAAGGTATCCATTTGGGTAGCCCATTTATTAAAATTTGATTCAGAACCATTCCACCAAAAATCTACAGATTTGATACGTAAGCCCCTTCTGGTTCTGTAAGTACATTCACAGTGAATTTCGTTCAGAGGCTAATGAGCATGCCTGGTAAGTAGCAGTCTCTTTTTGCGAATGGGAAGTAAATTATAGTCTAAATAAATACCTATTGCAGTGGAAAACGCACCATTAATTTATCATTTTTGATAGACTAGGTCAACCCTTTATAAAGCAAGCTTTCATTTTTGCAATAAATTCATTTACAACGTATTTGGTTCAAAGACTGAGTGTTTACGGATACTATACATGCCTTGTGAGAGGTGTTTTAGACCTATAGTATCAATAGAGATTAAAAGTTGGCAGTAGGTTTCTGCTTCATTTCCTGTTAGCTGCGAAAATTCCTTTGCTATTCATCTCGTGCTAGCTCCTGTGTGGACAATTAGCATACACCACAGATGGTAAAACCTAAGGCCGTTGCTAATTTTATGAAATTTCGGAAAATTCTCCTTTTTTTGGAATGTTAGAACTAGAAGCTTTATACACCTACAAATATCCCCCACATGCATTTTGGAGAACTATAACGATGGACTGTCAAAAATTGTATGGGTAAATAACGAATCAGTTCTTAATTGTTCGTGTTAATCTGTTTCTCTACTCTACAGATAGCTCTGCCATACTACCGCTAGTACCCGAAGTGCTTGTTATTAACTAATGTACAGATATAAGACTACCGCAAAGGTAGATTCACGAATGCAGAGATGATCTAGCATTGCGATCAGGAGTAGGTTTCAATCAAGGTATCTCTCAAGTTACCAGAGATAGCCTCAGGTTGAGCATCTTGTAATCTGAAGATGGATTCGATAACAGACAATTCAGGAGCAGTGGTGTCAATACCGGTGACAGACAACCAATCGTTAACAACCATACCAGCACCCACCACAGAGGAACCTCTGTTGACAGTACCAGCAACCAAAGGCACCTGGAGCAAGGAAGACAATTCTTCTTGATCTTGGATGGAGGTCTGAGGGTGCACTATACCACCTTGGTTAGACAATGAACAGTAAGAACCAACCAACACGTTACCAGCAATAGTTTGACGGAACACTTCGACACCCAACACATCGGCAATCAACTCTTCGGTTTCTCTCTCGATATCTGGATGCACCAATGCAACGTAGTCATTACAACAAATGACATTTCCCAATGCTGATAAACGTTCTTCAACTCTTTGTATCTTAACGGAGTCGGGCAACGAGTTTCTTAAATGCATTAATTCTTGGTCGGTGGTTTGGGTTGGGACAAGTAAACCACGTCTGTTACCAGCAGTCATTCTACCGACTATACGGGTACCAGCAATGGTGGTGTGAATGATGGGGATAACATCACCTAATTCGGCTTCAAAAGCGGAGTAGAAGTTTTCGGATCCACCAACGGCAACCAAACAGTAGGAGTTGGTTAATTTGGAGAAGACACCGACTTCGTTGGAGTTTTCAAATTGGGTTCTAGTAGCCATAATGATTAATGCTTATCTAAGTAGTATGGAAAATTTGCCTTTATATGAGATGAGTCAAATTTTTGATTTTTGATTCTGGGTCATGTGCCCATCGGTGCGCGCACGTATGGCTGCAAACACTAGCAATGGGGGAGATAGGCTACAGCAAAGGCACCTGTTGAGGTGGCATTACCTATTAGAGGGAATAATAAGACTCATGGGTCTAATTCAGGGCAAGAGAAAATGCTCGTGGGATAAGCAGGTGATAGTTTTTTTAATTTAGTACAATACTTGAAACAATGTCCAATGAGTCGAGATAATATCCTTCGGGAACCCCTTCAAGGGTAAGAGCTGATCTGCTAGCTTTCTACAGCTTTGTTCTCTACAGATCCTTTTTTCAATTATTTACATTAATTAACGGGTATTACCCAAACTATATATGAATTAAAAATCGTAAAAATTAGTCAAAATCAGCTTCGTCGTCTTCATCCTCCGAGTCTTGCCAGTTGTCCACTTCCACTTCAGCCATGTCAACGTCATCAGCCTCATGGTTGGGTAACACTTCAAGTCCCTTCTCTCCTAAGGTGACAACCGCAACCTCCTTGTCTTTGATCTGTCCCTTCAATAACAAGACAGCCAAACGGTTCAACACTTCTTGCTGGATAAGTCTGTTCAATGGTCTTGCACCCAAATCTGGGGAGTAACCATTTTCGCAAAGATACTCCAAAGCATCGTTGTCAACTTCTAATGTGACTTGCCTGCCGTTTGCGGCAAACCTGTCCTGGATTTCCTGCAATCTAATGCGAACAATCTTGGAGATGGCCTTCTTAGACAACCTGTTGAACACAACGGTACTGGCAATACGGTTCAAGAACTCAGGTCTGAAGTGGGCTCTAACACTACCCATAACCAAATCCTTAGTGTTCTGGTCAATCTTAGATCCCTTCGATGCATTGATGTATTCTGCACCCAAGTTAGAAGTCATGATGATAATAGCATTAGAGCAGTTGACTTCCTTACCTTGAGAGCTGGTAACTCTACCATCGTCCAAAATTTGAAGCAACACGGTGAGTACCTCTGGAGCAGCCTTCTCGACCTCATCAAACAAGATGACGGAGTATGGACGTCTGATCAATGGCTCAGTTAAGATACCACCTTCTTCATAACCAACATACCCAGGTGCTGCACCTAACAACTTGGAAGCAGACCACTTGTCAACAAGTTCAGAACAGTCGATTCTGATCATGGCTCTCTCATCAGCAAATAAGAATCCAGCCATCTTCTTGGCCAATTCAGTCTTACCTGAACCAGATAAGCCCAAGAATAAAAATGAAGCTGGTTGGTTAGGGTTAGCCAAACCAGATCTGGTTAATCTCACTGCGTTGGAGACAGCTTTAACAGCTTCGGATTGTCCAACAACTGCAGAAGAAAGTTCCTTCTCCATATTGATCAATTTGGAGTTTTCAGCTTGGGTCAATTTAGTTACTGGAATACCGGTCAATCTTGCTGCAGTTTCAGCAACTTGTTCAGTACCAACGACATTGGCAACCAAAGCATCTGGACCTGCTTTGACTTCTTCTTCAGCAACCTTGACTTCCAATTCTTCAATCTGCTTAACAACATCTGGAATGGCAAAGTATCTCAAATCCGCAGCGGTACCAGTGTCATGTCTTCTTTCTGCATCTTGGGCCTTGATTTCCAACTCATCCAATTTTCTTTTTGCTGCAATCAATAAATCATGACTTGCACGTTCTTGGTTGAATCTTTCCTTCAAGGGGCCCAACTTCTCTTCGAGGTCGGCCTTTCTTTTCCTTGCAATTTCCAAACGGTCCTTAGAGTCAGCATCAGCCTCAACATCTCTTTCCAAAGCGTTGATTTCGACCTCAATTAAATGCAATTGTCTTTCCAAATTATCCAATTCTTCTGGCTTGGAATCTCTAGCAACTGCCACGGTAGCTGCGGTTTCATCTATAAGATCGACCGCAGAATCAGGCAAGCTTCGGTATGTCAAGTATCTAGAGGCAAGCTGAGCGGCTGTGACCAATGCACTGTCCAAAATTCTGACACCGTGGTGGATCTCGTACCGTGGTTGCAATCCTCTCAAAATGGCGACAGTTTCTGGAATGGTAGAGGCAGGCACGTCGATTTTTTGGAACCTTCTTTCGAAAGCTCCATCCTTGGAGATGTGCTTTCTGTATTCAGCAAAGGTGGTGGCACCAATACAGTGCAATGCACCTCTTGCTAACATGGGTTTCAATAAGTTGGCAGCATCGGACTTTCCGTCTCCCATCAACATGTGGATTTCATCAATGAACAAAATGATCATCTCATTGGACTTTTCGATGTCGCTGAGGACACCCTTGATTCTTTCCTCGAATTCACCCTTGTACTTGGCACCAGCAGTCAATGCACCCAAATCTAAGGCAAACAATCTTGAGTTGGCCAACACGTTGGGAACATCGCCGTCGATGATTCTTTGGGCAACCCCCTCAACAATCGAGGTCTTACCCACACCAGGCTCACCGATCAATACTGAGTTGGACTTCGTTCTTCTTGCCAACACGCGGATAACTCTTCTGATTTCTTCTTCTCTGCCAATGACAGGGTCAATTCCACCCTGGCGGGCTTTTTCAGTCAAGTCTTCGCAGTACTTGCCGAGAAACTCGTATGAGGACGACGAGTCGGCCTGTCTGGAGTCGATTCTCTGGTTGCCTCTCAACTCAATGGCTTGGGTCTTCAAGGCCTTGACGTCGACGCCTGCTTCTTTGCAGATGTCCTTGATAGACGAGTCGTCCAACAATGCCAAGAGGATGTGGTCTTGTGCGATGTAGCTGTCTTTCTGTTGCTGTTTGATCTTGGTGGCGTTTTGGATCAACTGGCCAGTGGCGTAACTGGGCCGTATATCTTCTGGAGGAGGGTTCTGGGAAGGTAACCTGACCAAATGCTTGTTGACCACCCTTTCAAAGGTTGGCCATTCGTATCTGGCCTTTTGGATCAAAGTCTTCAAGTATGGAGTGGATGTTTCTGAGTCTGTGGGGACCATTGCTGCCAAAAAGTGCAAAGGCAAGAGCTGAGCATGGCTGTTGTCTTTTGCTATTTGGGTAGCAGTGTTGAAGATCTGCAATGCGTTGTCTGTGAATTGTGATTCTTCCATTGTGTGATTGATGAAACGAGTGGGTGGTGTTGGAAGTGGTGGGCGCTTATATATCTGATGTAAAGTGGTGTCAATCTGTAGAAGGTACTAGAATTTTCGCGAGCATGGTTGCTGGAAGGTGGGAGAAGGTTCTGGAAGGGGGAGGGGGAGGTATAGGGGGTGCTAGGAGGGGATGGGGGACGTGGGGTGGTGCAGTGCCAGGGACTCCAGATTCCCGGCTGGAGAGGGGGTAGCGGTGGTGTGATGGGAATCGGGGATGGTGGGTGCAAAAGCACGTGACCACAAGCACGTGATACTAGTATCAGGCGTGGAAGCGCCGGAATGGGGCGCCTGGGGTTTGGGGAGCCAGGCGCAGGCACTGGCATGTTTCGAAAAAAGCCTCAAGTAGGGGTTTCTAGCCTCCTAAGGCCATCCCCAACATCCCGCAGCACCGCGTCAGCTATTGCATCTACTTGTGTGTGTCAAATAATCACTGGTGTCAGGCAATGCATCTACATGCGTATGTCAAATATTCACTCTGAAGTGACCGTCAAAATTTTATTGAATCTATGTAATGTAAGAAATGAATGGAAAATGTCCCTCAAGGATATGCAAAGTGAGCCTGTCACCTAGTTCGAGTTTGTCTGTTCGGTGATCTTGAGGGCAATGGAGTCGCCCGATTCACAGTGGGTGGTCAACTTGTAGCTGTCGCCATTAGCGCAAGCATAGAAAGTCTTGTCACCGAGAGTCAAGTAGCCGTCCTTGAGGGCAAAGCCCTTAGTGGCCAATGACTTACTGGAGGTCTCTTCCACTTCGTTTTCGTGGATCTGGATGAATCTGTTGTTTGTAGCGTCTATCAAGGTCTTGTCGTCGTTCAAAAGGAAGTTGATGGGGCTGTCTTGGCCAGAAATGTATATTTGGCCATCCTTCAGCACGATATTTTGATACTGGAAGGGAGTTCCCGACTTCATGGACACGATTCTGAATACGGGAGCTGCGGTAGCCATGGTGGCCAAAGTGAGGTAGGATACTATGGATGATAATTGCATGATGGAGATCCGATGGTTAATACACTGGATGTAGTGGGGGACGCCAGACCTTATATACCAAGGAATGTGAAAATGCCTGGAACCTTAATCGGTGACCTGCACAGACCTGGTTACGAGCCGTGTCATAATCCAGGTGGGCTACAAATGGGGGTGGGTCCTGCATGCGTGTCAGCAAGCCACTCAAATTGCCTATTGCGGTGACATGACGTATGACGTCGACCACAACGCAAGGGATGCGCACAGGGATGTCATTGCTCCATGTAGCAGGCGCCAATGGGTGGCCCGCCTCCACCCAAAGGGTGCAATAATGTCGCAGAGGTGTAACAGGCCTGGGGTGGAGTGCCACTTGAAACGTCGTACGTGGAGTGGCCCAGCCTCCAGCGTAGTCTAGTATGGGTGTTTGTTCAGCATCCACAATGTGTCACCCTCCTTATTGCGGTTCGTGCATTGACAATCTGCCTCTGTGCAAGCGCAATGGTTGCGCTGAGCACAGACTATTGTCAATTAGGCTATGCTCCTCATTAGCCTGATTGGGGTGGACCGTGGGCAAGCCGCACAGCGAGATCACGCTCTGGCGATGAGCAACGGACTCCCGAACTCCTGAATTGCCTCTAATGGCAGTGGTCCCTAGTAGCCAAGAGCCTCACGTGATAAACAGTGGAAGGTTCTTCAAGTTGGCCCATTGCAGTTTGGGGCGGTTCTGGGTGGGTCATGGCTGATCGGTGGGCAGTGCAACGGCAGAGCCCAGGCGGCGGTGAAACAGTTTTGGTGGGGCATCTGGGGTGGTTTCGGGCGTTTGGTGGAGCTCCGTGCCGAGCGGGTTTCAGAACGGAATTCGGCAAGTGGAGGGTCACGCGCGTTTCACGTGGTAGAAAAGGGTTTTGTACTATTTTTAACACGTGACAGGGAACTGGGGCGAACCGGTGCATTTATCCTCAAGAAATTATCCGATATAGTGTAACGGCTAGCACGGTTCGCTTTCACCGAGCAGACCCGGGTTCGACTCCCGGTATCGGAACACGCTAATTTCTACATCCGATATAGTGTAACGGCTAGCACGGTTCGCTTTCACCGAGCAGACCCGGGTTCGACTCCCGGTATCGGAAATTATTTTTGCTTCTTCAAGACAGAACGATTACATTTTTTTGAAAAGACGAATAGCAAGACCAATAGCAAGAATGTCAGTGATTGAAGTGCCGCCTCCATGTGAAATACAAATTTTAGGGTGGAGATTGGACGATTTATAGAGGATCTATACCTAGGCGTCTACTCAGAGTAAAGTACTTAAATGCCTGTATTAATTGTTTGCCTGTATTACTTGTATGCGTGTATCATCAATTTATGTAATAAATAGTTTATAGAGAGCCAAATGTCAAGTCCACTTCAGGCTACACATAGTTCCAGGGAGACGACAATTGAAATCAATACCTGGGGTACCTTGTCAGGATTAACGTTTTGACTGAGAATTTTCAAGATTCAATTTTATGTTCTGTAGCTCTTCCTATTAAATTCATCCTGATCAGCATTCGGTTCCTGTCACGACACTTCATCTCAAGATTAGTTACTGGAGTACAGTAAAGAGGCACACATTTCAGTTTAACTTTCGTCTTTTGTATTCATTGTTTTCTTTACGACTTAATGTTTTCCGATCGTGAAATTTAATTGTCTATCATGGATCAATTAATGATACTACCGTACTATTTAATTCCAATTGCATGAAAAACTGGCTATATACAAGACCCACAGAACCCCGAGTGTACCGCTCTTGGAGGGCCCCTGGATCTGGCTGAATGATTAAGTCTCTCACTTCAATACTTTTTCCATACTTTTTTTCTCCCTGATAGCTTCAAGCAGATCCCCCGAACCCAACAGGCGTCTCCGAGCCGTGTGGCATCAAACAAAGAAACTTGTATATACTTCCCATGGACTTCTCGTCGGTGCCAGTGAGTCTCTGGTACGCGTTGTAGATTTTCTCTTGCTCTTCATAGTTTTCGGAATTTTTCTTGAGCAATTGGTCAACTCTATAGCCAATACCCAAATTGTGGAGCCAATCGCCCTGGTTTACTGGACCGAAAGGAGCACAACACTTACTCGAGAGGTCTACCAAGTTGTCGAAGTCCACATCTATCGATAAATCGACCTCCCCTGGCTTAATAAATGGCGACACAAATTTATGTTTGTAAATCCCTCTCAAGGTCATTTCTGGGATTTGCCCCACCACTCCATAGTCGATGACCAAAACTCCTCCGAGCTTCTTCTCATTGTTGATGAGCTGGGCCATTTTCATGATGTACAACTCAGCTTCGGTACAGATCTCGATTTGAGCTCCCACCTCGAGGTCCTTGTACCTGGGACTCAACTTGGGGATGATGGACGACGGAGTTTCCTTGGGAGAGACCGTAAGATGGAACTGGGTATCCAACAATTCATCGTCTACCTTTTGGGCTCCAGCCTGCTCTGGTTCTGGCAACGTTGACTGGGTATTGACCACACTAGGAGTGTGCTCTACCACCAATTCTCTCCATCCGTGCTCGGTTTTCTTGAATCCCTTGACAGGCAAGGCATCGAAGAACTCGTGCGCCAAGATGTAGTTGGCTACAGACCCGTCGTGGGCGATATCCTTCTCGGTGTCGAGCCATTTGATGGAGTTACCCCACCTGGTGGTGGAAACGTTGAAACCTTCAGGCGTGGTCTCGAGTGGCTGGTCACACAACAACTTCCACTGCTCCTTTCTCAACACATGGGACGCTTCGATTAAGTTTATCTCGATGCTGACTGCGGACTTGGCCAACTTGTTGAATGATTTCAACACATCGTGCACCAAAGTACCTTTTCCCGGCCCAAACTCGACTACCCTGATGGAAGACGGCTTGCCTTGCTGCTGCCACACCGTGAGGAGCCATATGCCGATCATTTCGCCAAAAACTGACGATATTTCGGGCGAGGTGATGAAGTCACCTTCGTTGCGATCAAGCGGGTTTCTGGTGGTATAATACCCGAACTCCGGGTGTGTCAAGCACTGTCTCATGTACGCAGACAACGGAATGGGGCCCGTGGTCTTGATGGTCTGGGTGAACAAGTCAGATAAGTTCTTGACCTCGCTTGCTCCAGAGTCTCGCAGAGGAAACTGAGGCATCTTGCCCACGTTGTCTCTGACGTTGACTTCACCTTTTATTTCGGTTTCGAGGTTTTCGATCTGCAGCTTGATGTACTTGGCGGCGTTTTCGTACTCTTCCTTGGTGAATTTGCCATAATAGAGTCCGTTCTCATCGATTGGAGGTGACGAGAGGTTGTACGAGGACGCCGAAAACGCTCTGATGGGCTTTATTGAGTGGTTATAGACTGTCCTAGCAACCACAGGAACTCTTCCCGTGGCAAGCAGCAGCCTGTAGAGGTTGAACATGGCAGGATGAGTTGAGAATTAATGAAGATGGATGTTAGATAGTGGGCGTACCAATAAAGATGGTAGCGCGGACCAACTTGATATTCTTCAAAATAGAGATAACCAGGCAAGGAGAAAGAAGAGAGGAGAGGATAAACGAGGGAGCAAGACTAGAAATAAGGGCCTGATTTTGAGTGGCTTTTCATTGTAGGCGATTTTTTGGTAATAGCTGTGATGGTTCGAACAACCATTTTTCATCTTACTGTCTGTATTAAATGTTAAACTACCTTGCGAAGAGGAATTCCTATGAAGAACAATACTCTTCATGAAAGAGTGAAGTTAAATGTACTGGCTGTGAAAAATCGGAATAATTAGAGTAATGCTAATATCGTTTCATAAGTCCAACAAACTATTTTGAGCATTGTAGTTAGCTCGAGGAAGAGACGAAGGAATAGGAAAAGAAAGTCTCTACTCCTTTGCGGGTACCAATAAGGTCTCAACTGTCGGAAATCTGAACATCGAAAGACTCTGTAAACTAGAACAGTTCGACCGAATAGACAACATGATGGTGCTACATTATCAACCGTTTTATCAAATGCCATCTATCCTCTGAATCCGCTTGCAGCTATGCAACTCATGGTAGTGGGTCACTGGGTAAAAATTCGATTGTGCCGTTGGTTCGGCAGATGTGGTGGTTGTTGTCCACGAAGAGAATCGTGTATTAGAATATAAAGAAGTTGAATGAAGAAGTGAAAAGTCCGGGGTTCGTTGAATCTGCTGAATGATCGAAAAGATAAAGTTCAGGACCTAAGAACATATTTTTTTTGATTTTTGTTTTTGCTGAAAATCTTGCCACATGATCCATATGAAATAACCGACACGAAGAACTCATTCTGGGTCAATTATACACTTTAGCATAATATACAAACCATAGTAAGAAGAAGGAGCCTGAGATCCTTGCAGCTTACTGTGATAATATATACTAGACAAAAATGTACTTTCCACAATAGACCAGGAATGAGCAAATCGTTTAAATAATAGGTGGGGTTATAGTTGCGGTTTCTGGGAAGAAAACCATAGAATCCATATTAATGGCTTTGTTATCAGGATCAGCTTCAATCACTTTGTGTGAATCCACATATTTGTTGTACTTGATTGAAAAGGTAGTCATCAATTCGAAACCCAATTTGGAGTAAAACTTCCGGTTGACTGGATTAGAACTTTCCAAGTAAACAAACGCTTTTGAACAAAGCTTGTTAATATGTTCGTTAATGACATACTGGATGAGGATTTTACCCAAACCCTTACCTCTCATTGAAGGCAAAGTGGCAATATCACTCAAGTACCAGATGTCAAGATCCTTGCTGTTTTCCTTTTTGATTAATTGATCGATCAAAACCTTGTTACGGACCTTGGTTAAAAATGGTAACTTGTCCTTGAGGATTTTTGATCTGCAATTACCCAAGAGGGTCAAAAAGTTAAACTTGAAGTATGATGGATGAATACTGCTTCTGAAACCAATTTTTTCACTGACAAAGTATTCATCATCACTCATATCTTCATCGGATTCCGACCCGGAACCAGCAGAGGATGATCCCGATGAATAACCAGTATCCACACTAGGACCATAGATATGGTTCCACAACGAGACACCGAGGTAGGGGAAGTTGTGTTTTTTGGCCATTCCCATCTCGTCCAAGAGCAACTCGGTGGTGTTGTCCTTGATGACAAACACACACCCGTTGATGGACAAACACTCGTAAACACTGTACTCGAAGTAGGCCAACAACAAGTCCAACTTTTTCTTCTTGTAGGTGGACTTGCTGACCTTGTCCTTCTTGATGTGAGCAGTGTTCAAGATGTAGTTCATGAATGGGTCGTCCTCAAACGCCAACGCGAGAGTGTGGGCCACTCTCTTGTAGTCCTTGAGAGTGGCTCTGTCGATGGAGATGTTCAAAGCCGCAGGGATGGACATCACCGACGAGAATGACTTAAGCGCCGAGGCAGGCTCGCTGAGCGCACGGGGCTTTTTTGCAGCAGAAGCAGCAGAAGTAGCAGCAGAAGTAGCAGCGGTAGAAGTAGAAGTTGAAGTAGAAGTAGAAGAGGAAGCAGAAATGGAAAGTCTCAGGGAGCTGGCAGGCGTGGCCGAGGCCAAAGGATCACCAAGAGCTGGCGGTCCCCTGCTGGTGCTGGAGGGCACCGTGTTTGAGATCGAGGCAACGCTAGGAAGAGTGCGAGGCTGCGAGCTTAAACTAGCCCCCTGAGACTTAGGCAGTCGGGGCTTTCCTTTTCTGTTGGATTCATGGTAATCTTCTGTATTGAGGGCAAACATCTTTCATCTGTTTGTGGGATGGAGCAGTATCAATTTGGGGGAGTTGCGGGGGGTATTTATGCTTGGATTTGACAGCCAAACTGAATTTCCCGAATGGGCGAAGCGGATGCGCTTGGTGATCAGGGGCGATGCGCATGTGGGAGGCGCTTGGTGGGCGCACGACCCCACCTGGGTAGTTTGGCAGTGCGCATCCTGCAGGGGACTGCATTGCCGTTTGCGGAAGTGCCGTCATTCACCTCGGAACATTCTGGAGTGCCGGCGTTGGTGGTCCGTGTCAGATAAGACGGAACGGAAACCAAACGGGCAGGAGGTTGCGCCCGGTACGGACCACGACGCGAAAGAGAGGTGATAGTGGTTACTGTGGGGAAATTCATGTTGTAAGTGGAGAGGCAATGGTAGTGGTGGTGGTAGTGCCAGGGTAGTGCTGTTAATGAAGGTAGCAGTGAATGAGTAGCAGCGAGTGAGTGGCAGTGAATCAGTGACAGTGAGATTGGCAGTGACAGCTGCGTACTGGCTGCGTACTGGCTGCGTATGGTCGGCGCGCATCTGCGGTGGGGAATCACAAGTAGCACGGGAATTGGAGGGATAGCCTAAACTTCCCCGAGTTTGTGTTGGGCAAGAATGGATGCTTTCCGGAAAGTAGTACGGTTGTTTATCTGGGGGATCGTGGTGGTATGGAGCCCAAAAATGGCATTGCTGATTGCCAGTTGTAGCTTGTGAGGGAGCGTGTGTAGTCTTGGTGTAGGTGGACATTGAAAGGGGACTATAAAACTACAGCTGGGGCTCCAATGGAGCTTTTACTGCGGACAAAAATACCTAGGTTATCTCCAAAACTACTACTGGAACTGCCATTAGCCTACTAAAATTATTACATGCTACATCAGTCTTTTAGAACAGCCACTGATCACCAAAATTATCATTCAAAATGCAATTACCAGTAAAATAATCACTTACTGCCAACAAGCAGCTGAAACACCACTAGATTGATCACGACTGCCACCAAGCCACTGTATGTGCCACATCCGCTCCTGAAGCTCAGCGACCTACCGTTTTTAAAGTGTTCTCACCACTCAACAACTGGTAAACCGAACTAAACCACCAATAAAGCACGACTAAAGTATCTAAAACTACTAAAACAGCCACCAGAAACACCTCTACAATTTTCATTAGAATTGGTGCTAGAAGCAACAATAAACTATCACTAGAATTAGTACCTTATGTCACTGAATCATACTGACCAACCCTAAAATTAAATAGGATAAGCACTGCCACCAATACTACTACAATCTTCATCAGATGGCCAGTAAATCACTACTCTGCCAAGCCACGGCACTGGCACCATCATAAGTTAGCCAGTAAATCACTACTCTGCCAAATCACCATTGGTATCATCACCAGATAGCCAGTAAATCACTTAACTGCCACATCTGACCACTTATTTACGCTAACCTCAAGTTCATTAATTTAATCCAAACCGCTATTTGAACCATCAGTAAAACAAACACTAAAACCATCACTCTAAAAACGAACAAACCTCTAGATCCTCAATAACTTGTTATATCTCTAGACCCGTGACTCCCGTGTCTCTGCCCCTGCGGATACCGCGACACGCGACATTTCGTGTCACCGCGACCCCTTAGCCGAGCTGCTTACGTAAGCACCCTCCTGGTCGGTCCCTCCCTACCGGCACCACCAGCACCACCAGCACCGTCACTACCACCACTACCACCACCAATCGCATACTGCCCCCCTCGCTGCCCCCTCCCTTCCCTACCACTACCCTACCACCGCTAACCCCCCACTGCCCGCCCCATCACGTTTCGCACTCCCCACTAATCACCACTGAAAAAAGCTCCCAAGCGCCAAACCATTCCACCCTAGACGCCGGACTCCAAACACCGTCGCCATCCTCCACGCCACTCCCAACACCGTCGCAGTCTCCCCCCGCTGCTTGCCACCACCAACGCGTCTTCTGTTTCCGCCACACGCCGTCTTTCCGTCCCGACTCCTAGTGGCGTCCTATTGGTCCATTTTGTACAACGACTCCATCGTCCCACCAGCTTTCCACCACATCCAACCCGCCAGACCCGCTCTGGCTCCGTCTCAGCACCCTCCCGACCTCCTGCTTCAATAAGGTGGGTTTCACCCCTGGATTGTCCCCATATCGCCAGCTAAGCGCCTCCCGCCACCAGCATGGGTAACTCGTCGTCCAAGGACTCCAGAGGCCCTCCCTTGACCAGAACCGACACAGGCAACTCCGCCAAGTCAGGACGGTCCATTCGGTCCCGAATCTCGCTCCAGAAAACCGACAGCAATGGCTATGCCAACGGAGAGCTCACGAGCTCGTCACCAGGCTCCCCCAAACAGGGCCCACGGTCACCCAAAATGCTCTCGCGCACGCCGTCCAACACCAACGAGTTGGCCATACCGTCGTCAGGCCTCTCGCGCAATTCGTCGTCGTCCAAGCTCTCGTCGTCGCACCACTCGGGCATGAACTTGCCGCCTTCCATGGCCCAGGTCCAGCCCAAAGAGCCCATCTTGATCCGCAGAAACACCAACGACACCATCGGCACGTCGTTCAGCCACTTGTCGCAGAGCGTGGAGTCGTCGCCCTTTGGAAAGTCGCCTACCAACGGCTCCAACACCCCTGCCATCTCGCGCACGTCCACCAACCACTCCATACCCAGCGTCAGCCACCCACTGTCGCCTCCTCCCGGTAGTACGGCTGAAGAAACGGAGCCCAGGCTGCCTGACGACAATGAAATACCGTCTGAGGCCGAGGACAACGTCGACAATGCCCGTCTCCAGAAGACTATCAGCGGTCAGAGCATCACCAACCATACCATCTCCAAAACCAACACCAACACCAGCTTTGGTACGTCCAACGGCGGCTCCAACAACTACTCCATAGACATAGAAGACCTCATCCAAAGGCTCTTGGACGCAGGCTACAGTGGCAAGCGAACCAAGAACGTGTGTCTCAAAAATTCGGAGATCCAGTTGATCTGTGCCACTGCCAGAGAGATCCTCTTGTCACAGCCGTCGCTCTTGGAGTTGTCACCCCCCGTCAAGGTGGTGGGTGACGTCCACGGCCAGTACGGAGACCTCATCCGTATCTTCACCAAGTGCGGATTTCCTCCCTCCACAAACTACTTGTTTTTGGGCGATTACGTTGACAGAGGCAAGCAGTCATTGGAAACTATCTTGTTGTTGTTGTGCTACAAGATCAAGTATCCTGAAAACTTCTTCTTGCTCAGAGGGAACCACGAGTGCGCCAACGTCACCAGAGTCTACGGCTTCTACGATGAGTGCAAGAGAAGGTGCAATATAAAGACCTGGAAATTGTTTATCGACACCTTCAACACCTTGCCCATTGCAGCCATAGTCGCAGGCAAGATCTTCTGTGTCCATGGCGGATTGTCACCCGTGTTGAACTCTATGGATGAAATCAGAAACATCGCCAGACCTACAGACGTGCCAGACTTCGGCTTGCTCAACGATCTTCTATGGTCCGATCCTGCGGATACCATCAATGAATGGGAAGATAACGAACGAGGGGTGTCGTATGTGTTTTCCAAGGTTGCCATCAATAAGTTCCTTTCCAAGTTTGGGTTCGATCTCGTGTGCCGAGCACATATGGTGGTCGAAGATGGATACGAGTTCTTTAACGATCGTACCTTGGTCACGGTGTTCAGTGCGCCCAATTACTGTGGGGAGTTCGACAATTGGGGCGCAGTAATGAGTGTCTCCGAGGAGCTTCTCTGTTCGTTCGAATTGTTGGATCCATTGGACAGTGTGGCCTTGAAACAAGTAATGAAAAAGGGCAAACAAGAACGTAAGTCGGCCCAAATTCAGCAGCAGCAGCTGAAATCGTGAGCAAGTGGTAACCAAAGTCTAGATCCCAGTACATAGAGGCAGTCTAGACTTGGCAGGACCATGGCTCAACGGGTTCTTTCTGGAATAATGATTTTTTAACGAATATTGATATAAGAGGTTGTTTATGATAGCACTCTGCGAGTGATGAATATTAACGGGTTAAATAGTGTAATTAGGTCGTATATATCGTTAGTTCATTTGCAATTGTAGCACCCTTAGGGGCAGGTTAAGTGTGCCATTAGGACTAGCCAGAATTGGATTTACTTCGTTTCAGCATACTAGATTTACACTTAGTGGCTGTTTTAATGATAGTGAGGAGCTAAACTGGCTTACATATCTGTAGAAACAGACAAAATGACGAGAAGGAGTCTGGCAGAAGAAAGGACAGCGAGTGGAAATGAATTTAATAAAGAATTTAATATCGAACACAGTCCAATTGACAAATGGAGCATAACTTTATAATTCAGTAACTTCCGAGAGTCTTCTGTGTTTCACTTAAATGGATGCATACCAGAAACATAAGTCAGATTTATCGGAGTGTTGTTGAATGTTTAGACACATTGGTTAACTGGACTAACAGTCGACTGGTGTCGAATTGTCTTCAAGAAATTATATTCCTAGAGAGGGCTTATCTCGGATTTTAATCAAAAAACCTGGCCTCAGCTATAGGCTTCAGCAAAGTATTGGCGTTACACAAGTTACAATTAATGTTTTAGACTAGTGTACGGTTCAGCAATTCTCTGTTTTTAATACAAAAATATCACATTATGTGTCATAGAAAGAAGCAAAGAAACTAATTGCTACAGGAGGGGAATATTCAGTTGATGAGTTCAAAATATTAGGGTTAAAGTCTTGCTCTGAATCAATTCCTAGTTGAATTTAGAGTGATCTCCAGAGTGTTGGAGTAGATCTTATTTTTCATTCAAAATATAGAAAGATAATTCAAAAATACCATCGAGCTCGTAGAAACCAACGCTAGTGATGTGGTAGCCACTTTAGGCTTTCTTAGGCCTCCTTTCCTAGCAGGAGGAATAATCCATAAACCAACACAGTCACGCGATTCCAGTCAGGTGATCAGATATTCACCGCAGCGGCTCTCCACCACAACCATCCTTTCCAGCGTCTACTCCACCGTCTGCCATGACAGATTCTCCCGTGGCGCCCTCCAGCTACTACTTCCTCCTCAAAACCGAAAACATCCAGCCGTTGATCGATGTGGTCGACCAAATCACCCGCCAGATCAACACAAACCAAGCCACCATCCAGCGATTGACTCGTTATGTGGACGAAAGGGTCAAGTTTCCCGAGCTTGAGCTCGGTCCAGATGTTCTCAAGGAAATACAGCAGTTGAGGACGGAGTACCAGCACGAGGAGAGCCATGCTGGTGAAGATACACCCAACGATGACCAGGGCAGTCCCAGTTTGATGCACAGAATCAGCGAGGAAGACGTGCGAGAAGAGCACACTAGCGAGCCAGCTCGTGAGGAACCTACAGACCCATTGCGGTACTTGCTCAAGGAGAAGTACTCGCTAGACACCATGAGTCTAACCAAGAATGAGACGAAAGAGCTCGAGAAAATTGCTAACAGCCGGATCCGCCAATTGGTGCTGGACAACATCAAGCTCCAGCGCATCCAGCATGGCAATCGGATCAAAAACCAGGCATTGGCACGGGTGGTGCAGGACTACGAGTCGCTTATTGTGGAGACCATATTACCTCCTTTGAGGCAAGAATTGCTGGAATTGGGCGATGGCGGGTTAGACAGCAGCGCTCGCCACTACATGGATGTCAAATACGACAAGATTGAGCGGATTTACGGTCGCTACGTGGCCAATCTCGAAGCGCTCCAGAACTTGACGGGAGTGGTAGAGAGACTCATGGGATTTCTTGGTCACGACAACGAGGAGTACTTGCAGTTGTACCTGCAGTTTGTGGGGTTGCGGCACTTGCGAGACCAGTTGTACCAGGTGAGCCAGAAGAGGTGATTGTGTGGTTGTGGTGGTTGTGGTGGTCGTGGGTTACAGTTTAGACCCTGACACTCCACGGGTGGTTTGCAGGTTAGTCCAGTCCGAGGTCCCTCAACATCCATACTACAGTACCCTGGGAAACTTCGATTGTGTGCTTTTCACTGGCGATTCTGCCGTTCACTGGTGAGTATGGTCCATCATTGGTGAATTGTGTAGCACCGGAGACTCTACCTCTGATGTCTGGCCATTTAATGTCTCCTCTGGCAGCAGTATTGTCTGATAATCGTGGCACGCACAAAATGCCAGACATCGTCAGACACTGCGCAGTGTGCAGCTTAGAGTATGGAACAATAGTAATATACGACGTGCGTGCGCAGCTTAAGCCCCAACCAATGTACCATTCGCTGGAGCAACAGTGGTAGTTCAGCCCCGCTAGTACCTGGGGCAAGCCAATGGCATGGCCGCTTCCGACACTAGAAGCCTCCGATGGGGCCATCACCATCGCTAAATAATATTCGCAGGAGGGACAAATGGCCTGCCAAGGGGCTGGAACTCGAACTGGAACACACCCGGTGATGCCTCCTGCACACCCTGTGTCTGGTACATGTGTGCCTCAGGGGTGTCTGGAGTTAACCGCATAGCTTCGACGTTGTCAGGCAAGCAGGCAACGGAGGTTGCGCCCCTGGCATGCCCCTGCGCGGCCTCTTGGAGGAGTTGATGCGCCAGTGTCAGGAACACCCCTGAGGCAGGTACGAGGGAGGCAGTCACGCCGACACTGGCAGTGGAAATGGCAGTCACTCTGCACCACCACTTGCAACAGCTGTCAATGCAGCGCCACTTGGTGCAGACACCGATAGAATTGACACCAGGCAGATGCTGAACAGACAGACACTCATTTACACTCATAAATTGCATTCTCCTAATCTCTCCTAATCGACTCTCTAATTCTACATTTATTACATCTTCATCTAGCAGGCATGAGTTCTATGGTATTCTATGATCATTAATTAGTAGGTGCGGATGACGAGAGTGACGACGTCGACGAAGACACCTCGCTGACCCCCGCGGGAAACCGCTCGGTGTCATAGGGCGAGAGGAGGCTGTTGATAGTGGGCTTTTTCGAGAGGTACGCCTTGGCGTCGTCGTCGCGCTGTCTGGACTCGCCGTTCAATACCCCGCGGAGCCAGGTTTTGGTTTCGTTCTTGGTGTCTCCAGACTCGGTTTTGATGGTAGGCGTGGTGGAGGTGGTGGGGGTGGTCGAGGACGACAATCCCAGCGACTGCGACGCCATGCTCTCGATGGAGGGCTGGTTTTTGAGCTGGTGTCCGAGGATGTTGTGCACCGAGGGCAACTTGTCGTCGTCGGGGTGGGAGGTTGGTATGTTCATGTAGGGCGAGTTGGGCTTGAAGCCCGACACTGGCCGCACTGCAGACACCGGGTGCGAGTTCTTGAGGGTTGTCTGGCTGAACGACTGGTGGAAGAGGGGCAGCAACGGCGACACCAAATTGGGGGTGAGTGACGGCACCGACGATGTAGACTTAGGGCCTACCCTGGCGCCCGTGGTCGCAGACACCTGGCCTAGGGATGGCCTTCGGTGGGGGATCTGGAACGTGGTGGTGTGCGCAGGGGCAGTTTTGAGGGTGGTGGTGGTGGTGCTGGTGTGGAGGGGCGCGCTGGGCATGGACGATGCCACGCCGGCAGTGTGGATCACTGGCTTGGAGTCCTCGAGGAACGAGTGCTGGAGTGCCAATGGTCTGGGCCTTCGCTTGGGCTTGAACTGGTGCGATGGAATCTTTAGCATATTATTGTTGTTGTTGCTGGGGTTGTTGTTGTTGGGGTTGTTGTGGATGTGGTTGTTCTGGATATTGTTGCTGTTCTGGTTCTCGTCAGGGCGCTGCGCCCATGCTGGCGGCGGCACGCTGTAGGGGTACGTTGGCGCGTACGTCTGCTGAGGGTACTGGTGGTGTGCCACTGGTGGCTGTGCGTACTGGTGGTAGTACTGGTGGTGGTGCTGGTAGTGGGGCGACTGCGAGTTAGGGGGCGAGATCAACGAGGGACCTGCGCTGGAGCCGGTGGCGCCAGCAGGCTTGCTGGTGGCAACATGTGAATGGTGGTGGACGGGAGCTCCCTGGTACGACGGCTTGAGGTTGAAGAGCGGGTTGTTGGGCGTGGCAGGGTGCTGGAAACCGTGGTCTTCCGCGTACGTTCCGCTAGCCACCACAGGCACCATCTTGTCGTCGTCCTGGCCACTGCCAGTGAGGCATGACTCGTACGCGTGCACCGTGTGCTTGTGCTGTCTGAGGTTGTCCAACCGCGAGAAGTTTTTGGAGCAGTAGGGACAGGTGAATGGACGTTCTCCCGTGTGCTTCCGCTTGTGTCTGGCCAAGTGCTCTGAGCGGGTGAACGACATGTTGCAGCCCGGGAAGCCTGTGCACTGGAAGGCACGTCCTTTGGAGGGTCTTTTTGCTTTTGCCTTGGATTTGGGCGACTTGGGGCTGGACGAGGGTGACGATGGCTCCATGGCGTCTTCAGGTTCGGTAGCTGGTGCGTGGGGGTGGTGGAGATGGTGGTGGGCCGTGTTGATCATGGTGGGAGGCTGGACGGTTAGCCGCTGTGGGAGGAGGGGGGAAATTGGCGGGAATAACGGAAGTGGAGGCAGAAGGGATGGGGTTGGACGTTCTGGGAAGTGTTGAAGATCCTGTTGGTCCTGGTGTTGACGCTGGAGACGTGTTGGTCCTGGTGGCGGACGTCTGTTGGTCGTGATGGTCCTATTGTTGACGTGGTCCTGATGACAAACCTAGTGCTATTCAGGCCAGAACGAGGATGCTGGATGCTGGAGGCCGTGGGCTATGCCAGGACTGAGAAAGGAGTGGTCTTTTAGTGGTTGGTCACCAGTATGGAGTGAAGAAACCAGACCCTCCTTTGTATTTATTGGGCGTAATGACAGAGGGGTAGTGTCGGTGAGAGTTGGGACAGACGTTGCAGCGAGTGACGCGGACATTGACGCAGACATTGTTGTCGCGCATATCGATTAGACTACGGTGTCTGGGCTGGCGTGGCGGCGGGGGGGTGGGGTACCAGGTTCCAGTGTCGGCGACCGGAGCTGGGAGCTGGATTGGGCCCCCCAACTCCGCAGAAGCCGGCTCCAACCTCTCCGAGCGGCAAGATTATGCCGTGGATGGCCTCGTTGCAAGGCCTAGGGGTTGGACCTCTATGCTCGCAACTGCTGGGCCCATGGACGGGGGACATTTCTGCATGGTTTGGTTCCTGGTGCAGGGCGCATATCTGGGCCCAGTGCGGATGCCTGGGGCGGTTTGTGTTCCCAGCCTGCCGCACCCGGTTTGGGACGGGCCTGGCGTGACTGTCTGCGTGTAAACAAACTGGACCCCGAACTACGACAGATAGCGAAAAAGCCTTACTATTGTTGCGAGGCTTTCTAGTCTACAGGCACAACGGCAATTACGTCTAATCCGGACCGCCCACCTACATCCGTGGCCGAAACCGCCTGAGCCTTGTAATTGGGGCTTCCCACCAAAGCTGGCGTTTTGACGTCGGCAATGGTGCCTGGCATCGCTCTGCCCAGTGTCTGCATCGTACGCTTCGTTCCCAGTCGCGATCGTACACCCTTAGCCCATTTGCTGGGGCAAAAAGAAATGGTGGCTCGACATCACCGCCCTGAGCCATGGCCTAGCGGAGAATCCTGCCACGCTAAGCCTGAATCCAAATCTAATCCACCACCACCACCACCACCACCACGATCACCAATCCAGGCCTGGCCAGCTTGTTTTGTCAATTTCACTCGTGTCTGCGGACTCGCTTCGTGTAGCTGCATGAGAACCCATCATTTGGTACTTATCAACAACGTTTCCGATGCTGTCACCACACCCAGACGCCCATACCCAGCGTTCCGCATGTTGTGCAGCAAATATTTTTCACCACAAGAAAATAGTTTTTCGGAGCATTTGCAGATTGGCCACCAGATGGATGCGCCCGGCTGGGGTGGCTCTTTGTTAGAAATGTCGTGCGCCCGCCAGATGACTTGAAATCTGGACACCTGGCTACCAACCTGGGGATGGCCTGCTCCGTGCCACATACGTGGAGCTGTTAGTGCGGGTTACTGGGGTGTTCTGAGCATTACCTAGCGCAATTACTACATGTAAAGTGTCGGGACAGCTTGCGCCAGCTTGGTGGCATAAGCGCGGGTTAGGCGTTGAAACATGCCAGGTACATCCGACACGAAAGGTACACTGGTTGTCCGCAGCAGGAACAGGACAAATACAGGCACCAAGCACCACCAGCAAAATGTCCAGGCCCTCGGCGCGTGCGAGGAGCGCGTGTCGCACGCAAGGAGTCGCCCTAAAATGTCAGGCAAATATTTCCGAGGCGCTACCCACCACCGAAGATCGGCTCCCCGCGACTCCCAGTGCGAGACAATAGAACAAATTTACTGATCGGACATGTGATGGCGTGTTTGGTGCGGCATCTGGTGGGTCCGCCAAAGCGCATGGCCTTACCGGGGGAAAACCGACAAAAACCAGTGGTGTGATTTAAGTTTGGCCAGGCCGGATTAAACGACAAACCTGCGCGATCTGCGCTCTCATGACTGGACATTTTCTGATCCGAGTGTCGGCATACTGCCAGAGAACAACAGACATGTCAGTCATCGAGGCACCACCACCAGCGGCTTAACAAATTAAGGTTGGCGGCCACATAATATCCCCCAGAGATCTGTCTGGGAACGTTATTCTTCTGCAGTTGCGCACGCATATACCTCGCAACCGACTGCGTATCAATGTTCCCTTGCATTTACGTTGGTGGTACCGTTCATGTTACTCAGCTCTCGTCATCTAGACCCATCCTCGTGCTCTCTACGCCCAGCCGCACATCGCTCAGCCTGTTCGTAAATTACCCCACACGGATCCAGGTCTTCTGGGTGCACCAAATAGAGAATTGGAAATGCAGAATATAACGGGCACTAAACTAAACCTCTTCGTGTCACCTTTTAGTGACACCTTTTCGTCACACCCTCTCGCAACACCCTTTCGTATCATCTTTTGGTGACGCTTGTGACACTTCAACACTCACATGTCCAAGTTAAACAATAACCGTTTTACCTGCAACAACCTTAATTACGCTTTGGGAGCTGGAATTTCCGCGGTGCTGCACCAGACGCCAATCACCTGGAGCAATCGCCAGTCACCACTAGCTCATCACTAGCCATACTATTCCATACTACAATACTCCCGGGAATCTCTGCACTTCGTCTCTCCACAGGACCAACTATAGAGTTATCGGTATCTAATAATATTAATTGAGCTTCTTCATTCCTCGTCAAAGTAATTACATTGAAAAGGCTTTTGTAAGCCTCTTCTACATGGGTTAATTTTCAAATTAATTTTAAAGAAGATGACGAACCAGTTCATTAAGTATGTTATTACTGTATTCGCAAGTTAGAAGTCGGACACCATTACTTTCAAGAAAATACCATCGGCGGTGGATTTCAATGTAGCACCATTCTCTAGACCTTCATTTCATGGTGGTATCAGATCTGATCTGACAGAAAAATTAGTGTTGAAAGCATTGCTTAAATAAGTTAACATGAATGATAAAAATGACGAATCTGATTTGACTGAAAAATTAGTGTTCAAAGCATTGCTTGAATAACTAACATGAATAATAGAACCCCTGCTCCCGAGCCATCCTTCACACTACAACACCACTACATCCTTTCGCTGGTTTCCTACACATATTTTGCTGTAATCATCGAACTCCTCGATATTCCACCTCTATGTAATTATCACTAGCAACAGCTGCTGCTAGCCGTTTCGGTATTATCCACGCTTATGTCGATGGTTTCTGGTTTGTTTTTTCTATGCTCGGTTTCGTCGCTGTTGGTGCCAAATTCTGGCAAGCTTTGGGCAATCTTCTTGAACAACAACTTGACGTTGTGGTTCGCCTTGGTGGATGTTTCGATGGCAAAACGTGCTCCCACCTCCTTCTGCAACGCCTCCATGTCCTCTGCTGTCACCTGGCGCTTGTCGTTGCCCAAATCCGACTTGTTTCCCACCAAAACCACAATCACATCGTCGCCACGCTCCAACTTGACGTCCTTGATCCACTTGTCCAAGTTGTTGAAACTCTTTTTGTTGGTTATGTCGTAGCACACCACTGCAACGTGGCTGTCCCTGATGTACGAGGGTATTAAGCTTCTGAACCGTTCTTGCCCTGCAGTGTCCCATAGCTGCAAGCGAATGGTTTTGTTATCTTCCAAGTACATCGTTTTCAGCAAGAAGTCTATTCCGATCGTGGCTGCGTACTGCTCGTCGAACGTGTCGTACATGAAGCGGGTGATCAACGAAGTTTTGCCCACTGTAGGTTAGTATTTGGTGCTTAGGGGCTGTTCCGGCTGTACTTACCACTTTGGTCGCCCAAAAAGACGATCTTGTACTTCTTCATGATGTTGGTGCTTTCAGACCCATTTTTGGAGGCACTCATGTTGTCTGCGGTTGGGGATGGGGAGTTTGGCTGTTTCGACAGTGTCTGTTAAAGGCTGATTTCTGGTCAAATTCTCCGTTTTCTGTGCGGATTTTGGGACGGGGGGTATGAGAGATCCGGGGAATTAAGCCAGTGGACCGCGTGATTCGAGCTTTCGGTGCTTGATGCTGGATTCGTGACGGTTAGATAGAACAGGTTTCCTCACCGGTTGGTTCGAGGATCGGTATGTGGTCACGCGCATCGCACGTGACACTCTCTCACACGACCCAAAATTGCCAAAACCTCCTACACCAGTGCTGAATCAGTAATACCGTGCCATGGACGACGCCGAATTAAACGCCATCAGGTCTGCCAGACTTGCCGAGCTCCAGAAAAACGCCGGAGGCTCTTCTTCCCCAGCTGGAGCATCCCCACAAGCGGCAAAAGCCGATGAAGCAAAGCTCTCCATGCTCTCCAGACTCTTGGAGCCAAGTGCCAGAGAACGTCTTAGCCGTGTTAGAATAGTGCGTCCAGATCGTGCCGAGCAGGTGGAGAAGTACATTGTCCAGCTTTACTCGATGGGCCAGATTTCGTCCAAGCTTAATGAGCAAGACGTGGTGCAGATATTGGACGGATTATCCAGAGACGAGAAGAAGCAAAACACATCCAAGATTGTGTACAACCGAAAGCTGACGTTCGAGGATGACGACGACGACGATTTCTTTGATTAGTGGGTGTATATAGAGTCGTTCTGACTAATCAATAACTAATGGAGAAGACAAGTGTAGGAACAAGAGCGAGGTCCACCAATGGAATGATCATACTAATGGAAGAAAATAGTAACTAAGGAAGAGTGAGGGTCCACAGTACCAATGGAAGATAAGTTACGCAGTAACCGTTGGAGGATGAGGCTCGTATTTAACTAAGATAAGGTCCACGGAACCAGTGGAGTGTAATTCCCTTAGTTAACCAATATAAGATCATCAACCAATCAATTGAGATCTTAACTGCTGCTGGTTACACCGTCTGATGTCTTGTATTTCACCCTTGTGAGTACTGGTCAGTAACCCAAGGGAGGTAGCTCCAAAGTAACCACCAACTGACTATAGTAGCTCAATAAGTATACTGTAACTACGACGAGGTCTTCTTGATACGTAGTTTTAGTATAGAGAAGTTGTAGATTTTATAGCTTGAGAACCATCAGTCGCTTGTTGGGGGAACAAGGCGAGAGCACCAGCAAAAGTGGGTGTCTTGGCCCCTCTGTACCAGGTGAGAATTCTCTGTAATTCTACCTACCGTGAAGTAAGGTCACGATGTAGCACTGGTGACAAATCTAGAAGAGACCAACCGCATCGACGAGAATTCTATCCTTGCCAGCTAGAAACCCAGTAAGGTATTACTCAGAGAAAACTGCTCCAACCAGGAAGACTACCACAATTAGTAATATATTACGTAATACAGATTGGTTTCGTTTCATATAGCACTGGAAGGAGTGAGTAGAGCAACGTGCCAAACTGAGAGACACGCAGCTAGTTTCGATTGGTAACTGGTGGGTGCTCCTGGCTCCCCCACAGCTAGTTTTTCCTACCTCTTCCTCCTTTAGCACTGTTAATTATTTCGGCTGCTACAATTCAATATAGTTAGCCACAGCATAGACACGGTAAATAGCACTCTAATGTAATCTTCTACTGTACTACATGCGAGTACACAGATCCAGTGTTTGACACGGTAAGTCCACATACAAAATCTCATCTTCAAAAACCCCATATTCTGCTCGCGCACGCCCCGACACGTCCTGCACCAATCCCACCAAAACAAACATCCATCACGACTTCTCCAGCCAGTTCCTCCACAATGTCCAACATCCAGGTGGTAGTCAGGTGTCGTGGGCGCAACTCACGCGAAGTGGCTGCAAAGTCGCCCATCGTCATCGAGTTGCCCAACGACCGCTATTCGGTGACGGATCCGTACATCACCATCAACACTGCTCATCATACAGGCACCAATCCAGCCAGTGCCAGCCAATCGGCCAGCTTTTCAGGACAGAGTTCACATGAGCGTGGCGGTGCCAGCGTTGGAACGGGTTCCAGAAGGTCTTCGGGGCCCAGTCCTGCTCTTCCATACGCCAACTACAAGACGTACAAAGTGGACCAGATCTACGGATCCCAGGCGGACCAGGGGTTGGTGTTCGACCAGGTGGCGCTCCCACTCTTCAACGACTTCATGGGAGGCTTCAATGTCACCATTCTTGCCTATGGGCAGACAGGCACTGGAAAGACATACACGATGTGTGGAGACCAGACGGGAGCGTTGATGACTCCACGCGTGCACGGCAAGGGCGAGAGTCCCCGCGTGTCGCCTCTTGTGGACTTGCGGCCCTCCAAGGAGGCTGGTATCATTCCAAGGGTGTTGATCGAGTTGTTCCACAGACTCAGACGAGACGACTACGTGGTTAAATGCTCCTTTTTGGAGTTGTACAACGAGGAGTTGAGAGACCTCCTCGAGGACGACACCCGAGCATCCAAGTTACGCATCTACGAGAACGTTTCGGCCCAACCTAACCCAAAAAAGCCCATTTCCAAGTCCTCCAAAGGTATCATCATCCAGAACTTGAATGAAGAGTACATCTCAAGTTGCAACGACGGCCTTAAGTTATTGAGCAAAGGACTTAACAAGAGAAAAACTGCCAGCACCAAATTGAATGACGTCTCATCCCGTTCACACACTATTTTTACGATAAATCTATATCGCAAGAAGGCACAAGAGGGCACGAACGCAGGATCTGGGGGCGACGAGCTCTTCAAAGTGTCCAAGATGAACCTAGTCGATTTGGCTGGCTCTGAAAATATCAACCGGTCTGGAGCAGTCAATCAAAGGGCAAAGGAAGCGGGACTGATCAATCAGAGCTTGCTAACTTTGGGAAGGGTTATTAATTGCTTAAGCGAGACTTCCACAGCAACACCAGCGTCTCATATCCCATATCGTGAATCGAAGCTCACGAGACTACTCCAAGACTCTATTGGAGGCAGTACAAAGACCACTCTTATTGCCAATATTTCTCCAGCCAAAATCAATATAGACGAGACTATCTCAACGTTGGATTATGCCAGTAAGGCCAAAAATATCAAGAATGTTCCACAAGCTGGCCATGATTCTGAGCTTGTGATGAAAAAGGTGTTGGTGAAGAATTTGTCACAGGAAATTGTCAAATTAAATAGCGATTTACTCGCTACTAGAACCAAAAATGGTATTTGGATGAATGAAGATAACTACAATGAAATGAACGATGAAAACGAATCTTTGAAATCAAGTTTGAAAGAATCGGATTTGAGGAATGAAGGTCTTACTAGTAAGGTAGGCCAGTTGGAAGACCAACTATCAGAAAGAGATTTACAAATACTAGAGTTACAGGCTAAGGTGACTGATCTAACCAAGGCTAACTCAGAATTAAAGTTGGATACAGATACTGTTAAACATGAGTTGGCCGAAAAGAACGAGCAAGTAATCTCCTTAAATGGCCATATAACGAGGATCAATGAGAGGTTTAACAATACTTCTACTAAGCTTACTACCGTCATCTATGAGAACTTGAAAAAATCGATTGAATCGATCAATACAATAACGAACAACTATGATAATGCTAAAAACTGTGATGAAATATTGAAACTCGATAATGAGATGGTTAGAAACATCAATAAATTCAAACAGGAAGTTTTGGAGAGAATCAGAGGTATTAATGAAAATGTCAATAGCTCCTTCGTTAAAGATTTGCCTGAATTTCTAGACCAGTATAATCAGAGTTTTAACCATATCAATGATATAATACTATCCCTTAATTCGAACTTGGTCACCAATTTGTCAGAATTGAAATCAGCTAACCATTCCATGGCAGAATACTTAACCAATCATCATCTCGAAAAGAATGCTGATAAATTAGTGACTGATTTCATCAACAAGAAACTAGCTGACGATGTTGAGAAATTGAATCTGCATGTATCGGCCCAAGTGAATGGACTAATCAAGGATTCTCAAGCGAAGTATCAATCACTTATAAAAAGCTCCATTAATCAAATGGCGACTGATTTGATCAACTCAGAAAAAATACAATTAAATTCATTTCAAAAGGACTGGTCCGAAATTACTTCCAAAGCATTACTCTCCATCGAAGAAGATTTAACAAGCTATAATAGCGAGGATGTAAAGGCTAATAACGAGCACTTTGACAAGCTTAATCAAGAAGCAAAAACCACACTCACTACATTGAATGAAAAGAACTCGAAATCTTTGGCTTCTTTCGTTTCCTTTATCGAACGTGAAGAGAAAGGAGCACATAGCATTTTGAGGAAACACCTACCTGCTAAATTGAGTCAAATTAGCAATAGCATCGCAGAAAATGATTCCAACATCAACGAGTCATTAAGTGGAATCAGCAGGAGCTTGAACGAAATCAAGCAGTTTGATACCAAGAATGGGTTCAGAGTATCTCCGGTGAAATTGATGAGGAGTAAATCATTTCAGGAGGCATCAAATTCGAGCATTCCCTCCCCAAATAAAGCCCAAAGATTGCTGTCATTATCTCCCACCAAGCTCAAGGCCCCCAATGGTGGTCAAGAGAGCTTCAAAAGCAAGATACCGCAACTCACCAGAACTTTAGAGAACAAGGAGAACGATGGGCATCAGAGCAAAAGGAGACGGGTGGAGGAGTGAGTTGGTTTATTTGGCTTCGAAAACTATGTATAATACAGCAAAGCTGACCATGTATAATTGTATCACTAGTAATAATTAATTTAGGATCTAACTGTAGCCAGCCCCAATCCGTAAGAACGGCTTGCCAAGTATTGATGAAAATTAGCCAGAGGGACTGATGCGAGAAATACAATACAAGTAGAGCAATAATGTCCATGAATAGAATTGTTAAGACTTTAATAAAGGCTACACTAATAGATACTTCGCAGAAAACCAGGCACTAGCAAAGTCCAAATACAATCGACAACGTATTTCATCCTCAAGCCACAGCTCTCAATATTCACGTTCAGGTAAAGAATACATGGAGTAGTAGCAGTATCAATATCCTAACTTCAATATCGGATTAAAAAACTAAGTCTCGTTTGTAGGTTAAAGAACAGGATCGCTCGTACGAGCTTTCTTTTCTAGCCTCGCAAGTTTGCTGCCTAAACTAAGAATGTTTGCCGTGCCTTCGTCCCGGGCCCCGCTAGCTATAACCCCTCCGCTTGCTAAAATTGCGTCATCCCCGCGCCAAACTCCCCCAATCCTCGCTAGCTCCTTGCTATTTTTCCCCTACTCCCCGTCGCTAGGGAGTGTGCCCCGCGCTCTGATCGAACACGAATCTTTTAGGCGCTACTTCCACACCTATCCACCTCCATTCCATCTCTGAATTCCAGTATCAACGTCACTGGTATCTACCCATCATTCCCCATCACCACCACGTACCAGACCCCTCTGAATCCAGGCCTATTTTCATTATTTGTTGGACAATTCCATTCTACCGCTAGCTAAGCTAGCGTCAAACTATCCACATCCTTGCCAGCACACAGATCATGGTATCGAAGTCCGCAGGCTACTTTCTAGCCTACACGGCATTAAGCATTGCCCTTTTCGGGTGGTCTATAGAAGACTCCCTCCGCAACTCGGTTAACTTCAATATCTTTCTCATCGAGCTCACCGACGGGTTCAAGCTAGGAGTGCTTATCAACTTCATCGTGTTCCTCTTCATCAGCATCGACAAGGCACTCCAGTTGATCCTCTTTGGAGAACTTCGGATCATCGAAACAGAGCATTTGATCGAGAAAATGCCCTACTTTGCCTTCAACTTGTTCTTCAATTTTGCGACCAACGACAGCAACCACTTGTTAACCATCATCTTGGTGGGCATGTCCATCAGCTTCAAAATCTTCCATGTGATCTTGTTCGACCGCTTGGACTTCGTCAACATGAAAATCATGAACAACTCCTCCGGCACCAAGTTTCAGTTGTTGCGCAAGTACTTGACGAACTTCAACTTCTGGCTTAACTTGATTTTCATCGTCTTGGACTTCGCTATCGCCAAGTTCTTGGTGTACGATGTCATCCAAGGCATCAACTCGGTCACCTGCCTTCTTTTTGGGTTCCAGTTTGCGGTCCAAGGAGTGGAAGCCTTGACCTACTACTCTAAGTTGTTGTTGAATGTATTTGAGCTAGTCTACTTCCGGGACTCGGAGGAAGAAGAAGACGACCCAGTCAATTTGGATGCCGACGAAGACGACGACGACAACGAGTTGAGAGTATGGGAAAACAAACCCTACTTTAGCAAGGGCATTGACATTGCATCTGAGTCGTTGAAAGCAATCTCCTACCTTTGTTTTATCTACCTCTTGACAGTTTATTCCGAATTGTCATTACCCTTGGCCATGCTCCAAGGAACTTATTCCTCCTTGAGGCAAGCATACACTGAGGTCAAGCAGTTGATGGCCTTCATCGAATCCTCCAAAAGATTGGACAGTCAATTACCCACAGCCACCAAAGAGGACTTGGATGCTTCCGATAATCTTTGCATAATTTGCCGGGAGGACATGTACTCGCCAGAGCTGTACCAGGCCGCTTTTAAAAAGCCATTGGCGTCCAGAAAATGCCCCAAGAAATTGATTTGTGGCCACATCTTGCATATGGGATGCTTAAAGGAATGGCTAGAAAGATCTGACAGCTGTCCTATGTGTAGAAGGAAAGTTTTCGAAGGCCCCAATCCAGAATCCGCTCCTCAAGACGATACCCGTGCTGCTCCCACTGAAACACCAGCTACAAATACACCCACCAATACCCAGCCACCATTCAATCACCCAGTGGAAGAACTTGAAAGAAGATTGGAGGAGTTCACCAACTTGATCCACAGAAGAGAGAGAACACTCGACGACCATCAACCCACGCCAACACAGCAACAGAATACTTCTTCTCTCGAGTCAACAGAGAATGCACCCGCTGAAGGAACCAGTGCATCTTCCCAAACGCCAGCATACCAAACGATCAGGCTCCCCTCCAACGCCGTCCTCCCGCCAAATTGGATCATATTGCCTCTCGAAAAACAAAGCACCTCTGAGGTCCTGGCTGCTGGTAGTCAGGCCGGGTACAGAGTGAATTTTTCCACCAAACACCAGGGTACATTGCAAGTCAAGCCCAAGGAGCGCAACTCGGAGTTAACCTTGATCAGGCCATCATAGGAAAGATTATAGAAATGTCACAGTGACAGACTGATGAAAAAAACTAGCTGAAAATTGACAATTACAGGAATAAATTAATGGGTTGACTCTTGGTTTCGGGGTAGTGTAGATCAAAGGTTCTCCAATCGCTGCCATTGGCTTATCCAACTCGTGATTGGGGTGTACGAATAATGATCAACTGATCTAGGAACGATACGTGAAATATTGATCTATAGAAACTTTTATGAGTCTACAAACTGCAGAGTATGTTGTGTAGGAACACTTATAATGAACGATAATTATGAAATAAAAATCGGGACCAATTAATAATTGTCCGAGTTTAGATACGTCTATCTTAGCTCACCGGCTGGAACATTTTTGGTCACTGCAGTGCCTGTTTCTATTTATTTTATGACTTGGCCTCCGGTACGATTAACGGAAACATTCGTTATCTATAATAATTGACTATTGGTAGTAGTCCTGACTGGTTTAATTTATCAGTTCTATTGCGATCGACTTTAATTTTCATGTCTAGTCGTTATACTTCGGTCGATATCTTTGATCTCCTTTGATTGTCCTGCCCATTTTTTAGGCTGTTGCTCAAGATTAGTAGGATTTGGTTCTGTTTAACTTTATTCCAGTTGTATTTCGACTCAGTCGAAATCAAAATCAAGGTCCAAACCGCCGTCCACGGTATTAGTCAGAGCGTCTCCATCACCACTACCTGGGGCTTCAGGAGAGTTGAACGTTACTGGCGACCCAGGGACTTCGTCTGGTGCCGCAGATTCGTAGCCTCCATCTATAAATTCTGGAGGAGAGGCCGTGGTAAACCTCATGTCGTCGTCGTCACTGTTGTCATCGTTCTCCTGTACGTCTACGTGCAAGTCCAGGTCTACCCCCAGATTGCCCAAGTAGATCTCCTCTGTGCTTCCTGCCATCTCTAGCACTTGGTTCACCTGCTGTTGAAGGTACTTCTTGGGAAAACTAAATCCCAATTCCTCACACCTCTCCCAGTTTGACTGCAATGCCTTCAAGTTCTTGACCACACCTGCTCTTTCCTGGTCCCCGTACCCTTCCACAAGCTCTACGCTCTCCATAAGGTTACAGAGTCCCATGAGAAAGTAGCACACACCTTCGTGATTGTACGGGGGCACCAAAAGAAGCTCTTCAAGTTTATCTCTGAGCTTGCTGTGGTCGCCTCTCATGAGCAACGACCATAGTGCGCTGACTGAGTAGACAGGAGCTCGCATCTTGGACCCGGATCTCCACATGGGAGCAGCCAACTGTCTGGCATGGCCCTTGTTGAACGCGGCATTGAGGTTGGTAATCACATAAAACGACGAAAGCCAGTCGAAAAACTTCTCGTCCTTATAGACCGAGGACTTGGCTGGGTCCAATGCCTGCCTCTGCCTGACAATCTCCACTCCTAACGGCCAGATGGACCGCAAATCGACCATCCGTATTCTGATCAAGATGCAAAAGATCTTGTATGCAAGGTCCCAGTGGCGCCTGAGAACGCTGAGGTGTAATAGCGTCTTAAGATTGTTGACGTGGTAGCGTGGGTAATAGTACGAGGGCTCGTAGTTCTGCACAGGTTTAGTTTCGAGACCCTGGGCCCTCACTTGGAAGTGATGCTTGACCCAGCTTGCAGACGGGTCAAACGTCTCATTATACGACTTCCAGGTCTCCAGGGCCTCGAAATACTCGTAGGGCTCGCCATCGTCATCGCCTTCGTCCTCATCAAGCGCTTCCACGATCTTTTTGGCCAATATTTCTCCTTCCTTTTCTGGTTTCGTGTGCCTCAAATTGGTGTTGAGATTACGATGATCGTGCCATATTTCGTACGTCTCCTCAGGCTTCGGCTTCTCTTGGATATCCTTCCGTATCAATCTTAGAATCCGGTTCTTATTTGCTGGTGACTGGAGGACTTTTCGTTGTTTGGGAGTTAACGTTTTCGAGTGACAGAGCTGGTAGTACCATCTCTGTTCGACGTGCTTCAACTCTAGACGCTCTAGTTTTTTGATTTTACCCTCCTTGTATATGTACGGGAACGTGACATCTTCGAACATTGCAGTGGAGTGGAAATGTGGAAGATGTAGTTGGACTAATGGTGATAGATTTGAGCTGGCGATGCCGGATCACATGATCAAACAGCACGTGACTAAATATGTTACAGAGATGTGTACGGGGAGAGATTCTTACGTATTGAAGTATCAATGACAGCCGACTACATTAACCATGACATGTGAGAGATTTAAGATTGAACGGTTTACTAGGATGGATATAAGCTGCTGATAAGAAGCTATTAGTAATGGATTATTAATATAACTTAACATACAGCACTCAAGGTTGATCTGTTACATTCCTTCTTTACTTTCTGCTCGCTAACCCTATATTCGAGACTATATACATTAAAAATATACAGGTTACTATATTCATTCATGGACTTCGAAGCCCAATTAGGCTATCGTAAATCGTCAATTTCTATGCTTAGAACATACCTGGCATACCACCCATTCCTGGAGCAGCAGGTGGTGGGGCGGCACCCTTTGGTTCTGGAGCATCGACAATGGCACATTCAGTGGTGGCCAACAAGGAGGCAACACCAGAGGCGTCGACCAAACCGTTCTTGACAACCTTGAATGGATCAATGATACCAGCAGCGATCATGTCGGTGAACTCACCCTTGGCAGAGTCGTAACCTCTGTTGAATTCTGGTTCATCGTAGATCTTGCCCACAATGACGGCACCTTCTTCACCGGCGTTTTCGATGATTCTTCTACCTGGCTTGGTAATGGCGGACTTGATGATTTCAACACCCAACTTTTGGTCGAAGTTTTCAGCCTGAGCCTTGACTTCATCCAAGATTCTGGAAGCCTTAATCAAAGCGGTACCACCACCTGGCAAGATACCTTCTTGGACGGCAGCTCTGGTAGCGTTCAAGGCATCGTCGTAACGGTCCTTCTTTTCACCGACTTCAACTTCGGAGGAACCACCGACCTTGATGACAGCAACACCACCGGACAACTTGGCTAATCTTTCTTGCAACTTTTCTTTTTCGTATTCGGAAGTGGCAGCATCGTCAACGGAAGTTCTGATTTGTTCACATCTGGTTTGGATGTTTTCCTTTGGACCTTCGCCGTTCAAGATAACAGTGTCTTCCTTGGAGATGGTGATAGAACCAGCAGAACCCAACAAGTCAACAGTGGCGTTTTCTGGCTTCAAGTCCAATTCCTCAGTGAAAACAGAACCACCAGTGAGGATGGCAATATCACCCAAGATGTTCTTTCTGTTGTCACCGAAGCCTGGAGCCTTGACAGCACAAACTTGGACTTGGCCTCTCAACTTGTTCAAGATACAAGCAGCCAAAGCCTCGCCGTCGATGTCCTCAGCAAGAATCAACAATGGTCTTCTGGTTTGGTTGGACAATTCCAAGGATGGCAAGATGTCTTGGATGGAAGAGATCTTCTTTTCCGACAACAAGATCAATGGGTTTTCGAACTCGACCTTACCACTCTTGGTGTTGGTGATAAAGTATGGCGAGATGAAACCACGGTCGAATCTCATACCTTCGGTGACTTCCAACTCGTCTTCCAAGGTCTTACCTTCCTTGACGGTGATCACACCCTCCTTGCCGACCTTTTCCATGGCAGAGGCCAACAAGTCACCGATGTGCTTGTCACCGTTGGCAGAAATGGTGGCGACTTGCGCGATTTCTTCCGAGGTGGTGATCTCCTTCTTGTTTTGTTGCAAGAAGTTGACAACCGCTTCAACAGCGGCCTGGGAACCTCTTCTCAAGTCCATAGGGTTGCATCCAGCAGCCACGTTCTTGACGGACTCGGTGAAGATGGATCTACCCAAAACAGTGGCAGAAGTGGTACCGTCACCAGCACTCTCGTTGGTCTTGGAGGCGACTTCTTGCAACAATTTGGCTCCCAAGTCTTCGAACTTATCTTGCAAGGTGATGGACTTGGCCACGGTGACACCGTCCTTGGTGATCTTTGGAGCTCCGAAAGACTGTTCAATCAAGACGTTACGACCTTTTGGACCCAAGGTGACGGAAACAGCGTCAGCCAAGGTGTTGACACCCTTCAATAAGGCGGCTCTGCCTTCAACTCCGAATTTTAATTCCTTGTGGGAGAGGTTACGAATGAACGATCTGTTGATGGATTGACGAGTAGTTCTCAACATTGTGTGTGGGGAGTGGAAACGTTCGGGGTAGGAGTTGGTTTTATATTGAGGAGCGGTGAGGAAAAATTTTCCAGAAAGTTCCAGGGTCACGTGGGTGGGTGCAAAAAGTCTGAGACACGGGTGGGTAGGAGTAGGTCCAGAGGCAGGGGTGGGAGTCCTGGGGACATGCTGGCGAGGTTTTAGTATGACAAAGTGCGTCTAGTATAAGTAATTAGAGAGAGTGCCTGTTTTATGTAGAACATCATTGTGATTGTTTATTCATCTGGCGATATAGAGCTGAGAGACGTGAGATTCTGATACTGTACCCAATTGGAGAAAGTGACCAGCAACAATTTTTCATTGCATCTGGAAAATAGGGTCAAGACTCCGGTAAGAGCTGTTGTAGCATTTGCATTGGTCTGGGAGTTTCAAAAGACGTTCGAGAATTTTGCTAAGTCTTATGAGTCCAACTAGCTATAATATGTCCAACGGGAGGACCTCTTAGTCTTAAATTCTGATCGGGGGCGCGAGGATAAGGTCTGGTGGTATGGCAAAGGTAAGCAAATTTATTACCACCAAACCTATATATGGTTATTGGAATCAAATAAGTTGCTCCTTACCTGTTATTTAAAAATGGTTTGCCCTGTCAATTTAGGAGAGATTTGTAATTGTGCAATTTGTGAACAGTTCAAAATTTGTTAATTTATTCTCAAAAACAAGGAAATGTTGGGGTTTGTGACAAATTTTCAACTATTTTTAAAAAGCAACACTAAAGTTCAGATATAAGGCATACCGCCGGGCTCGATTGACGAGTTCAATTGCTCTTCTTTTATTTGGGAATATAGATTGTATTTCTTTGAAGCATTTCTAAAACACACATCAAACCAACACCTCAATAAACACAAAAACAGCTTAACCATAATAAAATGTTTACTGAGTTTAGAAAGCATCGTGCTACTCGTCATAGGACTTACTGTACCCTTGTACTTACAAAGATATTCTCCATCATTGAATAAATTAAGCAGTAGGTGTATTTAGCCTGATCAGCCCAAGCGCAACCTTCTCTCCACCAGCCCAGTTCCTCAAACCTGACAAGCTATGGTGTCTTACAACGCTCGACAACTAGGCAGTACTACCCAGAATATGCATTATTCACTTTCATATGTGTTTGCCTCTAAGTTAATTTCCCAAGTCTCAAATCTGATTAGTACACTATTCTGCTTAAGAGGTGTAGCAGTGCGAAATGACTTTGAGTCAAGACCCTCCCTATCATCATAACTATTCAGACAGATTGGAATAGCAGGAAGACGTCTCCGGTGAGAATAAGGTAAGACGTCCCTGAGAGATACTAGTCAAAATCCCCAACGAGAGCTACTATTTCAAATACCTTGCAAGAAAACGCGTTTTAAAGATTGTTTCCCTTAAATAACACACAGATGTTGAATGAAGCAGGAATCATACATTTCAACGCCAGAGAAGATGTGCCCAGCAATGAGCCAGAGGGGACACATATTTTGGACATGTTGGTCTATGTCAACTCATGGAGCCTTAGAAACTGTATATGGTCTCTTTACGATTGGATGAAACGAATTGAAGGAATTTTTGAAATACTGAGGGTACGTTTCCCACCCTTCAAAGTGGCGGTATGGACCATCTTGGAGATGGATTCCTGTGAGGAAAGGGAGGAGATGGAGAAGATGCTTGCGAAACACTCCATCCAGATAAAGACTAAGGGAAAAGATCCCGACTTGATATGGTCCGAGTTCGTAGACTATGCCCGTTCCGTGAATCAAGACCACTATGACTACATTATGCAAAATCGCTGAAACAGAAGCCACGGTTGAAGTCGATGGAGGGTTCAGAAAGTTTGTGCCATCTACCAATTATGGCAATTCGCTAATGCAACTAATACAGTACACTCAATTTGAGAAGTCATCTTTAGGAAGCAGTTACGGCAAGCGCGTCGAAACTCTTGTTTGACAGGATTATAGAGTAGTCTCAGTTAGCTTGAAAACACAGTATAAGTGGAACTTAGTTATGTCGAGCCAATCATTGGTACGTTCCTCCTGTGAAATATGCAAAATCTTTAGGTCAAACGGACAAGGGTCCCAAAAATAGGAATTAAGGTTATTGGATCCAATTGTAACTAGGCTGTTCTCTACCGGAGATTCCGTTCCAAACCAGAAGTGGAAAATGAATGTAAATTCCTCCACGAGTACTTTCACAAGTTTATGCAAATAGCGTCTTGACTATAAGTTTAATTAAGTCTTGGTTGATTTTCATAATCAACGCCACTTTGGTCCTAGAGTTTTTTCAGATTCATCTAAAAATCCAGCTGAATGAATTTCTGGTGGTGTTGCTATTGTCTTAAATCCAATACGAACAATCAAAGTTGAGGATTGTAATTTTATCAGAAAATTCAAAATCCCTGGTATAGTTGCTTCAGAAACATTATCGACTGGATTGAGGGGTGAATAAATAGTGCTTTGTTCCCAAACAAGCGACACACAAGTACGCATAACCACTCAATAGAGTTTCTAATTTGCAAAATTATTATTACATAATTTATATCATTAAAACTCAGACCATAAGTACAGAATATGACTGTTCATTCACTCTACTTGTTGAATATTTGCATACTTCACTTTAATCTATGACTCACTGCCCATGTATAGATGTTTCCCAGATTAGTGAAGTAAGAAAACGCCCTGATTCGACTTCCTCCTAGAACGATACCCTACATTAAGTTACAAAAAACCACTAATGCGTGATTCTCGTTCCTTGTAGCATTTCAGGGTGGAAGCCACTTTCCATCGCTTGGGAATGTTCCAGGTAGCTAGGCCCAGCGTACCAGGTAGCAGCTCCTCCACGACATCTAATTCGGTAATATTGCACAGATCTTTCGCTAGATTCCGCCAGCCGGTTGGTTCCCATCAAAAGTTGCAACCACTACTTTTTGCAGTAATTTCTTTCCACCGCCAGGAATCTTAACATTTGCACCCATTGTTACCATGGGGCACTTGCTGTACTGGAACATCCTAGCCGTCTTTCGCTCTATTTGCAACCAACTGTACCAAAAGTGTATGACTCATATCTACCAGGCGACTATATAGAGATGCGAATTTGTCTGAAATCACCAGCCCATCACCACACAATGTCACCCATTGCCACAAAAGCCACAGAGTCTCGGTTAACTGCTGCTGAAATTGTCAGCTACAAGAAGGAGCTTGAAGATTGGGAGAAGTCTAGGGAATGGCACTGGAAATTCGAGGTGGTTCCAAACCAGTTCAAGCAATCACTAGATGAGACTGATGACCTGCTGTTCCAGCACCTTGACGAGCACTTTGGGGTGATAGGCAGCTGGGATGATGTGGTGAACAACTTGAAACTGCTTAACGAGAACGCCCCAGATACAGAATGCTACAAGATATTGTTCCTTTCCTCCTCCGCACATGGGTACCACAACTTGGCCCAAGAAAAGTATGGGAATATGGCCTGGAACGAGACTTGGCTGAAGATAAATGGCGATGGTACGATTGTGTGGGGTCCGGATCCGCTGTTGACGGATTTGGGAATCAGCCAGGCCCAGGAAAATCGGGCTCAGTGGGAAATCGAGAGGCTCAACAACGTTACCAAGGACCCCAACTTGATCTTGCCTGAAAAGTGGTTCGTATCGCCATTGAGACGCTCTATCGATACTTTGGTTCATACTTGGGACGGCATAGCGGACCTCAAGAAGATGGAGCCCATCGTTACTGAAAACCTTCGTGCTACCATTGGGGTCAATACTTGTGATAAGCGTTCTCTCAGGTCAGAAATTTTCGATAGCTACCACAAGTTGGGGTTCCAGATGAGTCAATCCTTAGAACCAAACGATATTTACTTCAAAGACGATCACAGAGAGACAACAGTAGAACAAGCCCTCCGTATCAATGAAGAACTTCATGAAATCTTCGGCTACGAAAATCAAATCGTGAGTATTACCAGTCACAGTTGCTCAATCAGGGCCCAGTTGTTGGCATTGGGTCACCGTGAATTTGCTGTGGGAGCCGGGGGCATGGTTCCCGTTTTTGTCAAGGGCACAAGAATAGGCGAGTATGACTGGGAAGACGAGTTCGTTCTTTTGAGATGTCCAAGAACTTATCTGTTCCAAAATTATATTGAGGAAGGAGTTTATGTTTCTGGAGAAAGTTATGAAGATCTAATAGTATATGAATTGGGACCATTGGGATTTGCAGAATTTGTTGAAGAATGTGCTTCAGAGGAGGGAATAAGGTATGCAGAGGCCTTGGAAAAGGCTAAAGCTGGGTATTATGGCTCAGACTATTTTTTCGGAAAGGATGACATTTAGTTTTACTATGGCTTGTAGGATTCGAAGTTGAAGGATGTAGCTTCTCTAAACCTTTGCCCTGAAACTAGAACGTTCACGAGTATGTATGTATATTGACACTACTGATCTAGTGATATAGAACTGGCTTTGAAATGTTGGATATTTCCCTTGCAATGTAGTTTGAAATAACTCGTATTCTCTGATAGTCTCTGGTCTGACTTCAGACTCTTGATATTTATCAGCAACGAGATTTTATTTGGTGGTAATAATGAAAAACTCGATCCGATTGACAGGGATATCAGCTGTAATTAAAGATGCATTATTGCAGCTTCAAGCCAGTGGAATTGTAGCTCCTTGAAACATTATAGTAGTACAAGTTTCATTCTCTGAATAAATTCTTACAATTTGAGAGTAATAATGGCTGGGCTAGAAATTCAATAAAATGAGTAAAAGGGCCTTTAGTGTAATTACTAAGAGAGATCAAAAACAGATTTGTGTCGGACTTTTGCAACATGGCCCACATCTCAACTCTAGTTTAATTATTAAACTTTAGGGGGATTAAAAGAGGAGAGACTGTAGATATTAGTTAGATATTGAGCACTAACTTGAGAATTGGAGACGAATTACATATCCGCTCGATCGGAGAGATGTTCCATTGCACATTCTTTGCAACAGGAAGCTTAACGCGTGAGGAAGCCTAGATGACAGAGTTAAGAAGCGACCAAGGTGACGTATTAGCCCCACATACAGATGCCTAGCTTCTCCATATGGTATGTGTAGTTTCGATACCTCAGGGGTTAAATTACACATGTAAAATAAGAATATACTTCGCCCACAATCAACTTTCAAATTACAAATATTTCATAAGATCGGGACTCGGAACAAAAATGAGGGTTCCTTTCCGGGTGAAGGTTTTTAGCACGAGGATTGTGTATAACACTAAATTTTTGTGGAATGCAACCGGAACAGCCGGGAAATAATTTCTGGTTAAACTTACACGAGTGAACCCAATTTTAATTTCGTGTTGATGGTTTAAGTAAGTCTCCGGCTGTAAAGTTCTTCATATTAGTGATTGCTATAAGCCATCACTCGCGTCTGTAGGGGTGGGGGAGAAGGGAGCCAATCGCTCCTTGCGCCTCGATCATTTCCTTCGCCTTATCGGCAATTTTGAGGCGTGTCACTACAGTAGTTTACGTAAAGCTTAAATTATGAAATAAATAAAATCAAACCAACAAAGAACGCCAGATAGAGCATTGTAGAATCACCATAATATACAGAAATGAAAAATAACGTTAGGACCAGTCAATCACTTGCTTTGAATCAATCGCCTGATCAAAGACGAATTATATATGTAGGACCCATCACCGTTGACAATTTTGTCACCTTCAACTGTGGAGCCGTTGGCCTGGTTGATGTCAGACTGGGGCTGCGATGGCTGAAGAAGATGCGAATGCTGGATCAAGCTACCATCTTTGGCCTCCAAGTGCTTGGACTCTTCCATCAATGGGCGGATGCAAAGCCAGCCAGTTTCTGTTCTGAAATGGCGCGATAAAGCATCGGATCTGGCGAACTTCTTGCCACAACCCCATTTGGTGACCCCGTCCTTCAAGTAGCCCTCGCATTTGAAATTCTTCACTCCCTCGTGGAGGAGCTCGTGTCTCTTCTTATCGTGCGATCTAGCGAATCTCTTGGGACATTTCGAACACTGGTAAGGTTTCTCGGAGAAGTGGATCTTCATATGCGATTTCAAGTTATACTGTTTCTGGAACACCTTGTGGCATACCTGGCACGAGAACGAGCCTCCCTTGCCCAAGCTGGGGTCCAAGCCTCCCACCTCGCTGAGCGACTTGGCTTTTCTTCTCTTTCTCTTCAATGAGGGAGAGATGGTATACGACACGAGTGACGAGTAGTCGATGGACCCGTTGTGCGAGTTCTGGAACGGGTGGTATGACTCGGACTCCGAGTTTTCCATGCCAACGTTCTGGGGACTGACTGGGAATTTCTGCGATGGAGAGTGCGCTGAAGAGCTCGACAACCTCTTGGACTGGGGTTGTGCTGACGAGTAGCCCAATGGAGGGGGGAACTGGCCATTTGCTCCCACGCCTGCTGCGGACGACGTCGAGCCTCCGTTGCCAGGGCTGGACGACGTCACGTAGTTGGGGTACAGATATGACATGGTGTGGAAATTGGACCCCTGGTAGCTCTGGGCAGGGTTGGCACCGGAATTGTAGTTGTTGATGCCGGAGGTGTTGGAGGGGTAGTAGCCCAAGGGAATCATGCTGGAGCTGGAAGTGTTCCGATTGGGCTGGGATGGTACGCCAGTGGCCGCATTGGTGTTGTTGTTGTAGTAGTACGAGTACGAGTAATCCGAAGAGGGTGCGTAAGTACCCGAAATCAGGGACGCTGGGGGCAATTGCAGCTGGGGCTGCAGCGAGGGGTTCTGGGGGAGGGGAGGCGACCGTTGTGGCTGTTTGGGGCCAGGCAGGCCCGACTGGCCAGGCACGTAGATTGCAGGCAAATGCTTGTTGTCGAAGTACTGGTAGAAGTTATTGGGGTTGTTGGGGGTAGCCGCAACTGCGGCAGACGACGACGAGAAGTACTCTGGCTGGTAGTTGTTGGAGGACATGGCGGAAAACACACAATTCTAAGTGTAGTTCACGTACAGGGGGGGTAACATTTATGGGCGAAGCAGTGGTCCGTGAGTTTGTGAAGTAGGGCACGATAGTTGGAGTGGGAGCGCATATATATATATTTAGGGTCTATGATGGATGTACGTAATACTGACTAAGAATGAATAAGAAAAAAATAATAATAGCTGAGTCAAGAACCCACTTATCGCAATTTGCCAAAGCTTAAATGCCCCAGAGGTGAAATCTGTCAATCGGAACCCAGAATGAAAATTAGATTGGAGACCTAACTGAGGTTAAGGTTAGGCGTCCCGCATACAACGACTGGTACATGAAAAATAAAATTGTCCACAATAGCTCCCGCAAATGCGGGCTGAGCCCGCCACTAATGTTATTTTTATCGGGGGGAGTTGGAGACGAGGTACGGCTGGTGGTGGAAACGTGGGTTTACGAGGTCCGCCAACTGTGCTGGCAAGCCTGTGGCCATCCTTTGCATCCTCACCGGCACGGGGCCCACGTCCTAGTCTAGCCCCACGAACCCACACTTGGCCAAATTCCCGCACGTTTCCTGAATCGTGTTCCACCACCACGCTTGGGGTTGCAGATTGGGTCTCAGGATTTGAGTGATTAAAGTTGCTTTTTTTGGATTTGCTGTGATCTAAGCTAACGGCGAGGCACACCCGAGCCGACCCACCCTCCCAAGGCTTGCACATAGCTGGGTTCGCCGCAAAAACTGGCTCGCGCGCCGGGCCTAGAGTGCGGATTGGGTAACCCCGTCGGTTGGTCGAGTTCCGAGCCTTTCTATGTTTAGAACTGGTCGTCTAGCCTGAAACCGCCACAAACACATCCCTTACCATCGACTCTTGCTGGACGCCTAGCGTGGGTTGATGGTGCTGGTCGCAAAAGGTGTCAAACGGCTGCCCCCATGCAGCTGGGCCCTGTCCTCAGCATTAGCGAACGAAAAAACACAGATTGGGGCGTCAGCACCATATTGTTAGATCGTTTAGTTGTGGAGATGTCTTGGCAAAAAGGGCCCAGCGTCTGGTGCGTCAGCTTTTCTTCGATTTTCAGTGGGCGCCACTTGATTGATGGGGGCTCGGTCCGAATGTCTTGAGCCCCGACGATGCACTCTGCACGCCAGCACTGGGTGGAGGAGTTCGTAGTGTCGGTGGTAGCGGTGGTGGGGGACGGGGGTGCTGGCCACGGGAGCCTACCGTAGCTAGGGCCAGCTATCGACGGGGGAATGTGCTAAAACATCCACGTTACACAATGTTGACCCAGTGACATCATGCGTGCCAATATGGTTTAAGTTCCCCGAATAGCCGCCACGCAGAAGGGTCCCCGGACCGTGCCCGGTCGCAATGACCTGTCACTGCCCCATCAAGAGCCTGGAATGGCCGATAGTGCTGCTGCTGCGAGTAGCACCAGTGGGGTTACGCATGTAGCTGCGAGCATGTTGCAGCTGCAAAACCGGTCCGATTTGATAAGAATTTGCTTCCTTCAATCGAGCTCATAGTGCTGACGCCACAGGCCCACACTCTTGACGATTAATTGCCCCCGAGAGCCAGCACCCAAATCTAGGTTCTGTACTGGAAATAAACACCTGGCGTGAATCCTTTCTGCGACTGCGGTCGCTTGTGTGAGACATTTCATAGCCGCTTTTTTAAATTCAAAATTGGCTGTGTTACTTTCACGAAAGGGCTTTCAGGGTACACCAGCTGATCGGAGGCTGGAGGGTATTTTTCCGTAGTCCTGGCTTAGGAGACAAAAATACCTGGATTTCAATTACTCACCAACTAACTAGCCATCAGCCACAGCTGGAATTGATATCCTTGAAGACAGAAATGGTCATTCAGGGACAATTGCTTCGATAGGCTGGGGGTGCAACAGTTTTGGGTTGACGGACCGGGCCACATAGTTTTCCCTCCCACCAAGGGTGTTAATTGCCCTGTGACACAATTATACCTAAAATTGGATTTTTGGGAGGGGCGGAGAGACGTTTGCACGATGAGCAGGAACTATGCTTATATTCAATTACGGCAAATAGAGGTCGCTTTTATTGATGCCCCTACTTAATATCACGCTGCCAAGAGTTTCTTGGGGAGGCTCTGTTTTACTGCACATTTCCGTGGTATATTATTATGTGGAGTTGTCCACAACCTCATGGCTAAAACATTCAGTTGACATGCGTTGCATAAACTTTGTCCACAATATTGTCAGCCTTGAAATTAACCGATCGTGCTATTTTTTGGCAAGGGGCTTTACCTGGGAGTAATCAGGGTGGTGCCTTATCTGATTTCAAGCAACGCCCCCACAAATGTAAGAGTGACCTGAAATAAACTGACTCAGGAATTGCCCTGGACTATTCCATCCTTCCTTATATGGTCATTGATATCATGTACTCTTTGTTGCAAACCAAGTGCACCGTGTTGTCTTAACAAAGACTTTTCACACAATGCCAGGCCACATGTCAATTTAAGATTACGAATGTGCGAAACTATTGCAGTATGGGTTTATACGATTGCAGGGATCATACGCTCTAGAAGACAGGGCACGCTGATAAGTTCAATTTCATCAGTGATTCGGAAGTTACGGTTTTCTGAAACGATTCATTCCCCGAGAAATGTATAGCCAAGAGCCGTACCCCCGGATCCCGCAAACCATATCCTTATCTGAAGTTTAAGTCATAATAATTCCAGACAAAGACGGTTTTTCTGACTATTTCTGGGCTCTTTTCTCACCAGCAATGGAGTCCAGATAAGCATAGAGTTGGGCTATATTCTATCAATCTACACGGTTTATTGATATTCACAATCGAGCAAAACTCTATTGATGATGGTGATTCACAGAAACTAGATACCAAAAATAGTGCAGGAGTTCCAAAATGGGGAGAGAAATAGAGAATAGAAGTGAGTCTAGTCATTCCAACACCAATCTGACAGGTACATCCGCCAACTTCTTCTCTAACTCTCCTCGGTGCATAATATTGGTGCAAATATTCGCAGATCCAACGGTTTGGATTTGACCTGTCCCATAAGCGCATACACCTGTACGTGCATATGGAACCCCATACACCGAAATTAGATCCACATACGATGGATCTGAACATTCTGATGCAGTATAAGATGGATCCATCGTGTGCGCTAGCTTGTCTCGCATCCTAGTCGTCGAAGAGTGGAATTATCCTCACCGAATTGTCAAGAAATTCCACACTAAACTGATGTCCAGCCCCGAGAAAATCACTCCTCTTCCGAGTCAGTCTTCGGCAGACTTGACCATCAAGGACTCTGTCGAGTATGACGGGGCGTTCAGATTCGTCAATGACAGGGGAACAAACCCTTCCGTTCAAATTGTATCCTCCAAGGTGATTCGCAAAATCGATTTGAGGATCTTGAGCTTGCTCTGTGCCATTTACTTTCTTCAATTCTTGGATAAGTCCCTTCTCAACTATGCAGCTGCGATGGGAATCAAGAAAAACTTGAAGGGAAACGAGTTTGCCAACTTGTCTACCATATTTTACGCGGCCTATATATTTGGGGAACCGTTCGTTGCATATCTGCTTCAAGTCTTCCCACTCGCAAAGACACTCGGATTATTTATTGTGTGCTGGGGTATTGTGGTGGCTTGTCATGCGGCATGCGAGTCGTATGCAGCTTTGATGGTAGTTCGTACACTTCTCGGAATATTCGAGGCTTCTTCGGCTGTGTCTTTGATTATCATCAGTGGCATGTTTTACACAAAGCCTCAGCAGGCCAGCAGGATGGGCATTTGGTCCGTGATGTCGGGAGTCGCTACAATTGTGGGGGGTTTGCTTTCGTTTGGCTTCCAACACGTGCACACCACCAGGCTCTTGTCATGGCAAATTTTGTTCCTTTTCATGGGGATTATCACCACCTTGTTCGGGGTTTTTGTGGCTTTCTACTTGCCAAATAATGTCACAGACGCTACCTTTTTGAGCGACGACGAGAAGGCATGGGTATTGGAGAATGTCAGAGTCAATCAGACTGGTACAATCAGCAAAAAGTTCAAGAAGGAGCAAATATTCGAATTGCTTTTCAGTGACAAATTCACCTGGCCATTCTTTTTGTTGACTCTTGTGTCCCAAATTGTGACGGGATCAGTTGGCACATTCAGTGTTACTGTCACGTTATCATTTGGATTTGATAGCTACGAATCGGCCTTACTTCAAATTCCAGTTGGGGTGTTAATTATTGTTATTATTGGTACTGCTACCCAGTTAGTGTCACGCTTTGGCCACATCACTTACATAACAATTTCAATGTTTGTCCCATCCGTTATTGGAGCAATCATGCTTTTGGCAACCAACTACCACAAAAACAAGATAGCCAACTTGTTTGGACTTTATTTGATTTACAGTGGATCTTCGGTGATCACTCTCATCTACGCTTGGGTCAGTGCTAACACTGCGGGAACCAGTAAGAAGTTCTTCAGAAGCGGTATGACTATGATTGCATTTTCTATCGCATGTATCATTGGTCCCCAACTATTTCAAGCAAACAGTGCTCCAGGTTATCGTCCTGCTAAAATCACTATTTTGGTCACCCAGGTATTATGTATTCCGCTCACGTTCTTGATGGGATACTTGGCTAGACAGGAGAATAGCAAGAGAGATAGTGAAGAAGCGCAAGATTTGCCAGCTAATTATGAATTTTTGGACTTGACGGATATTCAAAACCGCTCGTTCAGATACATTCACTGATATGCTAAGTGCAAACGATATCATCTTCCAATAGCCAGCTGCTAGTTCGCATTGTTGGCAATTTCAAACACTAAGTTTGTTTAAGTAATAATTAATGAAGAAAGAAAAAAGTACTGCATGCCTTGTAAACTAATCTATAGTGCATAGTTGCATAACCCGCTCTCCATATGGGGTGTGTCCATTGGTGACTATCCGTACTCTTCAGCTTGTTTCATGCTCTAGTCTTTTCTGCTTATGGGTGCGAAGAATATTATGCTACTGCGAAATACCATACAAAAAGACTTGGAAGTCTCTAACTTCAGTTACTACTAGTTTATCAATATGTTACATTTCAACCTCAAATCCCTAGTTATATTACTCATCACAGTGATACCTTTAATGGTCAGTGAAAGAAGCGAAGGCCACGCACCATTGATCAACCCTTGGGACAACCCAAAACAACAAAACTTATTAGCACAAGTGATCAACGATGCTAAGCAGGACATTCCAGAATTTGAGACAGACGATGATTTGACACCAGCAGACTTGATGAAGTATGGAATTGTGAAAATTAAACTGCCAAAATCAGTGATCATCAATAATGAGTTGGCTGCGAAAGCCTTGAATGAAACATATACTCCATATTCATATGAGGGGTCTGGTTCAAACAGTCTTGAATACACTCAGATTAATTATGAAAATGCTGAGTGTGAAGATGTACCAACTGAATGGGTCCCAATCGGACCAATTCGTAAAAATGAAGCTAGTGGAACTGCATCTTACACGCAGTCATGGTCAATGGCAGTATCCGGCACAGCTAGTAATTCATTCGAAGTGGCAATGTGGTTTTTCGTTCCAAAGTTGCAAACCGGTGTCACTTACGGAAGTAGCAATGGCGGCTCCATAAGTTGTGATATTCCTCCCGGCGGAGAGCTACAGTTCCAGGTAAATCCAAACTCTATTAAGATCACAGGAACAAGAGAAAGAACTTTACAAATCGTCCGGAATTATTTGCGGACCAAATTGAAGTTAGGGAACTACGTCCAGCGTTATCCGAAATATATTTCGGTCGGCCATGATGTCGAAACAGCATGTGTTACCGATCCAGAATTCTTTGCGGAGTATCGTTCAAATGAGTAGTCCCTCTAGATTTCTCATTTTGGTGGCTAAATACCCCATGAAAAAATATTGGAGCATGGTTGATCTCTTGATCAAGTGCTATTGGTAGCTAAATGTTCTTTTATAAACTCCAGCAATTTTATATTTTCAAAATGCATTACAAACCTCAACAGAACAGTGTAATTGTTGTTTGACGAAAAGTTCGTACCTTATTCTGAAGACATACTTGCCCGACTGTGTGCAAACTTTCTTTCCGTAAGTCAATATTTGGGTTACGCACAGAAGTTTCAAGTAGTAATGAGTGGATAAGATAAGATTTCGTGTAATACTACAAGTTCAGGGTATTCCGCATACGACATACGTCATTGTTCAGCCCTGTGGTCAAGGAATATCCCTCAATATTCATAAAAGTAGCAGAGTTTCGAGTACACAATACTATAAATTAGCAATAGCTCTGATTAAAGTTGCATCAGGCTAAGCGATCAGAAAGGTTTGTTTATGGAATGTGAATCAATCCTCTCTGCTCTGTAAAATCCTCAAGATGAAGAGGAACAAATTCACAATATCCAAGTAAAGACTGATGGTTGCGATAATCTCATCATCCAAGTGGGCAGTCTTCATTATTATTTGGGTATCCACGACGATGTATGCGCTGAAGATCAAGGCCCCAATGCCGGAGTAGACCAATTCAACGAACTTGGACTGGCCAGGGAAAAAGAACAGAATAAACGACCAGGCAATGAGACCCCAGAGCGACATGCCCAAAACTCCCTGCCAACTGGTGAAGTCGTACTTCGTTTGGAAGGCGAAGGCGGTAAGACCAATGAAGATAAGAAGCGTGAGCATAAGTGCCTGCACCACCACACCGCTTTCCACCAAGGAACAGCTCAATCCGATGCCGTATGCTTCAAAGATCGTGAAAGCTCCTAAGAAGATGAGATTGGATGGGTAAGAGCGGGCCTTGATGTGAGCACCAATAAGCGTTCCAATGGCACCCACGAAGGACACAATCAACAACCAGGTATTCTCAAGACACCAGGCCTGGACGGTTCCATTGGATCTGATAAAGAGACCCACCACCACAGTGGCAAGAATCTGTGCTGTAAGCAACGAGTACACCTTCCTGATGAACATCTGTCTGATGGGAAGCTCACAGGAAGCAACGTCAACTGAGTACTTGAAGTCATCGGGAATGTTGTCACCAGCCTCCCTGGGAGTGTCATAGGAAGGTGGTTCATTTGGAGGCTCGGAGGCCACTGGCTGATAGGCTTGGGACATTGGCTGGAGGATATAGTACGAGTACGTTATTACACACGTTTGTCTAATCTAAGAACTACACATGACCGATCACGTGACTGGGTGGCGAGGGTGCGACATGTAGCTTCAGGCTCTTGAGACGACATGCTCTAGGGGTTTTCTTATCGTAGGTCGGCTAGCATCTGGGCGACTGGGGGCATCCGAAGCACCTGTGATACCAGGATTTGATAGTTAAGGTTCGTATTGGCCAGTTACAGAGATTTATGGCCATTGCTACAATACTCTACCCCTTATTTCCAGGTTTGACTGTAGTAAGTCTTTGTGGGGTAAAAAACAAAATGTCGCGTCGTAGGGGTGTTTTGTGTTCCTACACATTGAATGGTAGTTAGTGGCAAAATGGCTACTTGTAGTGTCACCAGCCAGTCAGATGGCTATACATGCCCCAAAGTATAGAAATTTGTTTCAGTTATTGAAACTTCGAGCCACGATCCGAGAAAGTTATTTTCTGATAGTTCTACAATTTTTGCCAATTTTTGTTCACATGAGTTAAGGCTCTACTCTTATAGTTTAATGGGACGTTTCTACTCTAATTAGGGTCCATTCTTATAGTTTAATGCTCTAATAAGCCTCCACCTCTATTGCGGATTTGGTGGGCTTGGAAGTGCGCAATGGATCCTTATTTAGTAGATTTGAGTGTAGAGGAGAGAATGCAGGCAGGCAGTTGAGAGATGCAAAGAAATTCCTCCGAGCATTCTGTTTTACTGGACGTGTTACTCCTTAGACGATGAACTGCTATTAGAACTTGAAACGATGCCAAACGAATGCTTTTGCTATCGTCGAAACACAATAGCCTTGATTGGCACGAATATATTATTTTCAACAGAATAGCCAGCAGCCTGAATGTTCGAAAAGCCAGAAGCCGGCTTGCCAGCAGTTTGCATTGCAAGCTGCTAAACAAACTAGTATTATTCTTCTGTTGAAAACAGATAGATTCGAATAAGCTTTCAACAGAATTTCACGAAATGATCAAAAATAAAAGAAAGTAGAAATCTGCAAAATCACCTTGTTAACTAACGTGAATGTCTACTTGAAAATTTACATTGCCTACAAAAAGTCTCCCTGTAAGTTACCAACTTCACTTAGTGCCTACGTCGGAAACTTTAAACAAGTAGCGAATTAAATTCTTTTTCCTTAGTAAAAGTGTGTAATTTATGACGAAATTGACACAAATACATTGCCCGAATTTTCGCACCTCATCATTTGTGTCAAATTGATCCACCTCAAAATCTAAAGAATCAATAATCAAATAGACCAAATAAACTCCTGTTGCAAGAAAAAAAGAACATCAATCGATGATGATACAAAGAGATATACTTCGCTAAGTATGGAAATAATGTCCCATACTATCAATCAGTGAATAAAGTAGTATTAAAATTTCGCATCATTCTATGAAAATGTGTCGCAAAACGAGGCGCATAATGACTTCGGCAATCCTAAGTGAACCGTACACACCAGTAACAGACTAAGCAAAAGACTATACAAAGTTTGATCCCTAAGCCTCAGATCAAATCTTTCATTAATTGTCAATTGATCTCCATCAATCGTTGTCGTTGTACTAATTTCATTGCCAGAGTATAAGGTGTTGCGAATTTGACAGGTGAGATTGTGGCTCCTTGACAGTGACATTTCTCGCATGCGAAAGCCACCGCGGAATGGAGTGCCGTATGTTTGAATTCTTGCCACAAATACCAGCAATATACCGTTATATTAGTATGACAAATACCAAAAATATTGGCGGGTTTGGACGGGTTTTGGCTAGTGTAACCTTTATGCTTATTTCGGCCGATTACCTATGATAGATCAGGAGCTACAGCTGATAACTATACGCAGGGGCTAGTCTCCCCTCGGGGAGACTTTGCCTTTTATCTTTCCGTATTGGTCAATGCAACCATTGTTGCTATGATTCGACTATCTTTCGTTACATCCGCACCACCATCCCCCCCACCCTTGTACATAGTCCGTAAGGCATTTCATGATTGGATTTTGAGCCGCTCAAACATACGGCAAGCAACACCTACACTGGAGTGTTGGATGTGGATCACGCCATCAAGGCATCCTACCAGCCATAATTTCGAAAACACTTTCCAACACCCCGATTCTCCAAATACGCCCCAGCACATACAAAAATTGGTCAAACCAAGTTCTTGCAACTGGTGAACTTCCAAGCAGGTTCGCTGCCAGCCAAGAATAGTGGCCACCTTTGACAGTTAGTTGCCGGAGAATCCGCTTGGCACGTCAGTTGGCACGATAAGTAATTTGATATTATCTTATCGCGAGCCATAGTATTAATTGACGCCGCACCCATATTCAAAAAAGGCACTTTCCACAGGTGAGGCAATTTTATTCAGCCACTTGATTTCGAGCTGCGATGGCCGGTAAGATATAAAGTCCTGGCTTAAGCCATGATTGTAGAAGATTAAGCTAGTAAATATGGCCACCAACGAATCCCAGTTGGGCAAGGAGTATGAAGTAGCTGAAGAGAAGCAAAAGCACATTACTTCGACTGTCAACTACGACGAAAAGAACTCACATGATTCTGATATAGCCTCTTTGAGTGGCAGTGATGGGTTTGAGGATGAAGATTACGACATAAATGATCCCAGAAACTGGTCAACTAAATATACTGACGAACATAATCCCAATGGATTAAGAAGACCTAGTAAGAAAGAAGCTGCAACATTGAGAAGAATCTTAGGTAGGGCTGATTATTCTGTCTATTTGCTTTGCGCTGCAGAGTTGGCAGAAAGAGCTTCCTATTATTCGGTAAGTGGTATCTTGAGTAACTTCATAGAATATCCATTGCCAGAAGGAAGTACTACTGGTGCACCAAAGCTGCACAGTTCAAGTCAAACTGCCGGTGCTTTGGACATGGGGTTGTCGGCCTCATCAGCCTTAACCCTTTTGTTGACTTTCTTGGCTTATGTTGTTCCCTTGTATGGTGGTTTCGTTGCTGATACTCAACTTGGTAAATTCAAGAGTATTTGGATTGGTGTTTTCTCAGGATTCATTGCCCACATTTTGTTGGTCATTGCTGGTATTCCTAAGGTTATCGCCGAGGGACATGCCATTGTGCCTACCGCCCTAGGCATCATAACTTTGGCTATCGGAACTGGTTTCATTAAGCCTAACTTACTTCCTTTATTGATGGACCAATATCCAGAAAAAACTGATGTGATCAAGGTTCTTCCAAGTGGTGAAAGCGTTATTATTGATCGCCAAAAGTCTTTGGAAAGAATGGCCTTGGTATTCTACTGGGCCATTAACATCGGTGCCTTCTTCCAGTTGGCTACATCGTATATTGAGAGAAGAATTGGTTTCTGGTTTGCTTTCTTCATTCCAATTATCGTTTATCTTTTCTTGCCTGTCATTTTCTTTGTTTTGCAAAAGAAGTTAGTGAAGGAGCATCCCCAAGGTTCTGTCCTCACAAACACATTCAAGATCTTACGCGTTAGTTACAGAGGAAATTGGATCAAAAGAATGAGAGAAGGTACCTTTTGGGAATATGCTAGTCCAGCAAAGATGGCTGAAAGGGGCCAGATATATTACAAAACTAAGACCCAGTCTCCTATCACCTGGAACGAACAATGGGTTTTAGATATTAAGCAAACTTTCAACTCTTGCAAAATTTTCATCTATTTCCCAATTTACAATATCTGTGACTCTGGTTTAGGAAGTGTTGAGACTTCTCAAGCAGGTTCTTTGACCACTAAAGGTGTTCCAAATGACTTATTCGGTAACTTCAACCCATTGACTATCATTATTTTGATCCCAATTTTGGATTACATTATTTATCCTACTTTGAGAAGATATAAAATAGATTTCAAACCTTCTTACAGGATCGCTTTCGGGTTTTTGTTGGCAGCAGCTTCTCAAGCTGCTGGTGCCATTATTCAGAGAAGAATTTACAATACTTCTGCATGTGGAGATTATGCTACTACTTGTAAAACACCTTCTCCAATTTCGGCATGGGTTGATGTGACGGTTTACATTCTTTCGGCTGCAAGTGAGTGTTTTGCAAATGTTACTGCTTATGAGTTGGCCTACACCAGATCCCCACCCCACATGAAGGGTCTCGTTATGGCATTGTTCTTGTTTACCTCTGCGATTTCAGCAGCAATTGGTGAGGCTATTACTCCAGTGATGAATGATCCACATTTAGTTTGGGTTTTTGGATCCTTTGCTATTATTGGTACGGCTTCTGCGATCCTCTTCTTCTTCCACTTCAGAAACTTGGATAAGGAAATGGAATACGAAAGAGAAGTGAGAGAAAGATTTGAACAGATCGATGCTCATAGATATCCGGATGCTGTTGTCAACGAGGCTAATTTGGAAGCAGTCACTTCTATAAAAACTGCTGTGGGTAAATAAGTTTAATTCTAAGAGTTTCGGCGTAATACTAATTTTGCTGTGTAGAATTTTAATTTCACTCTATTTCAACGTGCAGTATCTGATAATTGTGCTTAGGCCTAGTAAAGGCAATAAATGCCCAGATGTATCCTAACTTATCATCTTTTTAGGTGCGGACCAGTTACTATTTTAGTAGCTCATGTAGTTGCATGCAGTTAGAATTGGAGATTTCGCAGCATTTTTGGGTCATACTATGGTTTGTTCCGAAGACGTTATGCTTCCCTAGCCCGAGTTTCAAACCAAAAACTGTATGACTTTTCGCCATTTGTACGATCCTTAAAGTTCATTTCAAGCCTATAGTATTTACGGGAGAGATCTATGACGGGCTAATTAATGCCAACTATCTTTCCTTGCAGAAGAGAATACTTTATGGTAAGGAAATGTTTAGGGACAACCACAAAATCTCAAAGACCATGCAGCAGTATTGCAGTTTTCAAGCTATGGAGCACTTGCACACTATCAGGCAATGCATCATCAAACCCCGGAAAGAAATTCCCACAAATCACAGTGAAAGACCCTTTCTGCAATGTTGAGAGAAACTCATAACCGGATTATCTAAGGAGATCAGTAGCACCACCAAGGCTAGAACCTGTCAGTGGTTTCTTCATGAATCACCTAATTGGTACAATGCACTGCTTGCGTGATGGCCAAGAGTATGCCCCGAATTTTTTGACCCATATCCAAAACTCTGCTGATGTTGTTGTCCCATCAGTGGATGCTCTGATGGATGGTTGGGCCGGTGATGGAAAGTTGGAGAAGTGCGACATCCGGATAGTAAAGGTGAATTTATCACAGAAAACGGAGCTGATGCTTATCTCGACATTGGGCGGTGCGTGGAGCATATGCACCCGTACCACTGAAAGTTACTATATTGAGTTTGAGACGATGACGATATGCTAATCTCCACTTTACCTGCACCGTTGCTCCCCTCGGTCCGCATATACCCCCCCTCACACCCCTCAAACCCTTTGGCTGACCTGCCCAGTCAAGCTGGAAAAGTTGTGCAATCCCCTCGCGCCAGTAGAAGCGCTGATCCAACGGTGCGAATATTTTTAACTTATCTTTCCAAAAAAAAATGAATGATCAAAAAGTGGCGTCACAAGAGGACAAAACCGAATTACTTGACATCCTGCAATTGCAGGTTAACCGATGTTTAGAGTGGGATAGGCCTTGCATAAGTGACTGCCGAGTCTATGGCGTCCACAACAGCCATTAACGGCAGGAACCACACCAACGCCCCCGGCAGGAACCACACCAAAACTACACCCAAGTCACAAACTCGAGGGATTTTCCTCAGTTTGCACTACGCACATCGCACAGGTGTGGTTACGTGCATAAAATTTGCAATTGTCTGGATGAGTCCGCAGACGGTCTATAATGTCTATTAATCTATAATCATGAGGTGTCGTTACTAGCTCTCCTGAACCGGAACTTGCGAACGTTCTTGAGCTTCATGTAGTCCACGTTGGTCTTGAGGCTGTCCATGATCAGCCCGATCGATGAACCTCTGCTGCTGGGGTTGGAGGTGGAGTTGGCGTTGGAGCTGCTAGACGCGCTGTTGTTGCGCAGATACGATGGTGTGGGGAGAATGTCTTCATGCTCGATGATGTCCTCCTTGTAGTACTCGGCCGTGCTGTTGCTGCGCTTGGCGCGTTCCCGAATCACAGTGTCTGGCAGGATAATCTCCGACTTCCTGCGGTACACCACGGATGCTGAGGCCGCCGGCGCTGCCAGCAGGTCGGAGGCTATTTTGGCCCGAGTGTGCCGTATGAACTCGTTGTACAAGTTGAACAAAATGTCGTCGTAAATCACCCGCTTGCACCGCAAGATCTTCTGGATGTCGGGGAAGTCTTGCGAGAGAAGGTCTCTCTTGATGTCGTGGGGCAAGTTGATCTCGTTGGACGAGTCTGGTGCTAGAAATGTGGCATAGATCTGCTCCCACGCCTGGGCAGTTGGATGGTTAAGGAAGCCGTTGAGCTGCACCACAAACTCCACGTTTTCCAAGCAGTGGTTGTGGGCAAGAAAGTCCATGAAGTTGGCGCGGGTGTAGTAGCTGTCGGCGCAGCCTTCCTCGAACAAGAGCTCATCGAGAGTAGGGATGAGCTGCACCGTCTGATGCTTGTTGATTTTGTAGTTGAGAATGGTGGAGGAGCCGCCGTACGAACTGGTAGTACTCATTATTGAGATCATAGGGTGGCTAGGCCCTACTTAATAAATAGGTACGTGCTATAGTGGGATGGGGCAGGAAAGAAGTTGGCCGGTGGAGTGAAGATGGACGGTTCACTTTGGGGGTAAATGTTGAAATAATTTGGATGTCTGGGAACATGCAAAAGCCGTTGTATATATAGGTGATCTAATAGTGAGAAAGTAACGAAGAACGTTAGTCGCTTACAATAGGAGGGGCCATGCGGAGGACAGATGGAGTTGCGCTTGAAGCGCATTATGCATAACCTGCAAAAATATGCCCCCCCTCCCCGAAAATATTATAATAAAACTACTAACGGACTGGGGAATCCCTGCACCGCACTCACAACCCAGGAGCCATCTCCACGGTTCCAGATCGACCCTGGCAACTTTTCCACGGGTCAAAACCTTAATTTAAGGTTTGGATGGCTGGATCCTGCCTAGCCGTGTAAACTTGCCATTGCCGGCAGCAAAACCCTGTCTTACCTGGCCACCACTGTGGAGCCCGCAGAAAAACGGCCACGTTTCTGACACTACCACTAGCGATCACAAAATGTCGCAACTAATGCATCCGCTAACTTATGCCTGACAGTGACTCGGAATAGTTGGGGGCACTAGCTCGGTGCACTGGGGCTATTTCGGTACTGCCCGCGATTGGTTCCTTGAAGGTCGGCGCTCCCAACACTCCCAGAGATGACGCCACACCCACAAGTTACGTGTACGGACACCGCCAGCCGGCCTGGTCTCACTCACCTGGCCATTGGGCCAGCTTCCTCTGCAAATCTGCTTTCCGGCCGCCCGGCGAACGTTAGCCATCCTGGTAATGTACCATGCACCAATTCCACACCGAACATCGCCGATCCTTGTATTATATCTCCGTTTCGCTGGTTAGGCCTCCTCCATGCCCCTTATGCCACAGTGAATGCATAACCTGTAGCACATTTTTCACTGCCTACAGGGGAAATTTTCGTCGCCAGTTGTCCTGTCCACGGCCAACGGCCAAGATGGGCATGACATTTTTCTAAGCCAACCCATCCAGCTGTCTCGCTAACACTTCCAGCCCGAGGCAAGCCACCGCCCAGGGCACCATGCCAGGGATGAGCATCTGGGGGACCAGGACTCCCCAAAAAATATCACGAGTATCTTGTGACAACTCGATCGTTTCATCGTGTCACCCCATCCTGTCCGGCTATATCCCGCTACCGCCGGCTAGTGCGCCTACTATTGTCTGGTGGTGATAATCTTTGTGCACATATTTCCGTAGAAAATTGCAAGTTCAGGCCTGGGCTGGCTTTGTTGCACTCGCCTGCCCGTTCCAGGTGATACGAAACCTGCAAATGCGACCATGGGCGCCTGGGGCGAGTCAACGCGGACGGCGCATCTCGTAATCTTCAGATCCTCCGTTCTCTGCGTCCAGGGTCCGCAGGGTCCCATGGGACTACCCAAGCCGCCAGTACCACCACCGGCTCCCTTGCGTGGCAGCTTCTGTTTGCGCCGTCTGAGCGCCAAAGGCTCATCCTGGTGAGGTAGACACACACCTGCCATCGCCCTGCCATCTCGGTCCTCCCACACCCACTGGTGTTGGTCTTCGAGTCGAGACAAGTACCGAAGACTCACTTGCATAGCGAATGCCCGCCCTCGGTGTAGGCAACCTGCACAACCTTTTAATCATCCTTGGCACTTCAAGAAGAGTTTTCCCGCTATGGTGCGATCCCATCGGGTCCCCAGTGCCCCCACATTGCGCCCCCACTGCCAATGTTCGGCGCAACTCCAAACTGGTGAAAGCGCATCTGTAGCCATAAACGTACCTTTCTTTTTCCGAGGGCCACTTCGTATTCATAGCTCCAAGGCTTGGTATGTGGTGTTTTCGGAGGTCCCAGCCCGGCGTCGTATCTGCTCAACACTTGCACCGAATTTCCTTCTTGCTCGCTTGACCACTGCCCACCGCTTGGGATCCATTGCCTGTTCCCGATTGGGCAATATAATTGATGCAAAATTCAATTAATGGATCAGAATGTTTCGTACGGGAGACTCGCTATATAAGTAGTCTATAGGGCCAGGACACCCGGCGCCACCTCTGCGAGCCTTCACCAAGCATGAACGTCGAATTCCAGAGTTTGGACCCCAAACTCATTATCCTCAATTTCACTGTCCAGGGCCAGGTGTTCTCGCTACCATTCGCAGCCTTGGACGCATACCAGTCGGAAAACACCAAGCGTGCCATTATCCGTGGTGTCACTGTGGGTGGGTGTGGGATCCTCATGTTAGTTCTTGCCATTATCAACTGGAAAAGGAAAAAGACCCCCATGTTCTACCTCAATATGGCCACCTTGACCGCAGCCATCATCCGGAATTGCATCTATTTGGCATATCTTCTAGGACCACTTGCCGCGCCTTCGTTTTCCTTCAGTGGCTTGATATCTAGCTCAGCCCTTGCAAATTACCATCTCACCGTCGCCTCCAACGCTTTTCAGGTGGTGCTTATACTACTCGTGGAAATGTCGATGACATACCAAATTTTCGTGGTTTTCAGAGCCCCAAAATTGAGAAAACTAGGCTGGACTTTAACCACAGCAGCAGGAATGCTAGGATTGGCACTGGTTGCCCTCTACATTAACAGTGCTGTGAACAGCTCAAAGATATATAGCAGCCTTTTTAACCACGAATCAGTGTCCCAAGCCGCTCGCCAAGATTGGGTGGGAAGTCTTCCCAACATTCTCTTCGCAGCCTCAGTGAACGTTCTCAGTGTGATACTCCTCATTAAATTGGGACTTGCAATTCGGACTAGAAGGTTCCTTGGCCTCAAGCAATTTGATGGGTTTCATGTTCTCTTCATCATGTCCACCCAGACCATGACAGTTCCTTCGATTCTAGTTATTGTGCTGTACTGTTTCCCCGACTTCCAGAACTCGGTATTACTCTCCATCGCGGTAATGCTAGTTGTGTTATCTTTGCCATTATCTTCAACTTGGGCACTGGCTGCGAATAATGACCCAGACATCAATAACACTGCCTTTTCATTTATGAAGCGAATGGATTCCAACGCCTCTCACGGAACCAGCACTACTGAGGAAAGAACTTTGGCCAATGTATCTATCCTTCCAGAAAAATGGATGCCATCTGGAAATAACCACCTTCGTTCTCCAGATTCGTTTGCTGAACTGGCTTCAGCTAGTGAGTACGAACTAGTCAATAACACAACTGTCCTGTCTCCTTCGGCTCTTCAAGATGAAGACATTTTTCGAAACGTCCACGATGGTGATTTTGTCGCTATCAGTACCCACAACCTCAAGTGACTAGGGTATCCAACCAACAATGTGCGATACTTCCAATTTCTGGGAAATCAAACCAAACAACTAGTTTTATTCCGTTAATTGATCAAATCATAATTATCTTGAATTCAAATTCCTATCTGATTTCGAATGTGTAGAATTATCAGCATTAAAGGGTGCAAAAAATGTCCAAAAAAATCTGCCGGTCCCAGGAATCGAACCTGGGTTTGTTCGGCCACAACGAACTGTACTAACCACTATACGAGACCGGCTTATTTCTTGAAATGGAAGTCACATCTTAGATTCAGGTTTAATTATTTATGCTGTAATTTTGGCCCGTTTTGGGGCTATTACTCAATTCAATTTTAGAAGTGATCACAATTTAGATTTAGTGATTAATTTCATCGTTCAATCTGATATTTAGTGCGTATCACAAATATTTTATTTTTGCGCAGAAATCCTCACCACTGACAAACTAGTACTTCCTCCTAACTTGCACAATTTGTAAAGCCAAATGATGGGTGTGTTATCCATTGCAATAGGTATATAGTCAGTAGATTATAATATACTTCCCAGTAGCAAAAAAAAAAATGTTTCTTGTTCGCAAGAGATCCATCACTGAGTACCGACCAATAGACCATAATCTCCGGGGATCAGATCAGTACCATCGGTGCTATTCTAGTAGTGTCTCTATACAGTATCATTAATTGATTTGAAACTAGTATTGTCGTTCACTTACATTTTGGATTTTACTGAATTGTAGTCGATGGAAACAGTCCAATCGTATTCAGCACCCTTCTAATTCCAAGTAAAGCACACAAAATGAATAGTCATGCTATGTATTCTGCAAGAAGCTACTTCACTCCAATGTCAAAGTACAAACGGTTATGAACTTTTAAGCTCGGTTCCGGTATCTTGACCACAATGTTATGAAAGGTTTATTGATGTACCTTGCCAAACTGCAAATATGTCTCTTCGGCAAACATTCCCGGCAGCTTGTTGCTAGAGTAATTAGTGCTCAATTCACTCCTGATTTGCATATGAGTCTATGATGTAACTTAAATTTGCGCTTTGAGTCACCTGAGTCATGCGAGTCACCTCAAAGTTTAGACAAAGTCATTAATGCTTTGAATGCGAGTTTCAAGATACTGGAAAATGTTAGCTGGTCTGGACTGATGTAAATATTTGCCAATAGTACACTTCCTCTAAATTACAGATCACTTTTATGAACAACTGGTAGACCAAAAATGTCAATACTCCATTCATCTCCTACAGTGTTCTGAGAAGCGGTACTTTATTTTTCCAAAAAGGATCGACTGTGAAGAATTATAAAGCCGTAAAGAATCTGTAGCTCCAGAAGGAAAATGACATATGGATTTGTGGGTTTATCTATCTTTAATTGGAACTAAAAACACTATCCCATGACAAGATGATGAAACGGAGTCAACGCGTAGCCGTATTGCTCTGGTAGATTGAGGGTAAATTTTATTCTTGACCCCAAGTTGCAAGTATTATTCATGCTCTGGTAGGTTCATGGCTTTTAGACACATGGGCTCTCTTACAGTTTGCTGATAGGATAGCTTTTCTGGTTAGGGTGTTGGTTACTTCTGTTCTTCTTCCACTATCATAATTAACTACTCTAAAAAGCTAGTATTTGCATAGCACCAAGAATGCCGATTGCGAATTGCTTACTATATTACTAATCGTTTACTCGATGGCGTAGAACTCCTAAGATATTGAAAGATATGTGGCATGAATTCTCAGTATCAAGCTCTGACACTTTAAGGCGATATTTAGCATGCAACGTTAGAATACATAAAGTATTATGCAATCAAGAATAGTCTACAAAACAAAGAAATTGGAAGAAGATTAAGTTATCGAAAATATAATTCATACTAGAGAAGTCTACCATGTAAATCGCTCGAATAGGAGACTATCAGAGGGACCTAGAGAATGAAAATAACTTCAAAAAGAAAGTGATGGTAAAACATAGATATTTAAACAACACATGAAGATTACGTCTGAAGAAAGTCAAGGGCTGTTACTCAATAAAAGAGATTGGAATTTAGTTTTACTACTGAGTATTATAATCTACTCTCTATTTGTCCTCATACTTGAAAATGATCTTGAATAGTAATTGCCCACTAATAAAATTTGATACACAACTTGGGATGATCTTTCTTAGAATCATATAACTGGGGAACGATGAGACATGAAAAATAGGTTTACTGTGACGGAAATTACAGATCAAAATGTTGAGATATCTATTAAAATATTACGAAGAAACTATCTATTAAGCTATTGCGATGGAACACGCATGAACGCTTGCGCCTATCTTAAATTTCTAGATGTTAAAGAGCCCGGATTTACGGATTGACCCTAGTTTTTTTTTAAGGACGGCCGACTGTTGTCATGCTATGCAACTTCGGTAGCTTAAGTTTGTGAATGCCACACGATTGTTCTAAGTAGATCATCCATCACCTACCAGGTGCAAATACTTTTTCGTGGGATGAACGACAGTTAGTTGGATGAAGGTCATTCAACTAATTCTGAGCCCATCATACTTTCAACTCCCCCTTCAGGCCCGTCAAAGTGAAAACCCCATCAGGAGACGGATTTCGAAGGCTTCGTCAAAGACTTACCATCAATCCAAAACTCCATTCTTCCACCTTGAAGCGCAAGTCTTACCCAAGCACCAGCTTGACTTCAGATCCTCAACCGAAGAGACTGCTCCACTGGACCTCCCGCTCCTCTTCTGACCCTCATTCTTCTTCCAATCACCAGCACGGCACTCCAACCCCCAACAAACAACCTATGCTTCAGTCTCTGTCTTTTCAATTCTGTCAAAGTATTTCACTTCTTTTTATATTGTTCGACAATTCTTTATCACCACTCTGACTCATCCATATCACTTGTATAAAACGAAATAATATTAACACCTCTCATTGGCCACTCTGACTCACTCATCATTTCTGTTGCATACCAAAAAATATCAATGTCTCTTCAACCTCTATTTCATATTAGTTCGCATTTTTGAAAAACAAGTCAACTCCAACTTCTTATTGTAATCCAGAAAATTTACCCAAAAGCTCTTCTTTCGAACAAAATGGAGCCTTTAAAGATAGTTGCTCCTAGAATTGGGGGGTATATTCCTCTTAATTTATCAGCCCCTTCCATAAAATTAATGGACTTGTAACCAAAATTCAAGTATCAGATGGTGATCCAACTCCATCACGCTCCTTGAGAGTAGCCCAGTCGATAGTTTTCTTATCGTCTTAATACGTGCAAACTTCATAATTTATTCTAATCTTAGTATCTCACTGTGGTGTCAATAATTTGAGCTAATAACTCACTCGCATATCCTAGGGGCAAGAACCCATTCCGAAGATCCACAATATCTGCAACAAGCGATTGCAGCGGAATACTCCAATTGGAGTAGAACTAGCTATAACCGCTTATGCTCAAGAAAACCTGAATCTCTGAAATAAGCCCACAATTATTTGTTTTCTTGGTTTAATCTTGAAAGGAAATTCCCGCAAAGGCCAACTTGGAATTGCGGTAGAAACAGAAGTTGGCTTGTAGATTCAAAATCTTAAAATGAAGTTGTTATTCTCATTCCTTGTAGAAGAATTGTTTGCAGACTCTCATGAGTATATCATTATTTTCTGTCTATTATCGACTAGCCGTGGGAACTAGTTTTTCCTTCCCAGAATTTGTAGTATCATCAAAAAGTGAAAACTTTTGCTCTCTTAATTGATTGGTTGCTACTTATTTATTAGAAAAAATAATAAATGACTAGGACTGGCTGAAGGAAATCATACTTTAATTCAATTGGAATCTCACCACTAAATTATCTCATACATATTAGTAGAGCTACATGGCTATAAATTTATTAGTAAGCACTTACTAATATAGATTTATACATACTTGTTTTAACAAGCTAAGCTAAATTCTTGTAAAATGGAGGGTTGGCCGAGTGGTCTAAGGCGGCAGACTTAAGATCTGCTGGACGTTGTCCGCGCGAGTTCGAACCTCGCATCCTTCATTATTTTTTTATTGAGAAAATTCACCAGATTTTGTGCTCCAAAAATATGTCTTCCCGCCTTCAGAGTAAAATTTGATTAATTGAAGGAAAGACAATGCCTGGGCAGGTAAAAAGGTAGGCGAATGATTTTGCCCAGGATCGAACTGGGGACGTTCTGCGTGTTAAGCAGATGCCATAACCAACTAGACCACAAAACCATTTCTTGAAAATCGAATTTGCTCCAAAATTTAGAACTAATAGAATTAGGCTAAAAAAGGACTTGAAGGCTAGTCTCTCAGAAGCACAAAGCTTTGCGAGCTGTAAGTAGGAGAAAGAGTTGCAATCTTCTCCCTTCCATCAATTTAGGCCCAAACTTGTATCTCTCACCTAAAAAATTAGCTCTCTTAGATGATACCTGACTCAAAAGTTTGAGAAGGAATTTTCGTCTATATTTTACTGAAGATTGTTATTTTAGAGTCAGGAAACCTAGTATCTTGACAGAAATTAAAACACATAATAATTCTCTGATGGCTCATTTTTCTAGTTTTTTGCCACTTTTAAGATAATTTAGAAATTCTTGAAGAAAGCACTTTTTTAATTATCTTATACTTAAATAATGAATCAAGAAAGCGGAAGGCTATTATACGGACAGCTTGTTTAGAATGAGCAAACGTCTGCCTTCATGACCAGCATGCTCTAGTCCCCAGATACTCGAGTTGTCGTAGTGCATAAGGCTATTATTTCAGTTTCAAGAATTTAAAATACGAGAAGGTGAAAGAGACAATTTGCAGTGGTGTGTGTTCTATAATCCTTGTGGGTTTTAATACCATATCCACTAGACCTCCTTGATTAATGCATTTCTTAGGCTGCGAAAAACCAAGCTGATTACAACAGAATATAGTTCTGCAATTTTTTAACTAGCTGAAGCTAAGCTGAATTCACAAACTCAATCAACAAAACTCCTAGATCTGTATTGCTCTTTTGTTTGCTATAATTGCTTGAGGTAGCCCTAGCCCATTTTCTTTGTGGATTGGTCAACTCGCACTTCCCCACGCCACTCGATATTCGTACCACAAAATCTAAGGAATCGATTCGGATCACCACCCAAGCACTATTCATCCACTTCAACATGGTAGCGGAACCTGTACAGGCAACGCTCCAGACAATTGAACATTTCTATAACCAAACATCTCAGTTTGTCTCGTCACAACAAGACAAGCTTGCCCATTCTGGATACATCGATAAGTTAGCTCATCTAAATCCTTTCTCATCAGAGAGTCCTGCCTCTTCCGAAACGTTGGGATATGTTAGCAGAAGACAACTGGCGCTTCCAGAGCGTATGATCGAGAATTTCACAAAGCATAAGCACCTCTATATGAGTATTCTTACTGTTGGGCTCGGAGCTGGCTGCTACTATTGGAACCAAGTAAGGCCAGGGATAAACGTCAAGGAGCAACCACGGTCCAAACGCCGTGCTCCCAAGTTAGCCAACGGAGCCAGGAGGGATGTGATTTTGATTATAGGCTCACCCACCGAGCCATTGACCAGACTAATTGCTCTCGACTTCGAAAAGAGAGGGATGATAGTATACTTGACGATACTTGACGAGAAGGACCGTAGGTTTGTGGAGTCCAATCCAATCACAGACGATATTAACTACTTCAATTTGAGCGAAACCACCAGCTTGGAGTCTCAGTTGGGCAAATTCCAGCAGCTTTTGGAGCTCCCAGTGGTGCCATTCCCCGGAGCCGAACCTCATAACTTGAGATTGGTGAGTGTGGTATTCACACCCAGTCTATACTTCCAAGCAGGTCCAATAGAGAATATCAGTATAGGTACATGGGCCAAGATCAACGAGAGAATCCTCCTCTACACCACCTTGTTCTCGTCAGGATTGATCGCCTTGATCAGAAACCAGGAGAGCAAGACCATCTTGATCAACCCTAACATCATCAGCACATTGAACATGCCATACCATTCTCCCGAGACAATGTACCAAAATAGCATGAAGCACTTGTTCACCGCCTTAGCAAGAGAATTGAGCCCTCAAGGATTGTCTGTGACCCAAGTGAGATTGGGCAATCTTCACATTTCTAACCAGAGCAGGGCGTCAGGACTGAAGATCTCCAATTTGGTCAATTCTGAGGTCCGTAGCTGGGATCCCCAAATGAAGGAGTTGTACGCCGAGAAGTTTTCCAAAACAGAGTTCAAGTCCAATCCCATCAGGGCTTCTGGTGGCAGAGGCACAAGCTTGAGAGAGTTGTACCATACCTTGTTCGATTTGACCTATGGCAAAGGAAGAAACTCGTCGGTGGTTTATTGTGGTGCTGGAGCCAGGTCTTACGATTTAGTCACAAGAATATTCCCCGAGTCATGGATTGACTTGTTCTTGATGTAGTAGATCCAAGATGGAGGGTATACGAGCCTCTTTCTCGCCATAAGGGGAAACGATGAGCACAGAATCTTCGCTATTTATATTGCATTTCATTACATTCAACTAACGATCATCACAGTAATTTGGGGATATGAATTTGTAGTTAGTACTTAGTAGTTACTGTTTGTAATCGTGCCTGGTGATTACAGAGTATTGAAATTCTCAGACAGTGGGTCAAACGGAGTTGTTTTACATCCTTCAAGCAAATGGAGTTCTGCTCATCACTCTACACTTCCAGTGCAATTAATAGTATCTATTCCCGTGCTAGTGATCTTAAATAATATCGGACATTCAGCCCCAAAATTAGAGTCACCGTCCAATTGCAGTGGACTTAGGTGTAGTTATAAAGGTAAGTCAGCATTGACACTTGAATACAGAAGAAATTTGACTCACCTGTTCAGCCAGTCCACATCCAAAGCAAGTAGACTAAAACACTATACTTTCTCTCTTCTAGCCAATTATGACATTTGAACTAAGAATGATGATATAATGTCAATTTAGGAAGACTAAGCAGTCTAATTGTTGTAGACGGCAATAAAAAAGCATCCTACACCACCCAAGGAGAGGCACAAAGCACTCCATTGGAGGTGTTGGGAGCGGCCAAAACTTCGTTGACGGTGAAAACAACGATATTTCACTCAAAACTCAGCCTGAAAGCCACTGATGTATGATGAACCATTTTGCTACAATCTAGAGGCCATTTGGCCAAGTGATCCTTTTTGAAGCTTTGCAGCCTTTAGCCCTAATGTTTTGTGGCAGCCATCTGCGCCTGCGCACGACCACAAAATTTTCAGGTATAAATATGGCTTCATCGCCCTCGCATTTTACTTCACGTTCATGGCCAAAGATTAGTTGTCGAAGCTTACACAAGGATCATACGATCACCAATGCTTTGGGGAAAGTCTCCGGCCAATTTTGCGGAAACGTAATGCTTTCACGAAATCATTTGAACTTCGGATTGGCCATGGCCATCCTATCGACTCAGTGAGCTACCTCTGCCACGAATGGATCCTCCTGCTAACTCGTTTTGAGTCTCGTCTTCAAGTGAAGCTCTGGCAGCTGCCCATTTTGTTGGTGGATGTGTGGGCTTGTTGGGTACGGACAAGCCACGGCGGGTTCTTGGTTCACTCTCCCAGTTTGGTATATTCCATGACTGGTGTTAGTTTTCTGTCGGCAATGGGGTTTTGTATCCTAAACGAAAGATATCACTAATGATCGCGTCAGCGGTCAACTCAATGGAGCTTACTCTTGGTCCATGAACGTCTCCAAGCCTGAACTGATGGTCATTCCAAAGGAAATGGCCATTGAGTGTGTATAGTCAAATATACCGGGCTTTGTAGCCTCTGGAGAGGCTGAATATCATTTAGAAGAAGGTTTGACAATATGATGAAACAATCAAGCAAACATAGAGTCAAGCTCTGATCATCGGGTTCACCGTCTGGAAAAATGGCGGGTTCAAGATTAGGACGAGAGTTGCAATATTTCTGACAGTCAAACCTTCTATAAATGGTATTCCGACGGACAGCGACGTCTTCGACAACTGCTGGGCAAATTCTGCAATGACGAGGGATGTAGACATTAGTTCATGAAATACCTTTTCAGTCCTCGATAGATGCCTGCTCGACCAGATGTCTTGGGTTAAGTACTCCACATATTTTGTTACGTGATGATCGAGGGCATCGTCATCGAGTTGTCTACTGTGTGAGTTGAAATGGGTAACGAAAATTAAACTATATAATACATGTAGACAAGTCCGAGAAACGAAAATAAATAAGAATTAGGATACCACTACCAGTGGCTGGTGAGGGCAGTATTACCTCCAGAACTACTGTTTCCCAGTAATTCCATAGTGTACAACAATAATGTTGTGGCCATGTTGACCCAGTTCCAAAATTGCCATGGATGCACCACGATCAGGAAATCCGGTGAGCTCCAGAAGCCCCAGATCTTCATTTCTGTACCTAACTGACCGTTGTACAGCATCATCAAATGAGTGTAGACTGCTATAATGATGCAGGGGGAGTATGCGTAGATCAATCGTATTATGGCTGAGGGTGGCTGATGGTGGGGTGGCTTGAGACGGAATGACTTCTTGTGGCCTAGCTTTGGAGTAGGTTCAACTTCCGTGTCTTCGGGTTCCTTGGGACTCACTACGGGTTCAGGCTCTTTCAAGTCCAAGTGTGCAAGACTGGTACTGGAAGCCTGACGGGATCTGGTGAGCAAAGGAGGGGTTCTTGGGGGAGAAATGGTGGGATATGCCGAGTTATGGTATAACGAAGGAATGATCTTTGTAGCTGCGTAAAACACCCCGATTCTGTAGGCCAAATTTAACAAGATTGGTAAGGTCAACTTGTGGATGGCCATGATTAAGAACTCCCAGATTGTCTTGAAAGATCCAGGCAAGTTTGAGGCTAGGAATGGCACTACCAGCAGGATTGGATTCAAGATTTGTGGAGGAATCTTTGGGATTTCGTTCTTTAAGTTATAGGTAGCCTGGGTGAACAACGAGGTCAATGACTTGGTGGCTTCTTCCGATAAAATTGGGAAAGTCTCGTAAATGCATCTCACCACATAAGCAAACAACAACGAGCTCTCGATAATGGAGCCTTTGCCAGAGACAATGCCATACAATCCAAGGCCACCAGTTAATGTCAAGAGCGAGCCGAGCAACGAAGCACTGATAATATCGATGGTGAATGGGAAAACATAGATTCTGTAGAGAAACGAAATTGAGGCTGTGATGATGCACCCACTTCCAATAAGGGACACAATCAACCAGCTGTCTGACTTGTATACCGTGAGCCAGTTCACGGTTTGGCCAATAGCCTGGATAAGGAGAAGCGAGCAGAACCCTTCCAAAATAGTGAAGATGGATGTCGAGTTTGTGAGAACAATTTTCCACACCGAAACAGGGGTAATTCTGACGTTGGCGTCCGAGTTTGACGACACAGGGCTAGTAGGAACTGTGTGGTACGACAAGAAAAGTGTGAGGATGCTGGGAATCAAGAAGTGCTGCATGTAGTATAACACCAGTACCCAGCGGAAGTAGCGGGACTTTCTGGTGATGAGCCTGATGGTAGTTAGCACGAAGTACAACAGAAAGGTGGTCAAGGAGTAGGCCAACCCGCACTCAACGCCACCCACATCGAACGCCAACGGGATGGTGAGGATTATGAGGACGAGGTAGAGGGTCGAGAGCACTGCCCTAAGGAGCTTGATGATCTTGGGAGGAAGCATGGTGGGTGTGATTGGAGATGGGCGCTAGAGCGCTGAGAGTGGCAGTTTCAGGCCAGAAGTTCTCGAGGGTATTGCGAACTGCAATAAAGCAGAGGATTCTCGTTGGGGGTCAGCGGAAGCCTGTTCGTGCTGGTGGAGGGCCACGGACAGCGGGACAGCACTAGATTGAATAGCACAGAACGCCGAGAATGAGGCCGTTTGGAGTCGAAAAAAGACGATTGAGCAGGGCTCGGGGTAGGGGATGCACGGGAGTGGCCTGGGCCGGATTGCAAGGACGGTGTGGTCCTGGGAGAAGATATACCAGGGGGAGGCTGTACTGGTTATTGTTGATTTGGTAGTTTTTTTACTAGATGGAAGTGCACGTGAGACGTGACCAGGGAGATGTGAGACGGATGGGACCAGAGACGGGGGAGAGAAGGTGGGGGAGGCGAGACGGGAGAGGAGACTACACAGAGGGGGATGCTATGCGGTGCAGAGCAAGATGGAACTTCGGGAATTGTTCCCCATTACACCACTAGCAAGGAGCGGTGGGACTTCCTGGCTAGCGATGTGGTACTGGTGGCCCTCGCTAGCTAGGGAGACGAGTCGCACGGTATCCCCAGTAACTGGGACGATCAGAGAACAATTCACGAGGGTTCGTAAGTGGTCCGCTGGACGGGGCTGCCAGTAATCTGGTTGGGGAGGAGCCAGTGACTGTTTTACTGGCGAATGGCTGGGCAGGTGCAGATACGGTGCTGTTCAATGAGATGTAGATGGGTTTGCTGGTGGCATGAGACTGTGGGATTCGTGGCTGGAGTACTGCCATGGGTCTTGTGAGGCTATTCCTCCTGTGGCCCGAGCCGTAGTTGCCACTACGACCCGGAGACCTCGGTGCGACAACATCCCACACTATATTAGAGACATGGCGTGGTGCGAGAACAGCATGATACAAAAGAAGAGACAAAGAACCTCATCAGTAACGATAATGTAATAAATAATCAAAGGGCTCACTGATTACCATCTCTAGATAGTTTTGGCTGATGTCTTACGTCTGTGACTGGACTTTTATTGTAGTGATGAACCAGGCAAAGGGCCAGACGGTGGCAGGACGCCTGAAAGTCAGCCTGGAATGTCCATCACGTGCGAGGCCAACTGGCCACTGTCCAGAACTGGTGAGCTATAGAGCCTAGTAGTGAAGTCAGGACAGCATAATTTTCTTAGAAACATGACGAGTTGCCCCACCGTGGTGCTGTTGGTAGCATTTTTTTGGGCTTCACACAGGCTGACAGCGATTTCCCTGTACCATTTTGCACCCATTGCCAGTGTCGTTTCTAGCTCGATTCCACAGTGGAGGGAAGGCCAGAACTAGAGTACAGCTGCATTGGCTAGTAAGAATTGACGGAAATCCTCAACTGACACAAGCGTCGAGTTCACTATTTTTTAATTTTGATAGAGTATCAAGAAAGCATAGCCTCTCGAGTGACAAAGACAATTGCACTTTTCAGCTAGAGGCCAGTTTCTGGCCTATTGACCCACAAGACATCATCTAACTTTTTCTTACGAATGTACCTATGATATTACTCTATAATTCGTTTACTAGCGGCTTCTTCGCATCCAAAATATCAGTAAATTAAATAAACTCCAAGATTCATTCCTTAGTAGAGGTTTCAGTTCTATACCATCATTCTTACTGACTTTGGACAAATTGATATTCTTACTGACTATAGGCAAATTGACGTATTGAAGAGCTCAATAAGAAGAACTATGAGAAACTAATTACCAAGCCAACTTCGTATCTAGCTGAGAAACACGATCCCGACTATTTATGTTTCTGAACATAATACAGCACACATTGCACGGCAGTGTGCTCACCAATGTCGCATGGATCACAACCATGTCAAATGCCCGTTCCTTAACCGATGGCAGTCCAGGTGGTTCACTGCTTAGCAATTCAAGTCACGTGACCGCCATGGATCCTTCTAATTTTCACATCTCATCTTCGGAGCTCCATCACCACCACCACCAATGGCAAGACAAAAGAGAAGAAGCACCCATGCGGCTGCTGAGGTCGACCCTGAATCTGCTCCTAAAAGGGCAAGACAAAAGCACGGACGTCAGCAGCTCAGAACCGTCACCAGAACGGCTAGAAGAGGCGATGCCCTGGCTGCACAGAGCGAGAACTATGACAATACTGGAGATATAGAGGCCTCGGACCTGAATGAGTCAGGAGATGAAGAGGTGGAGCAAGAAAAAGATACAGGAATGGCTTATAATGCGTTGTTGACACTTTTAAAGTCCGATCACCAGTCCAAGACGACTAAAACCAAGAGTAACAAGAAGCAAAATGTGGTTAAGACAGAAGGCAGTAGTGACGAGAAAGATGATGAGGAATTCTCCAACGAGGAGTTGGCAGGAGTCAACATGAATGCGGAAGAGGACGAGGAAGAGGAGGTGGACGAAGAAGAAGAAGAAGAAGACGAAGATGAAACCAACACGATCCAGAAAAATCCCTTTGAGGCCCACTTCAACTTGGTCACCGATGAATATATTGAGGAGCAGGAGAAGTTGGTGGTGAAGCAGAACGAAAAGTGGACGCTGTCTGCCTTGAGTAAGGTGAGCAACTCCGACTATTCCATTTTATCATCCTTGCCACCAGGCAAGCCTGTGGCCACCCCAATCGATCCAGGTTCAGTTAAGAACGTCAAGGACTTAAGATTGAAGAACAGAGTCTTGGAAGCGTACGAGAAAAAGTATTCTGACAACAAGTTGAATGCCTTAGACTTGCATTTGGCTTCATCAATGTTTAATTACAAGGATGTGTGTTACTCATACCAGTCCTTCAAGAATGACACCCACAGAAAGCTTTACGCCATGCATGCGTTGAACCATGTGTTCAACACCAGAGATAGAATCTTGAAGAACACCGCAAAACTCAAGGGAAACAGAGAGGACAAGCTCTCTGACGAAGGAGCTTCTGCTCTGGGCCCAGAAGAAGAGTTGGAATTGAGGGATCAAGGTTTCACTCGTCCTAAGGTGCTCATTCTTCTTCCAACTAGAAATGCTTGTTTCGAATTGGTAGAGCAATTAATCCAATTATCGGGTAGTGAACAACAGGAAAATAAAAAGAAGTTCACCCAGCAGTTTTACAGCGATTCTGTCACTCCTGGAAACAAGCCAGATGATTTCAAGTATTCTTTCAAGGGAAACAACAACGATTTCTTCTGCATTGGTATCAAGTTCACCCGTAAGACACTTAAGCTTTATTCTTCGTTCTATTCCTCCGACATCATAATAGCTTCTCCTATTGGTTTGTCGATGATTTTGGAGAACCCAGACAAGAAAAAGAGACAGTATGACTTCTTGTCATCCATTGAGGTTTTGATAATCGATAGGGCAAATCAAATAGAAATGCAAAACTGGGACCATGTCTTGACCGTGTTCAAGTACATCAACAAGATTCCAAAGGAGTTCCATGATGCGGACTTCTCAAGAATCCGGATGTGGTACATTAATGATCAAAGCAAGTTGTTGAGGCAGACCTTGGTCTTTTCTGAATATTTGACTCCCAACATCAACAATATATTGGGAGTCAAAAAGTCCATCAACGTTGCTGGGAAAATGAAGTACAGACCTATAATGGACAGTACAAACTGTATCATGAACTCCATCGGGATCAAGATCAAGCAAATATTTCAAAGATTCGACAGTGAAATCAATCCATTGCAAGATGCGGAATTACGGTTCAAGTACTTTATCAACACTACCTTACCATCATTAATGAAATCTTCCAGTTATTCCAATGGTATCATGATTTTCATCCCTTCGTACTACGATTATCTTCGGATTAAGCACCACATGAAGACTTCTACCAAATTCTTGTTCGGCTCCTTGGACGAATATAGTAGTCAGTCCAAGTTGGATAGAGTCAGACGGGCATTCCATGATGGCAAGATCAAGATATTGCTCTACACGGAGAGATTGCATTACTTCAGAAGATTCGAAATCAATGGAGTCAAGACCATGTTGATGTATGGTTTACCTTCCAACCCCTTGTTCTACAAAGAGTTGGTCAGATTCATTGGGAAGTCTGTATATCGAGAGGAGGTGGACTTGGACTTGGCGTTGGTGAAGGTCCTTTATTCTAAGCTCGATGTGGTGACTTTGGAAAGAGTTGTTGGTGCAGAAAGAGCGAGGGTTTTGTGCGGTGGAGTCAACGAGCTGTACGAATTTAGATAGACCAGTAGGAGGACGAATTCACCCATTCAAGAACGAATTTAGTACACCGCTAATAATTTTTAATAGACTACTAATAGAACGGATAGCACCGACTACTCAATGCGAGCAAACAACACTGGTACAGGAACCTCTTCGAGCGGACTATACCAGCAGTTCTTGCTGGATATGGCGTTGAATTAAGAATTATCAGTAGCTTACAGGTTTCTGATCCCAAACCATTTTTACATCCGATGGCTAATTGTTGTCCAAAGAGATGATCTTGATTCTGGTGGCTTGATTCAGCAAATTTCGCAGCTTTGGTACGAATTCTGTGTGCTCAAAAGTCTCAATCAGATTGTGTTCTACAGTCTATCGAAGTCTCATGCATTAGTATGATGGTATCATAACATTTTCGACTATTCTGTGAGGGAGTTTGGTAAACAAAATCGTGAAAATGCCAATTTTCATTGATTTGGCGTTGCTGATGTGTCGAAAGTCGTGGTTCTGTTCCTGACGAGTGGAGGTAGATGTATATGGACTTGTAGTGACATACAACTTTAGAATTCAACAGTGTGTCCCATGGACTGGGGAGTAGAATTCTCCAGACAGCATGATCCCATCATAGAGATTCAATCAAAGAATACCTGGACTGGAATGAGTAGAATCCGGTCGAGGTCAGTAGAATCCAGAACGACCTGGACTGGATCAATAGCTGTCACAGGACCACTCAATATTAATCCTATTCACTCCTCACGAGCTCAAGATGTTGAAGGCCATCACAAAGCACCCGATAGCCACGTAGGGACTCAACCGTTCACCAATACGGGCAAACTTCCAGAAGACACCCCAAGCACCTGATTTTCTGTTGTCCAAAAGAGCAGGGGCAGTGGAGTGTAAGTAGGTGCAGGTGCAAATGAGCAATAGTATGACCTGGAGGAGGGACTGGAAGTTGAAGAGGGCGGACTAAACGTTAGTAAGAACCAGAGGAGCGGGTGGGGGCACGTACCATCGTGGTGGTTGTAGTGGATGGATTCTGTTAGTGTTGCGGTGTTGTACTAGTAGAGCATCACGTGAGCACCTGCGAAATTGGTTTTCTGGTATTTCTGAATGGCGCCTCGGCTAATCACTAGCAGGAAGTAGAGCTGGAATGGAAGAGTATCCAGCATTGTAGCAATAGGCTGATTGGTAATATTTGAAACTTTTGATCGCATTTCAATGCTGGAAATTAGATTTTATAGGCCGACATTGCTTATAGCACTTCTATAGTTGACATGGTACTAAGCTTGTAGATACACATGGCTATTTCTACTATCTCTACCGATTTACTGGGATACATTTCAGAGGCTTCAAATATTCTATCGACAAGTTTCGATTGTCGAACAAATTAAGCCACTTTAGTTCGTGAGTAGAAACCTGAGGGTCGAATATAAGCTCAGATATTTTATTTTCTCCGTGATTCCCAAAAATACAGATACCGAACCTGTAAGTCTTCTACACTGATGTTAACCATTGCAATTGTATTGGTTTCAACAGAAAATTCTTCACGATGTCATATCATGAGTTAATATAACTTTAAAGATTAAGCGAATATTTTTGTGTGCTTGGAAATATAGAACGGTGGGAGGGGTTTAGTACAGCTTCTATGACGTAGTTCTCGTCATCCTTGAAACAAAATGTTTACTTATCATTCATACCACAATAATCAAAGCTCCCAAAGATATAATTCAATGTGGCTAGCGAGATAGTCAATAGACAATATCAAGCTCTATTTGTATTCGCAAGAGCGAACGTCTAATATTGTATATCGATACTATAAGGCTACAAATTGTATTGAAATCTTACATGGATTACATCCGTTGGAACCAGTACTTCTTGAAACAGTGCTTGGGTTCTCTCTATTGAATTTGTAATTGAATCGGAATCTTAGCTGAATGAATTCTGAATTCAATTGAATCGGTGCTCGAGTTGTACCCAACTTTTACTTAATTCCTGCCGAATTTATTGCATTCAATCGCCTCCATTTATTCCATTCAGTTTTATTCCTACTTGAATTATTTCTCGAATTCCACTTAAATGTATACCGAATTCGTGCCCAATTCTTGCTCAATTTCTACTCGGATTCTTAATTTCTACTCAAATCCCGTCATTGGATTAATTCTGCCATGGTGCATGCCGGAAATACTCCCATCTCCCCTGGTTGCGGCCACGGGCCTGGCCGCTGTGCGGGGCGCCAATCCCACATCCTTCGTCTCGCCTATAGTTCCTGCAGCTTGATCTCGTGGTGCATCGCCCAAATGGGCTCAGCAGCCCACACACCCTGGTTTTAAGACACCGTAGTGAGTATAACTCCGAGATTCCAGCCAATTCGGTTCCGCTCGAGCCACCACCGGCCAGCTCCTCCTCGCACCAACTCCCGCTAACTCACTCGAACCCTCCGTAGCTTCCGCCAGCCCCCACCACCTCCAGCCAGCTCTCCCTACCCCTTACCCTATTACGACCTTTCCCCACCGGCTCACTAACAATTACGCGGCCAGTGCGGTTGACTCGGAGACTACTGCCCAAAACAGTAAGCGGCCAGGGCTGAATCGCCCCCAGACTCCCCACCGCTGCCCCCTCCCACGTCACCGATACGGGTCACATTCTGGGGCATTTGCGTCCATCCCGCGTTGGGTATATATAGTAGACCATCCCCCCTTGGTGGCAGCCAACCATGACCCAAGAAACTGCACACACCGTCCAGGACAACAAGCGGTTGTCCAAGAACAAGCAGCCGGTCCGAGTGGTCTTGTTCCCCAACGGCAAGCATCCGGTGAACGACTTTGCCCTCCCGCCCGTGGGCACCGTCCAGGACATCGATTCGCTCACCCGAGCCCAGTTGGTGCAGTACATGGTGGGGTACCAGTTGGGGTATAACGACAAGCTTGCCAATGTGCGGATGAAGGAGAAGTTGAAGCACGCGGTGGGGCTTGCCGGCACCTACGACAATATCTTTATCTTCAAGGAGAACTAGGGAGAGATAGAAAGAGGTGGAGGTGGGAGACACAACTGGTGAGGGACTAGAGAGTTAGAAGTGGAGAGATGTCAGTTGCAGTTGCGGTTGCAGAGGTGAGCGTGCAGCGCCACGAGTGCTGGTTGGGGCATAGCTCGAATATCTGTCTCCCAGGGAGACGTGGCACCATTGCCACCGTCAGTCGACCACGCACATGCTTCGCGTCACCAGGCGCTGCATTGCAGCCTGGAGTAAATAGGAATCCGTCTAATGAATCACGATCTGGCACCCGTAGTCGCGCTTACGTAATTGCTGACTCAGGCGGGTCACGTGCAGTGCCCTCTATCTCGCCTCCACCACCACAAATCGCCTGCCATTCTACCACCTCTACCACCGCTATCTACCACCGTCCCGCCTTCTGCGGCTGCCGTCCCCCTCCACCTACCTGCGTGTGCCCACCACCCTCACCGCTGCCCGTCTTTCCGCCATTTCACCCTAAATACCATCCAACTATCTGCTTCCAACGCGCTAGCCGCCATCAACCATCCATTCCAATCTGGCCCATCCGCTGCCAAACAATCCTCTGCATTTTCACGGCGTACTGAAGCTGTTTTAAACCTCTTTCAACTGCCAAAACACCCTAATCATGAATTACGATGAACCGTTTCAAATGGACGAGGAGCTTCCCGGCCAAGACAACGTGGTGATTCCGTCCCAGTCGTTATCTGATGATATCACTCCCAGATATACCGACCCAACCTCATCCATATACTACGACCACCAGCTCATACGATCCAAATTGGCCCACCTTCGGTTGGATACGGGCAACAACACCACCACCGAGGATGAAAGCGTGGACGAAGTCAACAAGAGCGGAAAGAACCAGTATGACGAAGACATCGACGACAATTTGGACCTCAAGCTCCAGTCAAAACTCAACCAGGAGTACCACGCAAAGTACGACACGTTTGACGTGCTAACACAACCTTTGGCACCACCGGAAAACTTTGCTCCTGTCATCAACAAGATCTACCGCTCGTCGTTCCCGCAGCCCAACAATTTCAGTTTCTTGAAGAAATTGAAACTCAAGTCGATTTTCTGCTTGATTCCCGAGGAGTATCCCGAACTCCAGGCCGAGTTCTTGAAGCACGAGAACATCAAGTTGTTCCAGTTGGGGATGTCGGGAAACAAGGAACCGTTTGTCAAAATTAGCTCCGAATTAATCACCGAAGCCATCAAGGTGGTTATAGATCCCGCCAACCATCCAATCTTGATCCACTGCAACAGAGGCAAGCACAGAACTGGATGCTTGGTAGGAGTGCTAAGGCGTTTGCAGAAATGGTCCCTCACAATTATTTTTGACGAGTACAGAAAGTTTGCTGCTCCCAAAGAACGGCCCATGGACCAGCAGTTTATCGAGTTGTACGACGAAACTGAGATCATTAAGTATGCCGAGGAAAACAACTTATTGCCGTTGGCATGGGAATAGCCAATAGACGAGGAAAATATAGACTGATTAATAGGTACTGGAAAACAATTGCCAATTAAATTGACATGGAAGCAGTATGGAGTATTTTATGTTACTCTCAAAGACTTTTCCAGGAATAACCCAAATACATAACACTCATTGGATGCTATATTCTGGTCGTACAGGACTGGATTAACCCAAATATATGCCACTCATGGATGATATATTCGGAGTAATCCAGACATACTATAACGGGCAATAATTTAATTATACTACAGGAAGTATCCAGTATATACTACCAAGATATACGAACACCCAGAACAATTAATGCACTACAAGATTCAAACTGCGATGTTCATTATATACTACGATGCACGGAACAAATTATACACAAGATTGCAATACATAGAATATTCCAATTACACATCACCGACTTTTGTTCGAGAATCCACCAGCTATCCCGATGGCCAGAAAAACTTCTTTCCGTACAACCCAGCGTTTCCCAACGCCAACACGCTGATGGCAAAAGGAGTGACCCGCGCCTTGAACAAGCTCTTGACTCCGGGGCCACCGTTGACTATCAAGTACAACGAGGCCCATGCAAAGTTGAAGCCTGCAGCATTGACAGGTTCTCCATCGTAGGAAAGCCAAGCCCCCACGAGGTTTGCGGCTCCGAAAGTGTAGCACGAGGCTCTGGTGGGCTTGGTGAGTGCCAATCTCTGGCTGAAGTGAGCAGATCCGCCTGAAGAGCCTGTGGCACTGATTGGTGCTGGCTGTGTAATACCCTTCAAGAGAAGAGAGGACCCGAGAAGAAGGGCAGGGTATGGGGTCAACGCAAGGTTGTCGAGGGTCTTGAAGATGGAGTCTTTTGTTTCCTGGGACATGTGGGCAAAGAGAGGACGGACGGTGCTGGTGGAATGAGATGGATAGAATGGAGGTGGGTCGAATGTGAAATTGTGAATTGTGGAGTTGCTATGGTCGTGGCTGGTGCGACGCACCGAAGCTAGACCGGGAATTCTAGTGCGAGAGCTAGCGAGGAGTTGGTGGAGGATAGAGGGAGACTAGAGAGGGGTTCAGTGGGACTGGGTTGCTGCTGAGGTGCATGATAGAGGTCATGTTGACAGGTTGAACCAAGGATGGCTCTTGGCGGGGGATTGGCCTTGCGTCGATGGTTGATGTAGCTTGTACGGTAGAGTTCGCGTGCGGCTAGTGGAAAGGTGGTACCAGGCTAGTGACAAATTTAGCGGGTAGTGGCACTACTTAGTGCGGGATGGTACCACCGCTAGCCGCAAAAAGAGAGGGCCCCAAGCACTACAGTAGCAAGCAGGGTGCTATAGTGGTATGGCTAGGAGAAATGTACCCAGTTCCAGTGCGTCCGCCACCAGTACCGTGAGCCCGTTGCAGGCCATCTACAATCATCTTACTATTCCTTATAATCCTATTCTAATATACACTGACGAATTAAACTAAGTTCTTTCACCTCTCAATCTTCTGGCCAATTGGATGTCCTTCTTTTGGATAGTGACTCTCTTGGCGTGGATGGCACACAAGTTGGTGTCTTCGAACAAGGAGACCAAGTAGGCTTCGACGGATTCTTGCAAAGCACCAATGGCGGAGGATTGGAATCTCAAGTCGGTCTTGAAGTCCTGGGCGATTTCTCTGACCAATCTTTGGAATGGCAACTTTCTGATGAGCAACTCAGTAGACTTTTGGAATCTTCTGATTTCTCTCAAAGCGACGGTACCTGGCTTATATCTGTGAGGCTTCTTGACACCACCGGTGGATGGAGCAGACTTTCTGGCGGCCTTGGAGGCCAATTGCTTTCTTGGTGCCTTACCACCAGTAGACTTTCTTGCGGTTTGCTTGGTTCTAGCCATTGTGTTTGGATGATGACCTGAGACTACCGGGCCCCACCCGCTTTATATATGCCGCGAGCCAGACGGTGTTGTTGTTGCAAATTCTGACGCTGCGCGCCATTGCGCGCCGCTACCGTCGCGATCCTCGCGCCACGCTAGCGCGGAGAGTAAATCGCAGCATGCGCTCGCTGGCGACACCGACACGATGACTTCTGTGGCAACGGGAAGACACCAACAACACCGCGACCGCGTGGGAATCCTTTGTTTGGGAGTGCTGCTGGCACTGGCGCCGGCAAGGGGCTCTCCTTTGGGCGCGGTTGTAGCAGACTAGCTGCTCCAGCCAGCCACTTGTAGGTCGCCAATGGGCTGCTAGCACCATTTCTGGCATCATGAGAGGAATCATTAGTGGTGTCGCTAGCACATCTGCCTAGACTGTAAAGCGTCTTCTCTTTAGTGGGCCGGTGATTTCTGGCAGCCCCAAACGCTGCTCGTTCGCAGGCTCTGGTTTACGCCCCCAAATGCGTAACCTCCAGCCCGCACTCCCGGCGCGCCATCCTCGCCAGCTGCAAAACATCCCGTCGCGCTACCACCGCACCGTGACCCAAACACCCGCCAGCGCGTACTCCCAGCACACCCTATAAATACCCGGCGCCCCCATCGTTAGGTCAATCATTATCAAACAATAATAATACAACATGTCCGGTAGAGGAAAAGGAGGAAAAGGTTTAGGAAAAGGCGGTGCCAAGAGACACAGAAAGATCTTGAGAGACAACATCCAAGGTATCACCAAGCCAGCCATCAGAAGATTGGCCAGAAGAGGTGGTGTCAAGCGTATCTCTGCCTTGATCTACGAAGAAGTCAGAGTCGTGCTTAAGTCGTTCTTGGAAAACGTCATCAGAGATGCCGTTACCTACACCGAACACGCCAAGAGAAAGACCGTCACTGCTTTGGACGTCGTCTACGCCTTGAAGAGACAAGGTAGAACCTTGTACGGTTTCGGTGGTTAAGCCGGTGTTTATTAGTGTATATTAGAATAAATTATGATTTCGCGGCATGACGTAGCTTGGCCGATGGTCGAGAAATTCGCCTGGGAATAAATAGTTGGACTGCAGGTGGGCTAGATGAATAATCTTGTGGGAGAAGAATTGGCGGGTCCGATGCTTTGATGCCAGAGCCTTGGAGTGTGCGGCCAATTGGGGTGGCTACCCTTACAGGGCGTGGTTGCGGCGTATGGTGGATGGTAGCGCTGGTGCTGTTCGCAGCCGGTATGTCGCGTGTCGCAAATTTCCAGATCCGGCCTAGGCGAATGTGGTTCTTATTGAACGATGATTTTTGATACATTTATCGCTCTTGTCCAGGCCAGTTTCACTTGGTAGTATTCTTGGATTGCATGTAATAAGCGAGACTGGTTTTCCAGCTTCCACTACTTCCTCTGATCACCTGAAGCAGTACCGTTTCGTGGTCTGAAAGTATGATGAGCTCCTTCTAGCTCAAAACAGTCTCGGCAATCCTATTGTTGCCTAGAATCCCTTCGTTCTCCAAGTACCTGTCCAATAGTTTCTCGATGACCTCTTCCCATTCATCCAAATCCACGGATTGAAATGCTCTGTAGTCGTCGGAGGTGAGTATGGCCCAGTCACGGATACAAGAAGAACTGGAATCCTCCACATCCCTCAATTTCTTTGGACATCTACACCTGCAACCAACACCAGCCCACACGGGCTTATCTGGTGCGAGCCAGTACTCGTCTGGCTTGATGCCACTCTTGGCACGACTGTAGTTTTCGCTCTCCTTGTACAGTTTCTGACCGATTGGAGAGTTTCCGGGACAGTGTCCAATAGCGGAATGCTTATACCCAATGTCACGGAAGTAATGTACATCCCTCAATTCCAACATCATTCCTATCGCGAGAGAATGGACCGGAGCATCGCCCCATCTTTCCCTGTAGAAACCCCCACTGGCATCCAAGTGCTCAAAATACTTTTGGTAGATTTCCGATGTGAATAGATCTGTTCTTGCAATCTCAAAATTGGACCAAAAATGACACAAGTTGTATTCCTCGCGATCCATTCTATCTTCATACAAGCTTGGTTTTTCTTTAGACCTTCTAAATAGTTGCTTGATTAACCCGGTATCGACATTGAATTTGGCCACATCTGCATCTTTTTTGCCCTTGATCTCCAAGAACTTTTTCATCGTAAGTCGATCCTCGATCTCCTGTAAAATTTCCTTCCTCTCCTTGAGATTATCGTAGTCTGCATAGTTCTTTCCCGTGGTGTATTTTGAATCCTTGACAAACAAATTCCATGCCGATCCTACCTTCACCTTATTCTTCTTGAGAAAAGCTTTAGTCTCTCTAAAAAGTCCTGGAACCGTGTAATAGAGCTCATCAATCACAACCGTAAAACCGTATTTCTTTCCTCTCTTTTCCATTTCTACAAATGGGTCGTATGTGAGGTCACAGAAGAACTCAACGTCTGGTTCAACTCTCCAATACCAATCCCGTTTGGTTACTAACTCGTGCTTGTAGAAAAATCCCGAGTAGAATCGACACATTTTGTGATATGAGGGGAGGTTTCCGTACATGATCCTCCTGTCACCCTGGCTGTTCAAGCTCTCGTCAAACTCCGCCTTGTCCACCTCTTCGCTGAATTCCCATTCTTTTTCTGGCACAGTACCAAACTCCACCTCGGCTGAAGTGTATAATGCAACCGTCTTCTTGAACTCTTCAGTAAAAGGCTCGTTGTTCAAGAACACCCACGGGTAGTTGTACCACTGATTGAAGTGACGTTCCAAAGACTTCATCGACAGTACCACTCCCTCGATCTCTGAGTTTCTTGCCAATACCACAAACGCGGCACTGGCTCTTGGTTGGGTGGGGTCTGGCTCCTGACACCCCTGTATGAACGGGGCGTCTATTCTCGATTCTATCTTCTGTTCACTCATGTAGAGGTCGATGGCGTCTTTGCTCTGAATAAGCCTTTGCTGGGCCTCGATCTCTGCCATGGGGAAGTCCTCCCAGAACTGCCCTAGCTGGTTACGCGGGTTGTGCAAGGCCGTGGCTATGAGCCATATGGGAGCTATAATTAGGGCTAATACAAGCCATATGCTGACCGATCGCCTTCTCACCCGTATTCTCCACTTTGCAACGTTGAAAACTTGGCGGAAGACTGGCCATTCTTGTGGCTTCGAGCTCATGTGTAGATGGTCAGGATATATGTGAATAAGCAATGGAGGCCGATGCTCTGCTAGTTGATCTTGGGGTATAGTTGATTGTAGTTGTCGAGATCTAAACTTGGCTGATGGTGGTGTAATGCCAGAGCTGTTGGAGCTGGCGACTAAGCGCTAATGGTGCTGGTGCTGGTGCCGGTGCTGGTGGAACAGTTAGGCGAACAGACCAAGTTTGCGATGATCCAGAAGACGTTAGCCTTAGTACTGTCAAATGTAGCCGCTCCAGAATCGTTCAGAACTGATGGCAGTGGTACAGTTCAAATAGTGCTATTCTGGTCCAAAAGCGACCAAATTCCAGTAATGAGATCTGGTCGCACACAGCCACCAGCACGCTAGCTATGGTTGGTAAACCCCACGGAAAACGAGTCGTCAAAGATCCAATAGGCCTGGATGACGAGTCCTACATGGCTAGCTGCCATATCCCGTGGCTTAGGTCTACTTTTGGTGCCCATATGGCCCAAAATGTTGATGGAGTCTTGGCCGCTCTTGTTGCGCTTAATGCTGCCAAAAAGACCCTGAAAGGAAATCCCAGACACTAAAGACTCTACAGTTGTGGTATTGTCGTCATTCGTTCGGCAAAATTACTATTATACACTGCAGTCGCCTGGATGACACCTACACGGCTCTTGAAGAACAATCTGGCACCTTTTGCCAGTAACCAAAGTTCCGTCCCGAAACGACAACGGGCCTACGCCAGAAACGACGTCTAGTTGCAGCTTTTCTATTCCTGGGAAAGCAGCTATTCTGGGCTGATTCAGGGTCATGGGACGACCGGATCACTTTGGTCCACTAGCAGGAAACAAGCGAGGCAAAACACCAGTCGGGTGTTGCCGAACAAAGCACCGTACGGCTTATACCAGTCTTTCTAATTTAATTTCAAGTGAAATATAATCATCTGTCCATTTACAGGCTGACGTCCAATCAGACTCAAGTAAGCCACCAGAAATCGACCAGAATAATTCGAGTTGGCACTTTCGCTTGAAAGCAGACCCGTTGAAGTCTCGTGAGATATTAGTGACTCGAATCTTCGTACTCGGTCTTGTTCTTTCTTGGACTCTTGTCTAGTTAACAAGCTCCAGTGGAGTACTTTTCAAACCATGTATTCTTGTGAATACGTCTTGTGAATAGTACTGCCATCTTCAACATTTCATCCTAGCTCTATCAACTGGAATTGTGTTGGTCTTGTAATCAAGGCCAGACAGAAACTTCATTGTTGAAAAGGTGACCATACTTGTTCTAAAAGACTTGCCGTACCCGGGATGTGTTAGATTTATCGGACTAATCCTTTAATCCTTGCGTCCAATCGCCATCTTCAACATAGCCAAATCCTCGTTCAACTCTTCCGGCTTCAATCCATTGGGCCCAACAAACTGCTTGTGGGACCCTCTCGTGTTGGGTTTACCTGCCTTATCAAGCAAAACCAACGACGGACCGGCGTCATCGTTATCCATGATCAAGGTGTTCAAGGCATCATAGTCCTTATCGCTGAGGTTGGAGTCGTTGCCACTGCTGGGACCTGCGGCCACAACCCGACTGTTGTGGCCTGTGTTACTGGTGATGCCTGATGACATTTCGTCTGCTGAAGAGTACCGTGTGGCATAGTGTCTCCGTCTCTTGGAAGCCAGTATGTATCCATTCGGTATCGAAGAGGCGTTCCCTGCGGTGGTGGAACCTGCTCCAATGCCACCATCCGACAAATCGTCTGCCTCTCCAGTTGTGAAACGAGAACTCATCTCACGCTTACGCAAGGAACGACGGTCGTTGATGTTGAGCGAGCTCGCTGCAGCTGCTGCGTTCAAAGCTACGGTGGCAGAGTCCTCCTTGGAATTGTTCCACGAATTGGCGTTCACCAAGTTCAACAACAACTTGTCTTCCTTAAGCTGCTTGATCTGTTTCAGGAGCTTGTCATAAAGTTTCTCCTTGATGAGCTTGATCATCTTGTTGTGGTTGTCTTTGGCTTTGTCGATGTCTTCATTGTATTCGGTTTCGATTCGCTTCACCTGGTACTCCTCCCAAAGCCGGAGTTTGGTAAGCTCATAGTCCCGTTGTTCCTCCAATTCGGCTCGTTTCCCCAAGAATTCCTCATTGGTTCCCTGCTGTAACGTTGCCAACGCGGACTGGAGCTCGTGGAGCAGCTCCCGGTAGTAGTTATCTCGTTCAGCACTGAATGTGAGCTCTATCTTTGCAAGCCGGGAGCCTATCTGTTGCCTTTTCTTGTCGCGTTTGCTGAGGCCTAGATGTTAGTATGGTCTGGGAGGGTTCGAGGAGGTCACATACTGTCTCCGAGGAAGCCGTTTCTGCGTTGATCGTCCATGGTGGTGGTACTTCTTGTGGGAAGTGGTGTCTGGGATGTTATGCACAGGTGGGGCCGGGTAAGATCCTGCTTAGTCATCGCTTACATAATTGAGCCTCTATCAACGGTGCTCCAACCTGAGTCACCACCACCCACGCCATGGACTTCTACAAGCAGCTTCCCTTTGCCGACGGCACCTTTGCACTTACAACCACCATCACCACGCCACTTGTGTTCCGCCTCGAGAAAAACCCCCTGAAAACGGCCACCTTGTTGCCTGTCCATGATCCTACCCAAGTGCCTCCAGCTCTTCTTGATCTCCTCCACCATGAGTTCAACTACATCGTGGAAGAAGGATTGACCTACCCCCACCACGTCACCATGACTCGTGAAGAATTCATCAAGTACTGGTTCGCCCATTTCGTCGCCATCTTGATCGAGGGAGACCATCTGTCGTTCGCAGAACTCCACCAACAACCACCATCTTACTGGAACGAAGTCTACTTGGGCAATTTCTACATCAAGCCTAACTACATTGGACGGTGCTCACACGTATGCAATGCTGGCTTCCTTGTCAACCACCAAAAGCGAGGCTTGGGACTCGGTAAGGAATTGGGAAAACGGTATTTGGCGTGGGCCAAGCAGCTCGGATACGCTTACAGCGTGTTTAACTTGGTCTTCGAGACGAATGTGGCCAGTTTGCGTATTTGGGACGGATTGGGTTTCGAGCGCATCGGATACGTCAAGAACGTGGCCATGTTGCGGGGCATGGACTCGTTGGTAGGCGCCTACATGTTCGGCAAGGACCTCTTGGAGTATACCCCAGACCAGGAGCACGTGAAAGCATGAGCAATATCACGTGATCGATTTTCACGCGCCAGCATCGCCAGTCCACCGTCCACCAGATGTTGACATTCTCCAATATACCCAACCAGGACTACATCTACACGCCTAGTCGTTCATCCCATGCCTGAGTTCGACGACGTGATCCAGCCTCCGGCCTATAGGCCACAGCTCGACTACAACCCCGAAAATGAGATCGATCGCTACACAGTGCTTTTGAAAGATGGTGAGACCACCGCAACCATCTATCCCATCCACTCACCAAACGAACTTCCCCCAGGCCTTTTGGCGTTTCTATGTGACGAGTTCAACATGGAGATCGAGCGAGGCGATACCTGTGCCTTCTTCGATACCCTCCATATTGAACAGTTCCAGAGCTATTGGTTCAGCGCATTCGCGGCAGTGATGGTGTTGGGCGACTCGCCCAGCTTGGAAGGGTCCAGGCAGTGGGAAAAGGAGTGTTTGGGTACGTTCTATATCAAGCCCAACTATCCTGGAAGATGCTCGCATATCTGTACCGCAAACTTCTTGGTTAATGCTGGTATCAGAGGCAAGGGAATCGGCAGAACACTCACAGACTGCTACTTGCAGTGGGCCCCAAGACTAGGATACACCTATTCGGTATTTAATCTCGTTTTCGAGACGAATGTTGCTGCTAGAAGAATCTGGGAGTCCCTCAACTTCAAAAGGGTAGGAAGAGTCAAGTCCGCAGGAATTTTGAAGGGACATGATCTCGCCGTGGATGCCATCATGTATGGCAGAGAACTAGTGAATGCCTCCGACCCGGCTGTTGGAGCTTATAGATTTGACAAAATTAAATTCTACTTGGAGACAGGAAGATATCCAGCCATGGCAGACAGACAGGAGAAATCTCGGTTGAGATCATCGGCATCACACTATAGATTGGAAAATGGAAAATTAATGCTTAAGGGCAGAGAAGTCATCAGCGATCCAGCCAGGCAGTTGCAAATATGCACAGAAGTGCATATGGCCAACCATGGAGGTATAAATAAGACCACTGCGGTGGTGACTGAGAAGTATCACTGGACAAGAATCAAGGATACGGTTGCTCAGGCAGTCAAGAACTGTGTGGAGTGCAGAGACCAAGCCAGAGACTTGCCTATTGTGAAGAGACTGACTGCACCAAAGAAAGTGGTCGCTGGGAATACATCGAGACATAGAGGCAACAAGCCATTCAGTTCGCAACCTATCAATCAAAACGGACGCAACATCATCAGGCCCAGAACTAATGAAGAAATGGAGGCTATGGTAGCAGCCGCGCAATTGCACAATATCCCACCCAACAGACATGACGACAGCATACTAGGACATGACTTGTCAAGCTTGGATGCAGGGCTCATTGCAGTGGTCGAGCAAGCACAAGAAGANCACCAACTGCAGCATCGTCACCAAGATTCGCATGGTCATAGGAATAATAGCCATCACCATCAAAGCTATGCGGCGGCGGCGGCTGCAGCTGTTGCCGAAGACTCTAACTACGACTATCCCAATGAATACGATCATCACGATTATCAAGATAGCGCTGAAGGTTCCAACAATGGCGACAAGCACAGAGATAACTCAAACGAGATTCCTGTTGATCCGGAAGTGAGTGCGTTCGACCATAACAATGGAGGCGACGAGATTGAAATTGCAAGGGCTTTGATGAATGCAAATGACGTGGTGGATGATGATGACCCCAGTCGACGTGAGCAAGATCGTAGACACAAGTATAAGCATCCTAACAATCACGACCAATCGGACGAGGCGAATATGTTCATCAAGTCGACATAGAACAATCCATTATGACGTGCCGGCATGCCAGCAACTATACTTCACTTAAATAACCTAATATATGTAATAATATGAAACAGAACCCCAAGGATTTTTCACCAGAACTGCCTTTTGGAAGAATAATTTATCCTCTCCAGTACTGTATTCCTGTATCTCCAATATTGCTTATAATGTCACAAATGTGAGAAGATTCAAGAAGTAATTCCACCTTCAAATGGCCAATCTAGTTTGACTTATGAATCTTGCTACTTCATATGCGTTGAGTGTATGAACTATCAATCGAACAATCAGATCCTTCAGCACTAGTTTACCAGCTGAGAAAAGCTTTCTTCTACAATAATTCAAACAAATTTATATTAGGTTAACAGTCATTCCAACCATATTCCCCCGAAAAGGTTAGGCAGACTCTATGAACAGTACCCAAGAATAGCAAACTATAAAAACGATAGTCAATTCCCCAATTGAACTAATCAAATAAACTGAGCCAGCAGAGCCAGGCACTTCATGCTTGCCATCTAGAAGTCAACACCAATAACCATGGCCAACAAGGCCATTCTAACAAACAAACCGTATCTCATTTGTCTGAAATAAGCGGCTCTTTGGTCGAAATCAACTTCTTCACGGATTTCGTTGACTCTTGGCAATGGGTGCATGACACACATGTGTTGCTTAGCGTGGTGCAAGATCTTGTTGTCGACGATGTAGGTGTCCTTCAATCTCTGGTATTGAGCCTTGTCCTCAAATCTTTCTTCTTGGACTCTGGTACAGTACAAGACGTCGGATCTGGCAATCAAGTCTTCGGTCAATACTTCGCTTTCGGCCACCAACATACCGTTGGCCTTCAATTCCTCCTTGATTTCTTCAGGCAATTGCAATTCCTTTGGAGAAACCAATTGGATTCTGACCTGGTAATGACGTAACAACTTGCACAAGGAGTGGACTGGTCTGCCGTACTTCAAGTCACCCATGAAGGTAACAGTAATACCGTTCACAGTACCCAATTCTTCTCTAATGGTGAACAAGTCCAATAAGGCCTGGGTTGGGTGTTCCTTGCTGCCGTTACCACCGTTAATAATTGGGATTGGAGAGTACTTAGCAGCAATGTCAGCGGATTCCTCAGATGGATGTCTCAAGACAATAGCATCTGAGTAACAAGCCATAGATCTAACGGTATCTTGCAAGGTCTCACCCTTCTTAACTGAAGAGGAGTGAGAATCGATGGAGATAACTCTACCACCCAATCTTTGCATGGCAGCGTCGAATGAAGATGAAGTTCTGGTGGATGGCTCATAGAACATGGTGGCCAAAACTCTACCCTTCAACAAGTCCAAGACACCTTGTCTTTCAACGGACAATCTCATTTCTTGGGCAACGGTGAACAAAGCATGCAAGTCAGATCTGCTGAAGTCGTTCACAGATAAGACTGAGTTTCTAAGGAAGCTGTTGTGCTTTCTAATGTAGTTTTCCAAAGCGTCACCTTCACTCAAGTTGACTGGAGGTTGACTAACCAATTTGGAACCCAACTTTTCAAATTCAGCTTGAGTTTGAGCAGGTTCCTTGGTGAAAGAAGGACGACGAACATCAGAAGAGAAGGACATTCTGTTCTTTCTGTTGAGAGTTGGAGATTGTGGAATGTTCGAGACAAACTTGTTTCTGGAGACAACTTCGTTGTTGCCAGAAGCAGACTTGGCCAAGATGGAACCGTCCAAACAGGCAGTTTCACCATGGAAAGACACTCTCTCAATAGATCCTTGCAACTTCAAGGCACTGAAGATCGAGGAGATAGGGCTGTCCTTGCTACGGACGACTCTGTCTAAGTCGATTTCAACAGTGGCATCTTGCTTTGGAATACCGAAGATCTTAGCTGGGTTGTCGTGGAACTTAGCGGTAATGTCTTCAAGGGTAAGCTTACCATCCTTAACGGCAGTCAACAACAATGGTAAGGCCTCCATGAANCCCAAGCCAGGAACAATGTTCTTGTTCAAAGCCTTGGCAATCAAGTATGGCAAGACTCCAACAGAGAAGGCATCGACATCTTCCAAGTTGGCCCACAATTCCAATTGGTCTTCCTTAGATGGCAAGAAAGGCAAGTTGAACTCATCCTTGGACAAGAACAATGAGTAGACAGAAACGTCACAGGTGACCTGCAACTTCTTGTCCTTGGCCATTCTGATCAAGTCCAAATCTTCCTTGGAAGAAACACCAGTAATGTGGATAGATCTGTTGTGCAAGGAAGCCAACAACAACACGGAGGCCAAGTCGGTGGTTTTGGCGTCGGTCAAGATTGGCTTATTTTCTGGCCAAGAAGCAAAGTGAGAGGAGATGGCAGAAACCTTGGAATTAGCCAAGTCGTTGAAAGGCAAGAACAAGGCACCAGCATTCTCGTTGGCTTCAAGAACACCAACAGCGTTGGAGTCGGAACCGGCAATGGAGAACGAGTAGTCGGTGTAAGCACCAGCAGAAGCCGAGTCAATGGCTTGGACCAAGGAGTCGAAGTCGTTGATGGTGGTTCCAGACAAGGTTTGAGGCAAGAAGGCATTGAAGGTGAAACCAGCAGCCAAGGAAGCCTTGGTGGAGGCTTCGAAGTCATCCAAGGAAGGAATGAACGAGGTGATGTTGATCAATCCAGGGAGGGTAGTGGTCTTGTGGGAGGTTTGAGCATCAATGTTGCTGACTTCCAACGAGATGTTTCTGGCCAAAGCTTCAACCAATAACTTAGCACACTTAACGTTGGTGACCAAAGGAACAGAGTAGTCAACCGCCATACGACGAGACTCGTAACCCTTGGACATGTAAGAAGCAGGACGACGGAATCTGTTGGAAGATGGCAAGTTGACGTACAAGTCAATCAAGTTGTTAGCCAAATGCTGAGTCAAAGAGTATTCAGACTTTTGGTCTTCTTCCTTGCTCAAAACTTCTAAGTAGTGGACAGGAATACCGTGTTCCTTGATGAAATCAGCAGTACCAGCAGTAGCGAAGAGGTTGTAGCCCAACTCGTGCAACTTGGAGATGGATGGCAAGAGCTCTTGCTTTTCCTTGTAGGAACCAATGGAGAACAAAATGTTCTTCTTTGGCAACTTGAAACCAGTAGAGATCAACGACTTCAAGTATGCTTCATACTTGTTTCTACCGAAGGTAGCAACCTCACCAGTAGAGGCCATCTCAACACCCAAAACTGGGTCAGCACCAGCCAATCTGGAGAAAGAGAACTGAGGAACCTTGACGGCACAGTAGTCTTGAGGCAACTTCTCACCAGGGTAAGGAGTAAGAGGAATATCCATAATGGCTTTAGTGGCCATTTCAATCAAGTCAGTACCAACTACCTTGGAGATGAATGGGAAAGATCTTGAGGCACGGACATTACACTCGATAACCTTGATGTCGTTGTCCTTAGCAATGAACTGAATATTGTAAGGACCAGTGATGTCCAAAGCCTTACCGATCTTGGCGGTGGCTTCCACAATTCTGTTGACGGTTTCTGGGTCCAAATCTTGGGGAGGAACAATCAAAGTGGCATCACCAGAGTGGACACCGGCGTTTTCAACGTGCTCAGAAACAACGTGCATGATCATCTTACCATCCTTAGCAACGGCATCCATTTCAATTTCCTTGGCTTGTTCAATGTACTTGGTGATAACCACAGGGTAGTCTGGAGAGACATCGACGGCCTGGGTCAAGTAAGAAGCCAAGTCATCTCTGGAGTAGACAGTGTTCATGGCAGCACCGGACAACACGTACGATGGACGGACCAAAACTGGGTAGGTGACCTTGGCTGCGAATTCTTCAGCTTCTTCAATCGAAGTCAACTCCTTCCAAGCAGGTTGATCGACACCAATTCTGTCCAACATTCTGGAGAACTTGTATCTGTTTTCAGCACTGTCAATCATTTCGGGAGAAGTACCCAAAATCTTGACGTTTTGACGGTGCAAGTTCAAAGCGATGTTGTTGGAGGTTTGACCACCCATAGAGATGATCACACCGGAGGATTGTTCCAAGTCGTAGATATCCAAGACTCTTTCCAAGTTGATGGTTTCAAAGTACAATCTGTCGGCCTCATCGTAATCGGTAGACACGGTTTCAGGGTTGTAGTTGATCATAATGGTCTTGAACTTGTTTTCTCTCAAGGTTCTAATGGCTCTGACAGCACACCAATCGAACTCGACCGAAGAACCAATACGGTAGACACCAGAACCTAACACAATAACACCGTGCTCGTCAAACTTGACATCGGAAGAGTCAGCGTTGTAAGTGATGTAAAGGTAGTTGGTGAAGGCAGGGAATTCAGCAGCAACAGTATCGATTTGCTTGACAAATGGAATAATACCGGCTTCCTTACGCAATCTTCTGATGGCGACTTCGTTGGAGTTGACAAACTTAGCGATTTGACGATCTTCAAAACCCAATTGCTTAGCTTGCTTGAGGATGTTGACAGGAATGTTTTCCTTGGTACCAAAAGAGGCGATCTTGTTACCAAACTTGATCAAACCGTCAAGCTTGTTCAAAAACCATTTGTCAATGTTGGTCAACTTCCAGACCTTTTCGACAGAGTACCCGTCGGACAAGGCGTTGGCAATGGCAAACAATCTTTGGTCAGATGGAGTTTGCAATTCGCTGTCAATGTCAATGGACATCAAGGCGGAGGTCTTGTTGAAACCAAGGTTTTGGTAGTCGGTAGATCTAATGGCTTTTTGGATGGCTTCTTCGAAAGTTCTACCAATAGACATAACTTCACCAACAGACTTCATAGAGGAAGACAATAAGGAGGAAACTCTGGTGAACTTTTTCAAGTCCCATCTTGGGATCTTGACAACAACGTAATCCAAAGATGGTTCGAAACAAGCACAGGTAGATCTGGTGACCGAGTTCTTGATCTCGTTCAATGGAATGTTCAAACCCAACTTGGCAGCAGTGTAGGCCAATGGATAACCGGTAGCCTTGGAGGCCAAAGCGGAAGATCTGGACAATCTGGCGTTGACTTCAATAATACAGTATTCCTTGGAGAATGGGTTCAAGGCGTACTGAATGTTACACTCACCAACAACACCCAAGTGTCTGATGACATTGACGGCAGTGGTTCTCAACATGTTGTAGTCTTCATCGGACAAGGTTTGGGATGGAGCGACCACAATGGAGTCACCAGTGTGGATACCCAAGGGATCGAAGTTTTCCATGTTACAAACAGTGATACAGTTGTCGAAACAATCTCTGACGACTTCGTATTCAACTTCCTTCCAGCCCTTCATGGATCTTTCAACCAAGACTTGTGGAGAAGTGGCGAACGCCTTGTTACACAAGGCAACCAATTCTTCTTCGTTGTCAGCGAAACCTGAACCTAAACCACCCAAAGCAAAGGCAGCTCTGATAATCAATGGGTAACCAATGTTGTTGGCAGCATTGATGGCTTCGTCAACAGTGTTGACAGCTTCGGACATAGCACACTTTTCACCAATTTCTTCCATAGCGTTGGCAAACAATTCTCTGTCTTCAGTGGTGATGACGGTCTCGATTGGAGTACCCAAGACCTTGACACCCAAGCTCTCGAACTCGTCCTTAAGACTGATACCAACGGACAAGGCAGTTTGACCACCGAAGGTACAGTAGATACCGTCTGGACGTTCGTGCTTGATGACCTTTCTGACAAATTCTGGGGTGACAGGCAAGAAGTAGACCTTGTCGGCCAAACCCTTAGAGGTTTGGATAGTGGCGATGTTGGGGTTGATCAAGATGGTGTAGATACCTTCTTCCTTCAACGCCTTGATGGCCTGGGAACCGGAGTAATCGAACTCACCGGCTTGACCAATGGACAAACCACCGGAACCCAAGACCAAAACCTTCTTGACGTCGACTCTGGGGTGGGCAGCTCTGTTGTCTTCGATCAAGCCACCGGGGAAAGCGACCTGCTTGAAAACCGCAGATTGGTTGAACTCGACCACAGAGTTGATGAACACATCAAACAAGAACTCGGTGTCTCTTGGACCAGGGGTAGACTCTGGGTGGAATTGCACCGAGAAGAATGGCTTGGTCTCGTGGTAGATACCTTCGTTGGAGCCGTCGTTGGCGTTGACGAACAATTCCTTCCAGCCAGCGGCCAAGGTGTTGGTGTCCACTGCATAACCGTGGTTTTGCGAGGTGATGTAACATCTGCCCGAGATGGTGGAGGTACAAGGGATGTTGTGGCCACGGTTACCGAACTTCAACTTCATGGTGGTGGCACCAGTGGCTCTGGCCATCAACTGGTGGCCCAAACAGATACCGAAGATGGGGGTCTTGGCCTCGTCCAAAGCCTTGGCCAATCTGGCCACGGTTTCGGTCATGACCGAGGGGTCACCGGGACCGTTGGAGATGAACAACCCGTCGTACTCCTCGGTGGTGTAGTCGTAGTCCCATGGGACCACTAACAACTCGACACCACGTCTGACGAAACAACGGATCTGGTTGTACTTCATACCCACGTCGACAGCGACAATTCTGATGGGTTTTCCGTTCTTGCCCAACTTGGCGCCTTCCTTGGGAGTGTACAACACCGGCTTGCTGGTAGACACCTTGGCCACCAAGTTCTTGACGTTGGGGTCATCCCATTGGGGGATCTCGAAGTGCTGCTTCCAGTCGCCCTGCGACGCCAAAATGGTGTCTGCAGCGACCAGCAGCTTCTGCAACGCCAATCTACCAAGAGTGGACCCGTTGTCTCTCAACCGCTTGGTCAAGGCACGGGTGTCCACTCCGTAGATGGCGGGAATGTTGTGTTCTTGCAACCATTTTCCCAAAGACGATTTGGCTAAATAGTGCGAGTATTCCTCAGTATAGTGGGCGACCACCAAACCAGCAATATGGATTTTAGAGGACTCGAAGTACTTGGGCAACGCAGGCGAGTAGTCGTCGTCGAGCAACTGTCTGTCGGGGACACCGTAGTTACCGACCAAAGGGTAGGTGATGACCAAGATCTGGCCCTCGTACGAAGGATCGGTGATAGACTCGGGGTAGCCTACCATACCGGTCTGGAACACCACCTCACCGGCAGCAGCAACAGGTGCACCAAACGAGTAGCCCTGCAAGGCGATGCCGTCCTGGGTCTCGAGGGTCATCATGAGGTCGCCGGTGGACTCCATAGGAGGAGTGATTGGAGCGGATAATTGGGCCATGTCTTGTTTTATGGGGGGTAAAACGGATCTGAGGTTAGTATGGAAGGGGTAGGGGGCAAAGCGGTGGCAGGACTGGAGATCTGGCTGGGGGAACCTGATGTGAACCTGGTGGGAGAACGTGAATGCACTGAAATAGTATCTGAAAATCTCAGCTCATCGCACGATGATCCTGCATTCAGCAACAGCACACCATCTGCTCATCAAGGTGTTCCACTCAGTCTGCTCATCCAGGTGCTCAGTAGCATTCAGCTTATCAGCAGCTCCTGCCAGCCCTGGTGTCATTATGGCCGAAGCCGCGAGGTCTACAGCCTCTCAAGTCATCAACAACACTTACTCAAAGTCGGGGGAAGGACGTCAAACCAAAGACTAGCGTATTGGGGAATTGATGCTTGAGAGAGAGAGAGAAGATAAAATAAGCAGACTACGCTGTGGGGGCCAGATGCCTTCTCTTTTATAGTCAGAAACCACCGAAAATTTTTCAACGCCTGCACACGTGAGCTCATTGCACGACCATGACATCACCTATATTGCGCGAGGCCTAAGAAGAGACTCCAGGGTAAAACGGCACCAGGAGGCCCCAGAGCTTCGGGAAAACACTATCAGGACGGCAGGCTCGCTGGAAGGTCCATGAGGGCCTTTTCCAGGGTCTCTGGCGCCTCTGGGGCACCGAACGAACCAGATCCATCTCCCGTTTCCTGGGTGAACCCGCTAAGGCGGGCGATGCGATGAGCCATGGCGAAGGAGTCAGAACCGGGCGCACACGACACTAATGGGTGCAACTAGGGTGAAGTAGATGCTCCTACGTCGCCATGGCCCATAATACTGGAAACTCCGCCAAAGGGCCACTAGGGTGGATTCTGGGAGCATCTACGCCAGCGAACCTGTTCAGCTCATCTGTGCCTCAGCAGAAGCCAGCCTAAAACAGACCCTTTATGACCCATTTGGTCCCTACATCCACTTCTGTAATTCTCGTTTCTGCCGTTTCTCTCATCTGCTCGTGCTTTGTGCTTGTTACCTGCATCGTAATAATATCCACAAGGGAGGGCCAAGCGAGCTCTGGCCAGCCAAGACTCCACGGGTCATAGTCCACAAGCAGGTGCTCTACGGCGCTACTGTGTGGCGTATTTTGCAGTCAGATAACTGTCGGTGCTGTCAGTGCTGTTGCAGCTGAAATCTTGAGCTGAGATCTGTCAACTGCAGGTGAAATCTCTCCTTCGTATTCACTGAGATGGTCCTGAGTTGAAATCGCCCCGGATGCATTGATCAGGCCCTGTAGTGGTGCAACTGAAATCGAGGCATTATCCTTGGATCTCTGCCGTGTTGACTGAGATCTGTCGTTTTAAGCTGAAATCTGTGGTATTGACCTGGGATCAATTAGCCAGATCTGCTACTTACAATTGAAATCTCTCCGTATTTCGCTAAGACCACTCCATATTGCAGCTGGAATATCTCAATATCTCCGCACCCACAGCTTCCTCTCCGTCGTATCACGCTGATCCTGACAGCACCCACTCGCCTCGCACGGCCCACAGCCGTTCACTGCTAGCCATCTTCTCGCCAAAATCCTCCTGCACATAGCATAAACAATTTCCATATCCCCAGTCATCGTTAAGGTAGCCAGACGTCCGAAGATCTCTCCAACACCTCTACCGCCACGCCCAGCGTCCGTGCATCGCCAGCATCTTCCCACTTCCAACATCCACACATCCCCTGCGCCTGGCCAATTCCCGCCTCCCGCCAACATCCTTACTGCCATTGTGGAAACGTCGTTTACCCGCTATGATATAACATGAGCCTCAAGGAACTCTACGCCAAATACCTGCGCTTTCGAAGGGAACATGCCCTAGGCACCCAGATTAGGAACGGCATCCACCGTGTGGGGTCTGCCATCCATCCGTACGCACGAGTCCTTATCCCCAACTTCAGAGCCGCCCACTACGTGTACATCTTCACCATGGTGTTCTTGGGCTCGTTCATCATCTTTCCCTACCGCAACATCAGCTATGTGGACACCCTCTTCTTCTCAGGCGGTGCAGCGACCCAGGCAGGCTTAAACACCGTCGACACCAACACCTTGAAGCTCTACCAGCAAATCGCCATCTACGTGTTCACGTGGATGACCACCCCTATCTTCATACACGGCTCATTGCTCTTCTTGCGGTTGTACTGGTTCGAGCGCCACTTCGACAACATCAAGGAGCGTTCAGTGCTCGACTTCAAGATGAGACGTTCTGCCACCCTTGCTGCTGCTCGTTCCAAGTCGATTGACTCCACCTACTTGAACACTGCCAACAACAGAGGCTTGGGTTTCTCCAACAACCCTGAGCAGGGAATTCCCCTTGAAAACATCGACAAGGGTGAGGACGGCATCAATATCAATGTGGACTCGCCCCAGTCGTCTCTGTCGGTCAGGCACGATGAGCCCAAGGTGGTCCATATGAGCGAACCCTCCGACAGTGAGGTGGACGCAAGAGCTGAACTCTCCCCCGCCAACGAAGCCGCCCACACCTCTGATAATATCCGGTTTGGTAACTTGCCACAGCCTCCCAAAAAACGTGGAGTACGAGAAAAGGAGATCGATCCAGAAGATATGTATAGGTCGATTGCCATGCTTCGTGACAACCACAAAAACCCAAACTCCACCATTCAATTCTCCAATGATGTCCACGATAAGTACACAAGAACAAACAACGATGATGATGACGTTCTCATTATCAAATCGCCCAACGAAATCGAAAATGACGACAAGCAGCCCATTTTCACCAGAAGAAATCGAAGAAGAAGCTCCAACAATCTCATTTCCCCCAAAAAATGGAAGGCCGTCGGCTCCAAAAGAGTGGGAAATCCTTGGAAGCGGAAACTCAGAAGAACAATGTCAGGCAACAAATCAATTTCCAGAAACAACACGGGCGACTCTTTCGAGCAAGCCGTGTTCGACGATGACGATGTTTCGATTGATTCGGAAACGAACCAGAACACAATGGATGATGAAGACTATGGTGATGATGAAGGAGACGAAGATGACTTTGATGGTGACGATGACGAAGATGAGGATGAGGATGAAGCCGGAGAACATCGTGTAAAGAAGAGTCGGTCTCATTTGTCACCTCATGACTTGCCTATCGGTAAAAGATCAAATACAGCTGATAATCCTAACCCAAGATCCACTGTCTTTCACACTCCTACGATCGACAGAACACGTACAAAACCCAGGTCCATCAAGAGTAAGGTGAACAGAAAGCTCAAGAAGATAGCTTCCTCTTCTGGGCTCAATTCCAGAAGTTATGGTGAGACGAGCGACACCAGAGTGGATGATGACGATGAAGAGGATGACCTCGACTATGATGGCCCGGATTTGAGCAAGTGCATGAGCACAAACTACTTATCTTGGGTTCCAACAGTAGGAAGAAACTCTACCTTCGTTCACCTTAGTGAAGAACAAAAAGAAGAACTTGGAGGTGTGGAGTACAGAGCTGTTAAATTGTTGATCAAGATTCTCTTGTGCTATTACATTGGATTCCACATCCTAGCCATGGTGTTACTATTGGCTTGGGTTTTGCACAAACCACAGTACATGGCCATCCTCAGAGATCAAGGAGTCTCTCCCACCTGGTGGGCATTCTTCTCGGCTGCTTCTTCCTTCAATGACTTGGGTCTTACTGTAACTGCTGATTCAATGATTTCATTTAACAGATCAACCTATGTTATGATTGTGGTAGCCTTTTTCGTGGTTATTGGAAACACAGGGTTCCCTGTCTTCTTGAGGTTTATCATATGGATCCTCTTCAAATTTGCAAAGCCTTTATCTTTGTACAAAGAGTCTTTGGGATTTCTTTTGGACCATCCAAGACGTTGTTTCACATTATTATTTCCTTCTGTCCCCACTTGGTGGTTGTTTTTCATTTTAGTTGTTTTGAATGCCGTCGATTTGGTTTTATTCATAGTCTTAGATCTCAAGAATGAGGCGTTACTAAGCACACCAGTGGGCTACCGTGTTTTGCAAGGTTTATTCCAAGCGTTCAGTACTAGAACTGCTGGATTTTCAGTTGTGGATTTGAGTGAATTACACCCGGCAGTGCAAGTCAGTTATATGATTATGATGTATATTTCTGTGTTACCCTTGGCTATCTCTATCAGGAGAACAAATGTCTACGAGGAACAGTCTTTAGGTATTTACCTCAAAGACGAGTCCAATAGTGATGAAGATCTTGATAAAAAACCAAAAACCTTTGTGGGAACACATTTGAGAAATCAATTATCTTTTGATTTATGGTTTATCTTTTTGGGACTCTTCATCATCTGTATTTGTGAAACCGGCAAATTGGATAAGAACAATTACAGGTTCTCTGTGTTCAGTGTTATGTTTGAAATCATCAGCGCCTATGGTACTGTGGGTTTGTCTCTTGGATACCCTGGAGTGGATGCGTCCTTATCGAGTCAATTTTCGACTATCTCGAAGCTAGTCATCATTGCCATGATGATCAGAGGAAGGCATAGAGGTTTGCCATACTCATTGGATAGAGCCATTATGCTTCCTGATGATCATATGCAAAGAAGAGATAGGGTTCAAGAAAACCACGCAATTAGGAATAATGCCACGATGGAACGTGCAATGACCATTGGCAGAAACAGTACTTTTGAGCACAACGCTGATGATAATATCTTGACCAGAGTCAAAAGTGCTTTCGAAAGTGGAGGCAACTTCATCAGAAGGGGATCTGCTTTCAATTGGAGTAGCGCTAGTGGTAATGCTAATTTTCTGCGTCGTAACAGTGATAATAATTTAGGGAATCATCTTGACATCAGACATTCCAGAAGAGATAGTCAAAGGGGTGCAGATTTTTCTAGTCATCGTGGCAGCGACCATATCGGACCTCAGGAACCAAGCGAAGCCCCACAGACTGAAATGTATTCTCCAAGATAATTGTCGGGCATTATTTAATTTAATTTATTAGTTTTTTAATAGTTTTAATTATTTCAATTCATTGCAAAGCCACCATAATATGGTGGGTAGAAACAGTGGTGTAGTCCGGTTTTAGTTGAAGAATAGGGGATTTTGTGTGATTATCAATTTTTCACATCTGCAACTTTTTTGCAATAATTTCAAGATATTCTTCGTAGATTCTATCATAACTAATCGGACCAATAAAAACAAATATCACAAGGAACTATCTACTCAACAACTTGCTAACCTTATTTTGATACCCAGGACGTTAATATCCCAACTGGTTGGTTGTATTGCCGAGTAATTCAAAGTTTTTCACGAATTTCAGTTAACTATTGTATTCAGGGAATTGGTACGCTACCGCTTTCCTAAAAAAGACATGCTTTGTAAAATCTAAATGCTCATAAGGACTATTTTACTTCACCAAATATTTTGTTTGTGCAATAATCACGTTGATATTACGAATTTGTGACCCCAGCAAACTATTTGTGAAAATCTACATTTCTCCATTTTGTAATTGATGTCATTCGATTATCCTAGAAATTTCACGCTATATAATCTCAGCCTGTCCACGTGAAACTTGTGACTGATATATGATAAGAAAGGCAAACCGCTATGTCTAGAAGATGCAAGCTATATGGATATGTCTTGTGTGTGGAGATGCCAGGAAAATGAAAGCCGCAAGGGATTTTGTATCATGGAGATGTCATGGACTAGGCATGACATTGGAGGGTCTGGAAATGCTCCTTAGAAGGAGACCTTGAGGACAGTGTGGGTGCTCCTCTAGCTCACAAGTAGTTCTTTCTGTTGGCAGTTCTTATAAATCTTCTCAATTGCCATTCAACGTCGGCATCCTTGTTATCAGGTAATCCTAACTTGATTTCATAAAGTCTCATTTCGAATCTTGGCCCAATCTCACTGATTTCCACGCTGTCCTTGGTTCTGACATATACATGGTGTCTTACGGAAATGTAGTCGTCGTTATTGACGAATGTTATGACTCTAGAGCTGTCTTTCTTGACTCCTGGAGGGAACAAATGCTTCAATATTTTTTCGACTCTCTTACCCAAAGTTGTGTTGAAGTTTTCGAATATAAGATGAGGATAGCTTTCCGATATGTTACCGATATTGGGCAAATCGTGTCTAAGCTTGACGTTGTGTAATGTGAAAACTGCGGTTGGACCGTGGGGAAAATGGGACACTGTGATCGAGGTGGGTACACCTCTATGCTCGTGCAAAAGGATCATGTCGGTGATTTGGACACGGGTACATGACTTGACCAATTCGGGTATGATGTAGTTACCTCTGTTCAACTTGAGTGAATTTGGGAACATGAGCTTGATTTCTTTGGAAAACTGCAACAATTTGACCGACGGATCACGCGAGGTCGTTATGATCACTTTAGGGTCGCTTATTCCGCTCAAAGCAGAGTATTCGTCGTCGATCTCCACCTGTTCACTTTCGTCGAAGATGAAGTCTTTCTGGAGCTGGGCATCTTCGGCAAGCTCTTTGGACAACGGCTTTCCGGAAGCCAAAGCTGCCTTCAACTGCTGTCTCTTTTCCAAGAGGTTAGACTCTTTGAGTTCGAGGGACTTTCTGTAGAGATACTCTCTTCTTTCTCTGGCCTGTCTTCTGATCATCGCTGGAGGTGTAGTGATGAGATGAGATGATTTTTTTGTTAGATACAATGTCGTGGGGTGGGCGTGCGAGATGACGACTTTCGCGACACGGACTATGTGCAGGACACGAAGGTCAGGGGCAGGGGCCACTTCTGGCTAACGGTCGCTGGCGAAGGCTACGGAGAGAAGGATACGGGTGTGGGGTGGAGAGGTATTGCTTACGGCAAGGTCAGGCAAGTTTCGAAGGGGCCGAAGGCATGAAATGCCCAGCCGGCCTGTTGCGAAACTGTCTGAACAATCGCATTGTCTGGGACGCATTGTCTGATCTGTGTCTGGTGTCTGATCTCCGAGATGGAGCTGGCTTCAGACACTCCACAATACTCATAAACAGCTGGATTACGGTGCATCAAAAGTGTCCCCTCAATGGCCACCGATATCGCCGTGGACGGCTCCAACGGGCCCTACAACGGTCACACACCAAGGCCACTTGGCGACCAGGTGACCATGTGGCATATTATCGCACACAAATTTCGCCTGGAGATAGCGGAACCCGATTCCCATCTAGGCATGGATTTCCTGGTGGCTCATCACACGGGAGTGGCATTGAAGTGTAGGAGGCCATGTGGGCCATCACCCTGGGCTAGGGAGGTGTTGTATTAATTAGCTATGGGGACATTTGTAATGGGAATCTATCATTGGACTGACTGGTATTCTGAAAAACTGGAGATGCGGCTCCAGTTCGTGTAGTTATACCAGCCAATCGGTGAACTTCGTGTGGATGGAAGTCTGGAGTGGCGTGAACAATAAACAATTGGAATAATTCGAATAATTAGAACAATTCCATTCGAACAGTCTAAGACTAGGGTGCGCTTCGCTTATATTCTTCTGGATCTACTCACGCTAGGCGTGGTTAAACATAGAACGGGCAGCAGGACTGCAATTACTCGGTAAACTGTAGTAGGCTAAGGTAGAGGTTTAACACAAGAAAAGATGGACTACCGTGTCCAAATCAATCAATATCAAATCAAACGGAACAGGAAACTAAACGGAAATCAAACGGAACGGAAATACAATCAAGAAGCAAACGGGGGGTCCGGAGACCAAGTTTTAAGGAAGGTTTATGTTAGTGGCCATTGATCTCGGTGGTGGATTGCCGGATGCAATCACCAATCGAGCTCGAGATCAAGCTTTCGTTATCATTGAATGTGTTCATGGCAAATTGGGGAGGCTGGCCAAAAGTGCTGGAGGTGGTGGAGCTGACCGACTTTCTTCTGTCCTTGCTGGCAGGAGCCTGGATGGAGCTGCGCCTGGAGTTCTTCAAGCTGACGTAGTCTAGTTCGTCGCTGTCAGAGGACTCGGGGGAGATAAGAAACTTGTTGAGGTTGGAAGGTCCTGGCGACCCGGAGTTCTTTTGCGACACCGAGTCTTTTCTGCCCAAGCTCTTCAAGCTGCCGAATCTGGATCTTACTGCCTGGTTGGGGGCTGGAGCCTCGTTGATCTGCTTCGATAGTTGGGACGAGGTCGAGGGGTTTCTATGGTTGGTGAAGGAGGGACGCTTTGTGAATGAGGGAGGGACGGGGGTCTTGCCGTTCTTCAAGGTGGGTATCACTCCTTGCGAGTACGAGCCCTTGAACGAGGGTCTTCTGGCGAACTCGTCGTTGCTGATCATATCAGCGTAGCTATAGAAAGAGAGAGCCGAGGCGGACGAGGTCAACTTGGGCGGGGAGACGGGCGACTGGACCTGGGTGGAGTTATTATTGTTGGTGGAGGCAAGGTTGGTGTTGATTGGAGGGGGGTGGTTAAGCTGGTTGATGGAGTAGCTGGAGTTCTTGCGCGAAGGTGTGAACGGTCTGCCCAAGGCCATGTTGAGGCCAATCACCGACGAGTTACGACGGTTGGAGTAGATCATCTCCACGTCGTCCAAGTTGGTGTGTCCATCGCTGAGAAGCTGGGCGGTGGCGTCCAACGCTGGAGGGATGTAGTCCTCGTTCTTCAACAAGGGCCCTGAGTGGAGCGAGATCGACGAGTTGTGCGTGTAGGATCTGGGACGTCTGTGGGACCCGCTGGAGCTGCCCAGGCCCTGCAGAGGGTGCAGAGGCTGTGGCAACATCACGGGCTCCTGGACAGACCTCTCGAAGATGTTGGACTCTGGGTGGTCACAGAGGGGGTGTGGTGAGGCCAAGGGCGAGTGGAACTCTTTGGATGCTGGCGATGTGGAGGTGGACGAGGGCGACATGGGCGCCTGGGCAGGCTTGTCGTCGTTGCCGAACGAGAAGAGCGACAATCGCTTGGAGGAGGACTTGGTGGGAACCATCACAACATGTACTGGGGGAGTGGAGGTTGGAGGAGATTGAAGGTTGGGGGTAGGGTAGAAGTATGGGTGTTGGCGAGCAGGTGTTGCAGGCAGAGCAGGCTATTGCAGGTTAGACCGATGGCAGGTGGGTCACGTTTAGTCCACAGCTGTTCCACTGTAGTTGTGAAGGATGGAAATCCAACCACTATATAGTGAGGGAATTGCCAGGGCCGTGGGGGGTACCAGTCGTGCGCGCGGAGGTGTGGTCGTGTAGAGGAGGGGAGACTGCGTGGGAGGTGCAGGCGTCAGTGGGGCAGGGGGAATTGGGAGCAAGAGGAAGCACCGTTATGGTAAGAGGACGGATCGGGACGGGGAGGGGGAGGAGATGGTGGTGGAGGAGGAGGTGGTGGTGTTGCATCCTACTTCAGTACTGTGGACGGTCTTTTCACACGGAAGGGTGCCAGCCATGGCATACTGAGCCATGAGTGCTGGTAGTCCGCACGACCGCGCACAACCGATTAGATCCCGATAGGGATACAGTGCCGTGGAGACCTACAGGTGCAGTGCAGCAGCCACAGACACTTTCAGGGAGCAGTGCGGAGGTGAGGCCTGAGTGCTGGCACAGACACCGGGCTAACGCCGGACTCTGGCGAGCCTGACGCATCGGTGCAACCCAGGCGAGAGGCTGCAACCTCCCGGATATGAGTTGCGACGGTTATGATTGGGTCCGTTGCGCTGGCTTGGCTGGGACCGGGATGCGGTCGTGGCGAGTCTAATCGGACATTTATCGCTGGTCTGTGTGCAGGCTCCCCGACAGTAAACACTGCACTATCGCCCAGATGCACCGGGTCATCCGGACTTGCATACGGTTGCGGGGTCTGTCACCCCGTGACATCTCGAGGTCACGTCAACCAGCCGCGCACGTGACCGGCCCCTGGATGACACCATGGAAGCCTGTCACCCGACAGACCACCCCTCGAGGGGTACATCACTCTCCAGCCACCGCATGGTCACGTTGCCGCCTGTTTAGCTAAACTCTAACTCAATGCATGATTTCCTTCTCCTGCAACATCTCCACCAGCAACCGTAGCTTATCGTGGATGGTCCTCAAACGCTCGCCAGGGGCGCGCAAAGCCCCGGAATTTTCCAACACTTTTGCCAAATTGGGCCGCTTGCGAATGCCCTGCCAAGTCCACTGCGGATGTTGCTGGGATTCTGCAGGGGCAGCGAAGGCCGGAGTGCAGTGCAGGTGACATTTGGTGTTGATATTGCCGTAAGTGGTATTGGCATTGCCGTTGGTGGCATTGGTGCAGTCCGGTTGTGTTTGCACCCAGTGCACCAGAAATAACGAGAAGCCGTGAGAAGCCGCGAGAGGCCGTGGGAAGCCGTGGGAAACCGTGACGCTCCTTGAAATGCCATGGCAGCATCAGTCTACCCTTACTGGAAACCTACCTGGCACAGGCTGGACTTCGCACGAGTGGTGTGGGCTGTGGCGAGTGCGTGTGGCATTGGGGGAAAGAGTTCTGGGAGTGGCAGAGAAGATCCTTACAACCATAGTGAACACCGGCATGGTGTGGGCAAGAGCGAGTGGTAGAGAAGATACATACTGCCATAGCAGGGTGGTGTGGGCAATAGAGGAGTAGTGGTGAGCAATAGAGGAGTGGGAGGGCTTTTTACTCCAATACTCTGGAAACGTCATAGTGCCAGTGCCGCACTGTTCTACGGACAAAGAGCCCATATTAACAAGATGTGTGTATGTATCGCCATGCTGCCCCCTTTTTGAATTTAGCGCTGAAATGTACCCTAAAAGTGTCGCCTAGTGTGTATGGTTTGCTGGTGATGATTCTGGCTTTCTGGTATATTTTGGAATTATCTGGAAAGTAATTATTGCTGAAGAATAGCACACCAGGGAGTGCACGAGGCAGTATCCATGCCACACTATTGAGTCAGGCTCCATGATGCACTTAACTGTTGGTTGGAGACGTGGTTGTAGTGTCCTGAAAGTTTGGGTGCGAAAAATTGCACCCATTCACTAATGTAATACAATTGCCTAGTACTATTAGTTTCAGCTGTGCTTGAGAGTTCAATACCCAGAGTACCAAGGGATGCTTGAGAACTGGAAGCTTGAAGCCTTTTTGGCTATGATCCATCTCGCGTACGGATTTAAATCTCAAGCATCAACTACGCTGGAAATTGCAATTATATGGATTATTGAGAAAAATCATACAAAATACAACACTGTAGTTCCAAGTGGTACCAAGCCTCGACACAAAACTGATAGCAATTAAATACAACACCAGACACGGTTTCCGTCTACCACTATAGAATTCTTCGCTTGTTGACTGTTTTTGAGTCTTTGAACACCTCTGTTGCCATAATTGCCGACAATACTGAAGCTGTTGGACGTTCTCGCTAACAGAATCAAAGTCAAGGTATAACTAAAATAAGTTTGTTATACTCAATATTTTTCACTGTTTCACTTCTGACCTCTGGCGGGTAGTGCCACTAATTTAATTGTGATTTATATAATTATTTTGAAGTTGACTATACTTGAAACACAGAGCAAATCCCACCAGGTTAAATCCTGATTGTAGCCACCCAAACACCACGATGATAGCTAGGAAGTCCAGATCAACTGGCTGCTGTATAGCCATCACGCGTGGGGGTTCCTGGCTTAGCTCTAAGGTTCCGTAACGAGCCAGGTCTGCAGCAGGATCTAGGAACTGTTAGTGAAAATCAGGACTAGCGAGAGCAGAATTTGAACCCTAGCTGAGGATTTACAGACATAGGGTCTGGCCTTACATCAACAAACTCCTCTATGGTGACTGTTTGCCGGCCTTTGGCTGGTATTCTCTGAAGAACCATTTTTGTGTCCTCACTGTTAAAGCCACTAAATAAATGGGACAGGGCACTAGGAGGAGTGAAGTCATTAAAAGCGCAGCCTTCACATGATTCCAAGTAGCCCAGTGTGGTACAGTTCACTGTGAAAATAGACACAACTAGCTTTATCGGCAATTCATTAATTGCAGACATGATAGTATTGTCCCACAAATTGCGTCCCAGTGCGGTCTTCATACTACTCTCAGGTGATCAGAGAAAGGTTTCAGCCAGGAACATCCCCCCTTCGTGTCTACTCTCTCCCACTGAGAATTCTTACTGAATCTCTTTGCAAGTCAATTCTCTCCTCCTGCTTACTTCAATAGTCTCCCCAGATTCCTCTCCCTATCTTCCCCGGCTCTCCCTAACATTCCTCGCTAAATCTCCCATCGCGCGCGTCGCACGCACTACGGATCGTATCACTACCACTATCACTACCACTGCCACCACCACTACACCACTACACCACAGCCTCCAGCCCCGTGCCTCCAGCACCATGAGCCTGTCGAAACTCAATGCATCGCTGGAGCCAGCAACAGACTTCAAAAGAGTGCCGTCGTACCGCGAGGTCACCCCCACGCCAGGCGCTTCCAACCCTGCCAGAGCGGCCACTCTCTCTCCTCCGTCCTACAACACCAAGGCCCAGCTGTCGTCACCAGTGGTATCGACGTTCACGTCAGCATCCACGCTTCTCCCCGTGGCTGGCTCATCTCGGAGACGTTCCACCACCACAGCATCTATCGATTCGCTCAACATCCAGTCGATCGAAAACATCCGAAACCAAGCCAGTGCCGCCTTCAGCGGCTTCGGCTCGTCCATCGTGACATCCGAGGACTCGTCGAGCGACGAAGACAACACAGGAGCGCCACCAAAGTCGCCTCACAGGTCATTTTCGGCCTCCAACATCCGCAAGGCCAATAGCATGAACAGACACTCCCAGCAGCAGCAGCTCAACAACCACCGAGACGAGATCCTGAACAACATACGAAGAATCCGCAGTGCCACCACATCTAATGTAGACGCCATCCGCTCGTTGCCGTCGCCACAGCCGGAATCCACGCCCTTGGGACCTAGCATCTTGGGAAACAATAGCCCTTTTGCCAATATCCGCCGCATCAGCAACCGTTCCGAGTCCTCCATCAACCCCGAGAGTCCGACATGGCTTCTCAGCGACTTGCTCGCCAGTTTCAGCTCCGTCAAGGATATGGACGAGTACCAAATCGTGGCCAAAGGAAACAGCTTAGTACAGTTGTTCCAGCAAAACCCTAACCTCAAGAACGACATCCTCATGAAAAACATCCTTAACAAGATCCTGTTCATGTTCCAACACCATGTCAGCGAGGTCCGCAGTGTGGGCTACCGCATCCTTCGGTACCTCATCTCCAACTACGAGTCTTTAGTGGTATTGGTGCAGTACAAGGTACTCATCTATATCATCATAACCATGTCCACCACCAGATCCTTGTTGGTGGAGAAGGAACAGGCATTGAAGTTGATCAGGGAGTTTTTGACCGTAGAAAATGGCTCGGATTATCTCTCAATTGGAGTGATAAAATCGTTGATTGCACTAATTGAGAGTAATAACGAATCCATGGACACCTCCGAGGGTATTAACGGACTTTCACCATTTAGCACACTGGGTGAAGTTCAACCTGCAGTCCCAGACTCATTTAAAACTATTTGCGTTGAAACTATTTGTGAAATTTCTTTATTGAAACCAGAGTTGATATTCCACAGTGGTGGTTTCAAGATAATCATCAACACAATTATCGATGGTTCAGTGGAAATGTCAGCAAACTGTCTTTTCATTCTTTTCAAATTACTTGATTTTAAGAAATCAAGACATTTGTTGAGAAACGGTTACGATTTGATATCGATAATATCCGTCTTTTCGACATTGAGTGAGCAAGATTCCGAGTCTGAAGAAAAAAAGCACGAGAAGAACAAATTTACTGTACAGAGACTCCAAAAAGCATCGTTCTTGATCTCCATACTATTAAAGAATTTCAACGGGTTGATGGCCTTCTCCATATTTAACTTTCGTATGCTTCGAGACTTGTTGGACAATCTTAGGAAAAAAAACAATTTAGTCAGAGAGTTTATCTTGGATATTCTTTTTGACGTTTTAAGAATCAAAAGTTTACCTTGGTTGGCAAAATCTTCAATTGGAGATGTCATAAGGCTATTCAATTCATATCTCAATTCAGAAAGTAATGATGAGGTATTCAATTACTCTACAATCAACGAGGATTCATTTGAGTATAGTCTTATCAATCATTACCGGGGATTATTGACACTAATTTTGGTCAAGAACGGGATTTTTGACTTATTGGTGGAGATAATAGACCAGAACACCAACGCAAAAATTACATCAAAAGCTACATTATTGCTTACAAACTTATATGCAATGTGTAATAATCTATTGCCTTTGGAATTAATTGAGAAGCACTTGATATTTTCCAACATATCTTCTCAATCTTCTTTTGAGATTGACAAGTCCACAAGAAACAAATTTGTGCCAACTCGAAATTACAATGCCTCCTTGAAGGTGCATTTGAGGAAAATCAATATTTCCTCACGATACAACATTGATGACATAGAATTCAAAGCTATGATTTCCAATACCAGAATTCTAACCGTTAAAGAGTTTGAGGATTGGAACTGGTCACTTTTGTTAATATTGATCCAGGGTCCATTATCTAACCCAAAACGGTTTGAAGAAGTCTTGGAAAAGAGTCCCAAATTTTTTAAAAGATTGATGTCATTTTTCAGGCCTTTTAAATTCAGGTTTTGCAATATATCAGTCAATTCAAGGAACTCCTCGAAATTTATTAATATTGGATGTCAACTCATTGAGCTATTCCTAAGTCTAGACGCTGGGGTTAAATACCTTGCGACAAACAAAATTTTGCCCCAGTTGACCGAGATCTTGGCTCAAATGGATCCATATAGTGGTATAACGGCAAAGGAGCCCATACTTTCACGCAAGAGATTAGAAAATAGCGTCAGCTATGGGTATCTTAAGTTTATTGGAAATTTCAGTGGTTCTGCAGCCGGACTTGCATTACTTGAACATTGGCAAATTTTCACTATCCTTCAAAATATCATCGATACAAGTATCAACAATAACAACAACAATTTGTTTATCCTCACATTATTTAGAAGTGTTGATTTCTCATTGGATTCGCAATTTAGAACAATCTTGCTCAAAAGTTTCAAAGTATCAAACACAAAGATTAAAATGTTTATCATCAAGGAATTGCTACCGCGCCTTATTAATGATAAGCAGTGTGAAGTCTTTGTGATTAAAATGTTGGTCAATAGTCTTTACAATCCCAACACGGAAATTGTTCAGTTACTGGTGAATATGTTGAATAACTACTACCGATCACGTAGTTACCATGGCATGGAGTTCTTGATAAGTATGAATCCTTCTATCTATGTTCTTTCTACCGTAAAAGGTGGTGAGAATTTATTAGTCAATTTCTTATCAATTCCCGAGGGTTTTAAGTACTTGGAGGATAGTGGATTCATTGATAACGAGTTTGAAAAATGGGTGGGTATGAAAGACTTTTCATATTTGAACCGAATTGAAAGACTCATACAAGAAAGCTTCTATCCATTTGTGGGCTCGACTCCAAGTATTATTTCAAAGGTACATTTAGAATGTGATAACGGAATTCCTGCCCAACCTATTGCAAATTCTTTCTGTTCACTTCACTTCTTCAAGTATCTTCTTTCTACTGAGGAAGGTCTCAACTATTTTTCCAATTTTAAGCAGCGGAATTACCTTGACCAAATTATTAATGAAATCGAGATTATCTCGGCACAATTGAAAGCTCAAGATGGTCAAGCAGAACTTGATAATAGAGATTATGGTCATATGTGCTTGATTAACAATCTCAAACAAAACCTTTGGATAATTGGTAATATTGCACTGGGTAAGTATGGTATTCAGCTATTAGACCCTCTCTACAGTGTTACCTTGAAGAAAAATATTATCGAGACTATATTCGAATTGTTCGAATCATGCACGATATGGCAAATAAGAGGACTTTGCTTCTACATCATTGGAATGATCAGCTCCACTATCGAGGGTATCGAAATATTGGATGAATTGGAATGGGTTGGTGTATGTGACTACTATAACAAGAGTAAATGTTTAGCATATCCAAAGGAAGATATCGCGGATATTTTCAATGTGGAGATCTCCAATCCTTATAGGGATCGCAATTATTTCTGGTCAAGAAATGGAACTTCGTTGGATAATAAGAATAAAGCAGGATACTTCCCTGGATCTTCATTATACACCCAAAACCTTTCCACTTCAAGTCTTGATCTAGTTGATGTGGAGAACGAGGAAGATGACTTTTTGAGCTTAAACAATTTACAGAAAGTGAATGAGAGGATCATCTCGCAAATTCATTACCTCAATTCGGTGTTAGGAAAAATAGAACGCAAGGCACATAAAGAGTTGTTGAAGATAAAAAAGACTACTCCAGAGATCTTCAACAGCCCTCATCTATTCTTGGAAGTGGTGAGAGTTATTGATCGGGGAAATTTCAAGTTTCAAAAACGAAAGTTTATCTTTGAACTCTTCCTTGATACAGAAGTGTTGGAAAGCATATCTAGAAAGGAAAGAAAGAATTCCATGAAGCAATAGACGGAATGTGAAATGTATATTGTTTTGATACAGGAATGAACGGTCATTTTCTTCATACATACTTGTAACGTAATTCTTAAAGGGTTCGTAGTATCAGGCCCTTTTAATTTTAGAATATGCTCATTAGGCCGTGGAGGATTTGGGTAATATTGATTGCTCATCTAATGCTGACATTGAGCCAAAGAGCAAATATTGTTTGTTGAAGAATCACAACCAATGTGACTGGTTGATAACGAAATTATCGATCAATTACCATCGCTGTCCACTGAAAGCCAACTTGTAACTAGTTGTTTATCTCCAGGAGCCTAAATGTCTATACGGAAAGACCAATTGTACCTTTCAAATGCACTGGTGAAGAGTTTAGTTCGGTTACGAAGGTTAGATCCCCAGAATTGCGAGCTTGCCAATCTATGGCAGATTGCTTAATACTGGAATTAATAAGACTTTCCTCTAATCCTTTTTAGCCTTCTTTTTGCTAGGTTCGGAACCAGCCTTTCTCTTCTTCCCCACTTCCTCTTCGTCTTTGTTTTCGTCTTCTGGAAAGTTCAAAACCAACTCCAGTCCGCGGTAATCGTTGACCAACCCCTTTGCTGGCAATTTGATTGGCCTGAATTTTGCAGTAACAAGATTGGGCACGTTTCTTCTGCACCAGTTATCTGGATCTTGAGGATTGGTTTCGATGGTCAGAAGGTCATCGTTGATGAGTTCTGGGATGGTTTCATGCACGAGGAGGTTCACTAAGTGGGCCCTGTCGACGTCGATGCTTTGTCCTCGCTGCAAATCCAAGATAGGCTTCAAGATGTGGCTCAAACGAGGAGCTGTATGGGCGATACGGACAATTTTCTCGTCATCAAACGCATTGGACTCCAAGTCGAGGTGGTCTTCCACCTTGTTGTATTCTTCGAGGATTCTGAGGAGGGCATTGTTTCTTCTTTGGAAGTAGTAGAGCGCCTGGCGCTGGGCCTTTTCTGCGCTGAAAAGCTCGGCCGACTTGTCGTGGGCTGTTTTGAACTGGTGTTTGTACTGGTGATAAAGGTTGCGGAAGTGGTATTGGGGCTCGTCCGGGAACGGGAGAGGAGGGGGAGGGATTTCTTGATCTTCTTCCACGTCAGCCTGGTCGTCGAAGTCGTCGTGGTCGTCTGTGTGGTCCGACAAGTGCAGGTCATCGTGCTCCGACTTCAACGGGACCGACTCGCCATGGGAGGCTCCATCTGGTGTTGCCTGGATGTGTGTGCTATAAATGGGCGGAATTGGGACTCTGACTGGCAGTGCAGAGTACAAAGCTGGCGGGACCACTGCTGAAGGCTGGGGAGGGACGCCAGCGAGGCCACTGGCGACAGGCAATGGCACGGAAGCTGGAGTGGCGGCGGCTAATGACTGGGGGGTGGATGGTGCTGGCACGTACGGTGCGGACGGTGGGAGGGCATTTTGTGGGACTTCCTGCTTGACAGGAGGCGGGACGTGGAGCTGGGGGACGTGTGGGGGCTCGGACATGGAGGGGGAAGTGGAGGTCGGTTGGTGGATTTGGCAGCATCAACAAATGTCGGGGGAAATGGCGACATGTCGGACGATCACAATGTCGCGCGGGTCAGGACATGCCAAATGTCGCGCCACTCCTACATCCAGACGCGTTATCCATTTCCCACCCCACCACTCTACCCGTGTCTTCCACCTAGAAACATCGCCACAGCACCACACGCCGCTGCTGCCACCACTGCCACCACCACCACTGCCCCTCCCGCGCCCCGCATCTGTCCATTTGCACCTTTCAGCCCCCCAACAGCTCGCTAGTCTCTACCACCAACATGTCCATCGTGTCTCTTCTCGGCATCGAGGTGCTCAATAATCCCGCCAAATTCAACGACCCCTACGAGTTCGAAATCACCTTTGAGTGCTTGGAGCCGCTCAAGGAGGATTTGGAGTGGAAACTCACCTACGTGGGAAGCTCGCGTTCCCTCGACCACGACCAGGAGTTGGACTCCATTCTTGTGGGTCCCGTGCCTGTGGGAGTCAACAAGTTCTTGTTCCAAGCAGACCCACCCAGTCCCGAGCTCATTCCTGCCAGCGAGCTCGTCAGCGTAACAGTGATCTTATTGAGCTGCTCATATGCTGAACGCGAGTTCGTTCGTGTAGGCTACTACGTGAATAACGAGTACGATTCCGAGGAATTGCGGGAAAACCCACCAGCCAAGGTCCAGGTGGACCACATCGTGCGGAATATTTTGGCAGAAAAGCCCAGAGTCACCCGTTTCAATATAGTGTGGGATAACGAGGACGGCAATGCCGACGAGTACCCACCCGAACAACAGGTGGACGAGGAAGAAGAGGAAGAAGAAGAGGAAGAACAGGAGGAGGAAGAAGAAGAGTTGGAAAAGGGCGAAGACGACGACATTGCCGAGGATGATGAGGAAGACCTCGAAGAGGACCTCGAGGACCCCGAAGAAGACGACAAGAAGAGCAACGGCAGCGCTACTCCCGTGGATACGGTACAGAGCTAGTGCCTTTGAGTCGAAACCTGTACATTATGATCCATAGACGGTATTGCTGGGTTTTTAGACCTGTGCATTATGTGATAACTATTTAATCTGACAGCTGTAGTAAGGGTAGAGAAGGAACTGGTTTGTCTGCAGACTATGACTAGTAAATTATCACATAATGATTTTTAAATTCGTCATGAAGTCGATTTCTCATCGTGTGACAGAATTGGAAAACTCTGCAGTCCTTTGGACAGACAGTGATAAGCGAAATAGACTGGTTTCACTGTCGATATCCATACCCATTGCCCAAGTAGTCAGTACTACTCCATTGAAAACTGAAAACTGGAATGGATGTCTATTCTGTGCTGGACTAAGCACTATGGACATCCATGCCTGAAATATATTTTGCTTTTATCAAATTTGATTCCTCTATCCATGCTACACTAAGATAATTCCATAGCTCTGTATGTAATTCACCATTTTTAATAAAATTGGTGTCCCAAGGCTGACGTCTCTAATCTGTTGTAGACCCATGGTGATGGCTTTGCCTGAATTATTACAGATCATTCATTAATAATAGTACTCTCCTCTTGTGATAGACGAATCATGGTAATGAACCTGCCTGAATTATTCTAATTCAATTATTATCGAAGAGAACTTTTACACTATGATCATCATGGCCATAAAGAATTGTGAAAATGTTGTAGTTCACTTTCCCTCAATTCAGACTCCATTGTGGTAGATTAATCATTATGGCCATCCCACTTGACTATGGCCATCACCTGCCTTCATACTACTTTCTGTTCTGTTAAACCTCCTTTAATATTCCTATGTATGGTTACGTCTATGAAAGACTCAATCCTATGCTGGACTACCCGTCCAAATCTATCTATAATCCTCAATCAACTCGTTCAACACCTGTGACAACCGATCCAAGACCTGGGTATTGAAGTGTAGTGGCATCGACGAGTCGCGGAGCCTGGAAGTCCACTTATCAGGATGCCATCGAATTCTTTCTGCCTTCAAGAGCTCGAGCACCGGCTCTTGAGCCAATTGAATGTGGGTGTAAAACTGGCCCAACTTGGTTTTGTCACTCACCAATTCGAGTAACTGAACCACAGTAAGGCTTTCTTGGACATCGTAAAATTCTGGCTCGATTGGGAGCCTGGTCGATGCCATGTACTGGTCTCTGAATTCGGATGGAATGGAGGTGGGTGTGGATGCAAAGGAAGAGTTGGACTTCAAGTAAGGGTCATTGATCCGCTTGTCGCCGATGTGGATGTCGCCATTGCTCTCATCCATGAGTCCAGCAGAAGTCACGGGAAACTCGCCCACTATCTCGTATTTATTGCTAATGGGGGTGTAGTCGTTTCTGGTGTATGCTTGTCTGAGATCTGTGGATGGGTGGCTGCTCACAGGCGTCTGGTAGGTGTACTGGGGATGAGGCTTGCCTACGGGCTTCACAAACTTGTAGCCATTGACTGGTTCGCCATACTCCTGGGTAGCCATTCCAGGAGGAGTCGAGCTTCGCAGGTTCGCAGGTGTGCTCTGGGAAATAGGTGTGGACTGGAGCTGGGTGCCAGAAAGGCCACCCGAGGCTGGAGGCGACGAGGAGCCGAGGTCTTCGTCCTCGTCCTCAGGCTGGTGGGCATGCAATTGGCTAATGATGGAGTTGACGTCGGTTTTCATGGAATGCGACAAGTTGAGCAACTTCTTGGACGGGTTGCGGGTGGAGGGAGTGGTGTCGTGGGTATTTTTGAACTTCAACTTCTTGCGTTTGGGCTGCACGGGACACGGAGTGGAGTCGCTATTGGAAAAGCTCAATTTGTGGAGGCTGGACGCCGAGCTGGTGTTGCAGATCGACATATGGGCATCGGGGTCATTATTCTTGTCGTAATCATTAGTGTCGTCAGGCTGGCTGTGCTGGGGCTGGGGTCGTATGTACTTGCGCAGGTAGTCCACCACTGACGGGGTTTTAGGGGTGAGAATTGCCACCACGGGCGACTCTATGTGCTGGCGCTTGCGGTAGTTGATGTAGACCGGTGGCGACGACGCCATGCCGTCTCTGTGGTCGTTGTCATCGTGTGACTCATCCTTGAACTGGAGTTCACTGTCGTTGTCGCTGTCTCTGTCGTTTTCACCATCATTTTCGCTATCTGTGTCGTTGGTGATGGTCTTGTCACCTAGACTGAACTCGCCATCGTGGTCTTCTGATTCCAAGTGGAGGTTGTCGAGCTTGCTGATGGGAGACATGAACGAGATCGAAATGTTGGGTGACTGAGACGAAGAAACACCACTCATTTTGGACCGATTGGCCAACGGCGTGGACGCTCCAGCCAAGTCCATATCGAGAGGTGGCTGCACCAACTTGGCGTCGTCGTCGTCGTCGTCGTCGTCACGATAGGTGGTATGTCTGTACCAAGGTGTGTTTGTGGAGGAAGAAGAGGACGCTGGAGGCGGGAGCGGGGGCAGCGAGGGGTCGGAGGGCGTGGAGATGGGGGGTTGGAGGTTGGGAATGGTGGCAGCAGAGAGTTTGTTGTTCCCTAGGGGGACGTGGAGCACCATGGCGGTGGAGGAGGTGTTGTTTGTTTATTTAAGAGGCATCACGTGTAGGAAGGGTTAGAGGTCACGTGACCAATTGATGGGTGATGACTAAGCGGAAGGGACTTGGAGTGGTAATAAGATTCGTGGCATAAGGGGGTGCGCATCGTTTCGAGGGATTTGGCTAAATTCACTATTGACATCTATCTAGGCTGTATGGCTCGTGGCAAAAGTTATTGCTTAGTCAGCAATTACTAATACTAAGGATATGGGCTGAAGGAGTTTAGTTCAAGCTCTGCTATGAATTCTACCTCTGGTCTCAAGAGTTTCTTCTCAACTAATTTCAGTGCAGAGTTTTTTCTTACACTACACTTGCATAAATAGTCGAATTCCCAGAATTGCCAATTGAGCCTAAAGAGGACAAACCCTGGAAAATGGTCCCCCCCATACGCCTAACCCCCCTATGCTTCTACCCGCAATCGCTCCACTCCACTCTTCTCCATTTTCACCTCTCCCTTCCTTAAATTCAATCTATTAATAAATACACCCATTCAAAGAAACTAATAGTAGGTGAATATCCTGAACTTTGATGCTCCCCATAATTGAGAGTAAGCTGCGGAAAGGTATGTGTTTTAGTACTTTGTTATTAAGCTTGTAGAGTTAAGAGTGGTACGTAACGTTTACGAGAATTCTTTCCGTTTATTCCTTGTCCCTATGGGTTGTGTAACGACCTGAACCTAGATTAGTCAGCATGTACTAATCAGTTGAAGAAGTTGCACATCTAGAAGTATGCCCCTCCGCCCAGGTGCACGGGCACAGTGATAAATCGAATGTCCTAGTGGATGGCTTCCCCGTCCGGGTCCTTTATTAGTCATCGCTGACTAATAGTTCTGAAAATGTGGCTACCTGGCAGCCGCATGGGGATACGGCAACAGCGTCTACCAGACAATTCAAAGTTGAGTGGAAGTCTAGCCGTTTCCATGACCCTCTCCATTTGCCAGCTTCCTTGCTTGTACTCACACGACTATGACATCGTGCCTGCTGCACGCGACGCTGGTGCGCCTCACATATATCTACGCCTCCCGCCGCTGCCTGCACTCCATGGATTGACAGCCATCGTGTGACACCCAGCTAATTCCCAACACTAGCACCCTCCTTGCCACCAGGGATTCCACACCTATGGGCCTCGTCTAGGCCACACCCCATGGCGAGCCCTGTGGCGTGTTTGCACGCCTTCTCCGCTCTCGTTACCCTTCCTGGCTTATCTTATCGCACTCATCATACGCGTGGTGGCGGGGCACGGCTACCAAAACTGTGACGTCCAGTTGCTGTAGGCGGCGCTGCTGCAGCCACGGAACACCAGACTGCGGGCTGCACCAGGGAGTCCAAAAGGGGACACTCACTACTGGCACCAACGAGGCAACAGAGCCTTACCAACAACTGAAGCCTGAAGCCAACGAAGCCACCGCCGCCTCAATCACCCCCACCTGCGCAAAAGCCCCAACCCGCCAAATCCTCCCCATCTCCCAAACCCTCCTAGCCCCATGGTGTCATCTCCCACGTGCCAAAGGCGAAGCCGCCCGCGCTCATAACCGCGCCACTCTTATCTCTTTATATATGCCTGCGTCCCGCTAATAGACACCATATGACTTTTCTACCATGGATCTCCGACCTCCGTGGCGCCATTGACGGCGCCGCTACCACCACTGCCACGGCAGGCCCCAACCTCTCGTTCCAACAGATCGCCTTCCTCACGTTCCAGGCCGTTCTCGAGGTGGTGATCATCTGTTTTGCCGGGTTTGTGGCGGCTAAACTGGGACTTCTCAACACCAAGGCGCAAAAAGTGCTCTCGCAGCTCAACGTGGACTTGTTCACGCCCTGCTTGGTGTTCATCAAGTTGGCGCCATCGTTGTCGTTCCAGAAGATGGCTGACCTCATCATCATTCCCATTTTCTTTGGGGTCTCCAGTGTGATTGCCTATTTATTCTCACGGGGGGTGTCGCGCGGACTCCATTTGAATGAGCCGGAGTCGGACTTCGTGACAGCCATGGCGGTGTTTGGCAATTCCAACTCGTTGCCGGTGTCGTTAACGTTGCTGTTGGCGTACACATTGCCAGACTTGCTTTGGGAAGACGTGGTTGACGATTCTGCTGACAAGGTGGCATCACGCGGGATTTTATACCTACTCATTTTCCAGCAGTTAGGACAGATCCTCCGGTGGTCGTGGGGCTTCAACACCTTGCTACGCAAACGGTCGCATGTTGAGCTCAACACATACTACTGCGGGTTGCGCCACCAGCATGCCGATGAGGAGGACCTGTTACTTACACCCGAGTACCATGGCGACCATGACGGGTACGTGCAGGAACCTGTTGGTGCTGGTGCCGAGTCGGGATCCTCGCTGTCGGCGTCGTCACTCGTTGTGGACGTGCCAGATCACTACAAGCGTCTCCACGAGTACATGCATAACCCCACGGTCGCCAACCGCATCAGGGCCCACTTGACGCGGGTGGCGCACTCGAAGCCAGTGAGCACGGTGCTGCGGTTCATGAACCCACCGTTGTACGCTATGTTCTTGTCCATTGTGGTGGCCAGTGTGCCGTCGCTCCAGGACATTTTCTTCACCAGCGGGTCCTCGTTCATCGGCAACACCGTCACCAAGTCGGTATCGCAATTGGGGTCGGTATCGATTCCACTTATCCTTATCGTGTTGGGGTCCAACTTGTACCCCTCCAAGGACATCCCCAAGGCATCTCGCCACCACACACGCATAGTGGTGGGTGCATTGTTGTCGCGTATGATCCTCCCGCCGTTGGTGTTGCTTCCCATCATCGCTGCATGCGTCAAGTACATCAACATTTCCATTTTGGACGACCCAATCTTTTTGATTGTTGCATTTGTGCTCACGATTTCGCCGCCAGCCATTCAGCTCTCGCAGATCATCCAGCTCAACAACATCTACCAGAAGGAGATGTCGGGAGTGTTGTTCTGGGGATACGTGGTGTTGACGTTGCCGACGACCATCTTCATAGTGGTGGCCAGCTTGGAGGTGTTGAAGTGGGCGCAGTAGCGTAACAATTCTTGTGGATGGTCTGACATTGCCAAGTAGGGGACCATGCATTATGGTTGAAGCTACCCATCATTGAAGCTGGCGGTGCCGTTTGGTTTCTTGAAGCCGAACCTGAGTGAGTTTCAGTCATATGACAGATTAAACTTCATTAATTAATCTGTCTAACTTTAGTTAATATTAAATAACCCACCTTACAGGGAGGTTATCTCGGTTAGGGGTTCCATGCAGGTTCGACACTGAATGTGGTTCAATGGTTGACGTTGCCAGAGTATCGAGTCAAGGGTTTCATTCCGCAGATTAGACACTGAAAGTGGCTGGAGTTGTTTCACTTACTGGTGGGCACCACTTATTGTGGTTGAGGCGTATCATGCAGGTATGATGCTTCAAAGTTATTTGGTATGTGCAGGTTTGACATCCTTATGGTCGACGTTGCCCACCACTTATTTTGTGGTTGAGGTGGTTTGACACTCCATCATCTAATTGCACAGGTTTGACACTTATAGTGGCGAGCATCCACTATTCAGGTTAAAGTGGTTCGATGTTCCATTTTTATTGTGGGTGACGTCTCATCCCATTTGACGTAATTCTGATTGAAGTCCCATTGGCCCACGCGTTTGTACATCTCACATCTATAGTATTATACGTATCTACGGAACGGATCCGTGTGTATCCGGCCCCCTGCGGGCTCATGCGTCATGCACCAAGAAGGTAAGGGAAAATGATTGGCGACCATTCCGAGACAATCTCGTGCTGAATTGGGGCGCTCCCCTTTAAGCTGCGTCCAGCAAACGAAACTCTGATTGCGCCCTGGTGATTTGTTGTGCTCATTTCACAATCTTGCATATGCACCTCCCAGATAATTCGCGTTATTTTTAGCATTGTCAAGGTTACATCTTGCTGGGACGTAGTCACAGACGGCCCCCCACTGTGATCGACATGCTCAACGCACCCATCGGGTCCCCTTGACGTCTGGCACCACGCGCGGCGCATATCTGGCCATAAAGCGCTACTTTCCTCTTTCGGCCGAGTGGCCTATTTCAGCACACCATGCAGCCATCGAAGCTTGCCCATAACAGGGCAACTGATCGCATCCTGCCGTTAATGCACTGTGGTTAGTGCCAGTCCCCTGGGTACCGTTCCACACAATAGGCCCTGTAGTTTGCTGAGAAAAGCGGGCCCGGGCTCAAATCCCGAGCCTATTTGGGGTCGCGTGGCCTGGAAAATAGTACTTTCCTGCAGCAGAGGCCAACAGTAATTCACAAGCTCGGCAGATACCCGCATGGGGCTATATGCCGTCAAAAAAGCCCTGTGTCAACCCTGCTGCAGTTACGTAAGCCTCAACGGCATGGCCACCCATATATATCAGCAGAATTTGTGTTTGACGACTAGCGAATCTCCATCAGATATGTCAGGCAACGAATGGGAGTGGCCCTCCACCGCAGGGGCCACCCGTCCCCCACTGCAGCCCCTGCCACTCCACATCCCTACTGCCCTGCCGTCCAATAGCCCCAGCCTGGGGCCCTTGGTGCCAGTGGTGCTGCCTGCATCGTTCAACACGCTTCATTACAGTCACATCAACACCCACTTCAACCGTCATGCTCCCAGTACCAGAAGTGCCGGCAGCGTCTCCAGCACCAGTAGCGCCTCCAGCGCCTCCAGCACCCCATCCTCCTCCACCTCACACACATCCGGCCCCCGTCAGGTGCCGTCGTCGATGGACTCGTACGAGAACGAGTTCTTCAGCAGGCTACTTGGGTCGATTTCCCTCAACTCAGACTCCGTGCTCTTGATGCACACCACATTTGCGTTGATGGCATACTTCATGCGCTCCAACTCGTTCAAACTGTTTGCGTCCTTCGCCACCACCCCCGACACCGTGGCGCTGGCGCAGCGGTTGCGGCGTCGACTCATCCGACTTTCGTCCAAGTACTACGGCTTGGCCATCCACCAGTTGCGGGTGATGATCAGCACCCGCCACTTCAACGTGGCCACCGCGGTGGTGGTGTCATCGTTGTTGAACAAAGTGTCGATCTACGAGTACTCCGACCTCCACCACTCGGTGACGTTTTCCCGAGGCATGGTTAGCATCTTCAATGAGGTGCTCGTCAATTCCGACCACTGGCACCGTGCCGAAGACTCCATACAGCGCCAGCAGTCACTGCAGGACATGGAGTGGATTACCAACTACATTGTGCATGCGTCCAAGGCCAAGCACTTCCCCGAATACGACCCTGCAGTGGTGGAAGAGTATGCCGGGGTGTTGCATGCATTCGGCGCCATTTTGCTGCAGTTGCACCAGTCGCACCAGGCGCTGGCGTTGGGCAGCCGTTTCCAGGTGCTAGTGTTCCACTTCAACCATCTCCACAACTACACCACCCAGTTGCAGGAACTCCTCGCCGAAAACGACATCACCAGTATCAACCACGACCCCCATAAACTCTACAAGCTCCTCCGCCACTGGCTCATCATAATGCCCTGCCGCGTGCACAACATCGAGCACATGGCCACCAACCCGCTCCACATGACGCTCATGGCGCTCTACAAATGCCTCTCACGCTTGCTCCAGAACCTCTTTCCGGCCGTGCTTTTCCACTTTCTCCAGGGGTTCTGCGGCGGGGTGTCGCTCTGGACCGACTCCCGCTACGCACTCCAGTTCGTCAGCAGGTTCTTCGCCAACTTGGAGGTGGCGCTCCAGCTGCAGCAGGCAGAGCTGGCAGCAGACAGTACGCACCACGCACCCTTCGCATTCTCCGACGACCAAATCGCCCTGATCTACAGCATCAACCGCTACTGTCTCCGGGTGGACCTCTTCTTCCAGAAGCGCAGCAATGTGTTGGCTCTCCTCTTTGGCGACCAGCGCATCACCCCCGAAATACCCCCGGAAACCATCAAGTCCAACCTTAACGAAGTCATGATCCAAAAATTCAATTCTACCAATATCCACATGTATAATTTCATTCATTTACCACAGGTGCTCAAATTGCACAAATCTGCGGCCTCCATCAACAACTTGCATAAGCATGCCGATGGCATCTACTACTACAACAAGCATCACTACCAGTACTTCCTCTGCAAGGATTCCGACAAAGTACCCCCGGATCTCGTGGAAACCGGCCGCGCAGACCCTTTGCTCCGCATGCATATCTTCAACACCACCAACTTTGAGATTGAAGACAAATCCTCAAAGCCCTCCAACGAGCCCATCGTCACATACAAATACTTCTTCGAGGGCAAATTCCTCAAGGGCGTGCTTGCAGCCTTGGAGCAGTCATACCAGGAGCTTTTTGACGGCAAGCACGAGAACGAGCCGGTGCTCTTTGCGCCGCATAAAATTAGCGGCTTATTGGCGAATGACACCGATCCGTTGCTCTTGGCGAATGATGCAGACATGGCATTGTTCTACAGCAGAAAGCCCCCCGATTTGAATGCGAACCACGAGTCGTCCAAGGCCATTCTCAACTTCTACAATGCGCGCAACGACATGGTCAGCCAGGAGCTTGACAGGCGCAGAAGACGTAGTGCCAGCAAGTCTGGGCGTCGTGCCGGCCGCGCCGAGGAAGGTGCCGACACCGAATTCGATAACTTTTACGACGACTTGAACCAGTCGTATTTCGAATTACAGTGACCAATAATATTGCCAATCTGGGGTAAGTAGTTTAATTCGGAAATAAGGTGCTTCACCATTATTATTTTGTAAATGGGATGGTCCCGGTGATGCACGGTCATGTGCCTTGTGCATGGGGCTGGGCCGCCGAAATCCACGCCGTAGTGAACCAGCGTCACGCTGAAGACAGCCCACGCTGAAGCACGGGCCGCAGACAGGAATGTCAAACCAGGCTGTTGCACACAGGAGAACACCCGATGGCCGTCATTTCTGCACTTCTCTGGGGAACGGCGCTGTAGTACGCCAAGGGGACTCGGCAATCGGATAGTTGTCAGGTGACCGGAAACACCGTCTTCTGATGGTGTCGCGACCACCATCACATCACTAGCGCCCACTGCAGACTAGGTGGTGCATGATGCGCATTACGAACATTTGGCGCTTAGACTTGACCTGCCCACGCAAACCGTCGATCGTGAAATCTTTGTCCCTTCCCATTCTGGGCTAACGGGTGTACGCGGGTGTTGGCGGCGGATGCAGGCGCCCAGGCCTGCCCCTGGCCGGTTGCCCCTCACCGGGGCCCAACGTCTATGCTCCAGCCGCAGCCGCGGTTACCCTGACTCGGACTTCTGTGGAGTTCACTATGGGCAACCTCTGCAGTTGCCCGCACCGCAGTTGGTGTCCCGGCATGCGTCCGCCATGCAGCGACTAAACCTCAACGGGCGCCCCCACCCACCAGTGAGCCCCCACGCTGCTGTCCCCTAGGACCCTCTGCCCCAAAAGGGCCCCCACTGTGAGGGCGCCCCCACCCAGTCTAGGACCGTCCATCACCGCCAGCCCTCTGCTAGCCCTTCCTCCCCGTCGTTGCAGCCCTGTCTCCTACCAGCACACCCTCCCGAACACTCGCTTGCCCGCCATGCATGCCCCTTCCGTTTCGGGCGGTGTCTCGACGCTAATCGTCACCGCTTGCAGGACCTGCTTATGTAAGCAGCCCTCCTCAAGCCGGTGGATAATTCACCAGGCCCTCTTCCACCACCACCACTTCCGCCACTACTCAGCGTTGCCCCAACCCACCACCACGCCACTGCCCCCGCGGCTCGGAGCACTCACCCACACATCCGTTCCGGCCCTGTCCTCCACGCCCTTTCCTTGTCCCCCACCCCTAACTACCAGTTCCAGAAACCGTTCCTCCAGATCCAGATCCAGATCCAGATCCAGATCCACGCCAGATCCTTCTCCGTCCTCCACGCCTCCACGAATTGTCTGCAGCCATGGCATCGGCAACCACGCCTCCCAGCGTGACACCCAGCCCCACCACCGCCAAACCTCCGCCACAATCCCGCAAAAATGACAAGAACTTCAGACACCGTCGAAAGCACAAGAACTCCAAGCTCGGATGTCCCAACTGCAAGAAGCGCAGGGTCAAGTGCTCGGAAGACTTGCCTTCGTGCACAAACTGCATCAAACATCTGGTCAAGTGTGGGTATCTCGACTACTCCGAGGAGCAGTTGGAGGAGTTGCGCCAGTCGAAGCTTGACAACCAGTTCGACGAGTTGAGCACAGGCGAGCCTGCCAGTCCAGGCGAGCTGCTGGTGCACACTGCGCTTCTGAGGTCGAAATCCCGCTCGGAGTCCGACGCCAGCGAGTCCACAGCTGCGACTACTGCCAGGTCTTCAGTCGCCACCAGCGCCAGATCGTCCTCCAACCCTCTCTATGCCACCACCAACGCTCCCTACGCGTTTCCCCAGCACGCAGTCACCCAAGTCTTTGACAATTTGCTCTCCAAGGCCCACACCGACGAAACCATCATCTATCCGTTGTATTCTCTCAACAATACCACCGAGCCAGCGTCCGACGCCAACCCCTACTTTCTCCCCACACGAGACGTGTTCAACAGCAGTGCTGGTGCTGGAAATGGTGGCTCCATTGCAGACGTCATCTCATCACAGAACTTGTCGCAGCGCCACTCGCCACTTAACGATACCGTGGCGATCCACAGCGTGTCCCCCAGCCCCGTCAAGGGTTTGCCGGGTGCCAAACAAGCCGTCTCGTCGTTTGTAGTGCTTCCAAAACGCAACATTAACTACAGCGACGAGCTCGTCCGACTCTTGAAGGCCAATGCACCTACAATTGCGTCGGGAACAGCTTCGTTGGCTAACATCCGTAACATCTACGTGACGTGGCTTAACTCGTTCGTGTTCAGCTCGTACACCTCGGAAATCATGTTCAGCTGCTTGGTCAACCTCACCACAAACTACTTGATTTCCAATTGCTTTGGCGACTACCCCACCTACAAGCAGGCAGGCGCCAGCCTGCCATACTACCAGCAGCACCATCAGGTCCGCAAGTACTCCCGGCTAGCGGAGAAATCCAGGTTGAAAAACACCGCCATCGTCAAGAGCATCCGCCACTACGCCAGGGTCATAAAGGAGTTGCGTATCTTGTTGAACAAGAACTCGGACCCGTTGGTGTGCTCGTCAATCTCGTACATATTGAGTTTGATGGCCATCTACGACCCCGAGGCCACCCTGAACAGTATCACCTGCTTCCGTGACGGTTTGTTCCTGATTCTCGGCTACAACATCAACCTCCTGATCAAGAACAACACCCAGATTCACATGCTCATTCCTGTGCACTTGCGGTTGATGAAGAACATCGTGCGGTCCATCTACTTGCCCAGCTACGACCCAACATTTTTGACGGAATTCCACGCCATTCTCCTCGAGTTTGCTGCAGCTGCCCAGGCCAAAATCGACTACGTCAACGCCTACAACTCATCCCAGAGTTTGCCTCACAACGACACCCTTGAGTTCGTGCAATTGAAAGCGCATGACTTGATTATCTACGTGGAGAAGACCATCAACGAGTACTTGCCCACGATCGCAGCCAACTTGACCAATGTGGACATCCAGCAGGAGGTGTTGTTCGAGATGGTCAGCAAGTGGGTGCGGTTGAATCCATCCAAGCTTACGGTGGTCAACCACGCCACCGAGCCGTTGGAAAAGGTGCTTTACCTCTTCTATAAGGTGTGGAAGAAAGCACTTTTCGCAGTTCTTCCCCAGGTTAAATTCTTCTTCCTTCGTGACTTCGACAGTCCCATCATGCTGGACGTGTTCAACTACACCAAAGACACCGACATCTATTTCCACGAGCTCGACGTGCCCAAGCGCAAGAACTTGCCGGACGACCTCTACCACGACATATTACCATTGTTGAAGTCCACCAGTGCCTACTTGATCCGCATCTTGACATTTTTGCAGCTGCGGCTCCACATTCTCTACCGCAAAATCGTGTACGAAGAGTATTCCCAGAATAAATTTCCCATTGACGACATCAAGCAGTGGAAAGAGTCAATTACTGACATCGAAGAAACTCGCAGGCAATTCAACAAAGTCATAGGCCTCCATGAGGTGCCCATCCGGAGCTTCCACAAAACCGCCATATGCCCCTACCACTACCCGTCCGATGCCAGCCCCGACTTGGACGCCGACGGCGACCTCAAGCTTGGCGACGAGTCCCACGGCCCTGTGGACCTTGGTCAGTTCTTGCCGTCGGGGCTCTTTGCTGCCGACTACGACATTAATATTTAATAGATGATGCTATGCCCGCTACCATGTAGATACACCCTTTAGGTATTTTATTTATTCCATATGAAATATATAAAATATGATCTTTTAATAGACTTATGCTAATTTAATATTGTACTATTCCCCAAGTGATCCCTATCTGGGCATCTTTGTTGCACATAATTTATAGGGGTAATTAGTTGGAAATGTAATTCTTACGAAAGAATAATATTAATTGGGTCTATACATGAAATAAACATACTTCATAGGCATAAATATAACATACTAACTGTCACGCGTTGAAATCTCTCATCTTTTTACCCTCACCATACATTTGGCTGCTTTGATCGAGTAAAATAGGGAAAAGCTATCCACATTATTTAATTATCTATCATGTGAAACATTGACGTGCCCTATACAGAGCCAACTCCAAAAATATCAGGTTAATAGGGGATTTCTTTAATACTAACTGAAGCTGAGCAATACTAGAAGGGTAGTAGATCCATTTATCAGAAGGCAAGTAAGATGCTGTTCAAGTGCACCGTGCCACCAAATTCAATTCTGTAATACCCATGAATGATTACCTAAATGGAAAATCTCATGACAATTATGTTCTATACAAATTCCCTTCAGAATTCTTTGTCTTGGTAACACCTCCATATATTGTACCGAGCGGTGCTTTTATTTAATGTAGAAGAAAATATATTACTGAATTCTAGTATTATAATTATCCAGAAGGAACAAAAGTTGGTATCTCTTAGCTCCTAGTCCTCTTCAAATAATTGACTACATCCAATATCGCCGCACCAGCTTCTAGTTGAAAGAATAAACTAGGTAAGGGAAGGCAACAAAAAAGATCAGTCCGTAGCTGGCCGGATAAGGATTGGCTCTAAGTATCGGGTGCTTTTGATACTTAATCACCACATAACCTAAATTCATAGATGGCAATCAACGAAGTTGATCAGGACACTCGTCACTTTTAAATTGATTTTTCCAGTAATCCACAGTGGTTTACTAATTATCCGCCATGTCAGCAAAACCAGCTGGTTGACTACACAGAAATATGGTAAGTGATACAGTTCTGCATTGTATCACCTATCGTATAGAACTCTTGTAAGCTGACTGCAAAAGGAGCAACCGGAATGTACCACAAGACAGAAGTGGCTTCCTTATAGCAGAGATTTCCATTACTTATAAATATCCCAACTGGACCGGAAAGGCAAGTGGACCAGCAAAGTAACCACCTTTACGTTGACAAGTTATAGAAATAAAATTCAGAATGTTTGACAGATGTAAAAGAGCATAAGATCTAGCCTCTCACACAACCTTCCAAACGTTGTGGTCTCCATTCTTTGTTTCGCAGGTAACCTCGCTGTGGTCTTCCATTTAGGGGCAAAGGTAGTATCCAGGGAAGATCGGCTCCCACGAGGATTTATATATTGAATACCATCCTTCAAAATAAAATTTTGAAATCAGCTGGATAGCGCCATGTGCTGCTGCATGTTTCTGCTATTGGAACCCTTTGCAACTGACTACGAAAGTATTTCTACCTAACACTTCTGCGCTACCAGATGTACTGATTACTTCTGGACACGTGCAGATAATCACGTGTCTCGGCTCCTCGTATTCGCGCCTGACAGCTGGCAGTCGTGCGCGGCACAACGATAGCCAGAAAAACACCTGCCGCCTGGTACCATCACCAGCTCCACCACCACCACTCTACACCAGCCGCTAACGCCCTGTGATTTCCCCACTCCATCAGTAAGCACTTCGGAACCTTCCCGCCACCTACCGCCAGTACCCGTGGTGCCTCCAGCCGCCAGTACCCGCTACCAGCGCACAATCACCATCTGCTCGAGCCAACCCTTTCCGCCAACAGCACCAACCAGGTTGATCCCAGTTGATCCACACCCAGTGCGGTTTAGCAGTGTGGCTTCTGTCGCTGTGGTGACTTTCGTGGACTTTTGTGGACCCAGATGGCCCCCTTTCTCCTCAGTACTAACCTCTAGCACACATCCCACCAAGCAGCCCCTCCATCCACACACACACACAGACCATGGCAGAAAACACTGACGACTACTCCTACGATTACGAGTACCTCTACAAGATCGTGTTGATCGGAGACTCGGGAGTCGGAAAATCCAACTTGTTGTCCAGATTCACCCGTGACGAGTTCAACTTAGAGTCCCGTTCCACCATCGGGGTGGAGTTTGCCACCAGGACGCTTGAAATCGACGGCAAGCGAGTTAAGGCGCAGATCTGGGACACCGCAGGTCAGGAACGTTACAGAGCCATCACCAGTGCATATTATAGAGGAGCCGTGGGTGCCCTTATCGTATACGACATTGCCAAGACCGAAACCTACGAGTCCGTGTCCAGATGGTTGAAGGAATTGAAGGACCACGCTGACGCCAACATTGTCATAGAGTTGGTGGGGAACAAGTCCGATTTGGACCACTTGAGAGCCGTTCCCACCGAAGAAGCAAAGAACTTTGCCAACGAGAACAACTTGTTGTTTACCGAAGCCTCTGCGTTGTCGTCCGACAATGTCGACTTGTCATTCCACCAATTATTGAAGAACATCTATGAAATGATCAGCAAGCATCAGTTGGACACCAACGATGGTGGTTCGGCCAAGCCAAGCGCAGGCGGTCCCACAATCTCATTGACTCCGGCTCCTCAAGAAAAGAAGAGCAAGAATAACTCTAATTGTTGTTAGATCTATAGTATAATAGCACTGCAAGGATTGACATTGAATGGTCCGTTCCGTATAGGAATCAGAGTATTGAAGTTGTGTTTAAGTTGAGACAGGGATTCCTTTATACTATACTGGCCAACTTTCAAGACAATATTACAACGAAACCTCGTCCCTGGTTATTTACTGACATAGCTGACAGACCTACATCTACTTGTTTTGCTGCTTCAGTGACGAGCTACCGTCCAATTTTGGCTGAACTGACAATCTAATACGACGTTGATAATTGCTATTGACTCAGCAAAAATGCCCTTTGTCAAGCTCGCCATTTGCCTCCTAAATATTCTATTAAAGCTGAAACACATCCCATAGATTGCGTAGTCGAGCCATACATACTATGCCCATACACATCCGCTTTTTATTAAATCTACCTGCTGTTTAACGTATAAATTATTCGTGAAATGTAATTCACAGTTAAATTCATTTAATTGAAGTAGTTCTGCACTCATTTTTGGATTAATAGTAACCCAAACATTTCATTCTTCGATTGAATGGTATTTCTATGAACAATGTAATTTTACACTTCATTCATTGTACAAGTCTTCTCTTCACTTCATTTTCTATCTGGATCTGTAAATCAGGATCGTTTACTAGTTGTCACTTCGTCTTTAGTTATTGTATTCCGTGAATCCAATAATTCTTCCCATACTCTTAATTCAGATGCTACTGATCTACACCCCTTCTGGTTTACGCTTGCGTATCTACTGTTTATTGATCTATACTACACTGTGAATTAAACTTCAAGGAAATTACCCAGGTTTTCTTCATGTTCTTATCGGGCACCGGGCGAGGAATACCTAAAGACTCCGTCCAAACCATGTTCTTGACCCAGTCATTATTAACACATCAACTACCACCATCATCACATCAAGCTCATACTTTTCTGCCGTTCTTGAGCGTGGGTCCCTGCAAGCTCTTCGCCTTCACGCTCACTGGAGTTTTCAAGGGCTTGCTTATGCCCTTACCCTTCTCCAACCCCAATCTCTTTTTGGGATCCACAGCTGGAGGGCTCTCGATGCTTAAACTGACGATCTGCTCGCCTCTCAACACAATCAATCCGAGCGACCGTTTGTCATACACAGGCTTGGAGGTGTTGCTGGAGTCTTTCAACGCTTGCAACGACTTGTTGGTTATTCTGGACTCTTCGGTGTCTGCCAACACCAAGTTCATGTGGGTGTCGAATGCCAAGAGCGTGCCCACGAAGTATCTGTTGTCTATGGAGAGGATTTTCAACCTGTAGTTGACCAAGTCAGACATCTTTGTCTTTTTCGTTACTGTGGACTGGAAGTTAGTACTGCGCATGGCTTTTGGACTGTTAGGGTCAGGCTGCTGGGAAAAGCAGCCGGAGACGGTCGTAGTGGCTTCAAGACGTACCATTTTGATGCGATGGGTGGTGTATATGTTGATCAAGTTGCACACCAGATGGAGTCATGTGATGCGTGGTGAATATGTTTGGAGTGCTGGCGGGTCATGTGACAGATGCGACATGGTGTCCACAGCGACACCTATGGGGAGACTACAGAGCATTAAGTGTACTCAAACGAGTACGAGAGACCAGGCCCGAGGAGGAAGATGGTGCCCTGGTCCAGGAGACGCAAAGATGTGTTGCCTACGCCTCGTTGTGGTGGGGTTTTCTGACTTGCTGTTGCCTCGTGCTGGCTTGCTATGTGGTGCGACATTCCTGGCTTGCGACACTGGACCGAGACACAGTCTTTCAATCCCCCAGAATCGGAACAACAAGGGCCTAAACAGGCCAAATACACACCATTTGCCGTCCTAGCGGCCTCGCCAGTCTGACAGCAAATCCGTATTTCCCCTCTTTCTTCAGCTTGCTCCTCCACTTCCGTCTCCTCCTTCTCTTCCTCATCCTCCTCTTCCTCCTCCATATACAGTGTCGTCTCATTTGTCGCGACACACCCGCGACACCTCGCGCCCCAGTCTTATTCCCTCACACTGATAAATCCACCACTAGCAACTCTGGAAACATTGCCACCATGTCCAAGCCAGAAACCGAAGTGAGTGCTACTCCCGAAATTGACGACGTCAAGACTGACTCCGTCGCCAAGTCTGAAGAAGTCGAGCCAAAGCAAGACTCCCTGGCCAAGGAACCAGTCTCGAAGGAGCCAGAAGCTGAACAAGCTGAAGAGCCAAAGAAGAGAGCTGCTGATGCTGGTGACGCGTCTAAGGACAAGAAGAAGTCCAAGAGAAGAAGACGCCAGTATGAGGATGACGTTCCAAAGGAAAAGGAGCAGGATGAGGACGACGATGATGAAGAGGGTGAAGACGAGGAGAACTATAACGAAGAGCCTGAGGAGGATGAAGAGGACGACTTGTTAGAAATCGACGAGTCCAACATCATTACCACTGGCAGAAGAACCCGTGGTAAGGTCATTGACTACACCAAGGCTGCTGAGAAGTTGAAGGAAGAAGAAGGTGCCATCAGAGAGGAGGACGAAGAAGATGGCGAGTTTAACGAGTAGAAGTGATGTAACAATATACGCGACAGAAGAGAGCTGTAGGACGAAATGGGTTCGTTAAACTTGGCTAGGGGTTAGCTAAGGATTAGAGTATTGCTTACACCAAAAATAGTGGCTTTTTGGCTCTGGGAAACTTTTCAGCAGGTCATTTCAAAACAACTATACTAAATTGAAAATAACTTTCAGTATGGGGAACTATCGTCGAATGTACCATGGTTCATATTTGCTAGAATCCAGTTGAGTCTGGAGACTTTACCATTCTCTGGTTTGATAAGTCACCAATCCAACTACTCAACTATTCAGTACTCAGCACCAATTATTCCAGCCACATTAACTATCAGAATCTCAAAATGAATTCTGTTCCTCAGGAAATTCACAAGTCGTTGGGCTGAATAGAACTATGTGCCGGACAAGCTAACTACATCTACAGTCTACCTCGAAGAGGGTTAATGATGTTTATTAGAAACCACCTGACGGAAAGAAATTAAAAATCAACGTTGTGAAATAAACAAGACTATTTTATGTTTTTGGATTTTCGGCTTTTCTGGGTTTTTTTGGGTTTTCGTTTTGTTCTATAAGCATACTTAACAAGATGCCAAGTTGTAGTTGTAGTAAGGATTGGCGTACCCCACGAAGTTGCTAGGATGGTGGTGGGGATACATCACGGTGTTGTGGGATGGGACTGGTGGTGGCACCCGATGCACATGCTGCATGGACGCTCCCACATATTGCACGGCTGGATCATTGCTAAAGCTGTTGCCAGCGTGGTAGCCTGGCGCATGTGACCAGATACTGGGGGGCTGTTGGTGGTGATTGGGCCAAAAGGCGTAATTTTCTTGGGTGTATTTTGAGGGAGATGAAGTGATTGGTGACGACGATGGATAGTAGTAGTTTTCGTTGCTGTGACCACCTGAGTAAACTGGTGATGACGGGATGCTGTTGTGGGGGTGTCCAGTGTAGTACGAGGGCTGGAGAGGCGACGATGGTGGGTGGTTGTAGGAGGTTGGGGAAGCGGTGAGCACGGGAGACACTGTGGATGAAGACGAGTTCTCGCTGGCGCCGTACTTGTCTAACCAGGTCTTCCAGCACTCTTCCAAGGTCAAGATATTGGATTCGAAGTTGACAACGTTTAGGCTCCATTTGCACTCGTCAAGCCATGCTCTCTCATGCTCGTTCAACAGCACCAAATCCAAGCCTGTTGCTCCGCACCACGACTTGTTCGTGAAGGTGTTGTCGTCGTTGAACTTGTTGGCCAAAACCAACGCAACCACGAGGTGGACGAAGATTTCGTTTTCGACCAAGTCTCGGGAGGTGAGCTCGTTTTTGGACGAGAACCGCTGGTTCATATACTCCAACGCGATGATGATGGTGGACTTGGGGAGTCTAGTGGCGAAGAGTACCGACACGATCAAGTTGTCGAACTCCTTGGTGGGGCTCTTTTGCTGTTTCAACATGCCAAACGCACACCAGCTAAGAAAGGTAGCCATATTGTTCAAATCGTACTCCAAAACTGGGTTGATGCCACCGTTGACAGGCTGCTCAACAGGTGCCTGGATAGGCGCCTGAACAGCCACGGGGACTGGCATTTGCACGGGGTAGGCGGGAGGATAGGCGTAGAAGGAACGCGAGGGCCTGTGGTTGAGGGGATACTGGGGCATGTAGTTGTAGGAGGACGAGGCTCTGTGGCCTGCGGTGCCCAAGTTCTGGTGGTAGTAGGAGGGGGGGTGGTACATGGTGGGATGTGAAGGAAGTGTAAAGGAAGTTGGTGAAATGGATACTTCGTGGAATTCGTGGAAGACTTTGTGAAGGAACTTCGTCAAAGGGATACTTCCAGGGAGTTCGTAAGGGACTTCCAAGGGACGATACTTAGTGAAAAGCTCGTGGGTTGTGCTGACGCTGACGCTGAAAGCGGGTGATGCTTCGTTTCGCTGAAAGCGGTGATGTTTCGCTGAAAGCTGGGATGTTTCGCTGAAAGCTGTGATGCTCTCTTGCTGCTTTGCTGAAAGCTTGCTTGTCTGCCAGGTATAACCTAATATAACCGGCTGCTCCAGTGGGTTGCAACGGAGACTCTGCTTGTGTGGTGATGCTGGGACAGATCACGGCTTCAAGAACGGGACAAACTTCAACAACTTCTAGAAGAAACCACCTCAAGAAGAATAGAAGATACTTCGGAAGAAGATGCTACGACTGCTTACAACTAGCGTGGGTTTGGTAAACCATCACCGCAGTGTGGTCGGCTAGGGAGGTTTGTGTCACCAGGCTTTGTGGTGCGAGAATGGGCGAAAAAGAAAAGTTTGCGAAAAGCAACGAGGGCGGAGCGGAGGCGGGAAGGGTGGAAGGTGAGACATGACGGTAGGGGTGGCAAGCCACGGAGGGCAGGACGGTGTTTGTGATGATGCAGTCATGATGTCAGTGATGATGTCAGGCCGGTGGTACTACAGAAACATCCTTACTGCCTACTCCCTACGGTGTCTACCACATGATTGACGTTGCACTGTAGACTGGCAAAGCCCTCGTGCCGTGGCACCAGGCTCCCAGGCCAAGCTTTCCCGATGGGGGAACTCCAGGGCGACACGTGATGGGCCCGCTAGTAGCACGGGACGATCTGGTGCGGGCCTGTGTGCAGGACGCCTGGGTCGGTTGTTAGGGCCCATTGATTTTGGCAAGAATGGGACGACAGCGATGGTTGGAGGGGGCAAGGTACTGGGCTGGGTGGTGCTGGGGCCGCTGGAACAACCTGGGCCCGGATACGACGGGTTTTGCCAGAGTTATGGGCGGGAAAGGAGCGGGGCTATGTGCAGGACATTCTTTCTGATGAGATGTAAATTAGTGCTGGTATAATTTTTCCCCTGCAATTTCATGATCTGTCACAGGACCGGAAGGGGTGGGAATTGCGCCGTTGCCAGGCGGTGGTGGTAGCAGCCCAGAGGAGGGTGGGAGTTGCTCCAGCCAGCATCGCCAGCGCCCTCGCAACCGACGTCATCGCACTACGCCTGGCTGGAACGGGACGAACCAACACAGAGACAATAGCGTCACGTGATCGGTCACGTGACGGTGGCTGCAACTGGTTCGCTCTTTTGAGCACGACGGCTCGATGCCACTGTAGCGTACGCCGCTGTTGCCCCTGCTGTGACCATCCTCCCGCTAGCCTCATCCTCCCATTTGTATTCCTCTCTTCTTGCACTCCCCCTCCCCGTCCCCCTCCTCCACGCTCTCTTCTTGCCCCCATCACCCCCATCACCTCCCCCATTAGGCAACTCATCAACAATCCTCATTTACCAAAACAGTATTGTAATGAACTCGTCTAATCTCCAGCCCTATAATACCATGAGATCTCCACGGGCTCCAGCCGTCCCCATCCATGCCAATTCCCTTGTACTTGAAGCTCAAGGGGCACTCTCTGCCCCCGCAAGCTCCGCAGTTGTTTGAGGTTGATTCTGACACCTCCATCACCTACAACTCCAAGTCCTATCCGTTTCGCCAGATTTTCTCCGGAGATGCCCCTGATTCGCAGTACGACGTGCTCCATGACACTTCCCAGTCGTCATGTACCATTTTCATGGGCCCTACAGGCAGTGGTAAGACCACCACTCTCCGCAAGGTGATCTCGTCCCAAGCATCCCGTCTCGCAGCCAGTTCTACTCCTGCCTACATGTCTGCGTTCGAGGTGTGCGAGAACAAGCACTTGACGGACTTGTTGGACTCGTCCCGCAAGGAGTACCAGGCGTCGACGTTCGAAGCCTCGTTGAAACGGGAGCCAGTCTCGTCCGCATTGGCCAACCTGGTGTTCTCGCGCAGAACCACCTCCCGCACCTCGTTCAACGATAAGTCGTCGCGCTCGTGCTTGGTGGTGTCGTTCTACTGCAACGGCCACAAGTCGACATATATCGACCTCATGGGCAATGAGAAGTTCGACAGCCCTGGCAGATCCTCTAACGTGTTCGCCAACATGAACATGTCTGCCATCACCCACTTGTTGACCCAGAAATCGGTGAGTGGAAGGTCGTCCAACTTGATCACCAACTTGATCTTCAAAAACGACACCATTGGCAACACCAAGGTGGTCTTGACGTTAGACCAGCACGGCGACGCCTCGCTCGTCAAGTCTGCCATGAACAACATCGCCACCTTGGTGCACGATTTCGAGTTGGGGTCCCCTTTGGCCAGCCCAGCCAAAAAGCTGCGACTTCCCCAAGGGCCCAGCTACGCCAGGCCCACACTTTCGTCCTTGAGCCCAAGGAAGAGTTCTCCCGCTGCTTTGGCCACATCCACTCCTTCAGTCAAGAAGAAGTTGAATACCCCTGCTAAGTTGAAGGTTGTTCCATCGTTGAACAAATCGTCTTTTGCACCCAAATTTATTCACACTGCGCGGACCAGTTTAATTATTGATACCCCCTCCCGGATTGCCATGCACGAATTGAACTCCTCACCCATCTCCAGACAAAGGAAGACCACCAGGGAGTTCTCGATTTCCACGCTGGCCCAATCCACTCCTAAAGATTCTGTCAGATCTATGCGGTCATTAACTCCACCAATTTCCGATCTGAAATCTGAAGTCAGTACTTCTCCTGCTGCTCTAGGTCTTGCTCCCCCAATTTCCACCGGGTTGACAAAGCCTTTCTCGGCAAGAAAGCCGATTACGAGGCCAAAAATCCCAGTGGTCACCTCCAGACTCACCCTGGCTGATATCAAGAAGACCCTCAAGGATTTGCAGGCTGACCACGAAAGATTGAAGGAAGAGTACCTGCAAGCATTGCAAGACTCACAATTGGCTCAGTCCAACCTCCAAGTCGAGATTGAAGACTTGAAGCTTATTAACTCTAACAACCAAGCTTTGATTGGGCAACAAAAAGAGATAATGAACAGCAAGCTTAGTGAAATCAAAAACGACTTTAGATCTTTCAAATACCATCATGGGAACTTCAAGATGACAATCGAAAACCTCAAGATTTCTTTGGGCTTAATGGAAGAGGAAAATATGAATCTCAAGGACATGAACTCGATCCAGTCTGCAGAGTTAATTGCCATCAACGACCAGGTCGAATTATTCGAGTTCAACCACACCAACTTGAAATATGAAGCTGAAAACGCCAGAAATGAAAACGAAAGCCTTAGGAAAAAGTTCATGGAGTTAGAGAAGTTGAACTTGCAATTAATGGAAAGAGACTCTGAGAAGGAGGTCATTATTTTAGAAAATACCAAAGAGCTTTGCGAAAAACACGATGAAATCCTTGAAAAGGAAGAGCAGTTAACAATTAAGGATGCTCTTATCAGCGAGAAGAACGAGCAATTGGACGAGAAAGATAGAGTCATTGCTGAATTGTTGGCTCGCTTGGCAGAGAAAGACCAATTGTTGGCTGACAAAGATGGCAAATTGACAGAGTCCGACAATCTCTTGTCTGCTAAGAAAGACGAACTTTTGCAAAAGGATCATCAGTTGGCCGAAATGGAGCAAGAGGTCGTTTGCAAATCAAAGGAAATCAACTCACTTGTGGAAGAGAACCAAAATTTGAATGAAGAATTGAAGGGCTACGAGAAGCAAATCCTCGAATTGCAATTCAATGAAGAATGTGAATCCCTTCAACGCGAATTACTGTCTAAGAACGGGCAGGTTTCGTACCTTAGTGCTCAAGTTTCTGAATTCGAGGCTGTTGTTCAGGGCAAGGATACTATATTAGCCGAGCTTCAAAAGAGTTTGGAAGATGCTAGCGCAATTATTGCCACCAAAACCAGTGAATTTGACTCATTGGTTGCTGAAAACCAAAGGCTAGTTATAGAATCGCACGATTTGAGTGTTTCTAATGCCACTGATATTGCAATTAAAGAGACACATATCTTGGGAATTAGCGAAGAACTCGAAGCAAAGAAAAGTGAAATTGAATCTCAAACCCAAGAAATCCTCAAGCTCAACGATATTATTGATCAAAGAACGGAAGAAATCGTCCAGTTGGGTAGTGAGTTAAAATATTTCAAATACAACCAAGAATCCAAAATGGAGGATCTCCACGACGAGCTTGCCAATACTTCCTCTGAGTTGATCTCCAAGGACGACCAAATCTCGGAACTCGAGAACGATAGGGACGCATTGAAGGCCCAAGTTGACGATTTAAAGGATCAGTTAGCCACCTCAGTCACCCATTTTACTCAAAAGTACGAAAGTATGGTCAGAACTAAGGACGAGACTATTAGCAAGTTGAGACAGGAATTAGTGGAAGAGATCAACTCGCCTATTCTCACCAATATTGACATGAACTCCAGGCCTTTTGACCCTTCTTCCGATATCTTCTCCGATAACATCTTGAGCCTGAGCAGTAGAGACAGCTCGTTAATGGAGCACGAATCGTGCACCTCGATGTCTTCCAATGGCTCCCACATTGAATCACCCATCAAGAGAATGTTGGCACCTTCCAAGATAGCCAACTACAAAAGTGTGATCAATGCTATGTCGAAGGAAAAGAAGAAGAAGAGAACCAAGTCCAAACATAGAGTGAGCAAAATCTCCACCAACAACTCCGGGACCACTGTCACCATGCCGAAGTATAAGATTTCGTGCTAAACACCCTCCTAATAAGTAATTCCAGCCGTCTTCAGATGGTTTTTTTTTATTGTTCTTATTGATACCCTTTTCTATGGACTTCTAGTCTTAATACCCTTGTTATTGTTTTATGGCTATCCTCTGTATGATGTGAAAGTTTCGTGGGTTTACTTCTACTTGATTGTTTTAATGGACCTCTCTGTTGCTAACACCCTTGTGATTCTTTTACGGTATATCGTCTAATGGATACCCTTGTGATTATTTTGTGGGTTATCGTCTATTGATACCCAGCAGTGATTTTATTGCTTGTATTATATACTATTGTACCAATATATAATGCGTGAATCAGATGGATGGAGTTGAGACTGCGGATATGATATACACTCGTGATATCATAAAACAGATCATGAGCCTCCGATCTATTCCAGTAGATCAGACGGTTCTTCTATCAGACATGTATCTCACAACAGGGCCCAATCCAGTGATCTCCACGGTCTTTTCAAACCAGTTCAACAACAATCCGCCCTGCTTGGCGCCGGCAGGCGTGGCCATGTTTCTGTACAAGTACTTCACCAAGTTGTCTTGCTGGGAGGGGCTCAACTGCTTGATTATGCCGCTCAAGTCGCTGCGGTTGTTCTTGATGGAGCACAACGTCTCGAACACGGTGTCGGAGTGCAAGCTCTTGGTGGCGTCGCTGGCGTTGTATGGAGGGCTATCCAAGGCAAGCGCCAACGCTTCGGAGAACTGGCCTGACGTTAAGGCGCTTCTGATTTGCTTCGACAACGCCACGATCTCGTCGTGGGAGGTTTCGGGAAGCTCCGGTATCAATTCTTGTGGGGTCAAGTGGTCGCCATCAAACTGGTCGATGTCGATTCTTCTCCAGTCCTCCATGGTAGCTGATGTATTGGTTTGTTGGGGCGCAATGGGTGCTTGTTGGTGGTGGCTGCCGTTTGGCTTGTATGATCACTCGTTGGTGCGGGTCGTGTGCGCCCACCTTACGGCTGCAAAGACGAAGGAAGTCAACAGGGCAAAGAATGGGAAGGTAGGCGGAGGCAACGCTTGGAGAAGGTAATGGGCTTTATTGGACTATTGTGGTAGAGGTTTTTCTCTACTGCATACTCGTGGAATCCCACGCCACTTCGCTGTGCACCTCCCATCAACTGGTGTCTATCCTCAAAGAGCCTGCCAGACTTTCTACCAACCGTGCCAGGCTGTCTGCCAACTATGCCAGGCTTTACTGCACGTCTACCAGCCCGGCGAGGTGGAATAGTACGAGAAGTCGGACTTAATATTCCTCTATCCGTTGGTTAAACAGTTATCTCAATTGGTTAAACGGCCTCAGTCTTTATGCCACGGTCACTTCTCATCTACTAACTTACCAGCCCACTACGCTCTTCATCCGCTATCGTCGTTTACTAATGTACATCTTGTCTATAATCATGTGGCGCTTGCGCCAGTCCCGTTCCAATAGGCCTCCCACTGGTGAGCCATCTGGCAGCTCTACTTCTTGGACCGTTTCTTTGAGTGGGGCTCTTCGTCGTCATCGGCTTCGCCACTGTCTTCGCCCAGGGCATCCTTGTGGGTGTTGGTATAGTCGTCCATGAACTCCAATGCTTTGTTGCGCAACTCGAGATTGTCCACCACAATCACCACCAAACCGTCGCTGCCGACCTCGTACTTGATGTGTCCCTCGTTGGGTATGGCGATCTTCTCATCAAAGTTGTCGAAGAACTGGTTCATGTCATCAAAGCTCTGGATAGAATCGAGCAACCGTTCCTCCATGTCACCATCGGGGTTTTCCGGAGAATTGACAACAATAATCGCCCTCAAGGGGTTCTCGAGCTCCTCCATCACTATTTCCTCGTCTGACATTCTTGTGGTTCGGGGCCTATCTCGTCAGCTGGTTCCTGATTGTCTAAGTTGCCTGGTTCATATAAATTTTTGAGCATCTCGTTCCTGCAGGTGGTGCAGATGTCGCTGGGTGTCGTCTGGCCCTGTCAGATGTCGCGAAGAACACGAATCTGGGGAACTTCTGGGCTACAACCAAGTTTGGTGGACTCAATGCTGAACTAGCGACACTCGGACTGTGGTGCCTGGGCGAGCTAACTTCAGGCAATTTGATGTTTCCAGAAAATCAACTCGTATGTAATCAAAGTTACTATTTAATGAGCAGGGCAAGATGGTGAAGCAGTGATTTACTATTACTCTTGAATGAACTCGGCAAGATAGTCAAACAACTTATCACAATACTCAAAATACAGTGGACATTCAATTGTGTTAAGTATGAAGCTATTTAGATATCGTCGTTTTCGCGAACGCCTGCTCATAACTTATAGCGTGCGAGTTAAGTGGACCATTGCTTGAACTGGTTGATCAAACCGTTGGTGGATGGGTCGTGGTTGGTCACGTCCTTGTTGTCATCCAATTGGGTGCCAATAGCCTTGGCCAAGGACTTACCCAACTCAACACCCCACTGGTCAAACGAGTTGATGTTCCAGATGGCACCTTCGACGAAAGTGACGTGTTCGTAGTAGGTGATAAGAGCACCCAAAGCAGCAGGAGTGATCTTTTGGGCCAAGATGGAGGTGGTTGGTCTGTTACCAGAGAAGACCTTGTGAGGAACGAGACCACCAGTGGCACCTTCGGCCTTAACTTGTTCTTCGTCCTTACCGACCATCAAAGCTTCAGCTTGGGCAAAGAAGTTAGAGGCCAACATTCTTTGGTGCAAGTTGTTTTCGATAGGGTTGTGGGATTGGGCGGCAAGAATGAAGTCGGCAGGGATCAACTTGGTACCTTGGTGGACCAACTGGAAGAACGAGTGCTGGGAGTTGGTGGCTGGCTCTCCAAACAAGATGGTACCGGTTTGATAGTCAGTGAACACGTTACCTCTGGTGACGGACTTACCGTTGGATTCCATGGACAATTGTTGCAAGTAAGCTGGGAATCTGTGCAAGTATTGGTCGAATGGGGCCACTAAGTGAGTTTGAGCACCAAAGAAGTTGTTGTACCACACGGACAACAAAGCTCCCAAAACTGGAATGTTGTCTTCCAAAGGAGTCTCCTGGAAGTGCTTGTCAACAGCTTCAGCACCCTTCAAGAAGTTCTCGAAGTTCTCGAAACCAATGTAAATGGCAACAGACAATCCGATGGCAGACCAGACAGAGTAACGACCACCCACCCAGCTTTCGAAGCCAAACATGTTCTTGGTGTCGATTCCGAACTTGGCGACCTCCTCAGCGTTGGTAGACAAAGCAGCGAAGTGCTTAGCAATGTGCTTGGTGTCCTTGGCGGACTCCAAGAACCACTTCTTGGCCGAGTTGGCGTTGGTGGTGGTTTCTGCGGTAGTGAATGTCTTGGAGGCAACCAAGAACAAGGTGGTTTCAGCGTTCAAGCCCTTGACAGTTTCGGCGATGTGGGTCCCGTCGATGTTGGAAACGAAATGCACGTTCAAGCCTGGCTTGGCGTAGGACTTCAAAGCCTCGGTGACCATGACTGGACCCAAGTCCGAGCCTCCAATACCGATGTTGACAACGTCGGTGATGGCCTTGCCGGTGTAACCAGTCCATTCGCCAGATCTAACTTGCTCGGAGAACTCCTTCATGTGTTGCAACACCTCGTCGACTTCAGGAGCAGTGTCCTTGCCGTCAACCTCCATCTTCTTCAAGCCTCTGTTTCTCAAAGCAGCGTGGTAGACGGCTCTGTCTTCGGTGAAGTTAATCTTGGAACCCTTGAACATTTCGTCTCTCAAGTGCTCCACCTTAGTTTCCTTGGCCAATTGGATCAATTGACCCAAGATCTCGTCATCGACCAAGTTCTTGGAGAAATCGAACAAGATTTCCGAGCCATCGAAGTTCTTAAGGGTCTTGGAGTACTTTTGGAATCTCTTAGGGTCCTTTTGGAAGGCTTCAGTGACCTTGAAGTTTTCGCCAGAGGCCTTGTAGGTGTTCTGCAAGGTCTTCCAGGCAGGCAATTCGCTAGTTAAGGAGAAATCGGAGAAGGACATTATGGTGTGAACCGGATACGGATGAGAGAACCTGCAAAACCCACTTGTTATATGAAAGCAATTTTCGGCCCAACGTTTTCCTGCGAATTCTATCCTTGGTCACCTGACGGGGCAACCACTATAATTTGTCATCTACATGGAGGCAAAACCGGCCGGCAATCCAGGAATCGGCTGTCGTTACAGGCACGCCGGAGAAGGTGCTGGCGAGGCTGGTTTCTCCTGTCTTCCATAGATTCAATGGAAGGTGGTTCCGGGTGACTTTGGAAGGTGGTTCCAGGTAGCACAAAGAGGAAAGTTGCACCGTTAGGCCGAAAGATCAACCGCGAGAGGCCAATTACAGGCAGGCGCCAATAGAAGGAGAATGGATGGAGATACATTTTGAAAATCTTTAGATATAGATATAATATCTATCGTCTATGGATTTTTGTAGGGCACCACTCAGTCTCCCACTCTCAGGTACTAGTCTGCCAAATTCCAGAATTCTGCGACAGATGGCTTAGTCATTAAAGAAATTGCTGGTGTGCTTGCGTAAGCAGGTGAGGCCTAGCCTGAGGTTGACAAATAGATCTTAGTTTGGTCTTGAAAATTAGTCATTCTGTTAGATCTTCCAAGAGCTTTGACCTTCCACATAAACATGGCTGACACACTCACCCGTTCAATCAAGCCAAAATAATCACTTGCCGCATTATTATGGCAAATTCAAGTGTACCTTTTCTATTTTTGTCATTTCTCTCAAGTTACTCTTGTATTATTCTATGCTGTAACAATTATGATCATAGGATCTGAAAAGGGTCGACTTTAACAGTTTCTATACGATTCAAATGGATATTTGGTTAATCAAAGAATAATTGCGAAGTAAAACTCGCCAGTATGCATTGATGACCGCTTGAAAATAGCTGTTCCCTAAGTCTTATTTTTGTATAGTTGTTAAACTTAGCCTTGGTATTATCTGGTCTACTACTTACTTTTCTTTCCATGTGCTTTACTTGACAGTCCAATTTGTTTTCTCAGAGTATATGTGCCTTGGACTGTGAATTCTACTATCTTTTTGATCTTCTGTGCTCTTAACTCTCATTCTGGACTTCCAAAGTCCAACATCAATTTCCAACCTCTAAGAATCGAAGCTAGTCATATCGTTTATCAACGTATCCCAGTTTGGGATTTCCTGGTGGTAAAATCTACTCAGAAAATTCCAATCAAAATTGAATGGCATGTAATTGTTTGAACAAAATTCAAACTCAACTTCGCTAGCAAAACCATCTGCCAGTATTACAATGGTTTAGTTACGCAAATAGCAATACATACCATTATCTCATACTCAAAACTTCTATTGAACTAATTCGGTCATCATGAAATACTCCGTAATGTCTAAAATCTATTGTTGAGTGAAATGCCAATTTTATCGGAAAAGAAGTTGAAAAAATTAAAATACCTACAAAACCCTCATAATGAACCTCAGTCAGAGATCCAGAAGTCTAGATATGTTGTACCCCTAGTGACTTCAAGATCTTTACAGTATTCACTCAAAACTAAACCACTATTACTTATACCAATTTTGTTCGCCCTACATCAGTACTGACACTTGTATAGCACCAGTGCATGCACCACGAATTATTGCCACCTATCTTCCGAAGCAGCTGAATTACTTCAACATCCCTCATTTCACTACCCCAGTAAGTGCCCTAATTAAATGTCCTGCACACAGACTCCGCCATGTCTTGACTTTCTCCACTACTACGCAGTTGTTACTCAACAATGTCTGGGTTGGTATCTAAATGGGCCACAGAGAGCCCCCTCGATAGCAAGCCTGTCCATCAAGAAACGAAGACCAATCCCTCTCCAAATAAAGATAAATGGAGCAAGCCCATCACATCCAATAAATCGCTGCCTTTGGTAAGCAAATGGGCTTCTGCTCCAGACGAACCGGACCTTACACCCATCGAAATCGACCAACCAAAACACAGGCAGAGAAGATCCAAGCACCAGGATGTACCAGCCAGCCCCCCACTGTCTACAGATGGCGATTCCAGACGACACGGAAGGCATGATCGACACAGACGAAAATCCAAGGACGAGACCAGGCCCAAAGGGGGCCGGAATGGTGCTGAACCACCCGAGGAAAAGCTCCCACCCATGACAGATGCTGCCAAGTCGTTTGCAGCAAGACTTGGGGCGCTCAAGGGACCTGTGTCGCCACCTTCATCCAGCGAGAGGCACGAGACCCATCATCACTCCCACGAAAATTCAGGTAGGAAGGCACCACTGCTCCAGAACAATCCACTCGCGGCCAGGCTTGGGTTGGATCCTGAGAAGCCAAAGGGAAGGGGACAACAACGGGCGCCCAAGGCCAAGCCGAGGGACAGAAATGGCAGAAACAGCGACCGAGGCAATCGCCCCGGCGCAAAAGCGGCTCCGGTGGAGGAGAAACAGCCTGGGCCAGACGAAATCAAGGCTGAAGAGGAGTTGCGCCAGCTTCTCGACAAGTTGGATGCCAAGGAGTTGGACTGGGCCAGTTTCGAGTAACCAGCTGGGCTGTTGTACCCATGGCGCATATGTAACGGATTATGTAATATAATAGAGACCAATGAGCTAAAGTGGCGGGTCCTCAGGGTCTTGCCATCTGTAGAAATAGATCAAGTGGGTCAGGGTGGTCAAACGAACCTGCAGAGGTGAACTTCGTCACCTTTGAAAACTGTAAATGATTTGTAAATGGTTACAGAATTTGCAATCTGATTTCTCCTATTGAGAGTCACAGATAGTGGTCGTCTCATTGCTGAAGGAACTAAAGACGGAACAATACATGCACTGCTTTGTTTCTTGTACAATATTTCAATTTTTTGCAAAAGTTATACAAAAACAATTTCGGAAGCTGATGAGTTTTTTAAAGGCTTTTAAGGAGAAAATATGTCCAATGTGGGAAAGAAAGCAACTGAATTGACTGTAGCTGGATTTTATTAACTGTTCTCAACAGGAGGTGAACTTGTTACACATGCCTTGAGTAAGGATTGGTTAAGAACACTCATGAATAGCATACATAACAAGACCTCACAATGTGATAGATATTCTGTGATTGGGCAGACTTCAGAGAAATATCAAGAGAAATAATAATCTTCTCAGAGGGACCTTAACCTACTAGAATCCTCAGAATTCCTGGAGATCCTGCTTGAGGCTTGTTTTATGCTGCAATAGAGAACAATATTACTATGTGATATTCTGTATGGAGCATTCATAACTGATGTTCACCGCTTGAACCACGTCCCGCCGAATTTTCAGTACCGAGAGAACCGCCTGTGAAACGTGTAATAAATAAGCAGGCTCCCTCCAGGCCATGAATTAATGACGGTTGCGGTGGTCCAGCCAAATCCATGCTAAGAAGAATTCTCAGGCTGCAAAGAAGCGCACCAGGGAGATTTGACAGTTCGTGACACACTGTGATTACGTAATCACTCACTTACCCCAGTTCATAGTCTCCCTTTGGCGACAGATCTCCAGGCGCCACCACCTCTCAGAGAAGCGTGACACCTCTCCACCAGTGCCATTACTCCATCCTTACCCCCACACTTCTCCCGCTCCCAGCACCACCTTTCACCCTCCCTCACCGTCCCCAGACTCTTTCCTCCCTGCACTACTGCGACCCCGCGAGTCGCCCCATACTGAGCCATCACTACCACCACCGCCACTGCACCACCACCATCCATGTTCAGATTAGCCATACGTGCTCCTTTGCGGCTCCGTCCCGCAGTGCCGAAATCTCCTACGCTACACTTCACATCTTCGCCTCTTCGCCACATCCACCACATCTCCCACGAGCAGCCATTCCAGACTAAGAGACTCCCGTTCAAAACGGTGGTGGTGTTGATCGCAGCATCGTCTACAGCAGCCATGGCACTCTACGTGGGAATCGAGATGTGGCAGTTCCACCGCACCAACGACTCTGCCAGGACCATTTTCTTACCGTTGTGGATGAACAGCAACTTGCTAGGCCACAAGACGTTCAGGTTCCCAGAAGGGCTCCAGTACTTGGACGAGGGCTTCAGGGTGTACATTGAAGAGGAAATGGGTCAATTGAACCGTTCCAGCCATGGTGACCTAGAAAACTACCACCACATTCTCCAACACGAGAACATCACCTACGCGGTTCTTGAGCAGTTGACTGCCAACATGCCCATCCGCAAGATCTTTGGGCTCCCTATGGTGGTGGACCAGCCTTCAGAGTTCAGCATGTGGGTTGAGGCTACCAATCCCAGCTTTTCTGGCGTCCAGATCGCTTTGCTGAGAAAACACTCCGATAGCGGGTGGAAAAATACGACTATTGAGCCCTCATGGAAGGTTAGACCTTTCAACGTTGCTAGCATGTTAAATGATGCCCTCATTGATGCTGGACTCAAGTTGGATCGCCTCGATCCACCTGATCTTGTGGGGAATGATATCCACAAGGTGCTCAGCCGATTCCAGCACAACGACTACGACGTGATGTTTTCCGGCCAGTTGGTGGTCATGGATAAGCATCACCGCAAGAAGGGCATCGTGAAGTACCGTGCCAAGCTCGACTTCGACCACTTGGTGGTGAACCGAGGGGTCAAAATGGTGCAAATGGAGTTGGTCCACGAAAATGTGACTTACAAGGTAATGTAGGTGCAACTGCGGCCAAAATATCCACACTGCCATCTCGAGCAGTTGAACTTCAAATTGATATTGCAAGCCTCAATATGAGGACAAAACTCATAAAAATACTCAGCATCTACATTGTCCTTGGTGGCTGCGAGTTGGCTGGTTTCCAGCTATTCTGCAGCTAGTGGCCACAGACAAATGAACCAGGATTGGTGACACTGGGCACAACAAATAAGTGCAATGGCCAATGTGGGCTAGAACTGGTCAGGTAAACTTGACCGTGAATTGAGCAATTTCTAACATGCACTATTTCTGTGTCTGCAAATTTGAATTGAAATTGACTTATTTCCACAATAGCTACCGTGGGCCACGACTGGTGGAATTTGAATTCATTTGTAAACCACTATTCCTGTTTTTAAAAACATGTCCATATTGAAAATTTCCAAAATAAATTCCAACTACTGAAAACTTGAACATACTTGCAATTTGCAATTCTTATTTCTAACAAATTCCCTATTGGCCACTTTCCTATTCCAGTTTCTAAAAAAATGTCCAAACTGGTTTATTTTAGAAGACTAATTCCGTTTTTAAAAACTTGAATATTGGCAACTCCCAAAATCATTACCTGAAAAACTCCATACTGGCCAACTTCCAACGCCTATTCCTGTTCTGGCCCACCTTGAGGCGCCATCTTATCTCTTGGTTTTGTGTCGAATCTCCCCAGAAAACTCTCATCACGTGCACTTTCTGTTATCACACGAATTCCTGGCTTAGAGAATTCACCACCAATGGAGGCTACTGGAAAAGACCATCCCAGCGGTCCGAACATGACGAACCACTCGGAGCCGCCTACAAAGAAGAAGAAACCTCACAATCGCAAGCTTTCCGATGTGGGACGGACCTCCATCAGCGAGAACCGAAAGTTGGCCCAAGCTTCCAGGACCCTCAAAGCTTGTGATTTGTGTCGAAAACAAAAGACAAGGTGTTTTAGGTCTCCAGAAAACCCATTATCATGTTTGCGATGCACTTTTCTCAACAAACCATGCTCGTTTGAGACAACACCCGATACTATCCCCACAATACCCGAGCCCAACGGTGGAGACCCCACACTGAAGAAGTTGGACTTGATCTATTCCGGCATCAATGAGGTTCTTCGGATCCTCAAGCACGGAGACGGTCCTCCAATCGATGCCATCAACGACGATACCAGGCTATTGCTCGAAGCAGCGTCTGCGTTGAGGAAAAGTGGCCAGGAGAGCATTCCTCATCACGATCACAACTCCGACCAAGCAAATTTCGAGGATCATCCCACCTTCCAGTCCCCCACCAATTCCCTCAAGGCCTCCCCATTCTCCATTGTCACGAACCAGGTCTCCAGCCATGAAATTCCTACTCCCATTCTCAATTTGCTTGACTTGTCCACCATCCAGACATACCGAAAACACGAGGATCTCATCACCTTGAGCATTCTCACCGAGCAAGAGACCATTGAGTTAACCAGCAACTTCAGAAGAAACTATGGGCGCTGGGTCCTGTTCCCAAAGAATGTGGACACCAGGGAACTCGTGGAAAGAATAAGATTCAAGTCTCCGTTGTTGTTGACTACCTGCTGTTGCCTTTCATTGAGGTTCTCTCTTAATGGCCTTGACCCAGATGATGTCAATACTGTTTCAAGAAAAAGAAATACTTATCGGCAATTGGGCAAACAATTGGTGAAAGAAGTAAACCAGTCCTTACTCAAATACACCTCGTTAAAAGGCGAGAACGATGGTGACATTGAGTTTCTCCAGTCGTTGGTGATCCTATCGATCTACTCCTTTTCTTTGACCTCAATCATGAATGGCGTGGGTAATAGATCACTAGAGCAAGACAATCAAGAACATGGAGTTTTATCAGACGACGGCCATGAAAACAACTTGGATAATATCAACCTCGATCCATGGTTTCTTTCGAGCGTGGGCCTCACAACATTCTTATCAAAATCGACTTTTGGAAAGTTATTTCAAAAAATGAACGTTGGCGACAAGAACTTGGTACCCACCGGGTTGCCATTCGACACACCCAACTTTCTCGGCGGTGCCTCATTTCTTCCTGGTACTCCGCATTTCCAGTCTCAATCGATCCTTCTCGATAACTCAGACTCTAACGAGTATCAAACGTTGACGATTCTTCGAATCTATAACCATCTATGCTTGGTCCACCTAAGCAATTGCGTTTTCTCGGGTAGGATGTGCGTGATTGACGAGATAAGGCTTAATTACTGCACCTCCACCTTGGGACTTTCGTCGTCGACAAACTTTGACGGACGGATGATCAGCGAGATTGGAATATTATTGATCACTTACAACTTCATCCAGTTGAATCTTAACAACAGTGGCAGTGAAGGATGTTATATTTCGTTGGAGGATTGTGAGAGCAATTTTGAGGGCGTCAGGGAAGAACTTCGGGCCTGGTACGACCAATGGGAGTATTTGTTCGACCAAGCTCCATTGCAGTTCGTCGAGTTAAACTATGACTTTTGCAACTTGGTGATCTATTATAGTTACAACTACCAAAAGTCGCTCTTGGTGACTACTGGCCATACGATTTCCCAGCTCGATGAAAGGGCCAGCTTATACGACGAGAACCACATTGACTTTATCTTTGGCTTCAGTGACAAGGATTCCTTGGTCAAGATGATTCAACACGCGTACAATGTTGTCAGGTTTGTGAACGTGATTGAGAGCGATTCGTATTTTGCGTATCTATCGGACCAAGTGCATTTTTGTTTCTATTTCAGCGGAATATGCTTGATCAAGCTCTTGAGGTTCGTGGTGGAGACGAAACAGACGGGGTTGTTAGCCAAAATTGACCACATGGAAATCAGTGACTCGTTGGACGGTCCAGTGGGCGACATCAAGGTGCTTATCCACAAATTCAAGAGTGTGGGGCAAGGCAACGAGGGTGATGTGATTACAAAGTACGAGAGAGGACTTACGCGGGGCTTGGAGGACCTCGAGCGTACTGGCTCGTGATGGTGGTCATGGGATTGGTTGATAAGCTCAAAACTTCGAGTGGCTGGTGTTGCACGGGCCGAGTTCTCAAGTGTCTGGATATTATCACAATTTATCGGCCTTAGCTTTTTGTGTCTGGGGAACCTCCAGAACGGTGCTATTTCCGTGGCACAAAACTCGGGATCGTGACGAAAAAGGCTTGGTGCGGCAGCCGAGCGTGACTGGTGCACAAATACGAGATGCCCAGGCTTAGCACTGGTGCTATGGCCGTGCCAACCACGCGTATTCCGTATGACAGCTTGCGGTTGGGGCATTGCGTTCTCTCGGTGGGGACGCTTCTTTGTGCAGCGTGCACATGGAGACTTCAACGGAAATTCACCGGCCACCACATGTGCAGCCAGACATCATTGTGAGAGCCACCAAGTGCCACCAAACAGCCAGAGTGTTTCCCTGGCCCTGATCCTGGTGGGGCCTCCCCCAGCACTCGGTCCTGACCCCTACTCAGCAGCTGTACTCGGCAGCCAACCATCACCTCCCTTTAGCAGCCGCAGGCCGGTTATGACACCTGCATCCTGCACAAACCCCATGCAGCGGACCGGGCAGCGCCCCGTCAACAATGTTCATCGATCAGACGTGATGATGCAGACACCAGTATATATAGACCGCCTGCTGGCACCATTGCAGCCTCATCATCATCATCATCATCTTCTATCTATCTATTATGAGATACAATATTCTAACTTTTCTATGCGTTTTGTGGGTTGCTGAAGCTGCCAGTATCCACTCTGGCGATGGCTCTGAAGAAGCCATGGATTTGGGCACATTGACCCAGTTGGCCAAGCGTCTAGGTGGCCACAGCTCGGGTGGCCGTAGCAGTAGCTCAGGCAGCCGTGGCTCAGGTAGCCGTGGCTCAGGTAGCCGTGGTTCCGGTAGCCGTGGAGGTGGCTCTAATGTCGGTGTCGGTGCTGCTGGAGGTGCTGCTGCTGGAGGCCTCATTGCAGCTGGACATCATGGGCATGGAGGTGCTCGTGGAGGAAACCGTACTACCCATACCAATGGAGGTGCCGTGCTATCGCCGCCGTACTACTTGGTTGGAGGTGCCATGGCCATGGCATTGATTTGAGTGGGCATCGTGTCGACGGAATGCAGGTCCATAGTCTGACTTGAACCATACCCAATTATGCAACCAATGATGAGGAATAATGACTTATTTAATAATTTACGTATTCATCAAGTTTTATTGTAGGTAGTGGTGGAAAAACAATACTATAGCATTGTGTGATGTGAAAGGTTCAAGCTGGTATACAAAGGATGCAATTCTGATTTTTATTACTTAACGTGTGCTAACATGTCACTGGTATACGCTATGGATCTAAAATTGCACGACTTCCAGATATTAGTTCTTGACAAATTACGAAGAAGCATACTATCTTCTCTGGGTAGGGCTATTGTGGAAATATCCTGTTTTCAAGTATGTCCAGAGTGCACTGCTATGGCTTATGAAGGAAAATTCACAGATTTAGTTCTAGATAAACCAAAGAATATTATTGATACTGAATGGGACCAATAAATGAGTACTTGTGTTCTCGGACCTTTGATCTTACGCAAGACAATTTCCTGTATTAATCCTTTTTCTATCAACCATCCACCACCATGCAGTTATATCTTGGGTTCATCATATTGCTTGAACACTACACCTATGATCCAATTAAGGTTTTTCCCGGGTTCATTATCTCAGGATTTCTAGTCTATTCCCCACGTTCAGAAAAACATTTTATCTATTCAATTCACAGCAGGTCCATTTATCCCAAGTGACTTTCTGTATAATCTATTAATTAAAGTTTTACCTTAGTACATTTATCCAGATTGGGCCTTATTATTTCATACATTATCTATTCACTATTAACATTTATCCCAACTCTTCTTCATAAATTATCTATTCATTACAGTTTCAATGTTTATCTACAATTATTCCAACTTTCCCTTCTACTTCAAATGTCCCTTGTAATTCCCTTCCATATAGTCGATGTGCACAAATGCCCTTTCCACCATCGGTAAACTCTCGACCGAATACTGAAGGGCCTCGGCAATGTCGTGACAGTCTTTCAACGTCAAGTTGAACTCGTCCACGGCAAAAACCACATCGATCTCAACGTTGACATTATCCCCAACATGGTACACCTTGAGAGATGTGATTTGTTTGATCGACTCAGCAAAGCGATAAGCCAAGTAGAGAATAATCTTGTAGTCTTCCTGGCTGGCCACCGCCCCTGTTAAATTGTCTATGTGTTCGTAGGCAGTTTTGCACCAAATCACTATCACATAAATCAGCAATAGAAATGCCCCCAAAGGATCCAACCACCAGATATCGAGTAAATACCCAACGGTGGGCATGAGCAACGACACCGTGTTGAAGACAATATCGGTCAAAGCATCAAGCGCTAGTGCTTGCACAGAGCTTGAGCTGCTTTTGGCACACCATACAAAGCAAGCAAACTTGCTCAATATGGTCAACAACATAATGGCTATGGCAGCTGGGCCAATTTTGACGGCAGTTCTGTCTTCAGGTTTAGTCAAGAATAGGGCCTTGAACGATTCCTGGCCCACCTGGAAGAAGGAAATGATGATGATTACCAGAAACACCAACACTCCCAACGGCTCTAACCTCGAGCGTCCTACCGGATACGAGTGTTGCACTTTCCAGTCCTTGTCGGTGGAAAGCTTGTTGGCGATGTAAATGATGAAGGTGGACAAGAAGTCCAATACCGAGTCCACCAAGGAGGCCACCACCGACATCGACCTGGTCAACAAGCTGACGACGATTTTGCCCACCAAGAGCACGAAATTGACAAAAAAATTGACGATGATGGCCACATAAACCGCATGACTGCTTTCTTCGGCATTGTAACCCAAGAATTGGGCCCCCTCATGGTCCACGTTGCCTGGGACATCGTGGAAACGAGAGTACTTGGAGTTGGTGGAGTCCACGCTGGGACCATTGGCGAGGTCTGCAGCACCGTAGGCTTTGGGTGAGGACTCCAATTCTTCGTCCTCCTCTGTGTGGGTGGCTAATTTCGACCGCAGGTCGCCATAGTTGCTCAACATGTTGTAGTGGATACGGCCAGCGTCCAAGAAGTTGTCGATTTCCTGGAAGCGCTCGATTAGGCGGTTCTGCTCCTTGTAGTAGTTCCTGACCGGCTTGCTTCTATTCTTGGAGTCCTCTGACACGTAGAAGTCGTACCAGTGGCAGAGGTGCTTGTAGTGGCCAATCAAGCGGGATGGTCTCATGGCGTTCAACACGCTGAGCCTGCGCTGGGGGTCGTCGTCCAACGAGTAGATGCTGGCGTTCTCCACACCTGATCTTGTGCCCGGCAATGTGAACGTGCTGGAGTTGGCAATGAGGAAGGTGCTGTCGAAGGCAGGGTTGGCGTTGGTGACTGGGTAGTGGCTTCCGAGCAACTGATGGAGCAACGGTGGTTTGGGCTGGGGAGTAGCTCTGTGGAGCTCGTTTACTGACACAGAGTAGCTCCGTGCTAGGTGAGGTGTCTCAGACTGGGCTGGTCCATCGTGCCACTGGCGTGATGGCGATTGGGAAGCTGGTGGATGTCGGTAGTCAGTGGTTCCAAGAGCACCATTGCCCATACGCTTCAAGTTCCCCGAGGAGAACGACTTGCGTTTGGGAGCCGCTAGCGGGGAGTCGGGATCGCCGACTCCGCTGGGGAGGAGTGGCGTGGTGTCTGATGGCATGGAGGACGTGGAGGAGAAGAAGAGAGTAGCGTCAATTGCCGCAATATTATTCAAAGATTGTGCGCAACGGCTGCGGCTGGGTGATGTCGGAGAGTGCGGATGGGGATGAACATTCATACTGCTCCGGTGGGAAGTGACACAGGAAGTGTATTGGTATAATGTTGGTTATTTTTGGAGTCCTGACTGGCAGGGTGGTGACGACGGAGGTGGAGGTGGCGATGGTGGAATATCCGTTGCTGGTGGGACCAGATGAGAAAGATTAGTGGATAACAGAGAGCGGTCCGAGTATTTTGACAGATCGAGAAGAATAACTGAGGAATTGCCAGAAATTGATGGGTATTGCAGTAGAAATGGATAGAAATGAAGAGATATTGTGCCACCAATGGAATGGGGCACCTGGAGCCATTTGCTAAATTCTCGTGGTGGTGCTTCCTCGGTACACTAGAAGTTACCTCACCACCAATTTCCATTGGTTATCAGAACTAGAACAAGTACTGCATAATTTCTCAGGATTTGTAGCTAGTTGCTTGGTTCTTACCCAATTTTAATAATTTGCATTGGACGAACAGCGAGCCGAATTTTCATTAGAACGACGGATTTTGGCAAGCTTGCCTGCCCCTTGGATCGCTCCAAGCGGTCTGCCTTTATGTAGGTGAGGTTAACGATTAACAAATCTCTTTGTCACTAATGTGTGCTGGAGTTGGACAATGATAGTCATTCCATTTTGTTGGTGTATACTGAAACTTTGCCAGCTTAGCAGTTTTCATATTTATGCTCCCACGTAAACGCAAACAATGTTTGCTCGAAAAACTACCATCCATAATTTCTAAGCTTTCAATTAGTAGCTACTATCCGGGCACAATTTTCTAAATACTTACCGGGTAGTTTTGGGTACCTAGGGAATTCTGGGAGACAGAGTGTGCAAAAAAACGCTTGACGAACCTCTATACTATAGCCACAAAATCATCCTGTAAGTTAAAAAAGCCCAAGTATCCCACCTGTCTAGAAAGTTTGTATTCCATATTTCTCCGACCTTGAATTCTACTAACCTCAAATTCTAAGAGTAGTTTCAAAAAGGTTTTGCTGCTAACTTGGTATGATCTGTGGGTATTTCAGTTTGTAAATTATTAAGGCGAGCTCTGGAGTCACTCAGCTTCAACCACTACTCTAATGTTACATAGAATCTCTCCTTGGAATTTTTAGGTATCGATTTACTCCAGTTTAAAACTTTCACGTAAGTATAAATGCGATCTAAATTAGAATAGTCCAGAGTCCAGATTTCTTCAAGATTAAAGACACCAAATTTCCTTATTTGAGCAAAGAAGCAAATCGACGTTATGTAGCGGGTTCCAGTTATCTAAATCCTGCTTCCCAATTGAGTACTACTTCCATTTCCACTAGTCTCATCTTCTGAGACTACCTATTTCACTGTGGAAAAGTCGCTAAACACCAAAAAAAAATCACTAACTACCATAATATCTGTTGATCAAGTCTTTGCCTCGTGGTATATCTACATTGAACCGGTACTCCCGTTCCTTTACTCTTTCTAATAATTCTCCACCAATATACCTCCCAGCGTTCTAGCCCAAAAGCCGCGCCAGACCCTAATTACCCGGACATCATCGCAAAATTTTCTATATAAGCCAACGCTTCCCACCAATTGCACTCGACTTTTGAGTGTGTCTATTTGAACTAGAAGGAAAGCTCCACTTTGGTTGGAATCGCAGGAATCCTTTTTTTAGTGGTGCCAATGCACCACGAATGAAAGGAGGTCGCGTTTGCTCACTGTTTGGCAGCAGACCTGATGGAAACAACACCACCAGTGTTTAAAGTATGTGCCTTTAAATGCTACTAAATGATGAATTGTTACACAAACATTCTGTCCCGGTGAACCCTGAGCCATGGATAAAACATGCATCACCATCTGACCAATAGCATTCCTTCTGGTTGATCCGTACTAACAGTTAGATGAGACATGATGGCTCGATGTGATCTCCTGAAGATTTTCAATAGAATCTCGGGGAGTGTCTCTTCTCGGAGACTTAGGAGATTTATGGGAGACCGTCTCGATACTCTGTCTTTCTCGAAAGCCACTAGTGATTAAATGATGAAAAACCTACTTTTCAGTTCTGCTTCTGAACCAAAAATTCCTGAAGATAACCTTTACCAAGCTCAATTTTCTGACAATCATTTAGTGACTTTCGTGTGGACAAAGTGAGACGATGGTGCCCGTCCCTGTATTGTAGCTCTTGTAACGTTTTCACTGCTTCAATTGCTACATTTTAGTGGTGTTCATGGAGGTGTTATTATGCCTATAACAACCACTCTCTGTTGCATCTGTACTTGTCTTTTATTTGGCTTTACTGCTATCGTCTCCTATTCTTTGGCTCTACATCGGCATATGAACTTTTAAATTCTCTAAACATTGAAAATAACAACCTTTCCGTCGATTCCTGAGGTGCTGACCTGGGAGTTGGAAAACAACTTGATGCTGGAGATGGTGTTCTGGTGAATCGTGCTCAAGGCCTTGTTAGCACCGGTGCTTGGCTTGTTGACTCTACCCTTCAAGTCCATCTGTTTGAACATGTTCAAGGCCTGGTGTGACGAGATCTCTTCGTCGTCGTCCTGGTTTTCAGGAACGTCCTTGATCAAGTCCTTTTGCGACTCGATCTTGTAGGACTCTTGCCAGTTGTGCTCGTCGCCTTCGAACACAATCAAGTTGCAGTTGTGGCCACCAACAACGATCTTGGAGTTGGTTAAGAAAACCAAGCTCTTGAGCGATAAGTAGCTGGTTCTGACGTTGAGAATGGCTTTTGGAGGCAACCCTTCGCCTTCTGGGTACACGATTCCGAGCGAAGCGTCGTGGGAAACGAACCCTAACGAGTTTCCGTCAGGGCTGAAAGCAACGTCGTGAATCCATGCCCCTGTTTCGTTGATGAAGTCTCCACACAACGTTTGGAAGGGCAACTTGGAGCCCCACACCGTGGGCTCTGGCTTGGCGTCCAAGCCCTTGATGTAGGCACTGAACACACGGGCATGGCCATCAGTGGAGCCTGCAGCCAATAACACATTGTTGGGGTGCCAGCTCAAACTGGTGATAGTTGACTTCAATGGTTTCTTCAAGTGCTTGGAGACCCACCAGTCGTTTTCGGCTTCGTAGTAGCACACAGCGATAATTCTGTCGGAAGAACCCACGGCAAACTTGGTGCCATCTGGCGACCACTTGCACACGGTGGCAGCACGGTTGATTCTCAACAACACCAAGGTGGGCTTGTACTCGCTGGAGGCATGGTCATATTCCCAAACCAAGGCATTTCTGTCCTGAGAACAAGTCAAGATTTTGGCTCCATCAGGCGAGATATCCACCGAGGTGACAGTCTTGTCGTGGCCCTTCAAGGTGGTGAACAACTTGGGCTTCTGGGCCAAGTTGCTGGAAGTCTGGTAGATCTCCACGGTGTTAGCTTTGGTGATGGCCATCAATGCTCTGTCCGGAGAGAAGACATGGTCCTTGATGGGCTCGTGGCCCAATTGGTAGATGTGGGGGTTGGACATGGTGATGGATGGCAGTACCAGGAGTCGACTCTACTGATAGTGGTGGATAGAGGATTTGGAGGCGATTTATGGGTGGTGGGTGAGAGAGGTAATATGCAGGACGCACATAGGAGTATAGAGGCATTCTTCAAATAATTTATGGAGTGAATACGCAGGATATTGATTCTTGCGGGTGCCATTAATGGGATAAAATCTGTTATTGGTGACTTCAGGCTGGATAATGTCTTGTTTTCCAGAGTGATCGTAGGTGCTGGAGCTGTATGGATGTGTCTACTTCAGATATTCCATGGTAAAGAAAGCTCTAGATGCGTAGCATCGTTATTCTACTATTACCTGGCTACGTCGATTTATCGCAATTATTGTAGTATCAATCGTAACTCTATACGTTCACAATACTGGTCCTAGCATTTTTATTATTGGTCCTAGAATAGTTAAAATCTGCTTATTGGTTAAAATTTCACCTTATTGCCTCATATTTTGCCTGAGATTGGGGCCATAAAGCGGCTTACCGTTTTCACCGCAGTTTAGTGAGCCCCAAACCAGCTAGTGCAAATATTGCAGGCATAAATGGTAACAATACTTGTATTAATTCTTTACAAGGAGCCATGGGGGATCTCTAGGATCTAACAGACTATGTCCCCACAAGAAAATGGAACAGCTCCGGTAGTGGTGATGAAACCTGTTTGCCCTGTTGCGTAGGCGGTTTGTCTACACACCACCCGAAATTGCTGCACTGGCATTAAATAAAGTACATATTGTTGAACAATACTTTTACCTATTTGGCGATGTGAAGGCGTATCGCTACTGGGCCCAATTGCTACGGTAATGACTGACATTGATATCTAATAAAACAATAGGTGAAACGCATGACTCGAGAAACAGGTGCTTCGTTCTTTGGTCAGGGCCAGGTGCTATGGAAAGCCGATACAGTCTGAAATTGCTGAAGTTAAATAGTCCGGAAAATGATAAATTCGAAAATCTTTGGACTGTCTGAACATGTTAACTACCGTTAAATTGCACAAATCTGCTCTGGCTGTCCTTTCAGATGCCTTCTCGTGTTTAGGACAAACTGTCGTTCTGCTTGTGGTCCAAAAACTCCTTTGCCTTGGACCAGGCCTTCTTGACCTTGGGGTTCTTGACCCCCTCCACCTTGCCGTCCAATCTGGCCACGATGGCACGGAACAAGTTGCCTGTCTCCTTGTTGTAGAGAATTCTCAACCAGTAGAAGATCAAAAACAACGACAACTGGTACCCAGAAGTGTTTCTGAAGAGCAAGGTCCGCACCGCCAAGTACACAATGAGGAACAACTCGTTGTAGGCGATGAACGACGCCAAAAAGTCCGCCTGGCTGAGCACAGGCTTGATCTCCTTGTAGGTGGCCAACTGCAAGAGCGAAATGAGGTAGAATGGAAGGAACTTGGTGATAGATCTGAAGGTGAGCAACCACATGGTGGCCAACACGAGGTACTGGAAGTTCTGCTGGGCGATCAAAGTGGTGGAAGGTGGTAAGAAACGCAACCCGAACTTGTGGGAAAACGTCGCTGTCAAAGCCACCATCGATCCCAATAACGATAACCGGTAACTAATCAGTCCCACGTAGTACCGGTTGTACCTGGCGAGTTTGAGCGCAATGAAGAGTGTTCCGAACACCAAGGTGATGATGTGGCCACTGATCCACGCCTTGAACTTGAGAGGGTTGGTGCCTGGGTTGGCTTTGATAAGACGCTTCTTACGTTGTTCGGGACGGACCGTCTCGTTAGTGACGCTGGTGGCAGTTTGAGCCGCTTTTTGTTGGGACTGGGCAGCTGCACCGGCGCCAGTATGTCCGTTGGGAACAGTCTGGGTCTGGGACATCGTGGTTTGTTGGAGCAATTGGTGAAGCAATTGGTGGTTGGAGAAAGCAACTGCGTACCTGAAATTGTCATTCACGCGTCACGTGCGTGGATCGTGTAGTGAAACGGAGTGATAAAGTTAGCTTGGAGTGGTGACGTGTACTCGGCTGGCTGGTGCTGGCTGGCACCAAGCTTGTCTCGTCCGCTTGGGGTGTTCTTCCTCTCCCTTGGAGGTGTTCTCCCACTCTGAACTTTTCGTCTCAGTTTATTTTTACTAATTGGAACTGGATTTTGTAAGCAGCTGCTAAATTGTATGTACATATCCAGTAAATATTGAGAAACTGCCCCTTCGAGCTCATCTGTTTGAAGCTTGTTTTCACAATTCAAGTAAAACTACATTCTTATGGGGACTTATCAGTAAAACATATATTGTAAGTCGTTTCTGGCCTATATCGGCTGTTTTTGGCCGGAAAAACCCACATAGCGTAATCTAATCTTCCATCGGTCTACCTGCCTGCTCTCGTGCCCATTTGGTGCCAATTACCCACACATAGCCTGTGTCTGTACATCTTTCCCTCTGACCCTCTGTTCCTGCATACACGCCTATATCAAGCATGTTTCCGCGATATGAACGCGACAGTAAACACCATGCCAGAACCTTCAGACACAGACTACACCAGTAACGGCCTCTTGACGCCGCTCGAGGCACAGGTGCTCGCGCAGTACCGCCTCTTGGCCAAACAGCTCACAGAACTCTCGCTCGAAATCCAGCAATTGACCAATAAACGGGCCCAATCCGACTCCCAGGCCAACGGTGGCTCTGCCCACCAATTGTCGGAGAACATGAGGAACTTGGAGATGAAGATAGGATTGATCCACACCTTGTTCAAGGGAGCTGTGTACACGTTGTTTTTGGAGCAGGATGGGAGTTCTGAGAACAAGTGAAGTAAAAGTACGATGAGTGGTACTGATACAAACAGAAGGCAACGGAATGGCAATACGTGACTGTTAGTCGCTCTTTTGGATTTACATGGACAGCATGATGTTGGACTGGTCCTCTGCATTTACGGGGCATAAGCACGCCCAGAGGGAGCTACAGATCGCTAGATGGAGCTGAACGTTACCAGCTGGAGCTGAAAATTGGTCTTGCCGAATTAACGAAATGGAGGGAAAGAGCCCTGAAGTTCGAACCCCGGAGCCTGGTTTAAATATTGGCCTACTTGAGAAATCAGCCAAATGACCACTTATCTGGCCATCCCTTCCATATCAAATAATCGGTAGTTATTTTCTAGACTGTGGTTTGGTCACATTGAGTTCCAGTGAGGCTTGGATCAAGGAGATGGATTTCAATATTAGTATCTGACGATCAAGCACGATAGTCACTATTGCTATGCTGCTAGATCCATACGATGGAATACTACATTGAACTAATTATGGCTACACGTAGCTGGAACAACCCCTTCAATGCGGTGAAATTCTCGTTGGTTTTCGGATCAAAGGTTCAATCCAGGGCTGTTTGGTCACCTGCATCATACCTCCCGTCGCTCTTAGCTGCCCTACCATCTACAGTGCCAGCTCTGTCTGGTTGTTTCCATCGCATCACCCCACCACTCACGTGCCGCCTCGCGCCTAATTTTGTAATATGTTGACGGAGTCAAATTTCATTCTATATAAGGCGACTGCCCACCCCCAACTTGGCGTCTTTCTCGGCATAAGTCTCCTGATTCTAGACCCCAGCCAACCATTGGTCCCGTCCTCCACATCGCCCCACATTTGCCCATCCCCAGCCAGTTTGCTCCAAAATAGTTGACTCTAGCATTATCGGCCACGTGACAGCGATCTCCATAAAACCAGCAAAAACCGCACCATCTCCATTCCAATTCCAACCATAAACCGTCCATTATGAGTGAATACGACAAATACTCCACCCCATTATCCTCCAGATATGCCTCTGCTGAGATGTCCCAGATCTTCTCCCTCAGGAATAGATTTTCTACCTGGAGAAAATTGTGGTTGAACTTGGCCATTGCTGAAAAGGAAGTTGGGCTTGATGTCATCACTGACGAAGCCATTGAACAGATGAAGAAGCACCTCGAAATCACCGACGAGGAGATCGAGGCTGCCTCCAAGGAGGAAGCCATCGTCAGACACGATGTCATGGCTCACGTCCACGTTTTTGGTAAGACTTGTCCTGAAGCTGCTCCTATAATCCACTTGGGTGCAACTTCTTGTTACGTTACTGACAACGCTGACTTGATCTTCTTGAGAGACGCGTACGACGTGATCATCCCCAAGTTGGTCAATGTCATCGACAGATTGAGCAAGTTCGCCTTGGAGTACAAGGACTTGCCAGTGTTGGGATGGACCCACTTCCAGCCAGCCCAATTGACCACTGTTGGTAAGAGAGCCACCTTGTGGATCCAGGAATTGTTGTGGGACTTGAGAAACTTCGTTAGAGCCAGAAACGACCTTGGTTTGAGAGGTGTCAAGGGTACTACCGGTACTCAAGGTTCCTTCTTGTCCTTGTTCCACGGTGACCACGACAAGGTCGAGGCTTTGGACAAGAGAGTGGTTGAATTGCTTGGATTCGAACACGTCTACCCTGTCACTGGCCAAACCTACTCCAGAAAGATCGATATCGACGTCTTGTCCCCATTGGCCTCCTTGGGTGCCACTGCCCACAAGTTCGCTACTGACATCAGATTGTTGGCCAACTTGAAGGAAGTGGAAGAACCATTTGAAAAGTCTCAAATCGGATCCTCTGCCATGGCCTACAAGAGAAACCCAATGAGATGTGAAAGAGTGTGTTCTTTGTCCAGACACTTGGGTGGTTTGTTGAGCGATGCCATCCAAACTGCTTCCGTGCAATGGTTCGAGAGAACCTTGGATGACTCTGCCATCAGAAGAATCTCCATTCCATCGGCATTCTTGACTGCCGACATCTTGTTGAGCACCTTGTTGAACATCACCAGTGGATTGGTTGTGTATCCAAAGGTTATTGAAAGAAGAATTGCTTCCGAATTGCCATTCATGGCCACCGAAAACATCATCATGGCTATGGTCGAGAAGGGTGGTTCCAGACAAGATTGTCACGAAGAGATCAGAGTGTTGTCTCACCAAGCCAGTGCTGTTGTCAAGCAAGAAGGTGGTGATAACGATTTGATTGAAAGAGTCAAGAACACCGAGTACTTCAGACCAATCTGGAACGACTTGGACAAGTTGTTGGATCCATCCACCTTCGTTGGCAGAGCTCCTCAACAAACTGAGAAGTTCGTCAACAACGATGTTGCTAAGGCTTTGGAGCCATTCAAGGAGCACATCCACCGTGAAAACGTTTCATTGAGTGTTTAGGGAAAAAAAAAATAATATAGCTCAGGTAATGGCTCGTAGTTAAGAGTAGAGAAGCAGATTGGAGCCCCTTGTCATTGATGATACCCTCGAAATTGAATTAATTGGCATGATTCCTCTCTAGTAATCATTAAAAGTGAACGTGCTTAAATGTGGGAAAGTCGATAAATTAGATTGGACATTTCGGAGCAAATTAACACCTTGTTGGAGGCTACTCGTACCTGTTGGTGCTTAATTAGGTTTGGTCTATTGTGCTATTCAACTTTAGAAGTGCTCTGCATCTATTAATTAATATTATTGTGAACTTCCAAAAGTTCCGTTTTGATTCTGAAAGTTGAAACTTTGGCATTCAAGTCATGGAAAGTAGTTTTGATGGACAGTCAGCCTATAAATCTGCCCTATCTGGTAAAATATCTACCTCTAATTATAATTATATCCTGAATTTTCAATGATTACTATCAACTACCACTGCCTACAAGTCTCTTATTTAAACGGAATCTCTTGTTAGTTCCGATTCTGATGTTCCCATTCATGATTTTTGCATCTTGCACAAATTGACAACTTGTAGGCTAGAGCACAAAAAATGACTGAATATCTTCAATATAGCCCTGATTAGCCTTGCTCTCTACAATATTCTCACGTATCGTATACTACCTATCACCAATAAAAAAATAGTAGTAAAGCCCGAGCGAAGCTCGAGTTATCACTAGTCCAAATTGAAAAATTGAAAAAACTGAAAAACTCTATAACACCAAGTTCGTAACATCGTCAAAAGGTTTAATCTGGCCTGTTGTTCCCATTTGGGCGAGGAATAACCCGCAGTGGGCCCTTGGGCAACTTAAAGTTGTTGGAATCCAGGGATTCCTCGGAGCGCTGGGCGAACGGGACTGGCAGAATGGCACTGCCCTTCACCGGCACTAACACGGGTGGGGGTGCTGTTATACTGGCGAGCAATCTGGGAGAGTTCGTATGTGAAGCGGGAGGAGCTGCCGGGGAAAAAGTTGAAGCTAGACGGGAAACAGTTCCCTCAGGCCACAAGTGCTCGTTTGTGGGGAGTGGCAACGAGTGCTGAAGCGGGAAGTAGGGGGCCCTTGTGTACACCTGGGGGTTGGAGGTGTAGTAAAAAGCCGGGAGGGTTGGGGGCTGGAATTTGGGTTTCTTTGCGGCAGTTGCAGGTGCGGCCTGGGGAAGAGTGCGTTTGGGTGCAAAATTCACCAGTTCTGACAGCACCATTTCGGGACGGGCAATTGCTGGTGGTACGACTGCCACTTCTGGCGCTTGTGGCTCTGCCTTCACCTGTTCCTGTTCGTATTGCTGGGACTGCGCAAGCAAGCTCTTGTACTCCCGCACAATGTGGCCGTATGGGAAGGTCACAAACACGTCGCGCGGCATGCCTGTAGTGGCTGGCGCCGTCAAGCAGGCCTCATCTTCGTCGTCGTTGAGCTCAACAATGCCGTTGAGCAAATCGCGCTCGAACATACGCTCGTCGGTGTACAACACACAGTTGACCTTCTGGGGGATCAAGTAGATCTTCATGTCGCTCTTGTAGCGCGGCCTGGCCACAATCTTCTTGATGAAGAGGTTCAGCGGAACGCTTCCACGCGTGCCGAGCAGGTAGACCATCTCGTCCATGAAATTGGCGTCGTCGATCAACCGCACGTCACCGCTATGCGCGGTTTCGAGCTTGAGCACCACCAGGCCGTCGGCGTCGTCGGTGGTGGAGCGAGTGACCCGGATGATCGAGTAGTCCCGGATGCCAAAGAGGGTGTGGATGGCGGTATCCAACGAGTTGAACGTGGTCAAGAACGGCTCGGGGCGTGCGCCTGGCGTCTCCAGGGCAGGCGCTGCCGAACTCACGAGGTTGAACGTCTGGAGGATCTTGTTGGAGAACCCCGAGAGGTCCACGAGGTTGTTGTCGATGAGCTTGACGCTCTTGGACACAATGGCCTTTTTTGCACCTGAGTGTGCATGGCCTCCGCGCAACCCTTCGTAGGCCTCAGCCAGGGTATTGCGGTAGATCGACAAGATCTCCTTCTTGTTGGTGAAGGGGATGAGCGAGTGGTAGAGGCTCAAGAGGTTGGTTGCAAGCGACAACTTGACCTTGAGGCCTGCCTCCAACGACTTGACGTGGAGCTTCGAGTTGGCGCCGCGGGGCGGGTGCGGCAGTTCAGCTAACGGCTTCTTGGAGTGCGACTTTCTGCGGATGGCGAGCTTGACAAACTTCCTTTGTGCGAGCAAGCGGGAGTTGATGCGCGACCTGGGCGGCAAATGGTCGGGAGCATGAAGGAGATGGGAGGACGGTGTGGAGGCCGTCGTGGGAGTGAGGCTGGCAGAGCTCGTGCTGGACGTTGGCGTGGTGGAGCTTGTGGACGAACTTGTACTGGCGGCGGACGAACTGGCAGACGAAAACACTGACGGAGTGGACGACGATGACGCCAGCGACGACGACGACGCCAGACGGTAGAGCGGGTCTGTGGCTGGCAACCGGTTTCTGCGGTCACGGACCTCTGGGCCTTCTGGGCCGTTGAGGATGTCGGCAATGCCAATCATCCGGTCGTTGTGTGTGAGCGGCTAGTGCTGTCTGGCAGCAGCTGCGGGTATGGGCAGAGGCCTGGCGGCTCCGGAATTGGAGGGGTGGGTGCAAGGACAGACACAACTATGAGCAGATGGGCAGACGGAGCAGGATTCACGGGAGCTGATGGTAACGTGGAAAGAGCTGAGCGCAGGGAACGGTTTGGTGGTGTAAAGAACGGCAAATGATAAATGGTAAATGATAAATGATGCCAGACAAATAGCAGGACCATCAAAAATTTAGTGTCTCACATTTCTGCGGGAGCCCCGATGTCTCACTTTTTGTGTTTGTTGTTGTTTGACAGAGGCGAAGTGTCTGGAAGAAAACGGGGAAAGGGGGGTGGTTACGGGCGAGCGGTCGACGGAAACAGGCTTAATTTGGCTGATTCTTGATGGTGGGGGCGGGTCTGATGGAAGAAGACTCCGGGGGTCCCGGAAGGGAGGCCATATCTCGAGGGGGACTGGGTGCAATGGGTCTCCAGCCACAATTTGTTCTAGTGGGGACATAATTGTCTGCGTGAGCATCGGGCAGCGCTCGCAACCAAAGAAATATTGTCAAAGCGAATCCCCGTGACCGCAGATGTCTCAGAGTTGCTACCCATTTACGATCTGCGGCATGCCGCATATCCCTTATTCTCCAATAAGGTGATATTATTAGTGTCTGATCCGTGTGCTTAGAGGTGCGTCGACAGCGAAAGCCTCGCAAATCCACGAAACACCCATATGGTGATCCTAGTACTGGCAACAACTGCAATCGTCTAGTTTCCTTCCCTCTCTGCTGTCTCTTACACCGCCATGAAGGTCACGGTCACTCCCTGGAATTGTCTGACTGAGCTCAGAACACCGGCCATATGCACGCCATCTGCGGACATCCAATTCCTAGCAAGTCGTGCATAGCAACCATGGTCGAAGACCATCAATCGGGACAATCAAGTTTGGTCCGCCCCCATTCGGGCCAAATGTCCGCATATGCGATATCCAGCGACCCGGACCCGAATGCCGAATTGTCCCAATCCGGGGATGTCTGCAGTACTCATCGCTTGGATTCGTGGACGCCCCTGGCTGGCGATGTCGTATCAGCGCCATTGGTGTGTTTTGAAGCCAAAGGACCAATACTAGATCGGCAGGCATTGCAGGCACTCGTGTGGCTTGTGCTTGCAGCCTGTCTACATCCAAACCAATCGCGGTGACGTAATGTGGCTAGGAAATGCATGGAACCTCGTCATAAGGTACAAAAATCTTCAGCACTTTTTGTACAATTTCAGTTCGCTTGGTCTGCATTTGTCAGGAACGAAAACTGCGACAAGCGATTCCGACAGTGTCTGTATGTAACGGCACTAAAACTGTAGCAATACACTGTAATGAAGTGACGGGGTATAATGACGATATGTAGGCGTATCAATGGCTGGAATAGGAAAATGCCGTTCGCAAAAGACAATTCTTTAAAGCACCCCAATGTCGTTTACGGACAGTGGTGGCAAAATGAGTGGTTGGCTGATGGAAGAGATTATTAAAAGGGCCATAAATTACTGGATAGGTCTGGTCGGAAGCTTCTATGCGTTACCAGAAAACGACATGAATTGAATGAGAAGTATTGCGTACGAGATCGTGCCATTTTGCTCGTGTTGGCGAATTCACAACTACTCAATAAATTACCTCGAGACGAATGCTAACTGCTCTGACAAGCCGTCTTCCTATAGCTGAGAGCTCGTCAAAAGGCTGGTTGGATAGATGTCGTACGAGAATTTACAAAAGAAATAGCGGATCAAGTAGCATAACCACTAAATTTTATAAACCTAAATATTTTAGAACTGGGATCGAAGTGCGTACGTGTGAAGCTGGACAGTATTGTTCAGTATCAACATGGACTGGTCATGGTGTGATGTTATCCTGATGTAATATTATTGATACACATTAATAATAGCTTGCGAAGTAGTTGAGGGTGCTACTACACGGAGTAGTGAAGTATTGCTATTGGAGCCAAGAAGGTGTCATTTTGCTCGTATTGTTCTGCCCGGATCCACGCTTGGGCACTCAATAGTGATATAAGAAAAAATCATTGGTCTTACTATTAGGATCTTATGACTAGATATTGAATATACACCAATTTCACCTTGGGAATTCGATCAAATATTGTTGTATTCAGAAAAGATTCCGAGCATTGAAATATCACCAACTCATGTTGGCAATTTAGTCAAACATTGAGGTATTCAAATGGTACACATTATAGTTCATTAATAAATATTTAGCACCTATGCAATTGGTTCATTACCCTCTCGTTGGTTTTCCTGGAGCAAATCATTATTATAAGCATTTTGGAGTAATATCTACCCGATTAGAAGCATACCCAGTTGATTTTTGCTTCTAATTCCTCTTTACTATATTTAAAATACCACAAATATTCATTCAGCATGAATATTGTTAAAGGAACATAAATATGATATTGTATTTCTACCTGGTATTCCATCTCCATTACACATACACAGGTCACAGTAAATCTGCTGCAATCCTAATTCGCCCCTCTACAGCCAATGGACTCCCTTCTCTACACATTTCAATGGTATTATTCTATTTTGCGATTACATTAACAATATTATTATTCATTCAGAAATTCGACCCTTGGTTGAAGTTTCTGTCTCTCACTCCCAATTCACCACTCAAGAAATCGTCACTGCTGACTTTCTCGTTCTTTCTCCAGAAGGTCCAGCCACCGTTGTCGTACTGTCTGTTGGATCTCTTCTTTAAGTAGAACAAAACTGCAACAATACCGATAAGAATCGAGCCACCGACTCCGACAACAACACCAACCACGATCTTGTTGGTGCTGGACAAGCCACCACTGTCGCTGGTTCTGTTGACGTCTGAGGCTGCGGAAGGCGACGCAGAGTTGGAAATAATGGCAGTACTGGTGACAATCACGGTTCTGCCGTTATCAACCGAGGAATAAGTGGTCACTGAGTGGGAGGTTGCAGAAGCAGAACTGGTCTGTCTGGTACTGGAGGAGGAAGATGACGACGACGACTCTTCGGAGGACGTGGAGGAAGCCTCGAAGGAAGACGAGGTGGTGGATGGTGCAACTGACAGCTCTCTGGTTCTGCTTGGGCTGGCGGAGGACGAAGATGAGGACGAGGACGAGGAGGTGGACGAGTCGCTCAGGCTGGAGGACTCGGAGAACCTGGAAAAGGACTCTCTGGCGGACTCTCTGTCGGACCCTCTGGACTCGAAGTCGAAAGAGGAACTGGAAGAACTGAAGGAGGAGAACGACGACGACGAGGACGACGACGAGGACGACGAGGGGGTGGTGGTGATCGAGTCGGAGCCGAAACCGCCGTTGTTCCCGTTGTTACCGTTGTTACCCCCGTTATTCCCATTATTTCCGTTGAAGAAACTGGTGGTTTGCGTCGAAGTGTTGGTGGAGCTGTCGCCATCGGCACGCTTGTCCAAGGAGGTGCTGGCAGCCATGGACGTCACGGACGTGTGGCTCAAAGCGATCGGATCGAAGTGGTTGGCCAACAACTCGAGCAAAGATGGCGCTTCTTGCGATTGTTCGACCTCAACCACCTCGTTCTCGTCCACCTCCACCACGGCGATCTCCATACTACCCTCACCCTGATGGTGGTGGTGGGGACAAGGCATTCTCAAGTCGATGTCCATGTGGTTCAACGCCACCAAGCCTGACATCACAAGCACCAACGCAAACGCAAGACACCCGATGGTGGCCTTTCTGAGTCTGTCGCCAGTGGAAGACGACACAGTGACAACTTGGCCCTGTTGGACATCGACGTCTGATGGGCCGGAAGAGTGTTTCTTCTCGTCCAAGAGGCCCTGCTTCTCGTACTCGTGGTCGCTAGGCTCTGGCATTACGTCCTGGGGTGGATTTGGTTCCATCGTAAACGAGTGAAGATGGTGAGATTAGTGACGATGGATAAAAAACAAGTATTTAGTGAGCACAAAATTACACGAAGGAGGTGGAAAAAATGGTGTGGTGGGAAGCGTGACAATAGGCCAAAAATAGGCGAGTGCGAGATTGGCAGTGGGAATGTTAGTGAAGGTCTAGAATGGGTGGGGAGGCGGGCCAGCTGGAGCAGGCGGGACGGGGGCGTAGTGAGGAGCGTAGTGAGGAGCGTAGTGAGGAGTCACTCCGGAAAACGGCAGGGGCGGAGCAGCAGCGGAAGACCGCGACAGGAATGCTCTTCGCGGAGGGGGTGCAATGCAGGCACAGGTGATGTGAAACGGCTGCCGTTGTGCAGTCACGTGACACTAATCACGTGATCGGCCCCACCCGGTGGTCGGCTGTGCAACATCACGATAGGCTACGAGAGTAATAGGCGGAGAAAGTGGTGGAGATGGATGCAACGAGTACTCGTTCACATCACAACTGTCGGGCAATTGTTCGGTTGGTTACCGAGTTCAGAAATTGCACTTGCGATGTTTGCCGGGCCAATTCGTTCAGGAATCAGGTCAGAATTTGCGGCACTCATAATTCGAGATGTTTCCCATCATCTATCGGGAACACGATCCTGTCATCTCCGTGGACAGATTCTTCTTGCGTGGTCCCCTGCCAGATAAAAGGTCACGTGATCAACTAGCATCGGTATCGATACTTCCCCGATGTTTGCCTTCGGTCCCAAATGAAGTTGAAGCCGGGGATACTGCTTCCCCATGGGTGACGTAGGTACTGGGCGAAGCGAGAATGACGAGTCAGGCACACGTGACTACAACTCTGTCCCGCTAGTGGGTGTTAGTCAGCAATCTGGTCACGTGACTACTGGTTTGTCAGCGGGGGACTGGTCATTCTGTCCTCGGTTTTCCGGATATTCACTTTTATTGGCTGTATTGTCACGTGTATATTCCGGTGTCACCTCTTTCCTACCCCGGTTCTCGAGCCTTCCAGAACCTTCGCCACGGCTGCAAAACATCCCGAACCTTCCTTGCCTTCCACCGTCATCACCGGCTGCAAACTTCCAGAACCTTCCGAGTGGCCAAGGCCTACCGTATATAAACACCTGCCATGGCATTCCTTCTCTTCTCCATTCCAAGAACAATCAATACATCCCAACAATGTTCGCTTACCACCATCAACCATCATTCTCCTCCCTCCTTGGCTACTTAGAGGAGCAACAGTCTAGAGAAAGATACGTCCAGGCCCAAAGAGAAGCTGCTGCTGCTGCTATAGCTGCCGCAGCCAAGAGCCCTAAGATCATCAAGAAGGTTGAAACCGAAGACGCCTACCAGATCCAGATCTTCAAGAGTTCTGGTGACTTCAACAGCTACGAAGTCAAGGCAGTCAAGCCTCGTTCTCCTGGTGGCTACGACTTAGGTTTAGTCAACTTGGTCATCGAATCTGCTCCTGAAAATTTCAAGAAGGTGTTCCAGTTCAACTTGGAGGACATCAAGTTGTCTGACATCGACTGGGAGTGGTATCGTGCTGAAAACGTTTTAGTCTTGAACATCCCAAAGAAGATCAAGGTCTGCCACGATGCTGAAACTCTTGCTGCTTTGTTCGGCTTGCATTTGAACCCATACAGCTTACAACCTTCCAGAGGCTGTGAGCAACAGGCTGAAGCTGCTAGAAGAGAGCAAGAAAGAGCTGAAGCCGCTAGAAGAGAGCAAGAAAGAGCTGAAGCCGCTCGAAGAGAGCAAGAAAGAGCTGAAGCCGCTAGAAGAGAGCAAGAAAGAGCCGAAGCACAAAGAGAGGCTGCTAGAAGAGAAGCTGCTAGAAGAGAAGCCGAAAGATTGGCAGCCGAAGCTGAAAGAAAGGCTGAAGCTGAAAGAAAAGCAAGAAGAATTGCCGAAGAAAGAGCCAGAAGAGAAGCTGAAATCAAAGCCAGAAAGGCAAGAGAAGCTCAAGAAAACGCCAGAAAGGAAGCAGAGTTGAAATCTAAGCAGGCCAGAGAGGAGGCCCAGAAGAAGGCAGAAGAAACCCGCGAAGAGAGAAGGAAAGAGTACGAAGAAATCGCAAGAAAGCAACAAGAATTCATCCAAGATATCTTTTCTCAGATGTTTGGAGTACCTTACCAATACCAATCTAGCGAATCCCGCCAGGCCACCCCTGAACCTGAAGCCAAACCAGAAAATAACCAATCTGAACCAACTGTGCATTTCCAATCTGAATTGAGATCCAGCGCTGATGGCGATGACAGATCTGACCATTCGGACTCTGAGTCTATCTCCTCCGAGCCAGAAACTGCTGCCAGCACCCCAGTCTCTAGTCCCGCTCCTGCTCCTGTTGAAAAGAAGAGAACCTTGTTGCTGAAGGTTCCATCGATGGAAGAGGTCGAGGATGAAGAGTTTGTGATTTTTAGAAAGAAGTTCAACCAATAAGCATTTAATACCACTAATTCCACTTATATAGAGCATGTTACTAATGAATAAAACGATACATTAAGATATAACATCGAATCGTAGATTCAATGCATTGACACTAGAATTCTGCTCTGTTCCTTTACAAACAGATATTGCAACCTACACTTCCCTTTGCGACGGATTCCAACATCTAATAGTATGTATAGTGAAAATCCTATGGAGGGAAACCTTTCAGATATCAACCATGTTGTTCCTGATAATTAGTTCAACCTGTAGCGCCCCATGAACTGCTATTTCTTCTACTGCCACTCTTGAAGTATGCCCGTTTTTATTACACAAGGTTGAAATCGTAAGAAACCAGAATTGTGAAGTTTGATATTGTCAATTTTCACAAAAAAATGGAAATTATGTAAAATAATCCACTAGCATACCTAGTCTTAAAATAGTTGCAATTGTCCACTAGTATCTGGTTTTCTTTGTTTCAGGAAAGTCAGAAGCAGAATTGGCCTCCAGTTAGTATTTCCTCTATGCATTGGTCTTCTCGAGATAAATCTCAAATTGTACTAATATTACTCAATCTACTTCTTAACTTGGTTAAAATCCATAAATGGTAGCTACTTCTCGTCCCTCTCCCACTCCTCTCCCACTCCGCTCCCGCTCCCACTTGCCCCTCTTGCAAATCATTGCTCTCATATATAATGTCCTGCACCCGCCAGATCGCACCAGTCATATCCACATTTTGCTGCCAGAATCTCGCCATTGCTACACCATGTCCGTCAAGTCAATCGCTGTGTTTGGGGGCAATGGGTTCCTAGGAAGAAAGATCTGTGAAGTGGGAGTCCGTCTAGGCTACAACGTCACTGCGTTTTCGCGCTCAGGCAAGCCTCCTTCCAATTTGCCGCCCATCAACGTGCCTTGGATCAACAAGGTGAAATGGGAAGCGGCCGATCTCCTCGACCCTTCTTCGTACTCGTCCAAGTTGTCTCAGTATGACAGCGTGGTGCATTCGGTGGGAATGCTCTTCGAGAACCAGTCGTACAAGAAGGTGGCCAACTCCAACTTCAATGCGTTGCGAGACGCCCAGAACTTGGCCAACTCCTTGAAGGGATCGAATCCCATGGCCAAGGACAGCAAGCTCACATTCGAAGCAATCCAGCGGGACTCAGCCGTGCTCTTGGCTGATGCATTCCTCGAGGCAAAGGGCCCTGGTCTGGAGCCGGCATTCGTGTATATCTCTGCCAGCCAGAAGCCACCGTTCGTACCCGAGAGATACTTGACCACCAAGAGAGAAGCCGAGTTTGAGTTGGCGTGCAAGGAGGGCTTGCGAGTCATTGCTATGAGGTGTTCCTTCATGACAGAGGAGCACAGCGGACCCAACCCACGCTCGGTTTTGGGCGGTTTGGTGCTGTTGGGACATTCTGTCAAGCAGAACACGATCGGCGACAGCCTTTCCTACGTCAATAATTTGATAAGACCGCCAGTATCGACAGAACAGGTGGCCAGAACCCTCTACGAGAAGTTGGAGAGTGGGTACAGCGGTATAGTCAGGGACGAAGAAATCGCAAAAAAATAGCTCAAACACCCGAGGGAAGAGTCTTGTATAAAGAATGAACAATTGGTCGGCAGAATTGGCTGTGAGTCTGAGAAGAATATAAGTTTCTATGATTGTGTCCTTAGACTTCTAAAGTTTAAAAACAAAAGGAACTTTGCTCTATAATGGAAATTTTTAGAAGTCCTCAAGAATCTCAGAAAGCTATGATGGTTTTGGTGATTTAAGCCCCGATCCTTCCGATCCAGAGCAGTATATAATATTAAATTGAACACAAATAAATTTGTTACTTTACTAGGCATTTCCAGCGCTTACATAGACTTGGTGTATGTAAATAATTCACAATACAGTGGGTTTAATGTTCGAATTAATTGTCAACGGTTAAGCGCTGAAGAGTAAGTTTAGAAAATTCAACGATTAGCTGATAATCATTAATAAGACATTCAAACCAAGATAACAGCTTATTTCCATTTATATTATCAGCATTGATATATACATTTAATGGCATCAGATGAATAACATCTGGTGATATTCAAATTAATTATGGTATTTAGTTCATGGAAAGCAGTACTAGATTATGAATAGGCCGTGGAATTCTGACTACAAATAGTAGGGTCAACTACTATTTAAAATTAATGATAAGCTTCTTCTTGGTTTACATAAAGACAGTTACAATATGAATCTATATAGCTGGGTGAATTAATTATTCAACCAATCTTGTATTATTAGTAGCACCTACAATATGCGATGATTTTTTATTTCAATTTATTATTATTGGTAATTATTAGTTTGCCTATGCTGAACAATAGGACACGCTTCACGTATCGACAATTGTATATTAGTGTATTAATGATGTGTGATGCTGATGCAATGAATTTTTGGTGGTGATCATACCTCTTGTGGCGCAAGGGCTTTCAAGCGGTCGCTCAACAGGTTCAAGAGATACAAGTCCACCTCTCCTTCCAATGCTTGTGGCACCAAAATTTGATGGGCAGTTATCTCAATTCTCAGGTTGGCGGTGTAGGTAACTTTGGCGACTTCTTCTGACACAGAGGACTCCGATTCTTTAGTATCCACCTTTTCTGGAACAAGTTCTGGCTGGGGTTGTGGTGCCTCCTTGACGACAGAAGTCCACCAGTAGACTGGATACTTCCGCAACACATTTCCAGAGATACAGGCCACAGCCACGATCAATACAGACGACACCAATTGGGCAGGCAAGTACCACCAGCCCATTTCACGGATTTGGTCGTCCACCAAGGGCAAGAGTGCAGAGGCACCAGCTGGAGGGTGGACACAGTCGAAGATGGACATCATCACTGAAGCAATTCCCACGCTGAGAGCACCTCCGATCCACAAGTAGTCGGTGGCTCCCATCTCGAAGAGTTTCTGGAGACACACACCAATCAACGAGGCGATGAAATGGCCCATGATGACGTTACGAGGCTGGGCCAAAGGCGCCTGCGATGCATTAAATACCAAGATGGCACTGGCACCATAACTGGCGATGATGATGGGGGCATGGTGGTGGGAGAATACGGTGTGGCTTCGGAACACCCCTTCTATGAGAAGAAGCCCCACAAAGGTGCCAAGTAGGATCTCTAGCCACACAAGGTAGTCGTGATGGGGACGGGTGTCGTGGCGTCCCAACACTCTTCTAACGATCCACGGAGCTCTGTCGAGCTGGCTGTTGGGGATGTAGTGATTGACCCAGTTGTTGATGGTGAATTTGAAGACCATGGTGGGTAGTTATGAAAGGAAGGCTGTGTAGCAGGATGGACTGAGGAGTCGTTGGGGCAGTGCAGAAGGCTCTTGGTGAAGTTCTCAAGTTGGCGGACTTTGAAGTAGATCACACTAATCTGTTGTTATCGATTCAGATTCAAACTGGTGGTTAAGTCAGGTGTGAACGCTTAAAGAATGATGAGCCACTAAGTAGGGGTATCGTTGAAGCGATGATAAGTCTCGGGTATGGTATTCCTTCAAATAGGATCAATGTTGTGTTCCTTCAATAGAATGATACAAAGCTACTGGTTGTGTTCAAGCAGCACGATTTCAGAGCTGAAAATGACTATGAAATTGCAATGGCTGACGTGGCACTAGCAGTATCAGAACAGGCTAGTGGTGTTTAACGAACGGCAGTGTGGTTAGCTGGTGCCGGAGTGGGTCTAGCAAGAAATAGATTCTGAGCGGCTGATGCACTTTTGGCGCTGCGATTATCGTTTTTGGTGCAAAAAAGGGACTTTCCAGATGGAGAAAAGCACGATACTGAGCAGAGTGCTATGTGTAAATCTCGTAAGGGAGCTCGTAGGGGCGCTCGTAGGGGTACCGGTAGACGTGGTGGGGGAGATTGGCGTCTAGTTGGGGAGGTAGACTGGCAGACACTTGGGTATTTATGGGTCCATTGCTGGATTGTGGGGCTAGAACTGCTTACAAACCATGAAGATCCGCGCTATTTGTCCAGTGACTCGGAATTTGCTTTGGAGCATCCGAGGTCAATCCGGGATTGGCGGAGGTCGTGACGACGGATGGACGATGGTGGTGGGTACAGAGGTGGTATAGCCATCTGGCTAGTGATCCAGAGAATGTGCAGTAATGGCTGTACTGGATCAGTTTTGGGGGCTTGGGTGCGGCCTTTGGCTGGGTAGACTGCGAAATGAATAAGTAAGACTATTCCTGTGGTGAATTCGAATTTTGGATGATTTTGGCAGTGGGTCCAGAAGTGGTTTTATAGTCGGTCGTAGGAATACTGGGCATTGGGACTGAAGTAGAGCGTGTTGTGGCACGTCGTTAATGTAGGTGTATTCGCAGCCTGACTTCCAGATCGTATCTTAGAATTTAATTACAGATATTAGACGAATTTTTATGTTCACTTTCGGCTAGTAAACAGATACTGTTCAATGTATAGGATGGTTAAATTGATTCGTGATCTGTCCAAATGAGGGTTTTTGGCGGAAATTCTCCAAAAACTCGAGCGAACTAGACAATAATAATCATGCACCGTTAACGATCTTTGACGCAAACACAGAATTTGTAAACAACCACGTCCTGAATTTTTGAAGAGTTCTAACTCTACAATGGAGTCACATTTAACTCAACATTGGTCTCGGTAAGTGCACAATGAAGATCTGAAAGGCTATTAAATTATTGTTGTATAGCTTAGCAAGGAGAAAGAAAGACAAGCTAGATAGCCTGCAGCTGGACAGGGTAGCATGTAAAAGATCCAGACGATCAAGCCAGTTGGTACCTGAAACCTATTAATTCGCCCACGAAAGAAAACCCGAACAATCCTACATGTAACGAGAACTCTTGGATTTTGGGCATAGCTGCAAAAAGCCATCAGCGTATCGTAGGATGGCACTTACCAACTGTGTTTCACCCTGGGTTTGTTCCCGAAGTATCGACATATGGTGTTGGATTTGGATTTGGGTGATTTTTAGAGATGTAAGGATCTTTCCCGAATTCTGAAGTATGGATGTTTCCCCAATATGCATGGTGAAACTTTCTTATGCAAAGAAAAAGTATAACATGCATGCAAAGGAAAAGCATAGCATGTACGCTAGAACCATAATATGCAAGTTATAACCATATCATGCAAAGCAAAACCATTTCATGCATATTAAAACCTTCATACGCTCTGTTAAAGTATAACATGCAAAGTAAAACCATGGAATGCAAGGAAAAACCATAAGATGCTAAATAAAAGCATCGTATGCCAGGTAAAACTTACATATTCTTGGTGCAACCTACATATGCCAAATAAAACCATAGCATGCCAGTTAAAACCTTCTAGAGTTGGGTGAACATCCATACCTCACCGCTCCGGGAAACTTTCGCCAAAGCTACAATTTCTGGTACTTTGATTCACTGCTAACCCCCCAATTTTGCAATCCGACTGGGTAACTGCAAAATTTCTCCAAACAGTAATGTGGAAGGCAAATGTTCACCTCCTAAAATGCAAGGAATCGTTGAGTATATGCAACGGTTATTTTAAAATAACCGATTTTTAATTTATATAGGCATACAAGTGTAACATTAAAATATTGGAAGTATTTGATAGTTACCCTGATTTACAGACCAAACAAATCCTGCTGTTAAGTCAATAAAATTTATTCACATTAGAATTAGTATGGTATGGAAAGAATAGCTAGGCATCCTGATTTTGTATTTAAAGATTAAACAAAAGCCCTCTTGGTTAGAAACATGTCACATTCGATATACGTTTAACCTAAGGTATGTCACATTATGATACTGAGCATTTTCGCTAACATTTTCAACCAGAAAACTCTCACTTATAGCCTACACATGTACCAGACTATCCTACTCTAGAAGGCTAACGTACAATCCAAAACATTCCTCCTTGGCAGCTTGCCCCTGGAAGCCAATTTCCTTTAAGCTTCCTATATCTCTGGGTGGCCTACGTAGTGCTTCTCGAACCATTGCTTGAATGGGGATTCTATCTATTTAGCTATATAACACTAGCCATTAAAATACACACCGGTCTTGAGTAAAGACCGGTCAAACACCGTAGTGGAACCCGTTGGTTTGCAAGGTTCTCTTCTTCACGAAGTACTTTCTAATTTCGTCTCCAATAAACACAGTGCTGCAGAGAAGGGCCAAGTGGACCAAGTCGCTGAAGTACAACGCCTCGGTCTGGAAAATGGCCTGGAAGAAGGGCACGTAAATGGCACAGAACTGGCCAAACAACGACCCAAGAACCGCAAAATTGAACATTTGGTTGGTGAGTCCGATCTCAAAGATGGACTTGGAGTGGTGACGGCACGCAAGCGCATTGAACATATCAAACATCACGAAACAGGTGAAGGTCATGGTGGTGTCTCTGGCGGTGATTTCGTCCACCTTCAGCTCCTTGATGAAAATATACAAGGTTCCAATGATAATCATGGATGCTGACTGTAACACTCTCTTGATGACCTGCTTGGTCAAGATCTTGTCGTTACGCTTTCTAGGAGGCTTGGTCATGACTTCAGCGTCCACTGGCTCGACACCAAGCGACTGGGCTGGAGGTCCGTCCATCAAGATGTTGATCCACAAGATTTGCATGGCGTTCAACGGGTTGGGCAACCCGAAAAGAGTAGCCAATGCAATCAATGTCAACGCAGCAATCGAGGTGGAAAGCTGGAAGGTGATGAAGTTCTGGATGTTGAAGAAAATACCCTTGCCCTCTCTGATGGCACTCAAGATGGTGGAGAAGTCGTCATCGGTCAAGACCATGTCAGCAGCCTCTTTGGCAACATCGGTTCCATTTTTACCCATAGCAATACCAATATCGGCCAATTTCAAGGCAGGTGCATCATTTACACCATCACCAGTCATAGCCACAATATCTCCTCTTCTCTGGAAGGCTTTAACAATGGTGACCTTGTGTTCAGGAGTGGTTCTGGCAAAAACAGACACGTTACGGATCACATCAGACAACGCCTCTTCGCTCAAACTGTCGATTTGGTCTCCGGTGATTACTGCATTTTCTCCAACAATAGGCATGCCGATTTGTTTCGCAATATTAACGGCAGTGGCAGGAGAGTCACCCGTGATCATGATGACGTGAACACCACCCTTCATCAACAACGCAATGGACTTGCTGACGTTTGGTCTGGGAGGATCCTTCATACCAATCAAGCCAGAAAACACCAACTCGAAGGGCTCAGCATCTTCCTTTTCAGTGACAAACTTCTTATTGTTTCTAGCAAATCCCAACACTCTCAACCCATCGTTGGCCAACTCGTCGGACTTCTGCAAGATGGTCTTCTTGATGGCATCTGTCAAAGGCTTGATATCTCCGTTTTCGTCGTAGTATCTATTAGAAAGCCCAAGCACCTTTTCGGCGGCTCCCTTGACGATGGTTTCGGCCTTGTCCATGTCACCACTGTGCACACACACGGCCATGTACTTTCTAGAAGACGAGAAGGGCAATTCGTAGATTCTTTCCTTGGTAGCTCTGGAGTCGTCCAAGCCAAAGTGAGGCAAGCACTCGACTAAAGCAATGTCGCTGGGGTTACCCACGTACTTCTCATTCTCCAGCGAGTATCTTGCGTTGTTACAGATACTGCCACATTCCAAGACTCTGTGCATGTTTTTGGTCAATTGTTCGTGGAGACTTTTGTCGTCGAGTTTTTCCACGATTAAGAAAGGACTGTTGAAACTTCCCTTGAAGTCAGTGGACCATATCTTGGTGACAGTCATGTGGTTTTGCGTGAGAGTACCGGTTTTATCAGAGCAGATGACATTGACACTTCCCAACGTTTCGACACTGGGCAATCTTCTAACAATTGCCTTGTGACGGGCCATTCTCAACACACCCAACGCAAGGGTGACGGTGACGATGATAGGCAAGCCTTCAGGGATAGCAGCCACGGCAAGCGATACTGAGATCTGGAACATGTCCAACCATGAACGGCCTTGTAATACACCAATCAAACAAATAATACCAATGACAATGAAACTGAAAACTGACAAATCCTTTCCCAACTTGTCCATGGCTTGCTGTAACGGGGTCTTGGGCTTTTCGATCTCGCTCATCATCTCGAACACAGCACCAAATTCGGTTTTGGCTCCAATAGAGATAACAATGCCTGAACCGTGTCCATCGCGCACCAAAGTGCCCATGAACGCGATAGAAGTTCTTTGGGTGATCAGAGGCGTGTCGTTGGCATTCGACAAGGCTGCTGTGGTCTTTCTGACGGGACGGTTTTCACCTGTCAAATTACTTTCGTCGATGGTCAAATGGACTGCTTCCGTCAATCTAATGTCTGCAGGGATTCTGTCACCCTGGGAGAAGTGGACCAAGTCGCCAGGAACCAAGGAGGATGCTAACACGGTGGAGGTGCTTCCGTTTCTGGTCAATCTGGCCTCTGCTGGCACCAACTTGTTCAAGGCCTCCAAGGACTTTTCCGAGCGGTATTCTTGCACGAAACCCACCGTGACCACGATGGTGATGGCCAATGTGATGGAGATGGCGTCGTCGGTGTTTCCCATCCAGAAACTGATGACTGCAGACCCAATCAACAACAAGATCAACGGATCCTCGTAGAAATTGGACAAAAACTTGAGCACGATGTTCTCTTCTTCATCGTTGGACAACTCGTTGACTCCGTGGAGCGATCTGCGGTTCAACACGTCCTGGTTGGTGGCCAATCCCGTGGCTAAGTCTGTCTGGAGCTCGCTGACTGTGTCGTCGATGGAGCGCTGGCAGAACTTGAGAGAGGCCGAGTTTGCCCGGGTGGATGCAAGGGTTTTTGCCTCGAACGGGTTGTCACTCATTGGGGCGATGCAGACGGGGAAGAAGGGTGAATATGGGAGGCGGTAGGTGGAGGAGAAGACTCACGGACGTGATGGAGTGGATTGATTTGGGATGAAAAATCGGGTGGATGCTCCGTGGTCAATTCAGCGGTACACGACCTTGGGGGAGCGGCAGGAGACGGGGAGTGGAAGACGAACTGGCCTGTCTGAAGCAGCTGGAGGTGGAGGAGGAGGAGAAGGGTCTACGTCTGGTGTCGTCCGTATCAAATTTTTACTATACGTGTCGTTTGCAGGTTGTGTCGGGGGATGTATTTACATGTTGGGAACAGAGATGATTGTTGAGTGAGAATCTGCGAATAAATGACAATGCAACAAACCTGGTTTATGGGTTGTAGTGATAGGTTCTCTTAAGGACAGTATGTTCTGTTATGGGAACACATCTCCGATAGGGAGCGGGATAGTCCAGAAGAGACATTAAGTCTGGGCCAGGGATATCTGGTTTGGGACACTGCACAGATGTCCCTGATGGGAAAAGTCGAGCACTGGCTGGAACTAAACAGAATGCACTGGCTTGGTAATCTAGCCTAGTAGAAACTGCTTAATATTTCCCAGTAGAAGCATAAACTGGCTCGGAATGCCAGTGCAGGAACATGAACAGTGGCAGTAGGGCAATACTCTAGAAGATTTGCTCTGTCCTGGTATGGGAACGTTACACTAAAACACAACGATCTGCCTAGTAGAACCCGCTCTATCTAGAATGAGCATTAATACTTGGTGAAATTGTTGTGGCACGGTAGCATCACTCTTCTAGCACCAGAACACAACCTGGCTTAATATGACAACAGATCTCTGGCTATAATTTGAACGTCAGTGATCTGTCCAAGCAAATAATGGCCTTGTAGTCAACAACATGGTCTGATTCTAGCCTGATACGTGAATCTAAAACTCACTAGGACTCACGCAAGTGCTCCGACTAGTACTAACTCACAATCTCTTGCCAGTACAAATATCACCACTTCTAATACGAGTAACATTAGTTCTGGTCCTAGGCCTAGAAAAATCCTCGGACATTGACGATTCTCGTAAAAGAACTCCCCAGTATAGTCTAGCCGAGTACGAATAACATCATCACTTGGTCAAATACGAGTAACACTAATTGTGGACCTGGGTCTAGTCCGCCAGTCTTCGCCTGGCTTTGTCTAGGCTTCCACGCCCTCCACCGTCTCCATAGCTGCCTTCGAGAGCCGGTTCATCACCGCAAGTCCCGCGTCAGTCTCCTCTACCCCCTCCACCAAGATAAGATCGATTCCATGTTCATCTGCCTCCCGCAACAACCGGAAGAGGTTTCGCGACGCCTCTTGGCCCGTACGCCCAAGCTCTCTTTCCATGGCGATGTCGCCGCTTATCTGGTCAGCACCAGCAAATTTGGAGCTCTTGAATACCGCAATTTTGGTGGTATGGGCGCTTATTTGGTTGTCCGTGAGGTATTTTGCAATGGCTGCAATTCCGTCGCCGCAGTGTATAAAAAGCACCACTTTCGCTGTTGGCGAGTAGTGGCGGTATTTCATTCCAGGAGTCCGCACAGGCTCGGATGCTGATGCTGTCTTCTTGGCCACCACCGTGTGGGACCACTCAGGGCCTCCGTGTAGGAGTATCTCCTCCATCGAAACTCCTCCTGGACGGAGGAGCATGGGTGGCTTACATAAGCCGTCCACCACCGTGGACTCCACCCCCACTGTGCAGGGCCCGCCATCAAGAATATAGGGGATCTTTCCCTGCAAGTCGTGGTAGACGTGGCTTGCCATGGTGGGACTGGGCCGGGTTGATGCGTTGGCCGAAGGAGCCGCCAACGGAGTGTCACTCAACGCGATCAAGGCTCTGGCTATGGGATGGCTGGGAATGCGCACGGCTACCGTGGGTTGGTTAGCAGTGACGAGTTTGGACACAGGCGATGCTTCATCTACGGGAAGCAAGATGGTAAGCGGACCTGGCCAGAACTGTTCGATCAACTTGTGGTAGGCAGCAGGGATCTCGTAGCCGGCTGGAAGAATCTTGCGCTTGAGCTGGTCAATGGAGGAAACATGCACGATCAACGGGTTGTCGGAAGGTCTGTTCTTGGCACGATAGATGGAGCGAACGGCCTCATCATTGAGCGCAGAGCCCCCCAAGCCATACACGGTTTCGGTGGGAAACCCCACCACGTTGGTGGTGGTGGTGAGCTCGTGAGCCGCAATTCGGAGACTTTCTGCGGACACTTTGTCAGTGATGTGGGGCAAAACGTCGTCCTTGTGGAACACGATGCTGTCGAGCCGCACGGGCAAGATCTTGGTATGGAAACTCATCTTCGAATGGAGAACTGGGGCCAAACGGGCATACATGGTGAATCATCTGAAGCCATCACCGAATTTTTCTACCCGGTCACGCGGGATGCCGCACGTGATCCGGTTTCGTATTTAGGATGCATGCTGTCAACTCTACTCCGAATTACACCGTTGGACAGGGCCCTAACAACATACATCGATTTTAATAGCGAGCTCAAGGAGGTCATTCTATTTGGCAATTAAAGCAATTCGTATGATTTCTAGCTACAGAGCCGGTGATTTAGCGTGAAGACATTCATACTTCATTAATTGTTAAAACACAGAGGGTTATTTCTGATGATGCATTGCCCAAGATCCGTACTCCTGGAAAAGCCATGGAGTATGTTATGTCACAGTTTCCGCCCCATTTGAGTATGAGTAACAGTACCGTTGGTACCCCAGCAATCCATACCTATATTTGCATATCACTCGACAGATAATCTGAAGAAAGAACTACCCTATGTCTAAGCAATAATGGTCGTATGTTCTATAGTAATGCTCTAAAATCTTTCAATTTGCCAGCATTCGAGTTATTGCTCAGTTACCTACCTTCTTTCCCTTCAGGCCTTTCTACTCAAAAACAACGTTCTCGGTAACTGTCCTCTTCTCATCGTCATCCAAGAGCTCGTAGTATGCTTGGAAGTTGCCCAAGTTCTTCATGGTGCACTCTCTGAAGAACTGCACAAGGATCTTCAACAACGAATCGTCACCACTGGCATGATCCTCGTTGGACTCGTCTTCATCGTCCGAGTCCACGTACGACTTCAACTTCTCGTAGTTAGGAACTCCAATGTCATCCATATCTTCCCAGCCTTCACCATCATCTTCTCCATCAACTACTTCTGGAAAATAGTCGCTGGCTTCTGGCTGTTGACATTGGAAAGAGAGCTCACTAATTAATAACTTCAAGATTTTCTGGGACGCTGGGATCTGAGTATATTGGTCAGGCATAGACTTGGCCATTGACCTGGTCCTTATCAAATCACCCTGGTAGGGAATGATGTCTCCATTGACAATTAGAGACTGCACTCTCTTATCATCTAATGTGAATATTTTACCCAAGGCCAAAACGTTTTGCTTGATCTTTTCGTATCCACGGGTAACTTCAAACGATTCAAACCATATGGGCAACACTGCCGAAAGTCCATCGATCTTAGAATTGGTTTTGGCATCTTGTACTGAAATTTGGTTTACCAAGAGGTCGATCATTTCACTGGGCGAATTCAACACCAAGTTGCAGAACACCATAATCAAGTTTTCGATGGTGACTGGCTCTTGAGCCAAGACTAACCTGTTGACAGTCGCTTCTAGCAACTGGGACAAGAAACTTTGATCGAGATATGACTGAAACTTCTGCAAGAGAGAGAGCACAATAAGACCACAATTCATGGCTGCACTATCGGATAATTCTGGAGACAAAAACTTGGACACAATCCTCAACAAAGAGGTCATTCCCGATTCATTGGATTCGTCTTGGAAAGTCAAGAAGTTGTTCCATCCCTCCTTGATCATAGCGTTGAACACTTCACCACCGCTTTGCAATATTTGATTATCAGTGGTAGAAAGGAGAAGAGATCTAACAGTCGGAAAAACGTAGTTGAAAATTTGGGGAGGGAAATTGCCAGATGCATCTGAATCTGATCCTTTTTCACTTGGAAATGAATCGATGATAATGCTCAATAATTCCAAGGATAAGTACAAGTCAGGAGTATACTCAACATTCCCACCCTTTTTAACTTCCCGGTCTATTAAGTTTATAATGAATGGAAGAGACTTCTCACAGCACACAATATAATCGTCAATTGAAATTTGACTCAACAAAGTACTCAAACTTTCGGTGGAGTCAATTGTTAATTGAACATTGGAGGCATCCTTGAATGAGATTTTGAAGATCAAATCAATGACATTGACTCCCGAAGCTACAGAAAGCTTGGAAGACACTAAAGGATCGACGTCGATTGCAAATGTAATAGCTTCGAGCAAAGAGGTCAATCCATCATCTTCACTTTCTTCAATCAATGAATTGACTAGCTGAAAGATCTTGAGCTGGATTTCGTTCTTTTTCACAGGCTCCAAAAGCTTGCCAAAATCAGTGAAATTCTTGTATAAGGTCAAACTCATTAACGAACTCATTCTTATGATATCATTGGGTTCTCCTTGGGTGGAGAACTCAATCATACCGATAAAAGTCTTCAATCCAAAGCTTGGAACTGATATTTGAGAGCTGAACTTCTCAAAGAATTTTGGTAACATGAGGAAACATCTGGCGGTGATGAAAGAATGCTCGTACGAGATAAGACCAGTGACTAGTCCCAATAAATCGGTGAGCGAGGTTTGGTTATCAAATATCTCACTATCGTCGTTGGTGAATAAGCATTCCAACAAGAATAAGTCCGCTTCCTGGACCTTCCAATTCTCGGAATTTGTGCTCAAAGAACGAAGAACAGTTTTAAATAATTGAGCAGAATCATGATCGTTCAACTCGCTTAACAATTCGTGCACTGGATCACGGGTGGTCAAGTTTGTGGACAATCCAGTCATGTCACTGACGAACAACGTCAAATCAGCCTCATAGTCCTGGATGAGATCCTCACTCAAAATGCTCACCTTCTTGACAGATTCATACAACGACTCTGGCGAGATGTAGTCAGTAATCCGAAGTGTTTGCTGGACGATCAGGAGCGATTGTAAAAGCAGGTTTAACAAGTCAATCAATAAGTTTGCAGGGTCCATGTCAGTTTCATTATCGAACACTCCATCTAGTTTTTGATTGGTATGCATGAATTCCGCCAATCTGCCAAAGTCCTGCAAACACAATTCTGTGATCTTCTTTTTTATGTCTGGATTGACCTTCTTGTCAAAGCTGCCGAGTATACTGCCAATTATTCTATAAATGTGGGATCTGAGGTACACTTGGTTCAATCCCGAGGAGGATGCAGCAATCGATTCTTCAAGCAAGCGGGTGAAAACGACAATGCTAGAGTTGATGTGCTCGATAACTCCCGCCTTTCTTTGAGGCGTAAATGCTTCTGGGCTCTGCAAAGTGTTGAGCACATTTTGGTAGAGCTTAATGGCACTTGTCTTGATGGTGGCATCCAAGTTCCGCGTCAACAAGCTCATGATGTGGTTGGTGATTTCGATGCCAACACCTCCATCCCAGAACTGTTCTTCAGTCACCAAGTCATCGAAGAGATCGTTCAACACTGTCAACGCACCAATCATGGAGTACTCCAGATCCGAGTTGCTGGCTCCCTGGTACAACTGGTTCATCAACTGAGGCCACTCGTCAGGGTAGTCTGCTGAGGCGATTTGCACAATAGCATAGGCAGTACCACTACGGACTTTGGAGTATGGAGTAGTGAGTGAAATATCGATCAAAGTTTGGCGAATGGCTTCTTTTGTTTCTTGATCCACAGGAGGTCCCACGAAGGACTGGAACCCCATCGACCAGTACTTGGGAACGAGTCTTTTGAGATGGAGTAATGAGGCCTGTCTGATGTCGATCGGAGTATCGTTACTGCTAGCCAAGTTGGTGAGTTCGTGCGCCATTTGTGACGGATTTTGATGGGACGCATGGTTGAAGTTGAGCTCTGCGGCAACTCTCACCGAGTTGTCAGGACTTGTTTGGTCCTGAATAAGCTGGAGAAGCGACATGATGGTGGTGGAGATTGACGCGTTTGTGAATAAATGGTGTGCGATGGCTTACATAAGCAGAGACTTTGGCACGAAATATGGGGAAGGTTCTCCAGAGAATTGCAGCAGAAGGACGTGGGGGTTATGCTGGGTGAGTGGGTGAATTGCCCGTTCTCTTACTGAACGGGTTTGCATGGATACTTTTAAATGATTGGAGGGCTCGTGAAATCAGCAAGCCAATTTTGGTGATAATTATTATCCTCAATAGCACTTAACCTGTCATTTATGATCGTGCCTTGCTACTTGATACTCTAGCAATCTTAGCCCTTTTTCTGTGTCCCCAGGTTCATATTTTGAAATATTTTATTGATAAAGGTTTTTTTATTTTCAAGTACAGCATTAGTCAATACTACAATCCAGTTGGAGATGTCCCCCTAAACAGATTACATAGTGCAATACTTATATTCAGATAAACGATTAGCAACTTTATTCTTTCATAAGCGATGTTTATTTATTATTCGTATAACCTAGCTTTATGGACAGAGTCAATTTTAGAAGTACAATCGATATGCATTTGCATTCAATAGTGCCCTAATTGAGTCAGGTAATAAATCAAACCAAATCTAATCATTAGAACTAGAACTGGAACAAAGACTACGAGAATGTGTAATTTTTATTGTACTAGCTTAAAATCTGGCGATGATAACACTCCAGTTTTATATTACCAATACGTGGTAAACCTTTTTATTAATATTTTTTCTATTTCAAACACTCCCTAAGATTTCCTTACATCCCAGTCGTTGACTCCACAGTAGCTAGCCCCCAGAATGGCATCGTTGCCCAATACCATACATTCTCTACCATCTTACTAGCGCGTGACTCGAGTCACGTGGCACATATCCTATATCAGCCCAGAGGCAAATGGCAACCTAAACCACAATGTTCGGACAACAAGTATATCCTGCTCTTGAGGAGCTCAAGCAGCCGCTCTCTCCCAAGCAATTGGAGATCTTGCGCAACCAGGTCAAAGCCGAGGATCCAATGCCTTCACCCCAGTCCCTCTTTAATCTTGCCTGGGGTTTGATCAAGTCCAATATCCACAAGCAACAGTTGGAAGGCATCAAGATCTTGACCAAAATCTACAAGGACGTGCCAGCCATGAGAAGAGAGTCGTTGTACTACCTCAGCTTAGGATCCTACAAAGTGGGAGACTACACTAATGCTCGTAGGTACGTGGAGGTGTTGTTAGATGGCGAGCCAGACAACGCACAAGCCAAAGCATTGAAGGATTCGATCGATGACAAAGTGACTCGTGATGGGTTGATTGGATTGGGAATCGCAGGAGGGTTGTTGGCGGTAGGTGTTGGTATTCTTGGAGGAGTGATGAGAAGAAAGCGTTGAAGAGAGGAGGGAGACTAATATGGAAGGAGAAGATCGAGAGATGGTAGTCCACGCAACAACGGGTGAATGGATTCACAATTCGGGTTGGAAATCAACTCAGGGCTGGATATCCACACCGTGTATTTATTGAAACGTAATCTACTAGCAGTGCTAGCTTTGCCACAGTTGTAGCACTTACAGTGTATTCACTATAATTGATTTAGAAAAATTGGTGTAAAAGTCTTGAGAATATTCATGACTATCAGCTGTCCCAGACAATGATGAATTCGAGACTTTGATGGTGTGCCACGTTCATCATTAACTGCCCAATCAATTATAGTGTGCTTTCATAGTGCCATAGACGGATTATAGTCTTTGTGGTGTACTTTTGTTATTTTATATAAAAAAAATCAGTCTATTCAGTGAATGTTTAGTCGTCTCCTTTAGTGGTCCTATTAATTATAGTGGCACTTATCATTTTCATGAACGAAAACTAGTCCTATTGAATACTCATGATTGTTTAGTCCTCAAATTATTGGTATCTCGAATACATAAACGGATAGTCCTATATATAGCGATACCTGCCGTTTCCTTTACGAAAACTAGTCCTATCGGTGTGTAATAAATAATAGCCCTACTAGTGACATTGTCAAATAAACGAATTTTTGCCCATTTCAAGTGTATCGCATATAAATAAATTGTACTTGCTAGTTTCCTAGTACCTTCCTCAACTGATGATACATATAATTCATCACTCCAGATTATCCATCACCGGTAGCTCATTCGTACCATATTCATAGATAATACTTTTAATTCATCGTACCTACTCTGGATCATCCGTCACTAGCTCATCCACACTTTACTCCAGTTATTCTACTATTTTCACTTTTGTGACTCCCTTTCGAGTACCTTTTCCTACCACTAGTCACTATCGCTACTAAGGAAGATTCCAGGTAGACCAAGCTGGAGCAGATTAAGGCGAGAACTTCTGCAGTAAGTGGGGGAAGGAGAAAATTACCTGGTGTGGTAGATTATAGACTAATCTCGACTGGTGAATTGCAAACAATCTCTATAACAGTTACTTTTTCACATATTCTTTGCACCCGCGACTCACCATGTCTGATGACTCTATCGGCCCCCGAATAGCCTCCCTTGTGGTAGCCACCTTCAACGGCCTCTCCCTCAAGTCTGGCAAGCCAGCCACCCGATCCAACGGAGTCAGAGAATGGACAGTTCTCGCCGGTTTGGTCGCAGTGATGTCCGATGACCTGCTCGTGCCACTAGCACTAGCCACTGGTGTCAAAGCATTGCCCAACAAGGCCAGAGAGTACTCCAACGGCCTCATGGTGCACGATATGCACGCAGAGGTGTTGGTGTTGCGGCTCTTCAACTGGTACCTCCTAGAACAGTGCCATCTCGTCAAGAATAGCCAGACATCGCAGTTGGTTGAAGAGCACAATGGAGGGTACAGAATACGTCCTGGGATCCAGTTGGCACTCTACATCAGCGAGCCCCCGTGTGGCGATGCCTCCATGGGAGCATTGATGGAACACGATCTGGAGCCTTGGAAAAAGAAGCAGAAGTTGGGCCAACAGGTCACCAGAGGAAGAGGCCATTTTGACCAGCTTGGCGTGGTCAGAACCAAGCCAGGACGCAACGACAGCATCCCTACGTTGAGCAAGTCCTGTTCAGACAAGCTCTGTGAGAGACAGCTCACTGGAATCACCAATTCGTGGACTTCTGTGCTCTTTCCCCAGGGGGTGTATCTCGACTACTTGGTGCTTCAGCGCAGCAAGTACAGCCAGGTCGACTGCACCAGGTGCTTCTCCAGAGCACGAGGTGTCCAGGAAGCTGAATTCCACCCGTTGGAGTTCAGGCTCTACGAGAAAGATGACTATGAGTACCATAAGCCTGAAAAAAACGACCCTTCGGTGGTTCCATCGCAGTTGTCATTATTATACATCGTACCCAGCAAAACTATACAGGTGCTCAACAACGGGGTCAAAAACGGTTCTTTTGTCAAGAACAAACCTCCCAAGAAAGGAGGGTCTAGTTTGATATGCAATCAACAATTCCACGAGAAATTTGGGGACCTCATGGACCTCGAGGCTAGCACTTACCACGAGTTCAAGCAACTGAACCAGCCAAGATGCGAGCTCAAGCAGAGGGTCCGCAGCAATCTTGGAGGTTGGGTTCCAACCGATATCGATGATTTCGAGCTATAGTCTTGCTGCTTCTGCTTGACTATCGCCTTGCCAGTCCCGTCTATTCCGATTCGCTGGCTGAGCCAGCATCAGCCTCCTCGGACGACAACTGTTCCTCCTCGGGGATTTCCATGGAAATGGCGTATTCAGCACTCTCCAATAATTGCTTCAATTTGGCGTCATCCGTGTAATTGATGGGCTGCAAGCTCAGCTTGTCTTTGATACGTGGATCGGAGCCTGCGTCCAAAAGGTTGTCAATCACAAAGTACCCATGTTCGGGTTCGTCCTTGGTGTACTTGACAGCTAAATGCAATGGGGTCTGGCCGTCGGAGTTCTGGGGATCGATTTCCACGCCTTCTATGTCTAAAATGATATCTATGAACTCCCAGTTTCCCAACAGACACGCCAAGTGCAACGCAGAGTTGTTGGTGATCAATTCCTTGGTGGTGTTGATGAGTTTTGCAAGGACTTCTTGGTCGTTGTTCAACTCGGCTTTGATGGTGAGGAGAAGCTCGGTATTGTTTCTTCTTGAGGCGTCCAAAAGCTGTTCGGGATATGATGCGCCTTCCCAGGCGTCGGTGTTGTTCGATTGGGACATGATGGATGGAGACTGGGTGGGAGGGTGTCGAACTGACAGGTATAGGAGTGCCTCGCTTCACTATGGCTGTGTTTATGGGCGCGCACGACCATCACCAGCGGGACTCTGGGGAACTTCCGTATAAGGTTTGTCTCGTATGAAAGATAGAAAAGATAGTGCAAAGAGTCAAAATATCGTCAATCCAGATCAGCGAAGTACTTTGGCATAATTTAATGTTCTCTACACTAAAAATTAGTGTAGAGATCTTATTTAACGAATTTTATAGGAAGTTTGCACGAGCGGCTATACTAGTTTGAAACCACTTCCTGTGATCTAGGGCTCCAGAAGTATGGTGCATATTTGCAGGAGTTGTTGTGGCCGCTATTACTTGAATTTTAGTTTTGGACTGAAAATACATGCGAGAGCCATACTCATCACGAGATCCACCTTTACTTCAAAACCGTTGCTATATACCATCTAATTCTTAATAAACAGGGTTCGGGTGACCTTTGGGGGTATAATGCACTGATTGCGGGGAGAAGATTTAGGCGGAATCCTTGAAAAGAGAATGAACTTGTTCTATATTCAGATTCAGTTCTGTGGATCTTCAAAAGATGATGTTTATTGTGCATGGTCCCCAATGCTACAAATGGTGTCTTATATTAGTCGAAGAAATTTCTATCCTTACTGGATTCGGTATATCTAAGGTTTCCACATAGCCAGAATTTTGCTAATTTTTCTACTAATTCGTATTCTTTCGGAACTTCCCATGGCAGAAGCTATCTAGTCCATTCTTCCTGCTTTATTGCCCGGTCTAGTACAATACGTCTTCAAAAAGAGTCAGAATAAAACGCTGGAAGTTGCAAAATTTCCAAAAGGTTTTGTGTCACTTATAACATGAAGACAGTCAAGAACGATAGCAACTATATAAGGTATCGAGATAGAGCGGTGACAGCATAGAGGCCTCAAAAAAGCTTGGGTTTATTAGACTCTACGCAGCTTGTTTTTTCTCAGCCCTATCAAGAATCTAAGTATGGAGCACCATTAGAATAGCATATATTTCAGCCCAGGTCTCTTCGAAATCAAAGGATCTACCAATTTCGTCTCACTATTTCTTCACTAGGCCAGCTATATGTCTGGAACCAAGTTTTCTAAGACCGAGAATGATCACTGGTGGAGACATCCCACTGTCCCAGTTGAAATTCAAGGCATAATCGATTTGTCATTAAAGTTGTATTATTATTCTACTTATAGACTACTCTTTATTTGAAGATCAAGAAAATTGTGAACATAATCGGAGTTTCGATTGTTTTGTAGAGCAAATGAAATTAAAGCTTCATAAAATTCCTTAAGCTTTTGATAACTAAAAAATTTAAAAACTACCGGAATTTCATCTGCTAATTATTGAGCTGGCTTATCGACCCCCAATCCACTCCTGCATTTTCACACTTGAGAGCCAACAGCCCCTGCCCTGGCCTAGCCTCCAGGGTTTGCTTAGTCACTGATTACGTAATCCGGAACACGCTTATGCGATCAACCCGAATTGCTCAGCAAGTGAAGCCCCACATATCATCTTCTTTTCACCATGGTCAAATCTATCGTTGCCCCTTCTATTCTTGCCTCCGACTTCGCCAACTTAGGTGCCAACTGTAAGAAAATTGTCACCTCCGGAGGTGTCGAATGGTTACATATCGACGTGATGGATGGCCACTTTGTGCCCAACATCTCGTTTGGTGCACCCATCATCAGCAGTTTGAGAAAGGAGTTCCCTGAATCCGATGCCAACCCAGTCTTCTTTGACTGTCACATGATGGTTTCCAACCCAGAGCAGTGGATTGAAGAAATCGCCAAGGCTGGAGGTAACCAATATACTTTCCACGTTGAAGCCACTGACGATCCAGAAAGAGTGATAAACGCTATCAGAGCCAAAGGTATGAAGGTTGGTTGTGCTGTTAAGCCAGGCACTCCTGTGGATGCCTTGTTACCCTTTGCAGACAAGTTGGACTTGGCCTTAATCATGACAGTCGAACCAGGATTTGGGGGCCAAAAGTTCATGCCTGAGATGATGAAGAAGGTGGAGGTGTTGAGAAACAAGTTCCCTGAATTGAACATCGAGGTTGACGGTGGTTTAGGTAAGGACACCATTGATCCAGCAGCCGAAGCTGGTGCCAACGTCATCGTGGCTGGTACCAGTGTGTTCAAGGCTCAGGACCCCAAGGAGGTTATTGACTACTTGAACGCCTCCGTCACCAGAAACTTGCAAAAGGTCTGATTGCACAGATAGTAAATACATGAGAACACAACAGAAACTTGCACATGTCTGATGCAAGAGTACATACCTGAAACATTGCTTATTTGATGACTTCCGTCCATGTACACCCCCAAGTAGCACCAACGAGATTTACTCTACAAATCGTCCTAGTCTTGTCAATATTCATACTAATATACATTAAAAAGCTTGCACACCCAAAGTGGTTCCCTCGCCGGCTGGACTCATCATAAGGTTGGCACTGTTCTCCACCACAGTCCACAACGCAGCCTTGACCTTCTCCAATTGTGATTTCTTCTCTTCCACGTCCATCTCCACTTCCTTCACTTTGTTGTTTCTTTGGTCGATGTACTTCTGGTTTCTGGCAAGCTTCTTGGCTCTCTTGTTGGACAAGGTGGTGTTGGTCATCACGCTGGTCACCTTAGGACCGCCTCCGGTGTATAATGCAATGGCCTTGGAGTCGGTTGGTCTGGCAGCTGCGGAATCGGCATCGCTGTATCTACCAACAGTGGATCTGGATGCAGTATTCTTTCTGTTTCTGGCAGCTCTTCTCTTACCCAAGACCTTGGCATGGGCACTGGCGTGGAGCTTGTTCTTAGGCTTGTTGACCGAGTTTCTGGAAGCCATCTTGTAGTATAGATTAGATGATTTGATAAAAAAATTATGTACATCTCATCTGGACTGGGTGCAGGATTTTGATTGTTGAGGGACAAAAAATGAAAATCTCCTGGGGGTGAGTCGAACACCCGATCTCAAGATTACTCTGAGTTAACATTACAGTCTCGCGCCTTAGCCAGCTTGGCCACCAAGAGGATTTCTTGATTTTTTCAAATTCAACATTTAGTTGTCTTCTGGTGGTAGATGAAATCCTGCACAGAGTCATTCAATCACCATTAAGTTCAAACAGCGATGAAAGCTTTCACCTAAGCAGGGAAATAGTTCTTCATTCACTTATGCTATAGCTGCTAATATAAGAAGGTGCTGAAAGAGAAATTATTAGGAAATGAGTCCAATTGAGTCCAATCGAGAGCTTTCCTTGGCCAGTCCCTAATGTAGCCTACCGGGATTTTCAACAATTATTGGTTCCTAAAGAATACTCCAGCCGAGTGGTTGCTGGATTCATGTGTCTGGGACTAGAGAATATGGCCCTTGAATTTATAGCATCTCAGTAGTTTTGGGCTATAACGGTAGCACATCCATAGAGTGCTGGAGATTATGAGCTAGCAATCTAGCGCGATGGCCAATTCTTATCACAGGTAATTGCCAATACCTCGTCACCAAGAGGCGGTAAAGACATCTCTAATCTGTGTAGTGGGCTCCCCAGTGAAGGATCTTAAGTGCATAATGTATCACCTGCACTGTCGGCCCTAGTTTCGGTTGACTTATCGTTATAGTACACCCTCAAATCGATGCCTTCATCGCTGCCGGCCAAGTGAAATATGTTCCTAGTTCATCCAAACTCAAAGATAACCCAGAGATGACTTTTCCATCTTGATTGGGAGGATTTCGTATTTTGGAATTTAGTAAGAATAATGCCATCTACAGAGTTGGCTCTCCCGATTTGGTTGCATAGATCAGGTTCCTTGTAGGATAACCACCTGGCCAATTTACTACAAGCTAACTTACGGGTAGAAGTGAGAGACTTTACTCTTCAGTGCCACAGCTCGTGGTGCCGTTCCACGCGACCTTTGTGCAAAATCCACTCTAGTGCACCTCATCCAACACAAAAAAATATCCGTTCTGCACCGAAGTATTTCAAGCATTGGCTACTGTCACTCTCGCATCAACGTCATGCTGTTGCATGCAGTAGCATGCAAGTTTGCTGTGCCATTCAGGGGCTATCCATACCAAATACACCTCCATCTGCTGCAACTGGGGAGCTTAGAGCCCGTGTTCGCCCCTTGGCTTTGCCACCTTGTGGGTTCCATAGCAGCGATCACGAGCCCGCGGGACTCTTTAGGGTCCAGTCATCCACACAAATGAGACTTCAGGGCACAATTGAATCGTCAGGGCACACCGCTATCCCCACTATAGGGTCCCTCCTTAAACAAGGGATTAATAGCAATAACAGGTCATCCAGTGAGTAGATTTTTATGGCAAAAAAAAGTATGGGTTTAAACGGTGCAGCTAACAAAAAATGTCTAGTAATAGGCAACGCTTGTCTGAATTAACTAAAACCATCCTGACTACATTCTAAACAATCCCCAGCAATCCCCATTCTAGCAGTATCTGAATATCCACAATTCTCGTAAACCAGTGGTTTATTCTCTATACTAAGTTCCCAGAGATATTGGTAACGTTCGCGCACTAGCAGCTAACTTCCAAAGTATATTACTAGGTTAAAATTCCTAGAGTATACTATTAAAGTTTCCTAGAGTATTTTTACGTTCCCAGTACATTATTAAACATTCCATAGTATACCATTAATGTTTCCTAGACTGTAGTGTTAGCTTTCCCAGAGTAATATGCTCCCCGAGTGTCTCCCTGTGTAACTTCCTAAACGACCCTCACTTTTTTCACTCCCTCATTATACCCCCTCCTTCATTGTGGTGGCTCGCCCCTCGCCACAACCATATATAAACCTCCCAGTTCCACCCATTCCCAGCCTTTTCCACCACACAATGTCGGAGAAAATCGAGTACACTCCCATTGAGGCGAAACCTCGTCACCACGCTTCTCGCTGGCGGAAGTGGACCCACTTGGCATTGCTAGCCGCCCCCCTTATCTACCTTGCTCACTACTCCCAGTACCCATCCTCGTTGTATTCGTTGCTCCAGGGCTCGGAGCCCATCGACAATCCCTCCCAGGTGGTGTTGGACGCTCTCTCCATCAACCTTGCCAGTAAATGGTCCAAGATTTACACCGCAGAGGCCCATTTGGCAGGAACCAACTATGGTTTGGTGCAATGGACAGCCGACCAGTTTGAGCGCTACGGCTTGAAAAGCACCATTGACGAGTACGAGGTGTTGCTCAGCTATCCTGATGACCACGCGTTGAACTTGGTTGCCAAAGACGGTCTGGTGGCCTACAAGGCGCCATTGAAGGAGGACGTGCTCAAGGAGGACAAGACCTCGGGTGGCGACGGCTTGGTGCCCACCTTCCTTGGCTACGCTGCCAACGGCAACGTCACTGCCCAGTATGTGTACGCCAACTACGCCACACGCGACGACTTCCGCCAGTTGAAGGCGGAGGGCGTAGACGTCAGTGGCAAAATCGTGATTGCACGGTACGGAGCCATTTTCAGGGGCTTGAAGGTCAAGTTTGCACAGGACGAAGGTGCTGTGGGCGTGTTGCTCTACACGGATCCTGGCGACGACAATGGTATCACCCCTGCCAATGGCTACGAACAATACCCAAAGGGTCCTGCCAGACAGGAGAGTTCTGTTCAGAGAGGAAGCGTGCAGTTCTTAGGGGGCCTTGGAAGCGCTCCAGGCGACCCTACGACTCCAGGCTACTCTTCCAAGCCGGGTGCTGAACGCCAGGATCCCCATGACAGCATTGGTAAGATTCCAGCGTTGCCCATTTCGTACCGTGAAGTCAAGCCTATTTTGGAGAAGCTCAATGGCCACGGCCACAAGCTCGGCAAGGAGTGGAAAGGAGGCTTGGATGGCGTTTCCTACTCCACTGGCCCCAACAAGGAATACACCTTGAACTTGTACAGCAAGCAGATCTACAACATCAGCACCATCTACAACGTGTACGGTGAGTTTGAAGGCAAAAACCCTGGAGAAGCCATCATTGTGGGTAACCACAGAGATGCCTGGATCAAGGGAGGCGCTGGCGACCCCAATTCGGGGTCTGCTGTGCTCATTGAGGTTGCCAGAGCCCTCGGACGTTTGCAAAAGTTGGGCTATAAATTCAAGAGAAGTATCATTCTCCACAGCTACGATGGCGAGGAATACGGACTCGTGGGTTCAACCGAACAGGGCGAGTATTTTGCCAAAAAGTACCAAAAGGACGTGGTTGCGTACATCAATTTGGACGTAGCTGTGTCAGGTAAGCACTTGCACTTACTGGCATCTCCATTGTTGAACCATGTTTTACTTGAGGTAGCCAAGCAGGTGGAGTATCCTGACAAAGAAGGTACCACCCTTTACGACCACTACTTGGAAGAAAGGGGAGGCAAAATCGGCAATCTTGGGCTCGGATCCGACTATGCAGTGTATTTGGACCACTTGGGAATTGCCTCGGTCGACTTTGGATTCACTGGAGGAAAGGGAGACCCCGTTTACCACTACCACTCGAACTACGACTCGTACCATTGGATCTCCGAGTATGCTGACAAGGGCTTCAAGTTCCACGGAGCCACGGCCAAGTACTTGTCGTTGCTTATTCTTAGGTTGGCTGAGCGTGATGTGATCGACTTTAAGCTCGAGGACTACAGCTATGCGTTGGGCACCTACTTCAATACCACGCTCGAAAAGGTCCCCAAGAGTTGGTTGGACGAGAAGGTGTCTGGGGACGCCTTGAAGGACTTCTTGGGCCACGACGAAAAGACCAGTGCGTTGGTCAAAGAGGCTAGTCAAGGCGAGTACAGCGACCATTCGAGGTACCCGTTCATGGAATTGATGTCAGTGAAGCAATGCAGCATGCACAAGGTGGTGCGTTTCGAGGAGGACGATGGCGAGTTTACAGTCAGAGAACTTCTCAACCACACCTTGCACGAGTTGATCAGCTTGCAGAACCTGACCACTCATTTCGATGCCCACGCCGAGCAGCTCCAGGAGCAGGCAGACCACTGGGACTCGCTTCGTTTCTGGGAGAAAATCAAGTTGTTTGTGCTCCTTCGGGTGTCCAACAAGCTTCTCCACTACTTTGAGAGAAACTTTTTGCACCACGACGGGTTGGATGGAAGACCTTGGTACAGGCACATTGTGTATGCTGGTGGCAGATACACCGGATATGCGGGACAGACGTTGCCGGGGCTCCTTGAGGCCATTGAAGACCACGACCTTGGCCGTTTTGTGCACTGGTTAGGTGTGGTGGACCGGACGTTGAGAAGAATCAACCACGAAATCTCGTAAGATGTTGAGATGATTCAAGTAAGGAGGATAAGAGAAATTGGGCTTTGTGAGGTGAGAGAATCAACAAAGGTTGTAATGAGACTATGAGAGTATAACCACGAGGTTTCGAGAAGGAATGCTTGAGAATCAACCAGATCTCGTAGGAGAGTGCTTGAGTAGCATACACGTAACGTGGAGTAGTTCATGATCTCGTAACGTCAACAGCTCGTACGTGAAGTAGTTGATGAGGTCTCCTAACCATTGATTTAACACCTCCTAACCTGAGAGATCTAACTCCGCTGCTTTAGAAGTATATCCTCCCAGCTATGACTACATTTATGCACCTAATACAGGCAATTAGGAATAATTACGACTAACCCGCTCGGAATGTGAGCTTGTAGCCATAACTTGGAATGTAGACCTGCAGACGCATGCAGATAATTGGCCCAAAACAGCCCAAAAAGCCGACCACGCACTGACTGGGAACCCCTTGTGCCTGTCCAGGAAAGGGTTAGTAATATGCCTGGGATCTAATCCACTTTCTCGGCTAGCTCGCTATCGTGCATGCTTCGCAACGCGTGCCTATTAATTATCCGTTTTGGGAAGTTCAGCAAGATGATCTAGCAATAGAGAGGCAGTGGATTGTTGGAGCAAATCGGTGCATCTTGCGTCGACAGATGCGCTGGACATTGCCAACAGATGCGCTAGCCATTGCCAACAGATGCGCTAACTATCGCCAACACGATTAGTTGTTGGGCTGATTCCACCAATAGTCTCCCAAATTGGCCCTTGTACCTTAGCAACGTCCGCCTGCGAGCCGACGCGGCTTGTCCGTTGACATGGTGCCAAGCATCCGGCGGACATATACTTTAACCAGTCTGTGGTGTCGGTCACAAATACGATTGCATTATCCATTATCCCTGCGGTGGACCTGGCAACGATGCGATTATGGTTTCACACCATTCCTGCGGTAGATGGTGGGGCTAACTCTGGAGCTGTGGCACGGTGATGCTCGGGGCACGCTAGTATCGGGCGACCCCCCGCTGAACTATTATCTGGGGAGGTGCAGCGAATGAGCACAGCCATTTACAGGACTCTGGTTGGGTGTTGGGCACGGGTAAATGTGCCCAATACTGGGGCAGGCGTCCGGACGAAGCGGCCCATTGAGGCTATTGACCATTATCCAACGCGGGGCCAACAAAGGACGAATCGTGGCCGAAATCATCCAGGGTGGAGATGGATCCGGTCAAGGGTGCAGGCCGCAATTTAAGCTTTACTGACACCTGTGATGCATTGCGAATATGTAGGAGGCATGTAGCGTAGGGGATCTGCACCCGCTGGGAGTGGAACCACGCGTGGGAGGCATACCTCCGCCACCACTCCCGCTAGCGTCCTGGCTCCCGTGCCAGGATCCTGCACTCTGGCCTACAAACAATAGCCTTTTGTCTCCGGACCCGCTGGAGAACAATCGTTTCTCAATCAGGATTAATTGCATCTGCACTTACAAAGATATTTTCTGCGTGTGCATGCCTCTGATTCACAGGGTGATGTACTTATAGACGTCAGTTCGTCGAGCTGATCCGCAAACCTCTCCGGTATCTCCAGCCAGTATATCCTCTGGCGAATGCACCATGACTGACATCTCCGTCAAACCGCACCGCAAGTCGGTCAGGTCCTCCATCTCCAAGCATGGCGACAGAAACAGACGCTCCTCGTTGCCCCAGGCGTTGGCCATGAACCTCAAAACGTCCTCGGCATCCCTATCCTCATCCTCCACCATCTCGTCGCTCGCCAGCCGCAGACAGAGTGCCGAGCTGGCGTTGTTTCGCCGTCGCAACCTCGCAGACACCTGCGCATTCTGTGGAGAGTCGTTGGCCCATCTTCACCGCGAGCTGGTCGAGCTCTCGTGTGGCGACGTGTGCCATGGCGAGTGCTTGGATATCATGTTCGATCGTGACTACCTCGAGCAGTGGCCTGTGTGCAACCTCTGTGGAGAAAGAACCAGATGCGCAGACGAAAGCTCCACTGCGCACTCAAGCATGCTCATCCATGATGTCTTATGGTTCGAAAAGCCGTTACCCGAGCCGCCAGCCGGCTCCAGTTTGAGCCTTGACCTCCTGGGGCCGTTCGAGCCCCCAGCTACCGTCTCTAGTCACCCAGTGACTCCATTGAACCAGATCATTCCAGACACTCTTAAAGACCCCTTGCCAGACACCATTATGGTGGGAGGCCACCAGCTCGAGGTGGACCCTGCCGCAGCGCATGTGCATTACGACGAAATGAGAAACGACATCCTCCAGCCTAAAGTGGCGTGCTCGAAGAGCGCATCTGTGCGCCTCCACAACGGTGCGTCCAGCCAAAATTTGGCCTACCTGTTCACTGTAACCGCTCCTCGTGTGTATAAGAACACCCAGCCCAGCCAGCACGAGCTCCAGGCCGTGCAAGAAATCCGAAGACAAATCAAAAAATTCTTATCCACGGAAATCGTCAACTGGCAGCTGAATTTCTTCGACGACGCCATTGGCGACGACTTGATCATTTTCGACCACTTGCACGTCAGCACCAACGGCCACGACTGGGACGGAGTGTGCTGCTTCTTGTTTGAAAATATTCTCTTGCTTATCGATGGCCACAAATTGATCGGACAGGTGTTGATCAACCAGGACGTCAGGTCGGTCAAAGCCACGCCAAACGGCGTGGTGCTCGATTTGGGCGATAACCCCGTCCCCCAATTGCATATCCGTCACGATAACCCCATCGTGCTCTCCAAATGGGAGACTATGATCCAGAAATTATTGGACCACAAGCCTATTGCTTATATAAATATGTTCCAATTATCCTCCAACGCCTGGGGCTTGTTCAAGGACTGCTTGGACATCCCGTTGGAGGTGGTGGAGTTTTCGCATCTCATGCAAAACAACCTCGATATTCCCAGCCCCATGCTTCTCCAGGCAGTGCCAGATCCTGACCCGTTACCTCTCAATTTGATTGTGTCCATTCCTTTGATCAACTTGGGCACCAACATGTCCAATGACGAGTACAAGACCCACATCGTCACCATGCTCAAATCCATCAAGGCATCATTGCGCCCAATTGATAAAATGGGGCTCATATTCGTGGGCACCGATAGCAGAAGAAATCCCAACCGCTCAGGAGCATTCATTGGGTGTGTCGAGTCCAGCTGGGACGGCTGGGACAGGGTCATAGAGGACATCAAAGTGTCGGGAAACACCCGAGGATCACATACTCTTTTCGCCAATGAATTGCAAGAGCTCAAGATCAGCATTGAAAAATGCATGGATTTATTTCCCTTTATTCCTACAGGGCCCAACAACATCAACAAATTTATCATCTTGAACTGCAACAATTACCAGCAGTCCATGCCACTGGACTCCGGCATGGAGAAGACCCAGGCACTACTTTCCAGAATGATCAATAGCTTGCTGGACAAGCTTTCGATCTCGTTGGTCAGAATAGGCCGCTACCACACCGAGGCCTGTAGCTACATCCAGGACTTGATTAGCAAGCCCATTTCCGACTCGACCCACGTCAAGTACTCCTACGGAACCGAAATCTTACGGTTCGAAGACTTTGAAGAATTCAACCTGGAGTTGAATTCCTTGATTACAAACGAGTACCAGTCGATCTGCATTCCAAACATGAACATCGAAGTCCTTAAAGATATTGGCACCAAGTCCATGGTGAATTTCGACCTGATCGAGGTCAATGGCTACTTGGTACCTGTCACTGCAGACAGTGTGACCCTTCTGATTAAGGATGTCAAGCCATCTACAGAGCGCACAATTCTGGTCCAGGTTAAATTGAACATAGGAGTAGGCCAATTGGAGGATACTTTCGGTCCTATTCTGTGCCTCCAAGAGCTCCCAATTATTCGGTGGCAAGCCAAATGGCTAGGGGATTCCAATTGCTCTGGAAGCGTTGGATCCAAGATTTCACAAGCCCGTGGTTAATTGTGGCACTACGTAACAATATACCCACTACAATAGAATACTCAAGCCAGTATAGTGTGATCTGGACTTTCTTCTGATTCATGTAAAGTACGCTTCAATAGCGACACTGCCACTGTGCTATTGTAAACAATACAGCCAGCCATCTGATGCTCAGTTTTGTAGCGCGGAACATCACCAGAGGTGTGCAGCATCAGCAAACGGTTAGTAAAAGTAACTCCGCCCTGAGGCAGGTGCTGTGTCATTTCAGGTGACAATAAGAGCTCCTGCTGAACGAGCGCAGGTTCTCGAAACCACCGAGCGCCCAACTGCGTCCCACACAACCACTGCCGAGCAAAGGGTGGATCTACGTGTGTATTCGCAGAATACAGTGTGGGGAGACCGTTGTACGATGGTAGAAACGGGATCTTGCCCAGATTGGGCCCCCACTTGGATTGATGAAGGCTTAGGGCATGTATCGGTTTTCCAATTAAGCAATTTTAATTAAATAGTGATCCCCTCTCTCGATAATATGCCAATGACCATCGTTGGTCTTTGTTGGAAGAGGCTAAAGTGGATTTCCAAACGTCATGGTGGTGTTTGGGAAATTCCTAAATAGGCAATCTGATTGATCGCAGCTGCAAGTAATATAAGTGCAGCGGTGACACAAAACTTAAAAGGATAACTCAATTCGCCCCGCCGGCGTTCATCACTGCCCGAGGGCTGGTTGCCAACACGATTTGTTTACGTTTGACCCCGAAATCTGCCTATGATCTCATACATGTCAAGAGAACTTTAATAATTTTTGTTGCTGTGCCTTTTTTTTGAAAACTATATAAGTGGTCCTCAACAACCCCAAATCACAACTCTCTCACCAGTTACTTCCACAACTACACAATAAACATGTCTCTTCAAGTCCTCAACAACCCAATTGCCTTGGCTTCCTTGACCCTCCTCCAGCTTGGTGTTTCCATGGCTGCAAACAACAACGGTGGTCTCGACGAAGGAAACCAACAACAGGCCGCAAAGCAAGACACCACACAAGCGAACAACGAGAAGACAGCCACTGATGCTAAGGAAACTGCTAAGGAGACTGCTGAGACTGCTCAGCAAACCAAAGCTGATGCCACTGCCCAAACTGCTACCGGCACTGGAGCCACCACCCAGTGGTGGACTCCCCAAACCGCAGCCACTGCCACCGCAACCACTGATGCCAAAGCTGCTTCCAAGGAAACGGATACTGGAGCCACCAGCCCTGCCACCTACAACCAGTTCGGATTCACTGGCTCCCAATCGGTGTGGGAAGCGCCTTCCACCCTTTCTTCGGTTTCTGGATCCTCTGTCTCAGGATCCTCATCGCTGGCAGCCCACTCCATTCAAAACAAGACCACTTCAGGTGCAAATGCTGTCAGGGGAGCCTTCCTCCCAGACAAGGATATGTCGTTGCAAAGAGCACTCTACATCGGTGGATTTGTGGGTTTGACTGCCCTTCTCCACGCGTTGTGATTGGACGCTTTCTCCGCTTGCATTTACCCATCATTTAGTTCCCTGTATAGTATTAATTCAATCTGTGTTATTTAAGGTTTGTAACGGTTGTTTTAGACCGTTGGAATGCATTGGAATGCGTTGACGAGTAGTTTGCGCGACTTGCTTTTAGACGGTGTTTCAAATGTCAGGTGAAGGTGTTCGAGAAGCATTCGATCTTCTGTGCTGAAACGTGTACACGGTTCGTAAATCGTGGCCAAGGGTGGACAAGGGTTGTTTGTTTACGGGTAGCGTGAAGGAGAGGACAAGGGGGAGTTTGTGAATGTGAAAAAGCTATGCGTGCAATCCAACTATGTGAAGACCACATCAATGCTTTTGTGCTTAACAGGACTCAATCGGTTAGGATGTGTCGGTTGATTCATATGTCGACTGGCCCTGTGTATAGTGTGAAGAATGGATCTGAGGTTCCTAGGCGTGGGGGTCGCGTCAGATTCTATGGCCAAACGGAATCCGGGGTGAGACTTATTCATAACCATTCGTCTACGAACCGAGAGACGCGGATTTCAGCTATTGTACTGTGCGGTTGTGGTCTAGCACCTATACTACTCGAGTAGCGGTTCTGAAAATGGGCTGACGAGGTTAGGTTATGAGAGTCTGTTCTGTAAGCAATTGCAGAATTTGTGGTTGAGAATTGTAGGCAAACATGTGCATTTCATCATTCCACTGACGATGTCAGGTGGCCCTGTGCCACGTGGAAATCGTGCTAGACTGTTACAGTTTCCTGTAATCCGAAGAGTTGAAAAGGATAAAATATTGGAGTGATGTACTGTTAATTAAAGCTACGAAAACCAAAGCTGTACGGTGAATTGGAAATTATGGATTACCTTAGTCAAGTCTATAAATTGGATGCACAAGATATCCAGTTAAAGGACAGGCGATAATGACTAGGAATCCACTGGATTTCTCCCACTATACTGCGGTATTTGGCGTGATGTTCCCTGCTAGAATATCTTCCCAAACCTCGAAGAATACTTTTATCTGCAACAAATATGTCTTTACATCAGCATAATCCAGAGTGAGATCTGCATACTATACTTTCTCACTTCTGGTGTATATCAGATCATCTTTCGCAGCCGAAGACGGATTAGTACCCCAAATCCGATGCTTCAGTCTCAAACGGTAAACGACTCTATTTTAATCATGCCCAGAACTCCTCGAAACACAAACCCGTCTCGGGACACCCTAGAGCCCACAAGTCGATCCACTCTCTCGAATAACCACTAGCTATTTTGCATACCATTAAGGGAGTATTGGTACGCGCACCCTCAACCTGACTCACTATATCAAAATGAAACATCTCCACTCCTCTCGATTCTTTCACGGCTTGCTACCCCAGAATACTTTGACATGTCGTATGACCCTCAGATCCAAAGATTGGAGATCGAGAATTACATCAATGAAAACTTCAAACATCACCCGTTCCTCAACAACCAAGGAAACCTCAAATACTTAGCCGAATGCATGCGTCGAGCTTACCTCCGTTGGCATGTTCTTCTTTGCATAGATGTCGAAGCGTGGGAGAAAGACAACGAAAAGGTCACTGAAATTGGTATAGCATTGTACAACCCCATTGGTCAGGAGTACGCATTGGTGCCCAACATCAAACAGGTCCACATCAGAATCGAAGAGTCGTTGAGGCTCCGCAATGGCAGATACGTGCCAGACCATGCCGATTACTCCAATAGTGGTGTTTCGTACACCATGCTGGAGGAGGACGCAGTATTATATCTTCAGGCATTGGTGGACAACTATATCAACCATCCACCACTATCTGCTCAAGGTGCGTCCTTGGTGGGCCATAACATAAGAGGAGATATCGCTTGGCTAGACAAGCTAGGAGTGGATTTTCATGAAAACCTTAACTTCATAGACACTGAAAAGCTCTTTGCCCTCTCCAATGGGAAACAGGGAGCCAGCTTGGTCAACGGCCTTGAACGTGTCCAAATTCCTCATGCGTACTTACACAACGCAGGAAATGATGCCTACTACACCTTACTCTTGGCAATGAAACTCTGTGATCCAAACGCAAGACGTTTCTATAACTTGGACTTTTTGGTTACCAAAGAGTTCATATTCCCTGAGATCAGAGGCAAGAAATCCCGAAAAAAGAAGGATCCCAATAGGGCCAAGCTTTTGGAAGGAAATATTGATGAGTTGATCATAGACATAACAAGGAATTGACTTACATTCTGTGTTTAATGTAAATGGATTCTTGATTGCAATTCTATGGTAGGGACTTTAGATTCGAAATATGTTCAGCTACTTAAAACAGGAACACAATGGTCAATTATTGATATGGTACTGTGCTATGCTTGTTTTCACCAATACATTAGTACACCCTCTGCTCTATTACTAACGTTGCATTATAAAATTTTCATTCCTGCTAATGTACACGATGGTCGCTTCTTCATTAAGTTTATATCTGTAAAATGGTGACTGGTGGATCTCTCAATTGAAGCACTTTCCTCGAGCCATGGCGATCGCCAAAAGTATGTCTTCCCGCTTGTTCGTCCCCTAACTTACGAATTTGTACTTCATCTACCAAGAAGCTGGCAAAGTTGCACAAACTACTTGTACAAACTACTTGCCTATCCGAATTTGAGTACAGCACCAAGCTTCCCTCCTCGTCATGAATCTTGTAACCAACTTTCTCTTTCATACCCTTAACTAGAAATGACCTAACAATCTAGAGCGAAATTTGGATTCTGGTATGGTTAGTATTCCTGAAAGCCATTCACTTGATCCATCAAAGTTCTCTCAAATTTCTCACTCAACTGACTTAATCTTAGCAATAACCCTGCACTTAAACTCTTCAATCTTTCGTCAATCATACGTTCCCAAGAGTTTTCTAGCCATTTTTGCACCAAGAAAATAAAGTCACCGTATGTAGTTATCAAATAATGTCCGTCCATGATGTCACATATCAACATCATTGAAGTTATTATGCTTTCAACCAACTGGACCTCATCAAGTTTTACCCTTTTAACCAAAAGCTCTACCACGAGAAGCATTTCACGTACCATTTCATTTAAGTTCAGTGCCGATGGATATGCTGAATGAAGTATCAAAGTTAAAGTGGATAGATAGTGCCCGATAAAAATGGGGGTATAGGGGCCGATATCTATCTCTCCTGCCTCATACCAAACGCTGATTAAAGGGAAGAAAAATCTGCTTCCAACCAACTTATAAAACCCTGCTATCTTGGGTTTGTCTGCAGTCGTTTTCTTTCTCAATCCACTTGAAATTCTAATAACCTTTCCACCGTGTATCTTCTCCTGTGCATTTTGTGATTGCTCCTGCATTAGCTCGTCCTGAAGTCCGGAGGTAATTGATTGAGTGGATAGAGAATATTCCTGAAACTTTCGGTGAACGTTCTCGGGAAGCATTTTCGAAGGGAATTGGAGTGGCTTAAATGAACTTGCAACTGCAGAATCTTTGAAGCCCTTCAATTCACGGACGGACAATGATGCTGCGGAAAGAATCACCATCCTTTGTTGTAATGAATAATCTCCCACAAGTAAAAGCTTGAATAAGTGTAGCGTAACATCAGGATTCGCTACGATTATGGCAATCATAAAATTCAATTTAGCGCTTTCAAAGTCTTTGTCTTCGAATTGGTTATTCAAGCCAATTATTGTGCTCATCAAGTCCTCCGAGAAATGTACTAGTTCATTGCCGAAGTTTCCTTTCTGACGGATCAATGTAGGTCCATGCTTTAGAGCTGATCTTATCATTTCGTATGCATTTGGATTTTTGCTGTCCGCGTTTAGGTATTCCAAAAGGTCTTTGATGTATATAGGTCTAGAGACCTTTACTCGTGGCCCAATTGTGGGATCTTCGTCATCATAGTCTTCATCTTCATCGTCTGAGTCAGAAGTGTACGTAACAGATTTGGTTACCGATAGTCTTGAGATCGCTTTTTGTAAGTTCCCATTATTAATCTGTTCCATTCCTGGTTCTTCGACAGTAGGGGCATTCACTGCAGCCCATGGACTTTGATTGGGGCTAACAATGGATACATCTCGAATGTTTAGATCAATATCTGCTTGATGGTCCTTAAAAATCTTCTCCTTTCCAGAATATTCACAAACCTGGTTGGCCAATAGAATACCCAATTCTTTCACGCTATTAGAATTCGACAGCAACCTAGTAGATACAGCATCCAAGAACACCTTATCGCCCATTATCTTCTCTAAGAATTGAGATCCCTGTTTGAAGGAAAATAGATAAATCAAAAACTCTGTCCTGGATTTCTGAATGACAATTGGTTCAGCTTTGATTGTATAATCGTCTCCCCAGTTTGAAATTAGTTTCTTGGCAAGAGAGTAAAGCTCTATGTCTGTCTGTCTTGTCAAAATCATCGCCAGGAGCAAATTTAGCGAAGTATTCAAACAAGAAATTATCTGGTCAATTAACCTTTGGTTGAAGTTTTTATGGGTAAACTCTAAGATTTCGAATAGCCCATTCATAGATTGATCAGATAAATTTGATCGCACATAGGTGTTCAAGAACTTCGTAAAGAACTGTGTAAGCAACTCCTTTTTTTCGAACGATTTCATTATGTTAAAAGACTTGGTAAAATAAACCCAGTTTGCTTCGTTGAAAATCAAATTAAAGTAGTGGTTCAACCCAGACGAGTTGAATGATTTGATTGAGTGTATATACAGATTGACGATTGTTAAGTTGGACTCGTTTCGATACAAGGATAGTATGCAATGGCTCAAAAATCCGAGATAGGCATCCGAGGAAGCAAATATGGTGTTTTCCGTGTTCAAATCAAATTTTGAGAAGATTTCAGCACAAATACTAAATGTCTTTCCTTTGAACAACAACTTATCGATCTCTTTGGATTGGACGCTACTTGTGGAAGGAGATACGAGTCTGGTGATCAAACTACCGTCAAAAACATGGATGAGCTCGTCGAAATACAATTGAAGAAGGGGCTTGGATTCGATTGATAAAGTTTGAAATGACGCTATTTTTGCTAGAAGGTTGCCCACTCCTTCGAGACATTGTAGGTAGGAAGTGATGAGTGCTTTGACTGATGGCGGGAGAGCATGGTATGTTTCAGGGATGGTGTTGTTGAGTAAGATTGTGACAAGCTTGGTAGAAAATGGGAGTATTGAGTAGCGTTTTAGGGTGCTTTCGATCTCTGGAATCGATGGTTTCTGCTCAAGCAGTCGGAGTTCCTGGTGGTCCATGGAAGAAATCAGAGTGATATAATTGCGTGCTGGGCTGAGTAAGTGACAGATCTATGATGCAGCAGAAGTGATATGAGTGAATTATGGACCTAGACTGTGCGAATGAAGATATCAACGTCTCCAAAGGTGCAATCTCCGATGCAGTATGTTCTGTTTAATCTGGGGAGATGATGTCTCTTTGTAGGTGCAAATATGCGACATCGATGCTGCGACACCTTGATTCAGATGCGACACGATCTAATCCACCACCAACCAATGCTATCCATGATCTCCAGGCATATTGCCTTCCGGTCCTTGAGGTGTTTCCTGCAGTGTTTCGGTCCTCGTACTGCTGCACGCGTTCAGGATATTAATCCAGACATTCTGACTGGGGCAGCGCCCCTTATAGCCAGCCATGAGCGTTTGAAGACATTAGAAAACAGTTCCGAGACGTCAGAAGTCTCTTCCAAGCAGCAAAATGGACACCGTTTGGCCATGGAAAAGTATCTCTCGAGCAATCACTTCCAATTCCAGGAAGGTAAGGCCGCACAATCTATCAACACCCTCCGAGCAGCCATGGAACTAGTCTATCCCAGAGAAAGGCCGTTGGTGGCCATAGACGTAGAGGCGTGGGAACGGAGCCTTTCCAAAGTCACAGAAATTGGTATCGTGGTCTATGATCCAGACCAACTGCAGGGATCGATTTTTCCAGTGATCACCCCCATTCACATCATTATCAAGGAGAACATCAAGAAGGTCAACGGCAGGTTTGTCCCTGACAACAAACACAAATATTTGGGGGGCACCTCATATGTGCTCACATTTCTGGAGAGTCGCCAGTTGGTGGACCAGATCGTCACCAAATACATAACCAAACGTCAGGGAGCGTTGGTGGGCCACAACCTCTCTGGAGACATCAAATGGATCAAGAGCATCGGCGTCGAACTTCCCGAGAGCGTGCCGTCAGTGGATACCTTCCAGCTCTATGGCCTTTCACGGTCCACGGGAGCTACCTTGCGAGGCGTTTTGCGCCTGGCCAATATCCCACATGGCATTCTTCACAACGCAGCCAACGACGCCTACTACACCCTAGTGGCTGCAATGGCGTTCTGCGACCCAGAGGTCCGCAAGCACCAGCAGTTGGACGTGTATAAGGAGCTCGAGGCCAAACTGAAGTACCAGAAGCGTCAGGAGAAGTTCACTGACAGCGCTCGACTCGAGGAGGATGGTAGTGAGTTGTTCGAGATGTTCCGGTAGGATTCTGTGAAGAAGTTGGGTGAATCTGATTAGTGGTGCCATTTTACACCATTTGATTAGGTTCATCTGCTATCTTGCTGGTATGTTGATAGAATTTGATTCTAAGATATCAATTATGACACTTTGAGACATCAATGAACACTTCAAGGAATTAATCTGAACACTCCAGTGTTGACACTTTGAGACTTCAATCGTTCTTGAGACATCAATCACCTGGGGACTTAAAAAGAACACTTCCCGACATTAATCTAATCTTGTCAAGTTGATTCTTGACTCTTTTGAGATGTCAATATGCACTTTTGAGAAATTAACACTTAGAGACTCCAATCTGAGACTAAATTCTTACCTTAAGACTTCAATATGACTACCTTTCAATCTGGACGCGTTGAGGTCGATTTGGGTACTTTTAGCCAATCTATCACTTTCAGACGCCAATTTGAGCACTTTAAGGAGTCAATCTGAACACTTCTAGACGCCAATCATGACTCTTCGAGCCTTCAGTTCCAAGGACTTCAATCTGAGCTTTTGAAGTCATTCTAAACATTTTGAGATTCACTCTTGCACTTTTCCTGGTCCTCTATGGCTTCAAACCCCTGACCCGAATCACGGCTCGCTTGATAGCTTTCTCTCACCTCCCTCCACTCCTTTGGGTGGTTTCTTTACCCATCAGAATAGATGAGGTCAATGCTGTATCAACGGCTGCAAACTGCTGAACTGTTCAAGAAAGCTTTCAGAGCCGTTCAACATCCTTACTACCAGAGAAGCTATTACTAATGGATCTATAGAACCCCTAAATAGGAACTAGTCTTCGAACGATAGCTGTTGCTATCGGTCAGTGGAGTACAATTGTGGTAATTGTTCATATATAATTGCAATAATTTTGCCCAGGGCGTTTTGCAGCCCAATTCAGTCTCTCACTATAAATACAGCACCATTTCCTCGCTGCTCCACCAGCTACAATGCAATACTTCTTTTTCCTCTGCTATTGTCTACCACAAACAGCCTACGGGTGTAATTATCCTTGCTCCTTGCTGTGTTGCTGCGGCTACAGTGATTGTGATTGTCGGCACTGTTGCTCCACGTTTCGCAGACGCCTTAGTGCCATTGACGGAACCACACTCCCGCCCAGCTAGCGAGACGTCCCCTACAACGACACCCTCGCCAGTACGGTGCTGTGCCACTACGAGCTCCTTCGTTGGTCCCACTGAATTATCCTCGCCCCGCCCTGCCGTGCCCTGGCCCATCCCGTCTTTCTCGGCACCTCGTCATCGCTGTAAATAGCCCAAACAAACAACGCGCCCGCCAATACCGTCATCGCACTGACCATCCCGGAAATACGAGTCGTGCAGTCGTCAACAGTATAGATAAGGCTACAGACCCTGCTGAATACCTGAAAATTCCAGCTAGAGGTCCAATCGTCATCGCCCCACACTCCGTCCAAACTAAACTGGCATCCTCGTGTCTCATTTCCTCGGCATCCACACTCCCTCCTTTCGCCTTCCCATCCTTGTTTCTTGGACACGGTACCCCATATTCTAATGTCTGACGACGAGTACACCCCGCTCAACAGAAGGGCCTCCCACACCTTCCTTGACTCGCCTCTCGGCTCGTTCAAGGGACCCAACTCCTTGCACAACTTTGCCAGTTCGTTCACCAGGGCCCAGTCTTTCGCTGCCTCCAAGATCGATAACGATATCCACAAGAAACGGTCGTTCTTCGTGGAAAACATCGATGGCGACGACTATGAAGATGAACTCTTCGACCCAGAGTTGATGGTCCCCTCTATAAGAGGTGAACGTTTGAGTACCGTAATCCATGATATCTCTAACAGGAACCAGCTTTTCATGAATGAGTCCAGCCTCTCGCCAAACAACGACGTATTCTACCAGGAAGATATCATTAGTGCATTGAACGAGGGCAGGTCCAGACACAACTCCGTCCAGGGTATTGGCAGTGTTCCAATCCCTAGAAATCGCATGTACCCATCTCCATCGTTCTCCAGTTTTAGATCTGCCATTTCTCAAGTCACCACTGCGTCCCACATCAACTTGAAGAAAATCGAAGACAAGGACGGTAACATCGTCACTGTGTTGGCTGGTCAATCTACCGCACCTCAAACAATTTTCAACTCCATCAATGTGTTGATCGGAGTCGGCCTTTTGGCCCTCCCAGTGGGAATTTTCAAGGCAGGCTGGATTATCGGTATTCCATTGTTGATCCTCTGTGGTTTGGCAACATATTGGACTGCTTCATTGTTGTCAAAATCAATGGATACGGATAGCACTATCATGACCTACGCTGATTTGGGTTATGCGGCTTACGGATCCACTGCCAAACTCTTGATTTCATTAATGTTCTCCATTGATTTATTAGGAGCTGGAGTTGCATTGATTGTATTGTTCAGTGATTCTTTGTACGGATTACTTGGTGACGAAGAAGTCTGGACTAAAACCCGGTTCAAGATTCTCAGTTTTTTCATTTTAACTCCATTTACATTCCTTCCTTTGCCCATCTTATCGGTGTTCTCACTTTTTGGAATTCTTTCCACAATTTCAATCACTGCTTTGGTCTTGTTTTGTGGCTTTTTGAAGCCCGATTCTCCAGGCTCTTTGTTGCAGGTCATGCCCACAAACTTGTGGCCCCAGTCAACCCCAGATTTATTGTTGGCAATCGGTATTTTGATGGCGCCATTCGGGGGTCATGCTATCTTTCCTAACCTCAAGAGTGATATGAGACATCCTTACAAGTTTAAAAAGACCTTGAAGGTCACCTATTTCATTACCTTGCTTACTGACCTTTCCATGGGGGTTTTAGGCTTCCTCATGTTTGGTCACCATTGCAGCAATGAAATCACCAACACCCTTTTGGAGACTGCTGGATATCCAACTTGGGTCTACCCACTTATCAGTGGTTTGATTTGCTTGATTCCTCTTGCGAAGACTCCATTGAATGCCAAGCCAATCATTTCCACCTTAGATGTTCTTTTAAAGGTAGACACTCCTAGTGAGAAATCGGTGCTCAGGCTTGTGCAGTCAGTTGGCAGATTTTTTGTGAGAATTGGTGTCAATGCCATTTTTGTTGTTTTGGCCATTCTCTTCCCAGAGTTCGATAGGGTTGTGGGTATTTTGGGGTCCTCAATCTGTTTCTTGGTATGTATTATTTTGCCATGTTTGTTCTACCTCAAATTAGGTGGACAAAAGGTCAGTGGCTTCGAGAAACTCGTGGCCAACTTTGCTATTGTTGTGTCTGCATTGTTGGCCGTGGTGGCCACTTGGGCAACCTTGAAGTTTTAGTGAAGCTCATAAACCCAGACCTGTTTGAGAACCCGACCTTCATACCAAAACTGCCTAATGGCCTACGCAAAATTGATACCCCTAGAAACTGCTAAACGCTAGAATCAACCAATATAATACTACAATAGCAGTTAATAATACATATTCACCTACCCACTCACTTCATACTGTAATTATGGGGATATTGTCTGCCTTTCATAGGAGGTGAAACTCTAAACAACAAGAGTCTTCTCAAAAGGAAGCAATTGGTACACACCCGTTCATTGGTGTGCTCTCACATACAATAAGCTACACGGAATCATACTGGTTGATCAATGCAGGACACAAGTGTACCTTGTTGCGGTGCTATTCCTCAGTATTGCTTGAACTTCTGGAATTGAATTAAAGGTGCAGTCAGAAAATCTTCCGGTGAACAAATACGAGCTATACAATAAATATTACATCCCCAGCCTGCTGCTGCGCCATCCCTGGTGGTCTCCACGAATCCCCTACTGCCATCCCCTCCTGTTGCCGCTAACTGGAAGTATTTTGCACCCTCGCGCAACCGGCCCAAACAGGCAGGTCAATCCGCATTCCCCGTTATCACCCCAGACTAAGCCTAGCGGCTGACTCATCTGCCATCTGAGTGGCCAGTCTTCGACTACATAAACCCAGACTCTCCAATTGCTTGTACACCATCATGTACATCCCTACCAAATATAACGAACAGGACTGGGCCCAGGTGGAGTACCTCATTCGTCAATACCCGTTGGCTACTGTGATCACCAACTCGCCGGAACAAGGCATAGTGGCCAACCACTTCCCCTTCTACCTCAAGGAGGAGAACGGCAAGAAGGTGTTGCACGCGCACATCGCCAAAGCCAACCACCAAAGACCAGATCTCGTGGATGGCGAGGTGTTGGTGATCTTCAAGTCCGAGGACACCTACATCACGCCTTCCTACTACGCCACTAAGGCTGACACCCACAAGGTGGTTCCTACATGGGATTTCGCAGCTGCACACATCAAGGGCAGATCTAAAGTTATTGACGATACACAATTTGTACACACTCAGTTGAACAACCTCACCAACCAGCAAGAGAAAAACAGAGCCGAGCCCTGGAAGGTGGCTGACGCCCCCGAGAAGTACGTGGCGGCCATGCAGAAGGCCATCATTGGGTTGGAAATCGAAATCGACTCGTTTGCATGCAAATACAAGTTCGAGCAGGACAAGCCCATGCACGACGTCGACGGCGTGGTGGCAGGCTTGGCCAAAGACGACAGGCCTCAGGTGTCTGCGCTCGTCAGGGACACCAACCAGCGCAGGGTCGCCAAGTAGAATATAATACACACACACATTAGCCACATGTAGCACCTCATCAGTAAGGGGTGAATCTGGGAGCGCCTCTGAAGCTGCCTCCTCTGCCTCTGCCACGGCCTCCTCTTCCTCTGAACCCTCCTCTTCCTCGGTGGCCTCCTCTGCCTCTGTTGGTGGTGCTCAAGCCCGGGATGTTGGTTCTTTTGGCACTGACCTTCAACTCACGGTCCCGGAAGCTGGATCCGTCCAAGGTGGCCACCGCCTTGTTGACGCCGTCGGTGTCTGCGAACTCCAAGTACGCAAAGCCCTTGGGCTGTCCTGTGAACTTGTTGAGCAAAATGGTGACTCTCTGCACCACACCAGCACTAGCAAAGTGCTGCTGCAATTCGGCAGGTGTGGCGGCGTAGTCGACGTTTCCGATGTAAACCGACCGGGAGTCGATGTCTCGCTTCTCCTCGTCGGTCTGGGGAGCGTGGGGGTTCTCGGAGAGGACTGCTTTCAATCTGGCGACCTCATCGTCCAAGTGCTTTGTTTGGTGGTCTCCCGTAGTGATTTGTATGTCTTCGTCCTCTGTGGGTGCTTGTGGAAGCAGCACGTCGGCCTGCTCTGCGTATGGCTGCTGGAGCTGCTGTTGTTGGATGGGAACCTGGTCTGACATTGGTGTTGGTTGGAGATGTTTGAAGAATTCTTACGACACGCGACATGATGAGCAGCGCGGAGCACGTAGGAGACATCTTCAAAATATGCCCCGCTACATGATTTCAGAGTGAGACTAGAGAAAATAGAAGGATCATATGGCTTAATGACCAACTCATGGTAGATTATCTCCTTTATAAATTAACCCCCCTAAAGGCGGTCAGCTCTAACTAGATTTCTGGTTATTTGATTCAGTTTGTCAATCCTGCTATATATTGGGCGCCAAACGTTCCTGTACTGGAAGGAGATATTAGAGATAATTTCTTCACATCTCTTAGAAGATCATTAAAAATTTAGAATTGATTTTGCCTTCAGATTGCTAGATTATTGGTGGTTCTGTTTCTTCTGGTGAGTATCAGGTCATTTTCTGTTCCTTTGGTGATTGTGGCGTTTGCCTGTTACTTTGGTCAAATGTCGCAAATGATATGGAATTCTAAATACTCTTTGATAATAGTTCAGTTTTTCAGCCACCGCTATAAGGGCCCTCATAACTGTGACTTGTGTGGTTGTTAGATTATCTATTAGTGAAATTTGGTAAGATTTGGTTTTCTTTCGAAATAGATACCATAACTTCGTGCAGAAAGACGGTAGTTTCAGCAAATCTTATTATTAAATTCTTCACTACTCTGTTCCTACAGTGTTTGCCAAAGTTATCGCTAAAATGGTGGCATCATAACAGAATTCATGGACACACACGAAACTCTTTATTTACAGAATAGAAAATATCATAAGTGGTCTTTCAGAATTCATTAATTGCAAGAGATAGAGGACTAATTGTATACTTACCCGAAAAATATGAAAAGGACCCATCAAAAATTGGTTGTAGTGATAACGATAACTAGAAGTACTTCGCTGATACATTATTAAATTAATTAAATGGTATATAGAACTGAAATGTAGAGTCAACACGACATACAAAAAGGCTACCATCCTGGGATATTCCTGTCCCGGTTCAACCCTTTGGATAGCTGGTTGCCTTTAATGGACCTAGGTGCACTAATGCCCTCTTTTGGTGGGGATGTATCTTTGGTAGACCTGCCGTAGGCTGGAATAGACCCGTAGCCTCTTTTTTTGTACTTCTTGGTTCCATACAACGGCAACAATTGATCGGTTTCAGACCTGAGTACGTCCACATCGGTCTCATACCCTCTATCAATGACATACAGATCATCATCGATGCGGACCCTCATGAATGAAGATTCATCATTAGTAGGGAAAATGAACTCATTGGTAGAATTTACCTTTTTGTCAAGCTTGTTTTTAGAGCTTCCTAGACATAAAATGGCCCCTACCATGACTCCACCAAAAATAATAAGTCCCAAGATAATTCCTACCCCAACACTCACAAATCCAAGGTGAATGTGAAGGAAATCACCTCTTCTCTTGTGAAGCCAATCGAGATTCAACGGTTTTTCAATGAGAAAAACGCATGCACCATTGGTATGATTGCCTCTAAAGTTAAAAGAAGTACAACCATGTGAGAGAACCTTCACTTCGTGGTCTTTATTGTACGACAAAGCCTGTAACTCGTCGTTTTCCTCGTTGGTGTGCAATTTGATGAAGGACTTGCCATTCTTTGGATTTCTGTAGCACCGCAACTCAACATCACTCATGTTGGTACGGAAAAGATCCTCTTCCATGGGTGGTCCCTTATAAAAGGCACTATCAAGACAATAGAGCAACTTATCCACTTCGGAATTTGGAACCAAATGATATTCGATAAAGTCCAATAATTTAGAGTAGTCGCTGGTGATATTGAAGTCCTTCAAGGACTCAGAGCTGGGTATTAACAATGAATAGGATAGCTTTTCCGAAGCGTCTCCGAGTCCAATGTTAGAGCTTAATTTTGGGAAGTACTTAATCAAATCAGTGAACGAATGATGGGGATAGTCAGGATCAGTAGCAGTTTCGAGCAAGTCTTTAAATGGAATTTGAAAGTCCTGGGGTAACAATACTGACTTGATAATATGCACCACTCCCTGGTTAAACAAAATATCTGAATTTAAAGGTATTGGTAACTTTGTTTCATTGAGTGTAATAATATGATCAAAGTGGCCATCAAAGTATCCCTGCTTTACCTCCACACGATCTCCCCTCAAGTTGACTGTCTTTAAGTTTCTGTCATTATCCACAAGCCCAAAATCAGAATAAACTGTTCCCTCTATGAACATACCTTTTAATATGTCCTTGAAGATTTTCGGTTTTGATTCCAAGTAATCCAATACCAAACCAAGTCTATTCCACGAACCTTCTTTCAGCGCAACGGTCACTTCAGAACTATGGCTCCCTAAGCTATAAGCTTTCGCGCATGGCAAAAATACCGTGTATCCTTTACCTTTATCGTCCAATGAATACAAATTATGCTCGTTGAGGTATCCCAAGGTTGCCAAACAGTTTTCCTTGTCAATTTCAATGTGTTCAACATGTCTCTGAAGAGCCCCATTAGAGATTAGATCACCCAAAGAGTGCTTGAGTGATGAGGGTGCATTCAACTCCTTGTCTCCAATGTAAATGAAGGTATTATTGGCACAGGAGTGCGATGAGACGATATCAATATCGTCGTTAAGCGTTAGCTTAGTAAGGTTGTTGACCTTTGATGCAGAAAGTTTCAATTGGAAACACCCCCCAATTCTCTTTTTGGAACAAAGCCTTGAATCTAGTAATCGATACGAAGATTCTCTATTTTCGAGAATATTAGAAGGATCCACAACTTCACTTGAAAATTGGTACATCAAAGATTGCTTAGAGCTGAACGACTGAACTCCAAGATCCTTTCCGGAGAATTCTAGATCTTCATCGAGTAGAAGCTCTTCGTTCATGTTGAACGAACCTGCAACCTCCTCAGAATCGTCTCTTTGGTCGGCGTCCATGAAAATGGTTTGGTTGACCGTGCTTCCGTCAATCAAATACATAAGTTTCCTGAACTTTAGTTCCTTGACCACGTTCGAATAATGCAAAGCGTTGAGAGCTCTTCTTGGGATCAAATCTATTGTAGGAATACCCAATGCTTCAAAGAAATGCTGTTCATTCGCCTGGGGACCGTCGTGATTCAACGCAAAGGTGTGGATTATTCCGTTGGCTAAAACAGCGGACTTATTGGACGAGATCTTCTTGTTCAAAACAAGCCGGTTGTCCACGAGGGAGACATGGTACTTGACGTTATCAGACTGGCTGAAGTAGGAGCCATTGGTGCCATTTGCGCCGCCCACAAGTTCTGTGAGCATCAAATGACTCAAGAGCTGGAGAATGTCCGACTTCATCTCGTAAATTGACTCCTTGGCAGTGTCGTACTTGTTGGAGATTGTGGTACGGTATAAAGCCGTGTAGTACGCGATCTCCAACTCCAGGAGCGAGTTCCTGATGAACTCGTCGTTGGGCACGAATACTGTTCGGATGTTCTTCATGAAATCCTCGCAATTGGTGGGTAGCTTCTTTGCTTTGTGCCTGGAGTCGTCCACATCGTGGTGACTAGGCGCAAACACCAGCTGGAACAAGTGCTTGACGAATGAAATGTCGCTGGGCGAGTCGTCTGCCAAGAGGAACTGGCACAATGACGGCTTGAGCGGGAGGAGCCTCTCAAGGCCCTGAATGAACGAGTGTTGATGTTTGGCGTAGATGTCGGGATCAACGATGGTCGACACCTTGTCAACCACGTATTCTTGGGACTCCCAGTCGGGTGATACGCTAATGGTGTATCGTTTGGTGTCCAGGACGTTATAGAGGGTGTTGAACACTACCTCCTGGTCGCTCAAGTAGCCAACCCGGAATCGCTGGTCCACGATGTAGCGAAGAAGCTGGTCTGGGGTGTCCATCCCAGCAATGTCGGACTCAGCAAATGCCAGGTTGATGGGTGCCAACAACGTGACGTTCTGGAGGGTGTTAAGCTTCGGTATCAAACCATGGCGCTGGATGGTCCTGAGGAAGTATGAGTATTGGGCCTGTGACGAGAGGATGTCGACAAGGGTGGACGGCGTGGGTTTGGGCTCTATGCTGGTGGAGGATGTCGCCGACACTGCCACGCGAAGGAAGTGCACGAGGAAGAGGAGGTGCCACAACATTGGAGCTGGAGAATGGAGCAGGTGGGCTTATCGTATTAATGATATCATGACGTGTCGCGTGTCGCGTGCGACACGGGGAGTGAAGCGAAAAGTGATTTTCAAAATTGAAAAAACAAGCGTGTATATAATAAGGAAAGAAGAATTCTTAGGGAATATGCAGTCGTGTTTGGCTATGGGCATGGAATATGTTGGTCAAGTGCCCAGGTGTGCAATGGGCACCGATTGGGATACTAAGTTATCGCTGAGATCAGCTCACAAAGCAGGTTATTGTTGAGCTGGTGCGCTAAATCAGTAAACCAGATCAATATAATAGCTCTCGATTGTGTTGGTACGGTGCGCTAAATCAGTAACTAAATCAGATCATTATAATGGCTCTCAATCACTAAAATAATAATCTGGAAGCTGTTTTTCCACATTTGTTATATTGAAGGATCTATTGGCTAGTGCTAGAAGTATCCTTGAGCATTATTTTATACAAGGGAAGGTATTGATTTCTGAGAAATTCTAAAATAAAGTTAATCAGAACATGCTAAATCGAGGGTTGAGTGTGGGGCAATTTACGAGAACTTAAAGCATGTGGGTAGCATTAATCACAAGTTGATTTGAGCATCGTATGTCCTAGGAAAAGATCATTAGGGAGTGCATCAGGAGAGTGCATTCAAAAGAGCTTTAAGAGCACTTAAAATTGCCGTAAATTGTACGAGGAGAGGAGCATTCGAAAGAGCATTTATTGAAGGGTTTATTTTGGTGATTATTAAAGAGCATTAAAAACATAGAAGAGCACATAAATTTCCGTAACTGTCGAGATCTAATGAGTCTCTTCGTGTTGAAATGCCTGAAGTTTTCCCAATTCACTCATGGACCCGCCAAGAGATCACATTAAACGAAAAGCTAAAATGAATCGTGTTTCGCATTCTACCTAGTACTTCGGACAACTCGCTTGTTGTAGTTATCGACGCCAGGGGAATGATCTCAATCTAGATGAAGATCTGATGAAGCACTACTAAGCCTCTTTGGCTGGGTCTGAAACTCTCTGGCCTCGCCAGGCCTCATACCTTCCAGCGGTTCCAGTCTTCTTAAATCCTCCTGCCGTTCCAACCTTCCAGCCCTCATGCTGCTCTCCAGCCCTAATCATCCCATTCAGTTTTGCCATCCACCCCCTCCTCCTTCACCCCGTGGATCTGCGATATCTCCGCCGCCAGATCCGACTTGGCGAGCAAATTGTCTATCTCCCTCTAGCGGATCCGCTGCATCCTCACCATCTGGGCCATTTTTATCGCCAAATGTGCTCGCACTTTCCAACGAGCAAATTAATCCCAAAAGCAGTAATCTTTCACTGATAATTTGCTCTCGTCCACCAGTTATAAATTTCAGCCTATTACCACAATGTAGGCTTACCATTATCACTACTATGTTTGGCCACACCAAGAGGTCGGTCACGTTTGAGGGCTTGGACTGCCTCGCAGACACCAAGTCCCACGAGTACATGATGGCCAGAATGAGACTGCAAAAACATGTTCCTTTTATCGAACAGCCCAAATACGGCAAGTACACCGTGTACTTTGCCGTGGTGGTGTTGTTCATAGCCACCGTTAAGCACGCTTGGTTCCTCCAGCGCGACTACTTCTACAAGAAGCGCCCCAGCTCCAATGTGGGAACTTCGCTTGTTGATGTGCTAGTGGCCTACTGTCGTTTCGTGGGCTACAAGCAAGTGCCAGCCTCTATCAGCTACTTCACTTCGTTGCCACTGTCGATTGGCTCGTCGCTCTTCATGATAGTGTCGGGCTTGTACATGTTTTGCTACTGTCTTGTCCCCCATTTCTGGTACAGAGGATGCAGAGGTTTTGGCTCGCCTCCATTGGCTGTCAGAGCAGGTATCATGGCCACAGCGTTGACTCCGTTCATCTACGTGATGGCAGGAAAGTCCAACATGATTTCGGTTTTGACAGGAATCAGCTACGAGAAGTTGAACGTGTACCACCAGTACGTGGGAGTGTCTGCACTCGTGCTTTCCATCATCCACACCATTCCGTTCATCCACCAGTTGCGTATGGAGGGTGGCAGCAAGCACCTCTACGACACGGTGTTTGGCGACTTCAACTACTACAGTGGTATTCCTCCTTTGGTCTTACTCGGAGTGTTGTGTCTCGCCTCCAAGTCCGTCATCAGAAAGTACATCTACGAAACCTTCTGGCACTTGCACTGGATGGCTGGAATCGCCTATTTCGGCACATTGTGGTGGCACATCAACGACCAGTTGGGTTGTGAAAACTACATGTACGGAGCCTTGGGCTTCTGGGCCACCCAGTTCCTCTACAGAATCTTGATGAAGACTGCCTTCAAACCCAACAAGTTGTTCTTGAAGCCCAGAAAGGCTCAGTTGAAGAAGTTGAACGACGGCATCTTCGAAGTTATCATTGCCAACACCGACGGGTACAAGTGGCAACCAGGCCAGCACGTTTTCTTGAGATTCGTGGGCTCCAAGTTCTTAGACAACCATCCCTTCTCCATCATCTCCATGAGCGACCACGACAACAAGGAAATGAAGTTCATAATTCTCCCCAAGAAGGGTATGACCAAGGTGTTGTTCGACCAATTGGACGACTTTGTCGCCAAGGAAAAGCTCGTGTACATCGATGGTCCTTACGGTGGCACCAGCAGAGACCCAACCACCTTCGAAAGAGTCGTATTGTTGGCTACTGGTACTGGTATCACTGCCACCCTCCCATACTTGAGTTTCTTGAGTAACCACATCAGAGACGTGACTGCCAATGGCAAGCTCCCGCTTATCACCCGTGGTATCAACTTCGTGTGGGTTATCAAGCACCACGAGGACATTGCCTGGGTTCGTGAGGAATTGGAAAGATGTCAATCTGTTGCTGGTGACTACATCAACATCGATATTTACATCAGTAGAGACCACAACGAACTCCCTGCTGAAAAGGCTATCGATGAAAAGAACGCCGGGGAATCCGACAAGTCTGCCCACGACATGGAAACCGAATTTTCCGTTTCCAGCTCTGCCCACTTCAACATTCACAACTACAAGCCAGACCTCAGATCTGTCTTGAATGGCCTCAAGGTTTCATTTGCCAGAAGAAACATGATCGTCAGCTCTGGTAGCGACTCGATGAGACTGGCTATTAGCTCTGAAGTTTCCAAATTACAGGCCTTGGTTTTCAACAATGACCTCAACCTGAACTCCATTGAAGAGGTGTTCTTACACTCCGAGTCTTTCGGATGGTAGTCCAGTTGGTGTAACTAATGGGGAATAGTGCACATTATAGAATTAGTATTAATTAACATATTCATTAGACTTAACATTAAAGGGTACAGTGCACATTATAGAATTAGTATCAATTAACAATAATTTAGAATCGAAAAGAATGTAGAGGAAATAGAATTGGAGGCGGCTGGTATAGAGAAATTTTGAAGTTGATAACAAATCGACTAAAAAGCCCGAACAAATTATGCTTTTCTCGGTCTGATTAGTCTTGATGGGTACATGGCTACATAAAATGCAAGTCTATACTTCAATCTTACGAAATGGGATTCAAGCGATGAGTATTTGTAAATAGTTCTGACGAATTGGGTACAAGTCGCGGTTATTCCCAAAGTAGAGATGTACGTACCAATTCGTCACAAACTAAGGCTAACGCAAACTAGCTGCTGTGTAAGCAGTTGCCTCGGGTCTCGCTGACACTTTCTATGTGTCAGAGTGGCAGAAACGAGCCGGAGAAAAGGATCATCGCAGGCAGGTCAGTACATTTTGTTACTATAAAAAAAAAACATTTTCCGAGCCCAAAGCAGAATTGGCACAGGTTAGCGAGGAGATGATCCATGAGAGTTGGTTTAACTGCAACTATAATGGGTGCTCTTAATTCTCTAATATTTGAACTGATAATAGGTTACTAATAGCAGAGCACCAAACCACATTAATTGACACCTGCCAATCGAAACAGCCTGTCTAAATGTAAGCAGACCATTAATAGTTCTGCCAATCAAACCGGCCCAGACTCCAGGATTTACCTACCGTTTTCGGAGCTTGTCATGGCAGTGCGTTGCCGTAGCCACGTTATGCTGGAAGTCCTAAATAGTGCGTTTCCGCCTCGTTCAAGTTCCACGAACGGCTGGCCATGGAGTAGCACCGGGAATGCTGAAAACGACCGTGTTCCAAACAGGGATGAGATGAATCTGGCCGTATATGCATCACAAAATCTCCCGAGCAACCGGCCAAAAGGTGCTAGCATCGCGTGATTCATGAAAGATGCATGCGTGGAAACGGAACAGGCGAATTTGGCTAGATCTCATGATATGTAGTGAGGTGGGGTTGAAGGCGAGAGGGAGCAGGGGGCCTGCGTCTACGTCCTCGGCAGGTGTAGCGTATGAAACGGCCTCGATAGAGCGGATGCCAACCACTCGTCGGAACAACCTGTAACAGGGCTCTTGTGCAAGTGCGTGTCCTCCACGATAATTCCTCCGGGTGTCAGAAAGGTGGCAGGCAAAGTGGTGCACTTTTGCATGTGCCCGTAGAGAAAGCTCTGACAGCTGAGCTGGTGGTGGCTACTCCTCCCCTCATAGCGGTTGTGGGGTGCATTTGAGGGGCTACGGCAGTCCCTGGCCCGTTTTTATAGTATGATATGGTTAAAGATAGCATAGCGTAGTCGCCTAGTTACGAGTGTTGAGCCCGTCGTTGCTCGAAATTACGAATTAGCTCTAGAATGGCTGTTGGGTCTGTGGTTACACATCATATGTCTAGTCTCGTGTGATAGCCCCCTAGCAAGTATTAGGAGCTTTTCGCAACTTTTTCAGTTTTTTTGAATTCGGGAGAAGAAATGAAAATGAGTAGTTAGATGGTAGAGAATGAACATCTGGAAATGTCAAGACAATAGCTGTCCAGTTATGTATACGACGAGGACTTCGTTCTCTCTCTGGTCTTGACTGAACACGTAGTGATATAATTACAGTTGAGATACTTCTCCCCACAGTGGGGCCAGGGGGGCTCAGTCCATGTAACATTGTTGAGGCTGCACCAGAACCAGGAAACAACGAAGGGTCCTTCGGCGAGCAGTTCCCCGAGATGCCACCAGCAAGTTTATCCATGTGCCAGATCGGTGGGTGTGCCAAGGCAAGCACACAATTTAGTCAAACCAGTCCGAACCAGTCCATTTCCGAGTCCGAATCCAGGGGTCGAATGCCCCACAATACCCATCACCACATTCATAACCGGGCCTCGTTCGCAACCAGTCCCCTTATCAGAACCGTCGCATGGCTCTGCCCCGATTGCTATCGCTCGGATCGCAAGGAGCCGCACATCGTTCAATAGGCTCGGGGTTCGTGCCTGTGCGGTGGTTACTTGCCCCCACACCGAACAATCGATTCGGTAAGCGATAACTAACCAGACAGGCTGACAAAGCCAGGAGCGATCGACGTACAATCTAGTGGATCAATTTCACGGAGGGGAGCGTAAAAAAATACCCCGACTAGGGTGCATGAGTTGGGCTGGCAGATACTCCGTGGGCCAGCGAAGGGTAGAGAAGGGCCTTGGTGAGGAAGAGGGGCCAGGAAGAGGTAACAGTGGCCCCCCAAGAACTGAGGCCCTGGACCCCATTAGACTATAAGGTTGGTGGTAGGGATCTCTGTCATTCCCAAGCAGGGAACTCAATGCACCCTGGGTAATGCAACCTCGAAGCACGGATAAAAAAAAGCCTTAGTGACCCCGCAAAAACTGGATGTAACCGTGGGGAACCGCGTGCCAACCAGGTAAATCCCTGGGCGACCGTCGTCTGTGATTGGCAGACGCTCCCGTAATAATTAGACGCGGATTAATGAAATGCCCCATGCCGACTAATGGATAAATGAGGATAAATGATGTGGGGATCCCCATACAGAATAACGTTAGCCACCTAGATAATTTTCACAAAAGTGTTCTGGGTACAAAACGCATCCGGCAAACGCCACCACCTGCAGCTCTGCGTGGGGAACCGTCCAACTCGTAGTGCCGTGGAGTTAACCGACATGGCTTGCTGCAGGAGCCAAATGTAATAATTCCGCAGTGTGTAACACCAGCGAATTGAGATGGGTCAGAGTGGTAAGAGTGGCCAGACGGGCCAGACGGGCCAGACTGGGCCATGTGGCGATCCCAGTCCGATCTGATCGTTCCAGCACCAGCACAGCCGTAGCCGGAGCCGTCACCTGCCCTGGCCGGCGTGGCTGTTCGTGACTCTTCGTGGCTCGTCATCGCTCTAGTGCGATCGCGATCTTCCGCACCCACATAAGATCTGGAGATCCAACGGTTGGCCCATCGTTGTTCGTTGCCGCCTTGGCGACGTGCTTGCAGCGTTACGCAGACTATCAGACGATACATCCGCGGCCACGGCCACGGCCACGGCCATGGTTCCTAGGCCTGACAGACTCTGGGTATTGGCGGGGCATGGAGGAAATCCGTCGGTAGTGACACGCAGCAGCTTGGCGTCAATAGCCGTATACGGAACAACTGGTTTGGTGCTGGTGCATGTCAAAAAGAAATTGCACATGTACCAGGCGATGGGGGGAGGATGCGAATCCAGATGCAACCTGGCCCCACTGCCAGCATTTGCGGGCCAGGAATGACGGCACGGTGCGCGGCAGGGCGGCACGTGACATGCGCGATTGGTCGAGGTGGGGATCTAAGCTGGAGGTGGCGGTTTTGGCACAGGCAGGCTGGAGCAGCCAGGGCTACACCTCCCACGTAGCCTATAAGGTTAGGCACAGGGCAGGGGCGCACTGGCGAACACTAACCCAGGCGAAACCCACGCGTCTGAGCCATGCCCACTGCACCCCACTGACCCCAACAAACCCCGACATTATTTTCTGACGGCGCGCATGGCGGTTTCTAATTTTACGGGATGAGTTGTTGCGGGGTCGAGGGGCCACGGACTTGTGGGCCCGGCTGGGTTGTTCCTGTTCGTAAAGCGGCATCTGGCTATGTGGGGCCCTGTTTTAGGTAATAAGCCGCTGGCATCACGGGAAGAGCCCTGCTTGGCACAGCACCGGTTCTGGTTCTCCGCCTTGGTGGCTTCGGTTGCTGTACACGGGAGAATACGACGCCCCTGGCTCGGCTCGGGCATGGCCGCAATAAACTTTGGCTTTGCTATTGATTTTCCTTCGTCGGGAGGCGTTCAGCCCCCCCCAGAGAACTAATTTTCCCGATCGTCACCTTTGTGCTCCGGCGTAATTTTTTCTGCCACAAAGAAAAAAACACAAAGCCTCCCGCCACAAAACCCAAATTACCACAAAAATCCCGGCCACAAAACGCCAGAGTATTTCCATATCCTCCATTTTGCCATAGTAAATGGCACGGATCACGGCTCTGGGTTAACCTCCACAAAGTCACCGGAGCAAATATTTTTTAGCCCCACCTTACCCCGTAGTAATTTTTCCTCCATTCTCTACCACTTAGGTGTTTCAAGTCATTAATGGGTTGACTTCTCCAATATTTGCAAAAGTATAAATACGTCCTCCGGTTTCCCAGTTTTGTTTTCCCATCATCATCTCATCTCAATAAAACATCCACAATGGGTTTAGAAGATAACAAGCTCTTACAGAAATACATCAACTTCGGTGAGAAGAAGGCTGGGTCCACCACCATGGGTATCTTAGTCGGTCTTTTCGCCGCCTTCGGTGGTCTTCTTTTCGGTTACGACACTGGTACCATTTCCGGTGTCATGGCCATGAAGTACGTCAAGCAACAATTCCCTAAGGACGGCCAAGAGTTCAGTTCTTCCGAATCCTCCCTTATTGTCTCCATTTTATCCGTGGGTACTTTCTTCGGTGCTCTTGGTGCTCCTCTTGTCTCCGACAGAATTGGTCGTAGATGGACTTTGATCATTGCCACCTTGTTTGTGTTCAACCTCGGTGTTGTGTTGCAAACTGCTGCCACTGCTATTCCTCTCTTGTGTGCTGGTAGAGCCATTGCTGGTTTCGGTGTCGGTTTAATTTCCGCTGTCATTCCTTTGTACCAAGCTGAAACCGTTCCAAAGTGGATCAGAGGTGCCGTCATTTCTTGTTACCAATGGACCATCACCATTGGTTTATTCTTAGCATCCCTTGTTAACCAAGGTACTCACAACAGAAACGATTCCGGTTCTTACAGAATCCCAATCGCTATCCAATTCTTGTGGGCCCTCATTTTGGGTGTCGGTATGATCGTCTTGCCAGAAACCCCAAGATTCTTTGTCTCCAGATCCAACGAAGAAGCCGCTAAGGACTCCTTGAGAAGATTGAGAAAGCTCCCAATCGACCACCCAGACTTGGTTGAAGAATACGAAGACATCAAGGCTGCTTACGAATACGAAATCCAATTTGGTAAGGCCTCTTGGGTCCAAGTCTTCTCCACCAAGAACAGACAATTGAAGAGAATTGCTATGGGTACCCTTATGCAAGCTTTCCAACAATTGACCGGTGTCAACTTCATTTTCTACTTCGGTACCACTTTCTTCCAAAGATCCGGTATTAAGAACTCTTTCTTGACCTCCTTGGCCACCAACATTGTCAACGTCGGTTGTACTGTTCCAGGTATTGCTTTGGTTGAAATCATTGGTAGAAGAAAGTTGTTGTTGTCTGGTTCCGTTGTTATGTGCATTTCCCAATTCATTGTCGCCATTGTCGGTGTCGCTGCTGGCTCCTCTTCCGCTGCTAACAAGTGTTTGGTTGCCTTCGTCTGTATTTTCATTGCTGCCTTCGCTGCCACCTGGGGTCCACTTGCCTGGGCTGTCTGTGCCGAAGCTTACCCATTGAGAGTCAGACAAAAGTCCATCTCTTTGTGTGTCGCTGCTAACTGGTTGCTTAACTGGGCCATTGCTTACGCCACCCCATACTTGGTCAACCCAGGTAAGGGTAACGCCAACTTGGGTGTCAAGGTCTTCTTCATCTGGGGTGGATGTAACGTCCTCGGTGGTCTTTTCACCTACTGTATGGTTTACGAATCCAAGGGTTTGACTTTGGAACAAGCCGACGAAATGTGGAACACTGTCCCACACGCCTGGAACTCTCCATCCTACGTTCCAGCCGAACACGCCTTCAGAGATGCCAACCTTGCCAGATCTCTCTCTTCTGTCGGTAAGGAAGAAGTCGTTTCCGAAGTTGAAGAAGTTTCCGCTTAGATACAAAAGAATCCTGAGAAGCAGTTTTCAGATTCTGGACCCAAACTTGCAAATAATCGATAAGTTTTGCGTCCCCTTTGTTATTAATGATCGATTTCCGATTACGATTACGATAAGCTCACTTTAATTCTTCCCTATTCTACATGAATCTATAATTTAATCTCTTTGGTATAGTATATTAATTTATATCTAACTATAACTGGTGTAGGACAACATTAATAACTGAACATTTCATCAATACTATTAGGATTATGGACAATAACTTCATTCTGATATAATTTGTATATGATTGGAATATCAGAGGTAGGGGTGTGTGTTTGATGGCCTTCAATACCTTCACAATTGAGTCTGGATACCAATAATTTTTCAATTCTCCACTAACACTTTTTGGCAGTAAAGTTGTTGATTTATGATACAATGAGACTGCTGGCAACTTAAGTGTTGAGACCTAATAATCGCCAAACAGAGTAGATCTACATGTATTTTTGCTCGATCATGAGTAAAGCAGATCAGTAATTTGCAATTTATGACGAAACAAGAGCAAATCTGTTATAGTTTATTTTTATCAGAAGATACCTTACTATAAGTTACCGGTAGAGCAACACTCAACAGCAGTTCTCTTGAATGTATTGATGTGTTGTGTTACTTTCAAAATGAGAGGACTGTATTATGGCAGTACCCAATTTGCAAAATCGGAAACTGAGGTGCCAGTCATCGTCCCCAGCCAAATTTCCGGTAGCGGGATGGAAGCCGTTGAAATTCGTGTATTTACTACCTCATCGATCTCTTGGGACGTATTAATATGTCAAGACAGGGGCTGTAGAAGTTCCGGATGAAGTAACAGTTGCAGCATAAAATGGGGCTTTGAAATGTCCCAATGGGGATTAGACTTTCGCTTATGTAAGGTAGCTAGAATCCAAGAAATTTATGAGTTGACACATGAAGGGGCCGAAAAGAGTATATCCGTCACTACCGCCCCTGAGGCTGTAGATTGGGCCACGCCGCGTCCATCTGATTGACCAACCTGGATCCTCCTTTTCGGATTTACTGATGTAGATCTCGGCGCCTTTCGCAGCGTAATTTTCCGGGTATTTTCTTCACAGCGGTAGTGAGTCGGAAACCCACATGGCATTTGCGCCTGCATACGCGTCAAACCAGCATACATACTGTCAATTTAGACACCCTACAATATTCACTCTAGTGAAACTTAACAGGGACGGGCCTCTGTTCTACTGGCGTGGCATCTTCTGCAACTACAATTGTCTCGGAAGCTCTGTATTGACACTGGGCTATATACTTGGACCATATGTTGCTCTCAGATGGATAGATAGCTCACTTATAGTCTCAGGATAACCGGAGTGCCAGCAGTTCCATCATCAATCGGCACGCTAATTGCTCGCAAAACGCTTCTCGGCCTCCTTCCAACTGATCACATTCCAGATGGCCTTGAAGTAGTCGGCCTTGACGTTTTGGTACTGCAAGTAGTAGGCATGCTCCCAGGCATCGATGGCAATCAATGGCACGTATGGCTCGAGCACGGTGTCCTGGTTGAAGGTGGTGACAACGTCCAAAGTGCCTCCATTCTCCTTGTTCTTGACAATGAAAGCCCAACCTGAACCTTGGATCCCTGCCAACTTGGCGTTGGTGAGTTCAATCAACTTTGCGACTGACCCATACTGCTTGACTATCTGCTTTCCCAATGGAGAATCCTCAGATGGGTGAACTCCACCACCCTGCGAAACGGGAGCCAATGTCTTCCAGAACAACGAATGGTTGGTGTGGCCCCCACCGTGGAACTTGATGTTTTGCTGAATTGCAACCGCACCCTTAACATCGCCCTTGGCCTCAGCAGCGCTCAATGCGGTGATAGCAGCATTGAAGCCGTTGACGTACACCTGGTGGTGCTTGCTGTGGTGGATACGGTTAATTTCGCCGGAAATGTGTGGCTCCAACGCATCGTAGGCCCAGTCTAACTTGGGCAACTCAATTGGGGTATGGGACATGGTGTTATGGGCAGAGAATAGTAACTGGGAAGGTGCTGAAAAATCGAACACTACTAGTTATTTGCTCAATTGTCGGATCCCTAATTCTATATATATTTACTAATGCAAGCTTGAGCAAATTTATTGCCTAACTGGAACCACGGAGGTTATTACTGTGAAACTAATTATTAGTAATGGTGCCAATTTGTGAGCAACAGTGTGGAGGTGTGGGCCGCCAACATGCTTAGAGCACTGGCAAGCCATGTGCTGTGGTGGGGGTTGCAGCCACAGAAGGGGGCAGAACTTCCGTACTTCAATACTGTGGGATTGGCCGCTCTGAGAGCCACCACTGTGGACAAAATTCTGCGAGGGAAACGGGGATTGCGAGGATTGGCAGGGAGGACGATTGGACGGGCTGGTTGGCCAATGGGGGCGCCAGGAGTAAGCGGAGGAAACTAAGCCTGTGTATAGATCACGTGACCAGAGCCGCATGGATCACATGATATCTCACCATGTAGCGGATGGGAAATACGACATTATGATACTTTGGAGACATTGCTAGGGGCACGCCCAACCATCAGTTTGGAGTGGGGACAACTAGGTGGAGAAGCTATCGCCAAGGTTGGCTGCTGCCGAGAGAAACTCCCTACGTAACAAGAAATTGATATTACTCTTTACTTAAGTACTATTTCCACTTGTAGTGCCGTCACCATTTATTAATTTCTTAAAGGCACATCATGTCATGGAGAAATACCAGTATGCCTTTGCGTAAATCAAATTACCCACCTTTTTGAGCAAAAATTGCCATATCGTGGCCCACAGATAAGCTCAAATGGATGAGTCGAAATGGAGAAATTAATAATGGTACAAAGAAATGATAGTTTGATGCGATTAAGCGGCTTCAAGCCTACTAAAATACTGAATAATAGTTATTAAAGCTAAAGCAATAGAATTTAAATTATGAAAAGAGAAACCAATAATTAAGGTACATGATATGATTTGAGCAACGACGACACTCCAGATGCTTGTATTAATGAGAGGGCCAACTATTTAGGTTAGAGGCACTTTCTAACCAAGCAATAGGGCTTAGCAGTAGCTGCTCGTCATACAATCATAACAGTTAGTGTCTCGTCTAGCTTGTAGGTTACGGAGGTAATTCGAGGCAAGTTACCTGAGTTTTCACATGACTCTCATCTAGTGTAGACCATATATACAGTAGCCTGACCTGCACTAAAATCGCACTGTCTCTGTTACAGATACTGAAACTTTATCTAGTGATACCGCTCTCATATGTATAAATTCTGATTTCGAGATTCCAAATTCTTAATTGCTTGTTTATGTTGCCTCGACATCCAGTGTAGTTCTTGTTCAACCTGAGTGAAATTCTTATGGCTTTAACTTAAAAGTCGTAGTTGGGCCAAAAGCATTTCCCTCAGGGCTAATTATTATGTCGCGTGAACCAGTAGTAATTTCACACCCCCTTACATAAGCTCTTCAATCACCCTTATAATTCGAACCGCAGAGAAGTGCAATTCTTTCGATTGGGGTGAAGCTCGCTATTGAATAAAAGTAATGTCCACATTGGATAACCATCAAGTAGAAGTGCCAATGTCTTTCGAGTTTCGACATGAAGATGGGCTAAGTAATGTGGTAGATGAAACAGGGGTTCCTGGTCTTGACGAAAATGACATCGATGATTGTTTGCCCTTAGTATCTCTTACAGATTTGAATACTTATGGGTCTATTAAGAGGCCTCTACTGCCCATTCCTAATGAAGTTAAAGAAGATATGCCCGAAGATGATCGGCCGGCAGCTTCAAGTACGGGCGAAGTAAAGCTAGAGGAACGCAAGTCTAGAAATTATCGTATGTACACTGTTAAGGAGAGGGAAAAATTCTTCGAATTCTGGTTAGTTAGACCTCACTGGTCTATCAGTGCGATTGCTAAAGAGCTTCGAATTCTGGCTAGAACTGCACAGCGATGGGTTAAAGAATACAAAGAACAAGGAGAGGTAGACGTTCCAATTCCGAAGCCCAGAGGAAAGTCCCTATATCCCAAGCTTAACGATACCCATAAGGAATTCATCACGGGCTACATTGAACAAAACCCTTCAGCTGTTCTCGATGAAATGATGGAAAAATTGGGTGAATCTTTTATGGATTTAACAGTTAGTAGATCTACCTTACATAATTTTTTGAAAGACCAATGTTCTATTACGTTCAAGGTTGCTGGGAAAGAAAGAGCCGACAGGAATTCTCCCAAAAATCTTCAGGGGAGATATGATTTTGTAAATAAAATCTTGGAATCTGACGTTGAATATCTGTGCAACTGTGTTTTTATTGATGAAGCAGGTTTCAATATCAACAAGAAGCGCTCGTGTGCATGGGCTCCCAAGGGTACTACTCCAGTTGTTAAGACTCCCAGTACCAGAGCCGAAAATCTTACCATTTTAGGTGCTATTTGCTTCCACGGAGTTGTTCAATTGAGCTTGAGAAAGCCAAGTCCACCTAGCAACAAAAAGAAGAGAATTGGAGGGAATGAAGTGATAGATACCTCTGAAGGAACTGTTACTGGTCATTTCAAGCAATTTTTATTAGATGTCATGGACATCTTAGATAACCACCCGGTAATGAGTAATTGCTATTTAATTATGGATAATGCAAGTATTCACAAAAATCCTAGTATCAGTAGGATTATTCAATATAGAGGGTCCCGTATCCTCTATTTGCCCCCATTTTCCCCCGAACTCAACCCCATTGAACAGTTTTGGCATCAGCTAAAAAGTAGACTCAAAAGAGAAAAACTTCTAGCCAAAGAAACGATTCAAACAAGAATCGCAGAGGCTGCGAATCTGGTACCTGTAGAATTTATTTAGAACGCTATAAAGCAATCAGAGGGCTGTTTCCCAATTTGCTTAGAGAAAAACCCACTTTAAATCTACCAGTCCCAACTATTTCGATATACAGTGTCAATTTCGACATACAGTTGTCCGTTTCTTTCTCTTCAATATGGCAATGTATTTAGGTATGTGTGAAACATACTCTCTGTTTCTGTGTTATTTATTATTCACGCTAGGACATTTAATGGTGTCATTTAGAAATTTCTGTTGTGAATCCGAAGTTCATTTCCAGTCTTTTATAGCCTATATAAACTACATAATTTTGAGCCGTATATTACCATTATTTCTAACACGTAGAGACTTTTGAAAGAGTCAAGTAAGATTTCACACTCAATTCCTAATGATTTCTTGCCCCATCGGTCACACCTAAAGTAAATTTGATAGAGACTTCCCAACGGATACAAACATTAAAAATGAATATGACATCCTGTTAGCGCAGGTCAGACTATCATCTTGGAAATACTTACTTATCGATCATGATAAATTAATGGTGTTTTCCCATTGCAATTGATATATTGTGGCACCCGGCTTTCGTGGTCAGTTAATTGGCTGTAATAGCTTTACTCTAGTTTCCACAAATCACCTATACTTCAATAGAAAGCATCGAGACGAGCGATAAACCACTAAACATGGTTCAAAGGTGCTGTTGCCCTGAATCAATTGTAGACATGCTCTAAGAGGTTTATGTAAGAAGCAGAATTAATGGCCTAACTATAATTAAGAATTACTTCACTGAAAACGTTCTGGAACGATTCACTAGCACAACTGCTGAACAACCCCGTCCTTCGGGCAAACACTCGTACTACCCTCATATGGATATATAATCACGTGACTTTGAGCACGCGACGTTTTTGCTTGCTGGTGATGCTCCGCTTGTGGACCCGCCTCCTCACGTGCCACGCGGCGCTCGTCACAACAGCCCCAGACGGCTTCATGTGACAGCCAGATCCTGCCCCAAAAAGGGACGTGCGCCGACCGTACACGTCTAAAAATAGGGCCACGTGGTCACGTGACCCGCCTGTCCCCGGCTAGCCACGATCTAGACTCCTTGGCGGCCCGTTCCCAATGTGGCACTTTGGTCCTCGTCTAAGCCTTGGGGCTAGACCGTCTCGTCCTCGTCGCGTGCTGGACTTCCGTCTGTCTCCGTCTCCTCTCCGCTAACTCACGCCAGCAATTGGCACCTGCCATTGTGGACAAGGCGCTGCCGCCTCGCAATCGTTCTATTCACACCACATGCCAGGTCCTGCCTGGGACTGCCTGGTGGCGGACAAATCCCCGTGGTAAAGTTCTCGTGCTGGCCCCTAGCGACAACTGTCGCTAGGTGCGCGACTCCCCTCGCGAGCCCGCGGGGCCTGGTCGTCACCTCCACGCTGCGCCCAGTACTGGCTCGTCCAGCAACCGTGCTACAACCGCACCGTACTACCGCACTACAACTGTAGCACCGCGGCCCACCGAACCATCAACCAGTTCTCTCTCTATTCTCTCTCTTCATCTTCTTGTCTCTCCCTCCCTCCCTGCCTCCCTTCCTATCTCCCCTTTGACACCTGCACCACCGTGCCCTTATCTACTCCCAATCTCGCAGCTGGCGTTTCAGGGTAAAAATAGCCCTCGCTACCAACCATGTCGCTCCAGCCTGATCAGTTTTTTGATAAAAGAGACACGTCCTTTTTCACCAAATAGATGACACTTGAGTGCCAGCGTCTATTGTCCATTTGTTAACCAGCGGCAACCTTCAGCACGCCCAGCCTGAGCAGTCGGCATCGCTCGTCAGATATTACCAGAACTTCCTTCCAGACCAATCAGCTATCAACAGTCATCAGTTCTTCCCAGTCAATCATCAGTTCTTCCTCCCAGAATCATCAGTTCTTCTACCAGAATCATCAGTTATTCCACCAGCTCTTCCCCAGTTCCCTACCATCCAGCTTTTGCACCAGCTCGTCCCGGTTCTTAAACGCTCACTTCCCCCATGAGCCACTCGCTGTCCCCCACAAACAGAAACTCCATCTTCGGATGGGTCAAGAACCTCAAAAGAGGCAACTTCCTCTCCAACGAGTCCGTCAACGAAATCACCTCCGACAACGACTTGCTCTCCACCGAGTCCCGCTCGCCTGTCAAGACCCACCAACCCAGCATCCCCATAGCCGCCCCCAACAAGGCACTTCCATTCCCACCACAACCCTCGTCGTCGCCTCCCGCCCACCAGCAGGCTCCCGAGTTCTTGAGGCCGTTGCTCAACCACAAATCCCGTTCCAGCAACAACGTCAACCGCGTGCGTTCCAACTCGCTATCCCAGTCAGAAAAGTCCGCCTCCATCAGACAGCACCGTGACTCCTTCTTGCAGCACCACCTGTTGGTGGACGAGAACAGCAAATACTTCGGAGTGCCGCTTGCAGACGCCATCAACGAGGCGTCAGCCAAGATCTCCATCTTGAATCCCAACCCATCGGATCCTGGTGTCACCTATGGCGAAATCCCCATCGTGGTGGCCAAATGCGGTGTGTACTTGAAGAATAATGGTTTAAACGTGGAAGGCATCTTCCGGGTGGGAGGCTCGTCCAAGCGACTCAAGGAGCTCCAGGTGATCTTCAATTCGCCTCCAGACTACGGCAAGAAGTTGAGCTGGGAAGGCTACACCGTGCACGACGCAGCGTCCATCTTGAGACGGTTTCTTAACGCGTTACCCGAGCCTTTGATCCCGTTGGAGCTCTACGAGGCGTTCCGGGACCCATTGAGATCCAGATCCAGAATCATCAACTACATGAAATACAAGGCAGAAAACCCCAACAAAAGCTTGCGGCCCACCTCCAGCAACAACAACACTCCCGCACCCGAGTCTGCCAGTCCTGAAATTAAACCCCCAAAACAATTAACTCCCGTAACTACCCCAGCAGATCTCTTGGACTCGTCCGAGTCCCAGCCGTTAACCGAGGCAAACATAGGAAGATTGAACAACCACGGCTCCTCGAACCCCTCATCGTCATACAACCAAGTGGGCTACTCCCCTGTCCATTCGCATTCCCAATCGGATCTCTCCCACATCAAGAGTCAGCAACAGTTTGAGTCTGCTGCAGACGAAGCTGCTGCTGCAGAATCAGCAGCAAAGAAGTCAGCCAAGAAGTCCAAAAATTATAGAAAGTTGACCAGAGATGTGCATGAAGTGATAGACGAGTACAAATTGCTAGTGGACGAATTGCCTACTTTGTCCAAGCAATTATTGTTCTACATCTTGGACTTACTTTCGATGGTTCAGAACAATGCGGATGAGAACTTGATGTCCTCGAGAAATCTTGCTGCCATCTTCCAGCCTTCAATCTTGTCACATCCCAACCACGACATGGATCCGGTCGAGTATGCATTATCACAATTGGTAGTTGAATTCTTGATCCAATACGCCTACAAATTATTACCCAAGCAAACTGGATCCATGCACCCCTCGCCTTCAAAGTCCCTCGTGAAGACTCCAGAAAGAGCTGATTTACAACTCGATGTGAACGATGTTATCGGAGAAGGGGAAGTCGAATTGAAAACAAAACCAACTGTCACCACGAACTTTGGTGCAGACGCTGCTAATCAATCCAGCAACGTGACATCTACCAGCACCACACCAATCGAAAGTGAGCCAAGCAATTTGTTAAGCAAACCCCCCCAACCTCCTTTCAAGAGGCAATACAGCAAGTCGTTACCCATATCCACCAATCAAGATATGGTTGGACTCCATGACACTTCCAAGTCCTTGGGATTGTCTGATTACGACAATGATTATGAGATCACCGACGATGATAATGAGATTGATATGTCAGATTTGGATGAGCTTCACCCAGGAAATTTGCATTTAAACTCAAATGATACCAACGAGCCAGCTGAAACCGCCCCAGCTGCGGCTGCCAACCCCAAGGTGGCCATTATTGTTTCAACTCCCTCTACCACCTCAGTGCCCCAGGCTTCCCTGGCTGCCCCATCTGAACAAAGATAATCCGACATCTTTTGTAGCTGGGCATGCACAGGAATTGTTATTATACCCCCTTCACTTTCATCTTGTCATTATTCGACCCTTGTGGTCCTTTTCTTTTGACTTTTTCTGTCTTATTTACATGCTTTCGTTCGCTTTTGGATCTGCTGTTACGGATCTGTTCATTCCTTCTCCATTCCAGTTGTTATTATTCCTTGTTTTATTCCTTCCGTGTAATACTAATTCCTACTTTTGAACTGTGTAGATATGGCCTATTAGTACTGGTAGTCTTTAATAAATACCTGTCCAAGAATAGACTGACTGTCAGTAAAGACAATGATCAATGCACAAAATCCCATCCTGCATCTGTTTTTCGACCACTGCCTATCACTATTTTCAAATTCACCAACCCATACTGATACTCGGTCGTGCGCCGCCCCATTGCACCTCCAACTTTTTCATCAACACCATTCTGGCTTGCAATCCATACCCGTCCCACCACCACACAAACCATGTCGGACGAAGAATCATTGCATCGTATCAGCGATGACGAATCCAAAAATGACGTCGATGACTTATTCGGAGACTCCGAGGTGGAAGACCAGCCAAATGAGCAGAACAGACAGCTGGAACCTGCAGAGGAAGAAGAGCAAGACGAGGACGAAGAAGAGGACGAGGACGAGTTGAAGACCATCGACTTATCGCTTCCTCGTCATGCTATCAACCAGAAGCCGGAACAAGACACATACATGCTCAAGATGCCTGTGTTTCTCAATGTGGAAGCACATCCATTTGACCCCAACGAGTTCAGAGACAAGGTCAAGCAGAATGCCATCGAGAGAGCCAAAACAGATATGACAGATAAGCAAGTGAAGAGCGAGTTGGTGGCAGAGAAGTTGTTGAACGAAAACACCATCAGATGGAGATACTCCAACAGTGGTAACGACGAGATCATCAAGCAGTCCAACGCACATTTCGTCCTGTGGAGCGATGGGTCAGTATCGCTCAAGATCGGAAGCGAGATGTTTGATTTCAAGCAATTGCCCATAAATGACACCTTTTTTGTCAAAACCCACGACAGCTACGAGATCTTACAGAATGATGCTATCATCAACAAGTCCGTCAACTTGATACCTACCTCCACACACACTTCCACGCATAGAAAGTTGACACAAGCAGTCAAGAACATCCAAAAGAAGGACAAGATCTTGAACACCATCACCAACGACGATCCTTTGTTGAAACAGAGATTGGCCGATGAAAACGAAAGAAAGACTCTCAAGTTGAGGAGACAGCTTGAGTCCAAGAGAAGACTCCAAGAGGAGAGAATGGATAGAGGAGCCAGTCCCGCCGGCAGATACGGTGGCCGTGAGGAAAGAGAACCTGCGTACGAGAGATTCGCCAGAACCTACGGAGGTGATGAGTACGACGAGGAAGATGATTTCGTAGCCAACGATGACGAGGAGGAAGAAGAGTTCGATGAGGACGAGGATGAAGAGGAGGAATTTGAAAGAGGTGCCGAAAGATTGAAGCAGTTGAAGCTGGACGGAGATGCCAAGTACAGATCGCAGGAACCCGAGGAGAGTAAGAGAAAGAGAAGAAGAATCATTGATTCGGACGACGATGAGTAGTTTAATTCACACATGTATTATTAGCTGACTTGTAGTTGGGTAGCATTTATACTGAGATTATCGTTGCTCCATTGTAGGAGTAATGAGACGATAGTAACCAGAAACAACTTAGCCGCACCGTGACAACCAATGCCTAATAGTGACCAGCGAGGACGAGGAGTCTGATGCCGTTACCTATCAGAAAACGACGTGGTTGGACAGTTGAGTCGACCAGTCGAAAATGTCCTCATGACGTAAAATTCTTCATGAAAATACCTTCGAGGTATTCATTCAGTTATTGTACAAATTCTTAGGTAGCAGGACAAAAGCATGTAGTAGAGTTTCACAATGCAGAACTCACTTGATTGTTCAAAAGCTATTTATTTAGAGGTATTTTGATACTCAATTTATGATAAACCAGGCAGTTAGAATGTAAGAATTATGGTAGATATTTAGGTTTGTGATTTTCGTAACGTAGCCTAGGTAGAAGATGAGACAAACCTCCAGGAATATCAGGCATTTCATTAATTGCACCAAATGCTGGTTTGTCCTAGTGGCAGAGCTCACATCAAAAGTATTTACATGGTGCAATGAAATCAGGCGAAAGCAAAAAATTTGACCATTATCCTACAGTCTTCTTTTTATTACTTTTCACAGTACCCGAGAACCTGGATTGTACGGCTAGAATACGCACTAGTAAAACCGGTGAGCTGAAACCCAAGATTCGTACATTACAGAGTTACAAGGTATGAACTGGGAGAAGAGATGATCCATGGTCGAAGGACCAGGTAATCCGCCTTTTCTCCATACCTGATAGCTAGAAGCTAGAAAGTAGCCATTTATCCTAGCTGAAAAAGCACCCTCCCAGTATAAATCATAAAATATTCCCCACAATAATCCACGATAATCCACGATAATCCACATACACACCAACCCACCACGATATTCCCAAAATTATCTTACCACCACTATCTTCCAATACCACTGACTTCTCCCTCTTCCCATCACTCCAATTATCACCTGCCAGCATGCGCCCTCTTGCCCATTCTGGCACCCGCGCGATTCCGTCGATCCGACACCAAATCACCAGAATCCGAGGCCAGTTCTCCAACTCCTCCAACTCCTCCACAATCTCCTCATCGATGTCGTTGACCAGGCCGTTGCGCCTTCTTCTTCTAGGAGCTCCCGGATCCGGCAAGGGCACGCAAACGTCCCGTCTTTTGGCCAAATTTCCGTCCATCCATGCCTTATCTTCAGGCGACATTCTTCGAAGTCAAGTGGCTTTGGGCACCCAGCTAGGCAAGGAAGCATCGCAGTACATCAACAACGGTGGCTTGGTGCCAGACACCACCATGGTGAGCCTCATCACTGACCAGTTGAAGCAGTCCCAGTGGCTCAATAATCACACCAGCTGGACCCTCGATGGGTTTCCTAGAACCGCCCAGCAGGCAGTGGCATTGGACGAGGTGCTAGACAAGTCGGGGGTGGGCATCAACCTTGTGGTGGAATTGGACGTGGACCAGAAGGTGATTTTGGACCGCATTGAGGCTCGGTGGATACATGCTGCTAGCAACAGAATATACAACTTGGACTACAACCCACCCAAAGTGCCGTTCAAGGACGACGTGACAGGCGAACCGTTGGTCAAGCGTAAGGATGATACCGCAGAGGTGTTCCAGAAACGTCTCGACACCTACAACGACCAGTTGAGGGGATTGAAGGCATTCTACAAGGAAAAGGGAGTGTTGCATACGGTGGCAGGAAATACCTCCGACATCATCTACCCCAAGCTCGAGGAATTGATATTGGAGAAGTTCTCGTAGATAGACTGCATACATAATATACCTAGAAGTAGAGGAAATACTGTGTAAAATATTTGACTAGGAAACAGTCGGAAACGGGGCCTCGGGGTCTGAAAATATATTATGTATGCGTGGAATGTGCGGTACTTTCAGGCTACCAATTGCTCCAGTAAAAATCCATGGTATCTAAGAAAAATTAACCAAAAATAATGGCATAATATACGCGAGACCACCATTACATTCTCAGGCATTATCTATGCTGCCTGCAAATATTGGTGGAAACGCTATCTTCCTGTTGACCAACAGACATGATAATTACGCTCTTCAATTAGCAGAATTTTTATGTAGAAACCTGATTGGTTGGACATTGGTAAGGCTTACTGCAATAATGGCTTCTAAGAGGAAGCCAACCTAGTTCTACTGACCCAATATAAGTGCTCTAACTCCCTTGAACGGGTCCATATACCTGTAAAAAATCCCAAAATATCACTAATATATATCAATTTTTTAATAATGTTAATTTTAACTAAATAATATGAATTTAAACATTGATTGCTCTAGCTGAAATAAGTTATAAAAGCCAAAATTCGGACTATGAATTTCAACGAGTTTAAAAGTATATAGTCAAATCAAAAACCGCTTTCAACAAGAAATGGTTGCGTGGTCTAGTTGGTTATGGCATCTGCTTAACACGCAGAACGTCCCCAGTTCGATCCTGGGCGGAATCATTTATTTTTATTTTTGAAGCCCCAAACTTCAAAGCATAATGTACTCACTCATGAGGGACTAGAAGCTAATTCTAGGGCTGTGGCATATCTGTAGGTGTGTATGCATTGGCCAGTGAAACTACACCCTCTTCTTGGGAGACTCACCTGTATTGGGCGGAAATATTATTTTTTGATTTTAGTCCATAAACTACAAAGCACATATGAAAGAATCCCAATAAATATTATGGCAACCTACTACAGTCACCTACGGATTGAAATGGCCCTCGTTAACCTTCTTGTTCAGAAAACTACTCGTGTGGGTGCAACTAAATTATGATAAAAAACTAATATACCATCGTTCTCCCCTGCGCCGGTCCTTCGAGAACAGCATCAGCACTACACCACCAGACAGCGGCATCTATGTACTCTAGCATAGCTCGCACACCATGTTTGTCGCCTCACCTGATCTAGTCTAGAATTCCACTCCCATTTAGCACCCATCTTGGACCCTTCGCACGACCGTTTTTGTGCCACTGTAGTTATGGCATATAACTAACCATCATTAGCTGTGTCTAGTCATCATCGAATCACACCAGGCCCTAAAAGCTCCACCAGCCACCATCACACCACAATAGCACCGCGCCATGAAGTTCTACATCGATGACTTACCCGTCCTATTCCCATACCCAAGAATATATCCTGAGCAGTATGCCTATATGAGTGACATCAAGAAGACCTTGGATGTAGGGGGCAACTGTATATTGGAAATGCCATCGGGAACAGGCAAAACAGTATCGTTACTTTCATTGACGGTAGCTTACCAGATGCATTATCCAGAACACCGCAAGATCGTGTATTGTTCCCGTACCATGTCGGAGATCGAAAAAGCGTTGATCGAGTTGCAATCGTTGATGGATTACAGAACCAGCGAGTTGGGGTACGTGGAGGATTTCCGTGGTATGGGTTTGACGTCCAGAAAGAACTTGTGCCTCCATCCCACCATATCCAAGGAGAGAAAGGGAACAGTTGTCGATGAGAAGTGCAGACGGATCACCAACGGCCAATTGAAGGCCAAAATCGAAAAGGGAGCGTTGAGTGAAGAGGAGCAGAACATCAACCCTGAAAACAGCGCATTGTGCTCCTTCCACGAGAAACTTAATGACCTTGAACAACACAACTTAATACCCCCTGGAGTGTACTCCTTCGATTCTTTAATCAAATACTGCAAACAGGAAGGCACATGTCCATATTTCACGGTCAGAAGAATGATTCCCTTTTGTAACGTGGTCATTTATTCTTATCATTATCTTTTGGATCCAAAAATTGCAGAAAGAGTGTCCAAGGAGCTTTCAAAAGACAGCATCATTATTTTTGACGAAGCGCATAACATTGATAACGTTTGTATCGAATCCTTATCCTTGGATCTAACTGATGATGCACTAAAAAGAGCCTCCAGAGGAGCAAATAAATTGGGAGAAGCAATCGATGAGATGAAGGCCCAAGATAGTGAAAAGCTACAGAACGAGTATGAGAAGTTGGTCGAGGGCTTACGACAAGCAGAAGTTGATCGAGAAGAAGAGCTATTCATGAGCAATCCAGTTTTGCCGCAGGATTTATTGGATGAAGCAATACCCGGAAATATCAGAAAAGCCGAACATTTCGTTTCATTCTTGAAGAGATTCATCGAATACTTGAAAACAAGAATGAAGGTGTTACACGTCATCAGCGAAACGCCAGTTAGTTTCCTACAACATTTGAAGGAGCTCACATTTATTGATAGGAAGCCTTTAAGATTTTGTTCTGAAAGATTGTCATTATTGGTTAGAACGTTGGAACTCAATGAAATTGAAGATTTTAATGCTCTTAAAGATATAGCGACATTTGCCACATTAGTTTCCACCTATGAAACCGGATTCCAATTGATTCTCGAACCTTTCGAGACAGAAGGCTCCACTGTGCCAAATCCAATTCTTCACTTTATTTGCTTAGATGCATCAATTGCTATCAAACCTGTATTTGAAAGGTTTTCATCAGTGATTATCACCTCTGGTACTATATCCCCCTTAGACATGTACCCCAAGATGCTTAACTTTCAAACGGTGATCCAAGAATCCTATACTATGACCTTGGCGAGAAGATCGTTCTTGCCGCTTATTGTCACTAAAGGCTCTGATCAGGTTTCTATTTCTTCCAGATTTGAAATTAGAAACGATCCATCTGTTGTCAGAAACTACGGGTCTCTTTTAATCGAATTTGCTAAGATCACGCCTGATGGTATGGTTGTTTTCTTCCCTTCATACTTATACATGGAATCGATTATTTCCATGTGGCAAAATATGGGTGTATTGGATGAGGTTTGGAAGTACAAGTTGATCTTAGTGGAGACTCCTGATGCCCAAGAAACTTCCTTGGCTTTGGAAACGTACAGAAAGGCGTGTTCAAATGGTAGAGGTGCAATTTTGCTCTCTGTTGCTCGTGGTAAGGTAAGTGAAGGGATCGATTTTGATCACCATTATGGACGTACAGTACTTATGATTGGTATCCCATTCCAATATACCGAGTCCAGAATTCTTAAGGCAAGATTGGAGTTCATGAGAGACCACTTCCAGATTAGGGAGAATGACTTCTTGTCTTTCGATGCCATGAGGCATGCAGCCCAATGTTTGGGTAGAGTCTTGAGAGGTAAAGATGATTACGGGATTATGGTTTTGGCGGACAGAAGATTCTCCAAAAAGAAGAGTCAATTGCCTAAATGGATTGCTCAGGCGCTCAGAGATTCAGATACCAATTTGTCTACTGATATGGCATTAGCAACAGCAAAGACTTTCTTAAGAAGTTTGGCACAACCTGCCAATCCAAAGGACCAAGAAGGGGTTTCTGTTTGGGATCTCGAGCAATTGGAGAACTTTCAAAAACAGCATCAGAAAAAGATCGAGGCAGAAGAGGCAAACGAGAAGTCGAAGAACGACGATTTTATGGACATCGATGATGATGATTTTGACTTATTATAGAGAGTAGGTAGCTAGGATTTACTCGAGCGTCGGTATTACGAAACAACTAGTTAGTTTTATGAAATGAATAATCAAGACTTGTACTTTGGTGATATCTGGCGGGACAAGTTGCAAAAAGAAGAAACCAAAAATGTCAACCAACGAAGCTAAAATGGGGTCCGACGGGTAATATCGCGCTACTGAGATTCCATAACCTCCAACGAGTAGGTCAGCTACCCACTTCTTCGTTCTTAGGATCCAAAGAAAAAGTGTGAGTTTTTCCTTGCGGACTACTTGTTGAACGTGTGCATATGTGCCATACCAAATTTCCGCCCCAAGCCACAACAATACGGTAGTAGTGTTACAAGGGACGACCAATGCACTTACTCTACAAATAATTCCTCAAACAAGGAGTGAAGTCACTTTTCAAAAAAACCATAACTTGGTGCCGCAAAAAATGCAAGTTCGGCGGATGCGGACTTCTCATTAAACCCGGCCGTTGCTGAATCCGCACCAGTGTAGTAATTCCTACTTTAATGTGTGTGTCGTGTCTCTCTTGTTGGGGTGATTGCAGAATGCACTCAACTATCACCATCCAGTAGAGGTAGATAAAATACCATAAGTTCGGTTGGTCAAAATGAAAAGTTTCCGTGGACACGGTGAATAATTCCTGTAGGCAAGAATAATAAGTATGATCAACTATGCGGAACATGTATACCTATAGCATGTTGCGACCACTTGGTATTGCTTTCTACAGGTTCAATTATCAAAATCATTATGCATGGTCTCGTAACGATTATTTCACATACAACAGCAAAAACTCTGCTGCCTTCCAGCTAAGCGGCGATCTTAAATAACTTACTTGGGCTGGATACTTGCAAATGGAAGGTCCGTTAAAACCGTAATCAGATATCACCTATCTCAATGTGTGTCAGAAGTCAAAAATACGCCAGTAATCTGGTATCTATTGAAGTGTAGGTCTCTAGCGCAACTGCAAGTCTATTCCTATTTGCTTCAAATGCGACACAGATTCTGGTGTGGCAAGATGTTGGCTTCCCGATACATATTGCCTTTGTTGAAATATTTCCGATACTACAACCTGTAAACTGCAAACCCCGGATTAGTAATCTCCTGGCTGGAGGAAGGCAGCAGATTTGCAAAGACATACTGTTATCTACAATATTTTCTAGCAAATTGACATCAATCGGCCAACTAACTAGCGAGCCAAAACAGTTGACAAGTAACGAAATACTTTTGTTAATAGTGGCTTTGAAACTACACCTTGAGCCCCGTAGTTCCAAGATGTAGAATCAAAACTTTACGGTGCGGATTTGGTGGGGAAAAACTCAAAATACCGGACTTCAAAATTGACAGGTTAACGAGACAGGTACGGCACAATTTCACAATCTGCACGATATGCAAATTAGTAATTCCGGCAACATGCCAATCGTAATATAAAAGCAGTAGCATCCATCCAAATCTCCTCTACTCCATCAATTCCCTTTAGTTATGTCTTCTGTGTTTATTTCTGGTGCTTCTGGTTACCTCGCCCAACATATTTTCAAGTTGTTAATTGCCAACGGCTACAAAGTCGTTGGAAGTGTCAGATCCGAAGCCAAAGGTGAATATTTAAAGACTCTTTTCACTGAAAACTTCGAGTATGCCGTTGTTCCAGACATTGCCGTTGAGGGTGCTTTCGATGAGGCCTTGAAGAGCCATCCAGAAGTTGTTGCCTTCTTCCATACTGCTTCTCCTTTCAACTTCGACGATGATGGAATTGAAGAAAAGCTTTTGAAGCCAGCTGTCGGAGGTACCAGAAACTGTTTCGTTTCTGCCAAGGCTTACGGTAAGAACCTCAAGAGATTCATCCTTACTTCCTCCTACGCTGCCAACGCCTGGTCTTACCTTGTTGACAAGACTATTCCAGAAGATGTCAGAACCACCGAAGAAACCTGGACCGAAATCAGTTATGAGCAAGCTCAAATTAACGGTTACACTGGTTACCACGCTTCCAAGGCTCTTGCCGAAAAGGAAGCCTGGAAATTCATCAAGGAAGAGAAGCCAGACTTTGAACTTGTTGCCATCAACCCAGTTTACATTTTTGGACCACAAGCATTTGACTCTGAAGTCAAGGACACCATGAATGTCAGTGCTGAAGTTATCAACCAATTCCTCAAGTTGAAGAGCACTGACCCTTTGCCAATTGTTAAGGGTCTTCAAGTTGACGTTAGAGACGTTGCCAAGGCTCATCTTTTCGGTTTGGAAAGAGACGATTACATTGGTCAAAGAGTTATTGTCCAACACTGTGCTTTCAGTCAGCAAACCATTGCTAACATCTTGAATGAAAAGTACCCTGAATTGAACCTTCCAAAGGGTGACCCAGAATCTGAACCAGAAAGTATCAAGCGTGTTGTTCATGGTGATTTGGATGACTCCAACTCCAAGAAGCTCTTAGGCCTCAAGGAAATTGACCTCGTCCAAACCGTTGTGGATTCGGTTGACCAAATCTTGAGAGCCAAGAAGGCTGCTTCAGCTGAAACACAAACACTCTCAGTTCACATAATAACAATTAATAAAGCATCTTTCATCGTAATCCGTTTTCGTAGTTGGTTCTAACCTAATTGATTTGATGTCGCCACAATTCTGATGCCATTGAGCGAATTCTAGCATCGAGAGTCAATTAAAATACATGCTCTAATTTGAGATGAACCTATGCTTAGATATAGAAGAGTCACCAGATTCTCAGCACGATCGGGAAATCTGTCTATTTGTCAAAAAAAGCATGCATACTTACTAATGGTTTCATATTGGAATTCAATTAACAGTAACCTACAAACAAGATAAAACTATTTGAATGGCTATTGATTCACCATGATTCACCTATAGATGTGCTGATTGCACGGAGTTTGTGTTCTTTGAAATCCGAAGTCCGCGATCTCATAATAAAGCCGGGTTTGACATTTTTACACAATGTAATTAAAAGTCCCTAAGCGGAATTGTGCTAAGGTACAAACTCAGAAAATGGGATTTGGTAAATGCTTTATTTTCTCTTATGCGGTCAAAGTTACTGATCCCTGTGAAGGTGTAGGAAAGTAAAACTTACCCAAAAATTGTTCCATCTTTCACATATAGCACATATCAGAAGTTACACAGGCTTACAAGCAAAAGTAGGCTATAAGTCAACACTAATGGAATTATTTAATGCAACGGAGCAATTTATTCGTGTTTGACCTCACTTACCTAGACTGGTTCACTATTTGTGATCTTCGTATTTTCTGTCTATACTGGTCACGAAATATGGTGATGGTCAATTTGACAACTTAAATGCAAGAATATATAAAATATTGAAATAGGATAATGGACTGTTAATTTTGATTCCAAAGTTACTGGATTTGATAGTAGAATAAGTTTCGATAAACATGAATAAGCAAGGGAGTTCTCAAATAGTCAGCGCCTCTACACCGAGCTATCCGTTCTGGCAGACAGAATTTGAGCTTCAGTAAAGAGATAATCTACTAGTTACAACAGGAGCATCATCCAGCTTCTTGTATAAGAAGATTTTTAAAGTAGAATCGACAACGAACAGTGGTACCTTGTAAAATGTCGCACGAGACATTATTGCAACCATTTTCCACATAAAACATCCAGAAAACTTGTAGCATCACAGAGTCACAGTTTGTTCAATCCATTGCTACCAGTGTCCAAGGTGGGATTAAGGACCGCAATTACTAATACTAAAATTGTAATTAAGTTAGATTCTCGAGTAAACTCTACATTCTTGTTTGTTTCGGTTTGGAGTGGAAAGTGATTCACCATGAATCACCAGTTTTCACTCGCAGCAAATTTGCAAGTTACACGGGATTCTCTCTCGTTTATCGGAGTTCGCAACAGCAGATCTCGTAAGCGAGAACAGCCTCCAGGTAGACATTTGTGCACCACTTGATGGCAGTTGAGCTAGCTACAGAATTTATGGTGCATTTCTGGCCCAACACATAAACCCAGGTACATATCCTCTATTAGTTCATGTAAACTACGGGCATGGTGTAAAATGCATAATGGAAGTTAACCCAGTCCGCTCCGTTTAAAAGCGCGGCGGAACGTCCAGAACCAGCAAAAAAGATTTCATCCCTGCATTTGGAATACATGTCAGTGGTGATTCAAGGTGAAGCACACATTAGAAAAAACACTCGGACCACGTTATTGTATTGGTGGAATTGCTGTGGCAGGGCTCGTTTGTAAGCGTTGTTTCATGACACTACCGGGGCGGCACCGAAATAGCAAGCCAGTGTTTAGTAAGCTACTTTTCCGCGTCATCCAATCTACTAGTTAACTAGAATGCACCATGTACCCCATAATAAGTATACTTCGTAATTTTGAGAACTGTCAGCCATGCAGCAGTCTATAAAAGGATACGGTTTTCGCCTTGGATCCACTTCCATATCAATCAACAACTCACACACTCATCACAATGTCTACTGTTTTAGTCTCAGGAGCCAACGGCTTCATTGCCCAGCACGTCGTTAGTCAATTGCTTGAAAAGAAGTACAAGGTCATTGGTACCGTCAGAACCGATGCCAAAGGTCAACACTTGGCCAAGAACTTCAGCACTCCAGACTTCCAGTATGTTATAGTCTCAAACCTCTCTTTACCAGGTGGTTTTGATGAAGTTTTCCAGCAGCACCCAGAAATCGAGTACTTCCTCCATGTTGCTTCCCCATTCAACTTCAGCGATGTCGATGTTGAAGAAAACCTCTTAAAGCCTGCTCTTGCTGGTACTAAGGAAGCCTTGTCCTCTGCCCACAAGTACGGAAAGAACCTTAAGAAGCTTGTGGTCACCTCGTCCTATGCTGCTATGGGTTGGACTTATCTCATTGACAAGTCCATTCCAGATGATATTTACATCGACGAAGACAGCTGGACTGACATCCCATGGGATGTTGCTGCTAAGAGCAACGGGTTCATTGCTTATGTCGCTTCCAAAGCTCACGCCGAAAGGGAGGTATGGAACTTCAGAGAAAGAGAAAACCCAAAGTTCGAACTTACTGTTGTTAACCCAACCTACGTTTACGGCCCACAAGCTTTCGACAGCGATGTCACTGAGTTTATGGGTGAAACTTCGGAAATCATCAACCGTATCACCAAGTTGCAACCCGATGAAACTCCTCGTAGAGAGAGAGGTATGTGTATTGATGTTAGAGATGTTGCTGGAGCTCACATCATTGCCATAGAAAAAGACGAATGTAACGGTAAGAGGCTTCTTCTCTTCAACGCTTCGTTTTCTGAGCAAAACTTCCTCAACCTCATCCACAAGTTCTACCCAGAACAATTCAAGAATGTCCCAATTGGTGAACCAGAAACTACTGAGGCAACCCTTACTAAGACTTTCTGGGGTGATATTCACAATGAAAAGACCAGAGAGATCTTGAAGCAAGACTGGTACTCCCACGAGCAATGTGTCAAGGATGTTCTTGAGCAAATTGTCAGGGTCAGAGGCCTTTGAGGATTATTAATCTATAAAGTTTATAGTTAACGAATAAAGGGTATATCACATTCAGATAATGTAGCTGAACTGTATCCGGATTCTCAAGTGACCATCATAGAGCTATGACATGAGTTGTGGGGTGTCAAAACAACAGACCCAAAGCAGATATGTTACGAATCGATATGAGAGATTTGTTGGAATAGATGATTCTAGAAATTGATGCAATTATATATATGGGAAGACCCCGTTAAGTGTAACAGAGGAGGATTCAGGGTAGAAATTTGGACGAATTGGCGATTTCAACAACAACGTCACCACCTAGACATTTATATTTCCTAATAGAGTTTTAGCCACCGAAATAAGATTCTACATTTTTAGTGTTAGTCCAAAATTCGAATAATAATTTTATCGATGAGAACTAGAGTTGATTATAATCCAAAATTCAACTATCAATTCAAGCCATGAGAACTAGGGTTGATTACTATCAAAATACGATATCAATTTATGTGATGACGGCTACTTTATGATTTAGCCAGCAGAAACTAGAGTTGCATAATATTGAATTACTCTGAGTCTCATGCCATCGTAGCTGACGTATGCATATACTCTGGCGAGAACGGATTATTTCCAAATTCTTATGCACCAATTGCCATGCTATGGCCCAACCAGCAGAACCAACTGTGTGCAGGACACTTCACCGGAGAAGGGACTTGGTGGGCAATGCCACCGCAACAGACACAATTCCTATAGATGCATTGGCATGCCCATGCTGACTAACTCCCCTTGGCTACAATTAGTAAGTGGGGTCTCGAAGCATCCTTTCCATTAAGGGGCCCATTTCTCCCCATGGTTTTACACTTTCTCCTCAGAAATTTATAGGTTAACATCTCAGGCGGATCCCAGTAGCCGCACCCGTCTATTTCCGTCCCACAACCTCCTCCACAATTCCTTGATAAGTACCATCTCCGAAAAAACAATAGGCCACGCACTAGAACTCTCGTGTATTTGTCAAGACCGTTGGCTCGAACTAGAGATTTGCGGGTTAGCTTCAGGGTGCTAGGGGCCTCCATCACGGCTAGAAAACTCGACCTCTTGAGCCTGCCCCACCAGTGTAGCTCACTGGCTACTCCCCCAGGCGGGCATCAACATCCCCCTGCTTGGCCACCACCCCCATTTTTTCCTGAAATTCCAGGCCCATCTCTGTCTCCAGATATATCCGTGTTTATTCGTTGGGCAGTGCGAGCCCTGTCCGCAGAATGGCGATTATGTCAGACACTTTTCAGTCAAGATAGGTATAAAAGGACGGCTGGTCGTCGCAATTGTAGCTAGTATCACTCATAGATCCGTTCACACACACATATATATAACAATGTCCTCCACCGTATTTGTCTCCGGGGCCACCGGCTACATTGCCCAACATCTTGTTCAGCAATTGCTCGACAAGAACTACACCGTCATCGGTTCTGTCAGATCCGAAGCCAAGGGTGAAAACTTGAAGGCTCACTTCCCCAAGAACTTCGAATACGTCGTCGTTCCAGACATGGGCAAGGAAGGTGCCTTCGACGCCGCTTTGCAAAAATACCCTGAAATCTCTGCTTTTCTCCACACTGCATCTCCTTACAACTTCAGCGACGAGGACGTCGAGAACAACCTCTTGAAGCCAGCTCTCGAGGGCACCAGAAACGCCTTGGCCTCTGCCAAGGCCTACGGTAAGAACGTCAAGAGATTTATTGTCACTTCGTCGTACGCTGCTCACTCGTGGACCCACTTGGTCGACAAGACCATCCCAGAAGACATCAGAGTCACTGAAGAGTCGTGGACCGAAATCTCGTGGGAGCAGGCCAAGGCCAACGGTTTGGTTGCCTATATCGCCTCCAAGGCTATTGCTGAGAAGGAGGTGTGGAGATTCCAAAAGGAAGAAAACCCCAGCTTCGATATCGCAGCTGTCAACCCAACCTACGTGTTTGGCCCACACCTCTTCGACTCCGAGGTCAAGGCTCCTTTGAACGAGAGTACTGAGGCCGTTAACAGCTTCCTTAAGCTCAAGTCGGAAGACGACATCTTCCAGTACAAGGGACTTTTCATCGACGTCAGAGACGTGGCCACTGCCCACGTCGTGGCCTTGGAAAAGCCAGAGGCCAGCAACCAAAGAATCATTCTCAGTGCTGGTCCATTCAGTCAGCAAGTGATCCTCAACGAGGTGCACGAGAGCTTCCCAGAATTGAAGCACTTGCCAAAGGGTGACCCAGCTTCTACTCCAAAGACCCTTGTTCGTGTCATGCATGGAGACTTGGACGACTCCAAGTCCAGAGAAATCTTGGGTTTCGAGTTCATTCCTTTCGACAAGTGTATCAACGACTCCATTGCCCAACTCATCAGGACTGGCTTCCCATAGGTGTGCTATTCTGTAACAAAACGAATAAATAATGGCTGCGAAAAATTCTGTAGGAAGTGAATTGCGGAATGAGATGTAGAGACGATACATGGTGAATAAAGCTATGAAGAGGAATAGTTTTGGGGCTCGCCATTTGGCACGAATTATTTCAAAAAGTAGACAACATAATTGAAAATCAAAAATTGTAGATCAGATATGTATCGGGATAGGCAACTCGGAACTCTGGTGCTACCACTCTGCAATAGTGACAGGTACTTCAATAGGAGTCACATGGGTGCCCCTCCCTGATAAGAAGTTTTTTCCTTCTGGGGTGAGCTACATTGATATTTCAACTTAATTTTTAATAATTTTTGCAAAAATGAGAATATTTTCAATTCATATCAACTCGAAGATCTCCCCTCAAAAGCATAAATGGGTTAGATTATGGCCCAAAATATACAAATAACATTGACACATCTTTCAATTCAAGCCTATCCAAGGCCTGGGCACCGCAATGACCCTAAAGAGGTGTTTCATCTGTACTAAGGGTAGAGTTGTGTTGTTGATGCAAAATGATTCCCGCGCACGACCCACTATGGATTAGAATGAATCGGCACGAGCCAGTATACACGCAATGTCCCTATCCAATGAATATACCCCTATAATAGCGGAAATAGGCACACGTAATATCAGGATAGGGTTTGCTGGAGACCCTTTGCCATCAGCAACCCAGTGCACAAGTGCCAAATATCCCTATCAGTTCCATGATGAGTATCCCCAGTTTCTTGATGTCGACGACTCTGCGATGAACAAACACCAAAGAGCCAATGTTATAGAGCAGATGGTGGCTGAGCAGCCTGAAATCAAGCAATTGATCCAGATTTATGGGAGTGAACGTCATAAATGGATCCATTTGAACAGATCACCAAGCGGAAGAACAAATGCAACAGAAGAGGACTGGCACCTTCAGGATTTGCTAGCAGATATGCTACGGGACGACTTGGTGCTCGCGCCACGAAGATGCAAGGTCATCTTGGTCGATAGAGGCTTCTCGATTGCCACGAAATTCAGGCTCTGTGAACAGTTGTTGAACAGGTTCAAGTTCAAGTCTGTGATAACGTGCCCGTCTGCGGTGCTTTCAGTGATGGGCGCCAATGAGCGGAACGGGCTAGTACTTGATTTTGGCTGGGAGTCGCTTGGGGTTAGCCTGGTTGTGGATTTGCGAGATGTTTCCCAAAGAATCGAGGAGATTTTCACCTTGGGAGGGCTTACTTTGCACTATATGGTGGTAAGGGAATTGATCCGGTTGGACAATCCACACGTAAACGAGCACTTGTTGGCACGGAAGGACTTGTTTGAGATTGTGGAGGATTTCATCATGAATGGAATGTTTGTGTTGCCATACGGAGAGCGTATAGACGATCATACGCTCGCAGATTTCAAAATAACAGATGATGTTTTCGTTCCAGGATTACTTCGGTACAAAGTGGTTGAAGATCTCTACTTCAAGAACGAAAGTTTGAGACAATCAATTACTGGCGTTCTCGAGAGCACCAACATAGACACTAGGCCCTTATTGCTAGACAATGTGATCATAGCAGGCGGAGTATCAGGTATACCCGGATTTAAATATAGGATGGTCCAAGAAATCAAAGCTTGGACTGGAGCCAAAGGCGTGGTAGGAAAACCCACCCTTGGAGCATGGGCAGGGTGTTCGATGTACGTATCGTCTGTGCTTGTGAACGAAGACAAGTCGGTATGGAAAGAGCAAGAAGTCACGAGGGATATCATTAATTCGTTGACTACGGAAAACGGGGTCAAGTTGGCTGGATTGCCAGACTCAGTGAATGCGATTCATAAGATCGGTAGGTAATTATAGATTGTTGGTCCAGGTTACCTGGGCCAGGACTAGATAATAATATAGATGGCAGCTTCCTGTAAGAATAGGGACTGAAAATCTGTTCTATCTGAGTACTTCACTCGTAGCTATACTTCAAACTGAAACTCGCGGTTCTGCTGAATACGCCCTCATGGCTCTAGATCAATACACTCGTGTTTCTGGCCGTGTCTCGAGACTCTTCGATATTAGCTGTATATTTCAGGCTCGATTTCTACATCTCGGGCTCCCGGGCTTCAGACCCTACCAGTTCTGTAAATTTGGCCCACGGATATTTGGAGTAGTAATCCTGAGGGTACATCCATGAAAGGAGGGCCACCTTGACTCTTTCCCACAAGGAATTGGGGCCCACAGGCGTATCCATTTCATGCCATTCATGTTCGAGAATAAAAAGAAGCCTCCATTCGTCATTCATATGCTGATCGAATTGCGGCACATTGTACAAAGGTCCTACCAAACGTGAATCAAATGGAGTTCTCTCAACCCTGTCCAACTCGAGCAGCGCATTCTTGGGTAGTAGTGGCGCTTTCATATGGGCTAGGGCGGTCGCTTGAATGGGGTTATTCTGCTCCATTAACGATGCCGGATAATCACGGGGTGTGGACTTATTCGTGATCTCATCCACACCGGACACTTGTGATTCATCTTGCCTTGTCTCACACTGCGAGGAAACGATCGGTTTTTCCAGAAAAGGCACCCAACGAGTTGTGTCTATACCAGACGTCATATCTGGCGACTCAGCAGTGCACACGGATGGAATCTCTACGGAAACAGGCTTTTGCGTAGTCACAGTGAAGCATCCATGGTGTGAAGGCTCTCTTATGTTAGACTTTGCAGCTGATAAAATTCTAGCTAGCCCCGTTGGCGTGTTGCCGAAGGTCTTGGGATTGAGGCTGTTCGGTGTATCAAGTGAAGTATCTGGTGGTGTATTTGGAGATGGTGCTTCGTCTGTGTGCGTTGAGCGTAAGAACAACTTGTTGGATTTTGCCGTGGAGTTTGAGGTTGGCACCCTCTTTGAGGGAACATGCTCGTTCATAAACACCTGCCTATCACCTAGCATCGTCTAGTGAGTCTCTTGGTGCAATATATAGTCAGTTTTTGGTGCAATAAGTGGTGGGAAATATTGCAAAAATTATCACCAGACTCCGCGCTTAACACAGAAACGTAGCAGCAAATCAGGATACTGGGATGAAAGGTTAAGAAGGAGTCTGTGGTGCCAGAATAGAGCAAATAGCATCGTAAATGATATCAACACCAGTGCACAAGCACCAACTAGAGTCATGATAGGACCTGAAGAAAACAGGAGCAACATATACCCAATAAGAGATAAGTTCACACGATGAGAGGCTCTGTAAGACACCGTTCTGTAAGATACCGTTCAGTTGGTGTGTCAGTAAAAGTCACGAACAAAGCAGCACCATCCATTTGGACGAGAACAGTAAACTTCAGAAACATATAGCTCCTAAGGATCAATAGGCCAGCAGAAAAACTTCAACGGTAGCAAACAAGTGGATCAATTTTATCCATTGGAGTTTCCAGACCGAAGAACAAAATCCAGTAGACGGAAGAACAGAGGTCAGCAGACGGAAGAACAGAGGTCAGCAGATGGAAGAATAAAGGTCAGCAGATGGAAGATTAAAGGTCAACAGCCGAGTGTTCCAAATCGCCTACTTTAGGTCCTCGCTCTTCATCAAGCTACCGAAGTACTCCTGCAAGTACTGGTTCTCGTTCTCGAACTTGTCGCTCACCTGCTTGGTGTCTCTGATGTTGTTCATGAGGGTGTTGATCTTTGCTTTCAACTGGAGTATCTCCTCGATTTTGGCTTCTTTCAGCGCCAGCTCAATTGCATCTGGGCTCTTGGAGGCTCCAGAAGGTTCTTGGGGAGCAATGGCTTCCAGAGACGCTTCCTTAGCCTCAATGGCTACGGGCTGTGGTGATGGAATGGGTGGAGTTTCAGCCCCATTGGCGTTTTCTCCGGGAATTTGGGCATCTGGCTGGGACAAGGGCAGTTCTATGTCAATCTGGGGCACGCTGGGTGGCGTGGCCGTGCGTGTGGGGCTTGTTTCGGGACTCATTGCAACTGGAGTATCGAGACTCGGTATGGGCATGTAACTGGTGAAAGGTGGTCTGCGCACGACCCGCTTCTTCCGCGTGATCACTCCCCCATAGTCAGCACTGCGGATAGCCACCAACTACTACCAGCAATTGTTCGCCAGCATGTCTTGGGAAGGGTTCAAGAAAGCCATTAACAGAGCAGGCGCATCCGTCACCGTCAAGGACGTGGACAAGACCATCGACAAGGATTTCGATGTGGAAGAAAGAAGATACAAGACGTTGAAGACCGCTGGTGTCAACCTCCAGAAGTCAGCCAGAGGATACTTGGACTCGTTGAGATCGGTGACTGCGTCGCAGGTGACGATTGCCGAGATCGTGGGCAACTTGTATGAGGAAGCCAAGCAGGGCCAGTCGATATACTCCAACGTGGGAAACGTGTACACCCAGTGTGTGAGGGAGTTTGATGAGGAAACGGTGAAACAGATGGACGGACCGTTCCGAGAGACCATTCTCGACCCCATCACCAAGTTCGCAGGGTACTTCAACGAGATCGACGACGCCATCAAGAAGCGGGCCCACAAGAAGGTGGACTACGACCTGTGCAAAGCCAAGGTGAGAAAGATGATCGACAAGCCTGCCAAAGACGCAGGCAAGTTGCCTCGTGCCGAGAAGGAGTTGGCCATGGCTAAGGACATCTACGACGAGTTGAACACCCAGTTGAAGGAGGAGTTGCCCCAGTTGATTGCGTTGAGAGTGCCCTTCTACGACCCCTCGTTTGAGAGTTTGGTCAAGATCCAGTTGCGGTTCTGTACCGAGGGCTACTCCCGGCTTGCGCAGGTCCAGCAGTACTTGGACCAGGCCTCGCGAGACGAGTATGCTAACGGGTTGTTGGACGGGAAGATCGACCAGTTGCTTGCGCAGATGGGTACGTTGAGCATAGCATCTTTGGCCAAGTGAAGGGCGTCTGCTTGGCTGTACCAGCAGGTATTGGATATAATTGCGTTTGTGGAGTACTATATATGTAGTTAGAAATTTAAACTAGCAATCGGAAGTTTACATGTAGTAGATTAAATCTAGCTGTTATTAATTATTTGCGAACAGGCAGACTCTGTGGAATCTGTCGTAGATAAGTTAGCTTAAAATAAATAAATATGGATTCTAATAATTAATTTACAGAATTTAAGTGTATTTCAACGCCCGTTATAACCAAATTTACCAGACACTGATGACTTTAGATACAATTGAATAGAACATAATTTATTTACCGTTCAACTTTATGTCGAAGATATCGAACAAATCAGAAATACAACTCTGGAGTATCCTAGCAGTCAATGACACAGAATCGCCAGCATTGTTAAAGCCCTGGAGATGTCCATTTGTCAGCTATTCGTCATAATTAATCGCCAATCGATAGATAAAATGTCGCACCACCAGCAAAGCCTCCCAACGACATTGCTAGCTGTTCTAAAAAGGATAACTAGGAACAATATTTTGTGGTCCGAGTGCCGAAGACTATTGTAGTACTATTGTCCTGATAAGCCAGACCATGTATGCTTATTTAGCCTATCCCAACCGAGGTTTACTGATTTTTATCCTGTCTTAATTGTGCTCGTATCCCAATGAGAGACATGGACGTAAAAGACCAGTGTGCAGCCACCCAGGCGAACAACGGCGAGAAATCCCGACTATAACCCTTTGCGCTTCTCCCTGGTCCACCAGTGGCCTCGGAACACCAAAAAAGCTCCCGGAATAGCGATTTTTCAGAAAAGCGCAAACAATCCAGGAGCGACCAGAACCGCTATCCTGAACCGTCAATGGCCGCTCCAACAGGTCAGCGTCCCGAGTCTCCCAGCCCTTGTCCCTATTCCCCAATCTCGGCCCTGCTGCCCCAGCTGGTGTCACAATCTCTTCCTCCTATCGGAAACAGGACTATACAGGTTACACAAAAAAGTGCATATTGTATCATTTTAATTTACCAAAAGACAGATTTTGAGACATTGCTAACACCACAAAGCATCCACCAACCCCACCACCCTATCCATACGTCCAGTAGGGCCGATCACCCCATCCTCCACGTCTCTACTCGCCACTAATTGCACGCATCCGCCACGCTACGCCTCCCCCTCCGGCTCATGAGTTCCCACCATGAAAAGTCGTTCTCTCTTTCTCCACTACAAACAGGCAGTGATCAGCGTGATATCGTTCGTACTATCTCATCCGCGAACAGTGATCCTTGTGCCGACCATCTGTGTGTTCGTGCTATCGTATAATGTGGCCTACGACTTCACCATCAAACGAATCAACTCACACCTCCCCATCAGCATTGACCAGCATACGCTCTTCCAGGAGCTGGAGCTCTTCCCGGCAATCGACAGTGCCGACACCCTCAAGGACGTGGTTGCAGGTGACTTCTCGAAGTCGCCGTTTCTTCAGTGCTTGACCAAGGTCAGTCTATCCGAGGCCTCCAACGGCAGTGCTAGCGACAACATTCTCAGCTTCGACTTCTTCCGCCAGCTCCACAAGCTCCAACACATGTTGGTGGACTCATACAATGACAGCGTGGTGATCATCTCGCCGCTCTCGGACTGGCCCATGAACAGGGTGCGCTTTGGCGACCCAGAGATCTCGCCTTCCATCTTCAACATTTACCTCATCAAGTACCTCAACTATGACTTAAACAACCTCTTGACGTTCCTCTATGTGGACCGCATCGTCAAGTCCAACCATCTCATCAAGTACGCCAAGAACATCCACGTCTACCTCATCCACAACCACCGGGTGGACGTGGCAGGAGCCATTGGTGCGTTCTTGTCGTCCACGTCTAGCCTGCTCCAAGTGGACGAGATATTGTCTACTAGCAAGCAGTCCAGCATCCGTGATTTCATCCACTACTACCTCTACCAAAAAAAGAGGAACTTCTACGCCAACTTATTTATTACATCCAGCAACTTTGCTATTTTCACTTCCATAATAGCTTTCATCATCTTCATCTATATTTCTATAGCCAACGAGCATAAGATCAGGTCGAGTTTCGGCCTAGTCCTCGGATGGTTGGTGGGCGTATTCATTTCGAGTGCTGCCGCAGTCAACTTGACCGTTCTATTTCATGGCTATAAATCCTGGAGATTGATCTTTGAACCCCTGACTGCATTCACAAAGGCGTCATTGTTAATCACCATTCTTATCATGAGCTCGAGAGGTCTATTCATCACCATCTCGACCCTTTCCAAGTCCGAGTCGAACCTGGCAGACTTCCACAGGAGATTATACAAATTTTACACCGGATTCAATGGATTTCCTTTGATTATACCGTCGTACTTATTCAATATCGGGGGAGTATCGGGGGTATACGGCATTGGAACCCTCATTTTGTATTATAACACCGAAGGAAATCTTTACAATTACTTCAAACTCAGATGTTCAAAAGTATTGGAGGTATTCTTCATTGCTTTAACACTTCAAGCATTACTTCAGTTGAGCTACATTGTGGGAATTATCATGATTGATTTGAAGAGGGTCGACTACACTACCATTCTCAACAACCAGAATATAAAGAAACTGAGTTCTGATGACAATTTGGTAAATGCCAATGACGGTGTTAATTTCTTCTCATCCTTTTTGCTTCAACTCAACAAGCCTCTGCACCTCAGGCCAAGCAGGACCTCATCTCCTACTAGATACTCATTGGGCCAATTTTTCTTGAAAGTTCGTTACTCCATTAGGAGTGAAACTTGTTCATGCGTCATGGTGGGGATTAGTTTGGTTGTATTGCTAGGGGTATTTATCCATTGGTCTTTAATAATTCCTTCCAATCTCATGAATGACAACCATAGGATAGTGGACCTCGGAGGCTTAAATATTCTTAGCAATACCAACAATTTCATCTACTACTTGGAATTCTTGTCCATTTTGATCTTTATTGTTGCAAGTTCCTTCATTGTCTTCAGGCTTACAGGTGCCGTGACTCAGTCAGCGAACCAAATCATGGGTCTTAAGAGTTCTATTTTCCTTGTTGAAAGCGATTTCGAAACAGAGAAAAAGTACCTCAATATGATTGAACTTCCAGGAGTTCTGCGAGAAGCCGAAATTTTCCAACGTGAATGTACTGGCCACTCTCTGGACATTATAAAGGTCAAGACGAACTCGCGGAGTTCGTTTGTCGTGTCGGTTGGCTTGGATCATAAGGTGCTTATTTGGTCACCGTTGAGTCAACCCGTTCCCAAGCCAGTCAATATTGCTACTACAGTTCAAGTCAACGGTGTTGAACGAGAATTCTGGCCCATCAACCACGTTAATATAAGTGATGGCGGAAATTTCATCGTGTTGATGAACTACAAATATGGAATTGTGAAGTGCTATGAGAGAAAAGATCTTAATTACAAATGGGAGACAAGCTTGCCTGATGATTTGAAAGAATTGATTAAAAACAAGAATTTCAAGATAGTGGAATCATTCTTTAGGAAGAGGACAGTTCCTGGATTTTTAGCCAGAAAGATCATACAAAAACAGCGCGAGCTGCAACCAATCGACAATGATTCTGTTGCTGGAACCCCAAATCTTTCACGCTCTGCCAGAAGAAACAGTAACGTTTCGTTGTCGTCTATGAACGGTAACTTTCCACTTCCACTTAGCCATGGTTATCACAAGGATGCCGAAACCGAAAGACGTTTGAGCAGAGATGATTTTATTGCAGTCTTGGAAACAGGATATTTATTGACATTCTCCTGTGTTGATGGAAAGATGAAGATGTTGGACATTCTCAGTCTAGTTTATCCTGACCATACTGGGCTCCATTTGGTGTCGGTTAAGAAGGTAAGAACTCCTAGAATCAACGACAGAATTGTTTGCCAGGTGAGTAATTATGATATTATCATAGGCACTTCTATCAACAACGGATGGAAATTCAAAAAGTTACAAGTCAAAGAGGGGTTCTATAACCAAGAAGGTCAGAAGATGATTTCTGGCATGATGTCTCAAACCAACTCATTTGGGAGTGACAATAACTTCACCTCGGTGTACATGAATAATTCCGCCTCGAAGCTTCAGAATGAGCTGGCCTCCAAGAGTCTGTCCGCACCCCCACGACCTCTTATTCAAGTCAATAAACCAATAATAGCCCCTGTGGAGTTCGTGGGTATGATCGTGCGTGTCAAGAATTTCACAGCAGAATTAATTGATATCCAGAGAGGTTATGTCTTAAAAACATTCAATGTGGGTCACTTCAAACCCTCAACATTCAAAGTGGCCCACCTGGAGCCAACCCATTGCAAGTTCTGTGGGTGTGCATCTATTCAGTCATTTTCAATTGTGTACGAGGATTATGACCAACCTACGCTTATTATACACACATTCAGAATAGACATCAAGAGATCCAAGAATAATATCTGTCTCAGAGTGGAAAGAGATCCTAGAGAAATCAGATGCTTAGGGTTCGGAGCAGCCACCGAGCACCAATACTGGTTCAACAACATGGAAGGATGGGAGTTAACCGATGTAAACATGATTATTGGATTTCGAAAGAAGGGCAGTTTGAACGATGATAATTACCATGCAGAAGAAGACGAATTTGAACCTGTTATAACCGCTCCAAAAATCCACTCCTTTGATAGTATGGTTGAGAATTCAGGGTTGATGTCCTTGCGACAAAGGCGAAAGCCCAAGTCCTCGCAAACGAAAATTGTCCCCGAAGATGGATTGGAGGAAATGTGGGATGGATTTATCATCACGGTGTTTGATGGAAAAGAAATCAGTTACCGAGTTCCGAGCACAGAAAATCATCGGATCGACTTCCTATCAGACAGAATCAACTCTGTGGAGAAATACGGCTACAAGTCGGCACTTATGTGTACTTCCAATATGATGGAGATTTTCTATCTTGGTAACGAAAATCTCATCGAAGACGACATCTACTTTTCGGGTACGAACGCTACCATCTGGTCGGTTTTGGAGGATCAAACCAAGAAGAACAATAGCAACAAGGAGAGCGATGCTTTCAAGCTGATGCAACCGTTCAATAGCGAGTTGTTGTTCATCAACAAAAGACGCAAGATGTCGGAAAGAATCAAGGGCAGCCGGGTGCAAAGACTCCAAGAAGGGGTCTAGGAGCATGGAAGCTCAGGTGCATGATGCACCCTGCAACGACCACCGTACAGTGCTTCGTGCGCCAGATGCTGGGGGCCACCACTGGTAGCAACAGTGATGGAGCCTCCGAGCCACCACAGTCGCAACTGCCTCAAACTCCGAGGCTCGCAATCGGCACCAGCAACCGTTGCTTTTACCCCTGGCAAACAAACCTGTCTTCCTCGGGTGGCCTGATATCCCAGGATATCCACGGATTTCCCGGTTTCTCCCGCGTTTATGCGGGTTCCGCCTTATAGCTAGATAAAAGAAATGCACGTTCCACATGACCTGAGAGTCACCCTCAGTCCTCGTATCCGGTGCATAGCCAGTTTGTGTGGCACACATGAACTGCTGCGCGAATAAACTTTTCAAATCCCGCGTCCGCAAACCCCGCGGGTGCTAACTATTTCTATCCATATAAGACTAGCTTACCGTGCTGCTGGTTTCGTCCCATCAAGTACAACACTTATTTCACATACACTAACATGAAGATTTTATCCGACGAAGAGAGAAATGCTCACTGGAACGCCGTTCTCTACGAAGGTACCAAGGGCCTTATCATTGGTATCGGGTTCTCATACGGTTTAGTCACCTACATCAAAAAGAAGAACCCAATCTTATACAAGAGAATGAGTGCTTCCACCAAGGCTGCTACCTGGGCCGTGCCTTCTATTGGTATCAGTGCATTCTGGGCCGACGAAGGGTCCGTCAAGTTCGATGAGGAAACCTACAGATCGGACTACTTGCAGAAGCAGAAGGAAGAGATGGAAGCCAAATTGCAACAAATGTCCACTTCCGACAGAGTGATGCACCACCTTAACGACAACAAATACAAGATCATCGTGGGTTCGTGGGCCGCTTCGTTGTACGGATCTTGGAGATACGTCAACAGAGACCCATTCATGAACACCCAGCAGAAACTCGTGCAGGCCAGAGTGTACGCCCAGGCCTTGACAGTGGTGCTTTTGTTGAGTACCATCGTGCTTTCCATGAAGGAGGCTGAGATGAAGAAGAAAGAACCAAAGCCCGTTCCTGAATGGAAGAGATATTTAGATGAGCAAGAGGCCATCAAGAAGAGCCAATAGCTCGACACTTGTCATTACCAGTAATCTGCAATTACTGCAACCATTCATTGTATCTAGCTTTACCTTTATTTCACTTGTCATCTTTTTATAGATCAATTAATGAATATTTATGAGTTTTAGGTTGGAAAGTTGAGCTGGTAATTGGTAACAATTAGGTGATTTTTATCTGGTTAATCTAGGGTCAATAACTCTACTTTGGAGGAATTTCATTTCGAATCCTAGAGCGCTTACAACTACCACAAAAAGCATACTTCCCACCATATTGGGGCTTAGCTTGATTGTTGAGATCGAAATCCGCACTCCACATGTTTTGAACAATCTGCACGATTGACGTATGTAAGGAACCAGCCCGCGACTTACAACAATAGATGAGCGAATAGCCAGCATTAGAAGCTAGCCAGTACCGTTAAATGCTCGGATATAAAGCTGGAATCTATTGTCAGTGAAATGGATACCTCCTGAAAATTCAATAACTAATGTCTATGATTTTCCTGACCATTCTTGCCCAAGTAGTAATCATATTAATCTTTTCTGGAACCGCACATAGTGCACTAATTCCTAATATTCCTAATGGAGCCATGCAAAATTCAAAATATCTAAAGCTTGACATCAACATAAAACAAGGAGGGTCATCAACTTCAAATAGATTGCTACTGAAATTGGGTCCTATGGGTTATGTCCCAGAGCCTTTGGAAAACCTTGTTTATTACTTTCAAATACAATTGGAACTCGGTTCGGACAAGCAGAACGTTTCATTTCAAGTAGATACCGGGAGTGCTGACTTTTGGGTCCCCTTGAAAACAGCTGATTGCGTCAATTGTGAGTTTCAAAGTGGAACTTTTGATAACGCTACTTCTTCAACATATCGAACTTTTGGCGCCCCTTTCTCCATTAAGTATGGAGGTAATGATAGTGCAATCGGAGAATATGCATCAGATCAGGTAACAATTTCTAGCGGTCAGACCATAAATAATATGACATTCGGGGCTGTTAACTCGACTACAAGATATCTAGCGATGATGGGTGTCTCCTTTGATACCGAGGAAAATGGAATCTATAAGAATTTTCCTTCAATTTTGAAGTATAATGAACTTATCGACAAAACAGCTTATTCGCTATATTTAACAGATAACCAAACTCAAAATGGAGAAATACTTTTTGGAGCGATTGATCACGCAAAGTATAAAGGAAGTTTGGAGACATTTCTGGTAGCAAACAATCGATTAGCTATTGATCTTGATGAAATTGTTGATGCCAACGGTACTTCTCACAAACTTAATGGTTTGTCTGTTCTTTTAGACTCTGGAACAGCAGACATATGGTTACCACAGGAAATGTTCTTAGAAATTGGAAATTCTATCACTGGGGCAAGGTATGACTCCAATACTAATCGATTTGTAGTTGATTCTTGCTCGTTACCCAGCGATAAGTCACTAATGTTTAAGTTAGGCAATACTACCATTCGAGTACCACATAGTGAGCTTTTACTTCCTGATTGTACATTGGGAATAGAAAGTTCGGTATCTCTCTATGGTATCAATATCTTGGGGGTGAGTTTCTTAAAGCATAGCTATAGTGTCTTCAATCTTGACGATAAAACCATTTCTATTGCACCAGTGATTTATACCTCTAACTCAGATATAAGAACCATTGAATAAATAAGAACTCAATAGTTGACAGTTATTGGCTAAACATAGGGCTTGTAAGTTACTAAATTGATATTCAATGATTGAATTGTATTACTGTTATTGTATGTTGTATATAAAGTCTATCGATACATGGTAAGAAAGTGCGAACTTTAGCAAAGCACATTTACTTTGCAGATGTCAAGAAAACTTTACTTGTTCTAATCACTCTTTAGTTAATGGGGTGGGCTCCAACGCAACAAAACGTAAGTGGCTATCAGTTGATAATTCAACAGCATTAATGCTGGACTTGAAGCAACTCAACACGCAACCCTGAGAACTCCGAGTGGAGTAAAAGCCATCGTAATCTAATTGAACATTTCTATAAAGTAATGTTGAATTAATACAATTAACAAGAGTGCTCACTTTTAGACTCAACTATATGTACATGTTGACTATTATTGTAGCCTCAGTTAAGAGTAATAGATTCTATTATACGTTTTAAATTGTCTTTTAGTCCTTTTCTTCATATTCAGAGTTGAGCCAACCATTCTGGAATACAAACCCTCCAGGAATTTCGTAAGCCAATTGATTGGATTTGTTAGCTGCCTTGCCACATGGATCAATAAGCTGATCAAGGCCAGTAAAAGTGTTGATAGTAGATGTGAAAACGGTTCCATCTTCCAGTGTCACCTCAGGCCAAAATCCAACATAGGTACTAATGGGAATGCATTCGTTTCCTTTTGGAGTGAACCAATACAACTCGTTGAAAGTGAGACCTCCGCTTGAAAGTAGGGAATAGTTTTTGGGGGTCCAGTACTCACCGATGGTGACCACTGTCTCGCCAGTTGCATCATCAATCAAAGTACCGGTCCATCTGTTGCTGCCATCTTCGTTGTGCGCGGTCCTCTCCATTACTTGTGTATAGTTCTTTCCGTACTCCCATGGAAATTCCACAGCACATGAGACACCTGGTCCGCCATCAGCACTCTTATAACAATTTGGATGGTCAGAGTAAGGACCGTACCCAAAAACACTGTATGTTAAGTGGTTAGTGGTGCCTTCCTTACGGGGTTGAGGGCCAAAGTAACCTGCGTCTTGAGTGGCAAAGTAAAACAAGGTTCCATAGTAGTATCCTTCTACCTTGTCGCCTCCGACATTCCACTTTTGCAGCACCTTGACGACTTTGCCATCAAGGCTGTAGTCTGGTTTGAAATAAATATTTGGGGAATTAGCAAAAGCGCCAACAATAACGCTCAAGGAAACAAGTAAGTTGGATAATTTCATGATAATGGAATAATTGCTTTGGACATTTGCAGGGAATTATGGGTTATATAGATGTCATTTTGCAGTTCCATATTGCTGCATGAAGTTATTGTCCAATATTGCGAATAACATGCAAAATGTTATTGCGAGTAACTTGCAAAAGTTGAAAAATGGTGACACAGTTGACACTTGTAGTGCTTTCAATTGCGGTTTGACTACACCTGGTAATTGATCTCGTTCAAAATAAAGTCAACCACATCGAAGTTTTCTGGTAATCAATGGGATAGGAATCCTAGACTTGAAGAGGATCGAACCAAGTCCTGGGGTGCACACCGGTTGGTTTGGAGCACTGGAATTGATGAATGCGTGCGAGAATCTCAAATTTCATGACCACTACCAAATATGTTGCATTATCTTGAGGAGCATTTAACAATGTATTGTATTGCAAGCACATTTTCTATCAGTCCATCCCTGCGGAGTATGGTAGTAAGGATGTTTTCAGAGTATAGATAGAAGGCTAGCCTTTCGCAGAAAGGCGTAGCTTTGTTATCGAATTTAAAAACTAACTTTCGTATATAATAAAAGACGGAGATCGCTCTTAGCAGAATACCAATAGATAGTCTTGGTATTAAGACTATTTCGCTAGGCTCGTCAGTACTAGTATACTGCCTAAACTAAGAAAAGATGATAACTTTCAATTCCGGGAGATCGTACTCTTTTATAGCCGGAATTCTATTCCGGGTAAGCTATTTCATTCAGCTGCAAAATTTCCCTTAGGGCTTTCGGCCTCTACGTCATATGCAGGATGGGGTGTTTTGTGACACGGCTGCTGACGTAATACTGTCCTTCGCGTGGAGGCTGCAAGGAAGCGTCTTTGGTCTGTGTTTTGTGAATGAGGTTACTTTGAGTGAATGGAAAGGACTTGGTGTGAGGAGGAATTCTGCGAATAGCATGTCACTAAGATGAGATTCGGGAGAATGATGGATCGTGTTAGCTGTCTGTTGTTTTGGGTACCCGTGAGTGGTTAAGCTCGCATTCTTAGGGAGACAGTTAACGGTTGTTTCGATTCGGTATCCGGAGGGATGCACTTCCTGTTGGGTCCACTTGCCAAGTAAGTTGTCTTTGACGTCTTCTACGTCTGTTAGATTCGTCAATGATGGTGACTGGAAGAGGTTGACGTTTTCTGAGGCGTGGCACTTCGGCCGTTGCCGGTCTTGTTCTTCTAGTGTACCGTTGTGGTCTTACCGTTGTTTGGTCGTGCTTACGTTTGGTGTAACTCGGTCTTAGCTGCAGTAGACCTAGGATCGCTTTGTTGTGCGTGTTGAGTTGGTCCAAAAGGGTGGGACCCCGTCGCTTGGAGAAGATCACCTTGAATCGATCCCTGGGGAGATCGCCTCGGTGATTCTTCGGGCGGAATGCGAATGATAAGGTGCACTCTATGGCGCGGCGAATCTTTTCGCTGTAAGGTCCGGTCCAGTATGGAGAGTAATCCGCTTTGATGAAGAACGTTTTGATTGGCTCTTCCGTGGTTAGACTCGCCTGGGGTGGCTTCCTGATTGTTGTAAGGTGTTTGTCCATAACTTCTTTGAGGTAGCCTTCCGGATAAGCCCTATCCTTGAGTCTGGCGTAAAAAAGTGCGATTTGGCTGACCGCGTCTTTTTGTAGGGTATTTGTCCGGATAAGCCTGAGAAGTTCAGCTTTGATGAAACCAGACTTGACTGATTTCGGGTGTTGACTAGACCATGGTAAGTATTGGTAAATGTTAGAGGGCTTTCTATACGTGGAGTACGTTATAGCATCACCGATGGTGATCTGAACATCAAGGAAGGACGTTGAGTGTTCTATCGAAGTCCAATTGATAGTCAATCCACTGAGGGCACACGATATTATGCTCTGGATTTCCTCCGCGTCGGGACGTCTAGCGATCACTAATATGTCGTCTAGGTACCGAATGTAGAAGGCGTGGAATTGTGTTTCTATCTTTTTTACCATATCAATTTCTCTTTCTCCGAGGTAGATATTGGCGTATTCTGGTGCACAGGACGTGCCCATGGCGACGCCAATAACTTGTTTGTAGACATCTCCTGATGGAGTTATGAAGTAGTTGTTCTCCATCACATATCGAGTTAAAAGAGAGATGCTGGATGCACGGACAAGAAGAGCCAATCTTTGATGTCCTGGTGTGCTGGAGGAAGTGAGGTGACGATATATAGCGTCCGTTATGAAGCTCCCATCTCCTCTGGGGATGTTTGTGTAGAGACTGCTGACGTCACCTGTGAAGATACAGTAGTTGCGCAATTGAGACGGCTGCGTACCCGGTTCGTTCAACATAGAGTTGATGGCTCTAAGTTTTTCGAGGACCGCTGGTGTATCTTTCGCGATCCAACTATATTGAGAAATGGTAGGTCTCAATTTGTAGGAAAGCCATGTTGAGAGGTTTGAAGTGGCCCATGAGTGTGATGGCACTATGGGTCTGCTACTGACCGGAGACTTGTGAACTTTTGGTAAGATATGAAACACGGGTAGCTTACCGAAGTTTCCAGAGTATGGTAGTAAGGATGTTTTCAGAGTATGGTAGTAAGGATGTTTTC